GCAGATATGTTCATGGCGTGAACAGCTAGCTGGCAGATCAAAACTGGTCCATTTAGATTCGGACTTTGCGTCTCTCACTGCTTCACTGCCACCAGACATTCCGCTCGGTCTTTCGTACCCTTCCTGTCGATCCAACAGCTGATCAAGCGGGCTCAATCACAATCTTGAATGTGAACACGTTCAACACCAATCCATCACGCTCAAGAAATAGAGAAGGCGCCATTTTGAAAAGCCTCCGCTGCTGCTACACACTGCGCGCGCGCTGATGGGATGCATGCAAGCATCCATGCACATTCCGCTCATGCGCAAAACGGTGCGCCGCGCGCGTCAGCGGCGAACCCATCTATTCATCTTTTGACTTTTGGCCCCTTTTCTGTACAGCACCACCATCGTCCTACTCACGATCCGAGCTATTCACCGATCGTTCGAGAGTTGGCTGTCATGAATCGGCTGTCATAGGGGGCTGGGCTCATCCGATATCCTCCGAGCGCCTCATTCAACATTCAGAGGTTGCGGTCCGATGAAGATGTCACATGTGTCATCACGTGACTCATGCAGCTCCTGAGCGGGAGCACAGAACAGTCAGAAGAGTCTGCAGGTGAAGGCGTAATCATGCTTGGGCGTTGGCGCAATTTTGGAATAGCCGTAGCCGCACGCGGGCACTTGATCGGTCCATGTGGATCGTGTTTGTTGAAGCCCGCCGCCCACTTGCCATGAAACCGCGCCGAAGGTCCACCATTCAAGATTCTCGTCCTGCCCTTGAATTGCAATACACATTGAGTGGTCTTTAGCAGAGACAAGAGTCCGGAGAATATTCAGTTAGAATGCCCGGTCTCGATGTCTTTCTTGAGTCATATGTCGTGGGCTAACATTCGCAGGGCGAGGCTCATCTGATCTGTGATTCAGGAATCAGCGATCGTTGCGCGGTGAACGTCAGACTGAACTGTGCCTGAAACCCTGAATCACGAATCAGTGAATGTTAAAGGTGGTGGGTGGTGTGGCCGTGGCGGGCCCGCAAAAGCTCAGCGCTGCTTATACGCGCGCGCACGCACGCACGCACGCATCAAGGGCCAGCCAGGCGGCCAGCATGAGCATGATGCAGCGCTCGGGGCACCTCGCTCGCGTGACGAAGCGCTCACGCAGCTGTTCGAGTCCAGAGTCCAGAGTCACAAGTGCATGGAGCAGGTGACAGGCGCAGCTTTACCAGCACGGCGGTGCTGTGCCTGTCTGCGTGGCGTGTTGTGGGAAGAAGGGCATGAATGCTGGCACTGGAGATGTGCCTCGGGATATGCTGGTGCCTCGGGGCTGGAAGCAGACCCCATCGAGCTTGCTCATGCTTCTCGATCAAAGTTGGGCCAAATCCGCTTGCTTCCCGTCCAGCAACAACAAGCCCAAGTCCAATAGCTCATCGATAAAGAAGTTTTGTTCACTCGCCCTTGTCAACAATCAAAAAGTCAATTCTCGCTTGCCAAGGTAGCGCTCAGTCAATCCGTGGTTGTTTCGTCAATCTTCGTACGCCACCCCGTCCCCAATCTGACCAGGTAGTCCTGCAGTCAACAAGTCAGGCTGTTGAGGTCCAAAGCTGGATATCGCAAATCGTATCCCAGCATACCAGACGAAGAGAGCTGCAACCGAGAGCTCCACATCACATCGCAGATTCATTCAGCTCGTGTTCCCGCCAGCCCCCTCCCGCGCTCATAGCCAAGATGGCTGCCGACTCTGCCAACATTGCCACCCAGCCTGCTGCTGCTGCGCCGGCTCTTGCTGAAGGTACTGCAGCTACCAACAATCCTTTGCAGGCTAGTAGCGAGAACCCGGCTGCAGCCGCTGCTGGCGCTCTTGCTGCCGACGACGACAAGAAGGTGAGTGACGCTACTGGTCAAGCCAACCAGCTTAGAATGGGTCTCGAAACTCCGCATATCGACGCGCAGAGTCTGGAACACGATAGCGACCACCAATCCTTGGCTGTCTGCTGACGCAGTCGTCAAACCTCATGCTCTCATCTTCCCCTCTGCAATTGTCACAGGCTCAGCAGGTCTTCGCTGGTGAGTAGATTAGTGCATGCATCGTTTTCGACTATATCCAACGCATTCATGCTGACACTAAAGGTTCTCGCTCCTCTTTTTTGCCCAGGCAATCTGGCATTCGCCACCACGGAGGACGAACTGAAGCAGCTCTTTTCCGAGGCTGGTACAGTGTGAGTGCGAGGGCCATCACCGTCTCGAGTGAGGTGCAAGCCGCCAACGCTGAACTGATCTTGCCGCTGGCCTTAGTACAAGCGCTCAAATCATCACTCGCGGCACTCGTTCCCTCGGGTACGGATTCGTCACCTTCACGACCGAGTCCGAAGCCAACAAGGCTGTCACACTGTTCCACAAGCGCGAGATTGCGGGCCGCGAGATCAACGTGGAGAGCGCCAAGGCTCGCTCAGCTGCCAGAGCTGCTGTGGAGGCAGCTCAGAAGTCCGATGCCGTGGATGGCGAGAAGAAGGGTGCCAAGTCAGCTCGTGGACGAGGACGCGGAGGTCGCCGTGGAGGCGTGAGTAATTTGCGAGAATGATGAGCAGCAATGACATGAGATCCTTACGCTCACTAGGTCGCGTTCGTCTCTTCTCATCAGGCAACCGGACGTCGTCCTCGTACTGATGAAGGCGAAGAAGGCACCGCAGAAGGCGAAGCCACCACTGCGGAAGAAGCAACCGGAACAAAGGCGAGCGCGCCAGCAGCTGCCAAAGCTTCCAAGCCCAAGGGTAAAGCTGGTGTAGCAGGTGCCGCGAATGGCGAAGCCAAGGATGGCGCTGCAGCAGCTGAAGGCGGCAAGAAGGCGAAACCCGCAAAGAAGCCTCGCGAGCCCAAGGGAACGCCCGAAGGCACTCCGAGCAAGACTTTGGTCTTCGTTTCCAATCTGCCCTTCAACTTTAGCGATGCTCAGCTGCGCGCCGTCTTCGATTCCGAGAGTGCGGGATTGGGCGGCAAAGATGCGGTGAAGAGCGCCAAGGTGGTCAAGAGGCCTCACACTGGCAAGACGAAAGGTTTTGGATTCGTCGATCTCAAAGATGAGGCTACGCAGACTTTGGCGCTGGAAAAGATCAAGGGCATCACGGTTGAGGGAAGAGAGATTGGAGTCAAGGTGGCTGTGCAGACGGAACGCAAGGTGGCAGAGGGTGGAAAGGACGATGCGGCAGCGGTGGCTGCTAGCGCTATTGAAGCCAAGCCTGAGCCCGATACCGCTCCTTCTGCACCTGGCGTCTGAGCGGGTGTTCCCCTTTGTTTTTTTCCATACATCAGCTTTTGACTTCTCAGCTTTGTGCGCCCCTTCCCGCTGTGGCGTGCGTGCCGAGCGAGCTTCGAAATGCTCTACAACGTATGAAGCACGTTTCTCCATCGCTCTTCATACTCGACTTGCTCTTCACCTTTGTCCTTCCCCCCCCCCCCCACAAGCAAGCCTCGCTGAAGGGGAAATGTCACAAAAAAAGTTGCAGAAAAATGAAAAAGAATGACGCTGCTGCTGCATGGGCCCTTCTTTGCGCTTTCTCTTCTGCCCTGAAAACACGCATCCAATCCCGCGGCGAAATCTTGTCCCCTGTCTTTCTTGGTGCGAAGAAAAGTTGAAAGTGCTAAAAGGCGCGAGGCCATCGGGGGGCGGAAACTCATCTTGCATTCGTGACTGCCTGTCAGTGTAGATAAGGGGGCCCCAAACGATGGTTGGCAAGCTGGGCACACTGCAAGGCATCAAACCAGAACGTTCATTGAAATGCCCCTGCACGACACCAAAAAGAGGGAGCTTCGAACATTGGTGCAAGTTGCGTACAGTGTGATTTCGCCCTTGTCGAGTCATGCCATTCATGCCGCTCAGACCCCAATCAGAAGAAGGAGGGGGCGAAGGAAATGTTTGGGAGGGAAAAAAATCTTCCGGGGCCTTCCTTTGTGCTCTTTGCCCACAGCATCTAGCCAACACGATCGTGTCAAAAGGAAAAAGGAACCAAGAGTCTTTTTTGCGATTGAGAGGCGAGAGTGCGCGAAAGTTTGTTGAGACCGCAAGAGAGAGAGAGAGAGAGCACTGCATTCAGGATGGTGGAGCTTCGCTCCGAGGTTTGGAGACTACCTGCAGGGAACCTGAGTAGGGAGAGAGCGGCCCGTGTGCGTCAGCTTTCGCTGGTACGGGGACATTGACGGAGTGGGTAGGCAGGTGCGACGAGCGCCTCACGCCTCCTCATGCACGCAGAGGGCTTACCCGCCCCTTCCCTCCACTCTACTCCCTCTTGCCTTTCGCTTGATCGTCCGCTGCGCAACATGGCGTCCTAACCGCCCGCTACTGCCATACCGCCCTGCACCAAGTTGGAACGCTGATGCAAACTCACGATGTTGGATGAGGATGTTGGTTTGGGCAGGAGCACCTTCCCCACCCTCCTCCTCCGAACCTGGCAGGCGAGAAATTCTGAAATCCGCATCCACGAGCACCTGGAAGCTGTTGTGCCAGTGGGCGCCGCCGCCGGCGCGCATCAAGAACGACCAAAGTCAAAAGTCAGCACTGATCAGGCGATCCACAACGACCAGAGGCAGAATACGTAAAAGAGACCGGAGCAAGCGTCGTCGATCGATTTCAAGGAGGAGATTGGACACTTACCCTTTCTTGACGTTTTGAAGACGCTGCACTGCGTTGTCCCCAAAGGCGAAGACCTTGTGGTAGGAGGTGGTGGGTGGAGGACGCTCTGGTTTTGAAAGATGAGCATGATCAGCACCTGCCGCGATGAACTGGGAGACGCTTTCGGTCCACATGAAAGATACAGGGTTCATGTGGCCTCGCGAGATGCCCAAGGCCCCGCAAGGACAAGCCTCTCGAGGCATTCCCCACTCTCCACTCCCGCCGCCCTCTTGCGTTTCTTCCCCTCCCCATGCCCCCCACCCCCCTCCCTCTCTCGGATCCGAACGGCTCCTTCGCTCGGCACAAATCACAATCTAGCCCTTCTCACCTCCATTCTCGTCGGGAGGTCCAAGAGGATCGGTAGTGGCTACCGTGTACCTAGCATATTCCTTTCCAGCCTTGGTAGGTCTGATTTCCGGATCAGCCGTCAACCTGCCCAACAGTTGCATGCGAGCCAAATCTCTCGCTGTCGCGCTGGACGAGAAGCATGCTCGAGCGGGCATTTGCTGCGAAGCCAAGGAGCCCGCAGAGCTTCGAAGAGCTGAGAGGAACGACATGATTGAGGGAGCTGAGCTGAAGCGAAGCGAAAGCGCTGGCTTTTGATGCGTGCGATCAGGGGACTGGGTAGGTGAGATGGAGGGCGATGGACGTAGGGATTCAAAGCGTCCATCTCCTCTTTGCAAATCGTGAATCGCCCTCCCTTTTTGAATCAAAATGCAAAGTAGGGACAAGATCACACTCGTGACTACACGGCACACATGTGACGTGCGACGACGTTTGCGCCCCACAGCGACTGCGCGTACGTGCATGGTCTGTGCAGTCGCGGCGCGCGGTCGCGCTGCGAAAGCACAACGGAAAGGCGATCTCTCTGCGCGGTGGAGCGAAGCGGTCGCGACGCGCCCAAATGAGGACAAAGGGAAAAGAAAGCGAGCGAATTAAAGTGCGCAGATGCGCGTGCGACTGACACAGCAGCAGCGCCATGCGTGCGTGCATCCCGCACTCGCCGAGGCCATCCATCCCATCCCATTCACAATCTCCATCGCCATGCACATGCTGTAGCGATTCGTGAACAGAGCTCTGACACAGAAAGGAGGAGGACAATGTGTGCGCTCGCTCGCTCGCCCGCTCGCGACTAGATTGTGGGCATACCATACCAGCTGCCATGCATGTGGATCAGCTCGTGATTGAAAAGCCCCTCCTCTCCGAGATTCTGCACCTCGTGATGCTTGCCCAGACGAGGGCCTGCGCCAAGCTCAGCAGCAAGTTCATCAACGATGACACTCGGGATCGACGAACCGTGCAGACGCTATACGCGTACACACCCCACTCCCTCTCATCAAAGGCTGAAAGCTGGGCCCACACTCTGAGCGCCAATTCTACATTTTGGCTTTTTTTGCTCTTGAACTTTTCCTTTGCTTGTTGAACCTCCCTCCGTCGGCGATCTGCCATTCCATCTTGAATTCGTGGCCCCCCTTCCCGAAACCCTCGACGGAGAAGCTGAAGTCATCTCTTCGCGGTGCCCTGATCCGCCTCAGACAGCATACGACGCGAGGCGCACGGTCTTCGCGACGATGAGCTGAATGACACGCGTGACATCAAACAAAATACTAGAGTACATGGTCTGGCTGCTTTGCTTTGCTTTGCTTTGCAGCAGCAGAGCAAAGTCAGGCAGCATTGGGCTTGTTGCGGCTTAGATCCGGTGTTTTGCCCCGCGTTAGATGCAGCATACGATCTTTCCGTGATAGCTTGTCCTTTTGCCTGTGCGATGATGCAAAGCTGCGAAAATGGAACGATGGAGCGGACTGGAGGCGAGAGCTACTATTACAATCCTTGGTAAGTCATCCTGCAATCGTCCATAAGTCAGTAAAGGCAGCAGCGCCTTTTGGGGCGTACAGGCCAATCCTTGCATGATTGACCATTTGACTTGCGAGCAGAATCCGTGGAGGACGCTGACGTGCGTCTTGCAAGATCCATGTAGAGTGCGCTTCTAACCCGCGCCCATCAAGAAAGGGGTACTTCTTTTTTGCTGCTCGCATGCAGCTCAGCGAACGCTCAGATTGATCTGCACCTCTCTCGCTCTGTCCCAAACACCTCCCTCCTCCCTTTGCTTCTTCTTGACAATCTCCGCTTTGCGTCTCATGAGAGCTCTGGTGAGGTATTCCTGCACGCTCAAGTTGGACACTCTCATTCCCGCCCCAGGTTCGAAGGAGGGGTCGACCGTGACCGCTTGTGCTTCTGTTCGAGCTGCAGTGGAAATCCCTCTCGTCTGCGCGTTCGGCAAGCTTGATGATGATGATGATTCGCCACTTGGACGCTTTGAATTGGCCGCGGATCGAGACGCCGATTTGGGCGCGTCGACAAGAGGCGTGCTCGTCCCACTTTGCGATTGCTGAGGCGTTGCGCTCCCCGAAGGCGAAGAGACGATTCCCAGTATCTCGTTCACGCTGGTCTGGTCTTGCCCCACCATTCTCTTTGCGCGCAGGTACTTTGCTCTTGAGCTGTCACGTGCCATCATGATCATCAACAAATCCTGCTATTCAGCTTTTCTTTTCAAAAAGATGATTAGGCGCACAGGCTTCGACGACACTCACGCTCCTCGAATCGGAAGGTTCTTCTTGATTTGCTCCACCGCTTCGGCCTCCACAGTAGTATTACGCGCACACCCCGCATCAGCCTTTTCAGCCTCCTTTAACCCCCTCTTCGCAATCTTTTCCGCCTGTTTGCGCTCTTTGCGTTCCTCCTTCGTCTCATCCCTTTTTCTCTTCTTGACCTGCCCACCAACTTCGTCCTTCGCTTCTCGATGCTCCTGCTCGGGCTGCTGGTGCTGCTGCTGCTGCTGCTGCTGGATGCCAAAAGTGTGCTGATTGAGTCTAGCGAACAAATCGCCCAGATCGTTCGCTCCCGCCGGGTTCGATGCGATCCATTCGTCTCCACCCTGCTTTGCCTCCCTCTGAGCTCTCATCGCTCCAATACCTCCCTTGTCCAACTTCAATATGACGCTATCCGCCACTGGGCCCTTTTGCCTCCCCTCTATCAAACTCCCGATCCCCTGACCCGCTTTCCATCCCATCGAGCTCAACAGCTTGTGTCCCGGCAAAGATTCGTTCAAAGACCACTTGGTATTCTTCTTGCTTGCCGATCCCACCAGACGCTGTTTTTGTCGCCCGCCGCTTATGCGCGTGATGCTGCCGCCAGATGAACCTGCCACCAAGCTGGGAACAGCAGGCAATGGCGCTAGAGAAGCGCTCGCAGTGCTCGGAGCCACAGCTACGAGACGTCGAGGCGGTGTGTCCGTACAGGTCGAGAGGCCCGGCGTTGGCTGAGCGGGCAAGGAGCGCTCAATGACGGAGCCTGGGGCCGACCGCTCTTCTACCCTGGCCTGATCTGCAAATGACTCCGCTTGTTCTGCGCATTTACAGGCGCAAACGGTGAGATACGGCTTGGTCAGCATCCAAGCAGGACGACAAGCGGACCAAAGACACGCCTCTTGCGCCCAGTCGTCCGCCACATTAACTTCATGTAATTGCAAGTAGTCGAGGTGCTCTTGTGGTCAAAGCATGATCAATGCTTGATGCTTTATTTGGGCCCCCTCTCGGCTGCCAGACAATGTGTGCTGCGTATGCTGGCACCCCCACAACATGTCCAGCTCTTCCAGCTTCCCACCTCCCTGAGCGCCCTAAGCATACTCACCGCCAAGCGCTTGTGCCGTCTGAGCCTTCTTTGCCTTCTTTACATTCTTTTCCTCCTTTCTTTTCCTCTTCTCTTCCTTTCTCGCCTTCCTATCCTCCTTGCTCTCCTTTGCTTCCACGCGTGCCGTAGCGGAGGTCGGTGCTTCGTCTGCCACCCGTGCATTCGTGACGCTAGTCGCTTGCAACTGCTCCCCACTCCGCTCTGCTTCCTTGGACAGGGCCTTGGCCGCTCTGCGCGCCGCCTTCTCTTCCGGCGACTCTATCGACTTGTCCTTCTTGCTCTTCTTTGTTCGGTCGGCCTTCTGCTCAGCTCCAACCTCTTCCCCCGAATCGCTCTCTTTGCGCTTTTTGGACTTTGGGCTCTTTGTTGTCTTCGAAGCGGCTGCAACCTCGCTAGCAAGTTCCGCTGCGCTGTCGCTCCCTTTGGCACGAGATGCGGACTGGACATCGGCTTGAGCTGAAGCATCACCACTCTTCCTCTGCGCTATGACCGCAGGGTTCAAACCCTGTTTTCTTTGGTCTTGTTCCTGAGGCTGCGCCTTGCCTTTTCCCTTCCCCTTGCCATTCGCGTTGCCCTTGTACACGCTCCTCTCATACTTTTCAGCTTCAGAGATGCACGTAGTATGCGGTTTCCAAGCTTGGGGAGAGTTGAAGACGGTAGAACAATCCAAGCACGTAAAAGGAGCTTTGCATCTCTGATGATGCGCATCCAATTTGCTAAGAACAAGAAGCGAGCTTAGTGTTCAAGAGCAGGCTGAGTGGAGCCAGATGAAAAAGGGGGCAGCAGACTTTTACACCACTCACGGTTTCTTGATCACGTCGAAACATCCTTCGCAGTTGAACGAGACCATGCTGAAGTCGGTCACGCAGTCTGAGCACCTCTGGTGACCTTGCCCGGGCGCGCTTCCAGTCCGAACACCAGCACTAGCCACCAGTGCCAGCGCTCTATCCGTCCGAAAGCGTTTCTGTAGCAGACGTGCGGAGGGCCTCGATGCTCAGCCACGCAAATTGCTCGTGGGTAGCGATCAGGGCAAGCAGCAAGATGAGAATGTGGGGCGGTGTCGAGGAAGGTACAGGATGCGCGAGAAAATGCTCAAGTCGTGGAGCAGGGACGTTAGTTGTGCTTCGGAAGGCAAGTCAGCAAGCCGGAAATCAAAAGAGACTTGATACAAAGATATCAAAATCAGAAAAAAGAGAGTCAACAGTCAAGAGTCAAGAGTGTAAGTCATAAACAAGTACGAGATTCCCCTTTCAAAGACATGGGCAAGCTCAGCTTGCTTGCTGCTGATGCTTCGTGCATCACGTTCCGCCAGGCTGACCTCGTGCCTGTGCAACAGCAGAAAAATCAAAAAATGAAAAAACAAGGCATTCCGGGTTGACAGAGCACGTGATTCAATCTTAGGCCTCAAAGTTTCGTATAGCAACGTCACGTGCCCAGCTCAAACGCCGTGCCCGACGATCATCCTGTTGGTCCTTTTTCGTACATGATGCAAGGTCAATTAATAATCTGAATGTTGTAAACGCCATGGGCATGGGGTTCAAGTCTCGCCAAGGAAAGAAGTGATGGTCAAGAGTGGGGCGAGTCGAAATTCGAGCTCGTTCCACGGAAATGTGGGAGGAGCGCGTGGAGTGTTCATCAAGATGGAGCAGAGCGAACAGCGAGGGAGGATTCACCATTGTCAATCAAAAAGTCGGGAGTTTCAAAGGTGGGTGCTTCCCTGGAGCATGTATCTATCCAAGAATCTCGGCCCAGGTCGAGAGAATGCTCCACTCGATTCAGATTCCCGCACCGTAAGATTGGGAAATATCAGGCTTGGCGAACGAGGCCTTGACCAACGACCCTGCGCCAGATTATATAAAGCCATTGTTGGTTTTGCATCCAACTGATTTGAATTCCAAATGCACTGAAGGCACACATTGTGCATCTTACATGCTCTACATACCACTTCCCTTGCCTTCGCATCTCCTCTCTCAAATACAGCACCTGGGTAGTGCGATCTAGTTTGCAGTCTCGTAACCTGTCACGAGCGACATCGCGCGTGTCGAAAGGCGTGATGTCAGTCGACTACACACCACACATCACAGCGCAAACTCCACACTGCTCACCCTTGGGGTTCTTGCTCTGCCAGTTCCACAGGTCGCGAGACTGAGGACGATTTGACGGACGACGACAAGCGGTAAAGATCAGGAAATACTGCTTCTGTCTGCGTTCGAAAGCGCGCGCCTGCCCCCCACCGCCCTATCTCCAATGAAGTTGGGCTTCCCTTCGCACAGAGACTCACCATCTCCTCGAGATTGTACTTGGCCTTGAAGCCAAGCTCCTTCTCGGCCAGTGTGGGGTCAGCAGTAAGGTCTGGCACATCCCCAAGACGTCTTCCGACAATCTCGTAGGGGTATTCGTAGCTGTGTGACCAATCGCGCACGTCCGCTCAGTCCCTGCCTGCAGAAGATGTCGCAGCTGATCTGCCGCTCGCTGAGGACTCACCCAGTCACCTTTCTCATCGCCTCGACCATCTCCAGAACGCTCATGCCCTTGCCTCGACCCAAGTTGTAGGCCTTGTACTTGCCAGGAGTAGGGGTATCGGCGAATTTGCTGTCATCATCGAGCGCATCGAGAGCGTTGATGTGACCACCCGCAAGGTCCATGACGTGGAGGTAGTCTCGGACGCAGGCTGTGGTTGCGCAGCATTAACGAGCGTCAGTGAACTGACCTTTAACACTCTGGTATACACTCATGACCCATGCTCTTCCCTGCCATGTACACGCAAGTCTACGCCTGTGCGCTCATCCGAACCACGCTCTTCTGCTCCGTCAGACTCACTTCCGTCCGGTGTGGGGTAGTCGTTGCCAAAAATCTTGAGACCTGGGTCTCTGTACTTTCCGACTGCCATCTGAGAGAGCAGCGGGAGCAGATTGCCTGGTTTGCCTCTGGGGTCCTCTCCAATCAGACCAGATGCATGAGCACCAGCGGGGCTGTGAGAATCGCATGGAAAGAAGTCAGGGCGCGAGACCGGCGTATTGACAGCTCAAATGCATTGATCCGAGACTCACTTGAAGTATCTCAACCCGATGGCTCTCCATTCCTTGGGATAAGCATCGCATACATCCTTGATGATGACTTCGCTGAATTGCTTCGTGCGTCCATAAACGCTCTCAGCTGCCAAAGGTGTGGTCTCTGGGATAGGGATGGTCTTGGGAATACCGTACACAGTAGCGCTTGACGAGTACACGAGACGTGTGACCTTGTGCTGCTGCATAGCTCGAATGAGGGTGATCAGGCCTGAAATGTTGACCTCGTAGTAACTGCGCGAATCGGTGCGTGCGGCAGAGCGTTAGCGAAGCCCTCCCGCAGTTGATCCTGACTGGCATTCACAGCCCTGTCAGGCTTGCCTAGCGCTCAAAGGCGAGGAACACGTCTCGACGCGATGGAAGACTCACTCGATCGGAATCTCTCCACTCTCGCCAACAGCCTTGAGGGCAGCAACAAGGATGACGGCCCAGATCTTGTCATCCGCGCTCTTGTCGGCATACTTTGCGAATGCCGAGTCCACAGTGCTCTTATCCCTGAGATCGCCTTTGATTACATCGATCTTCGTAGCTTCCTTGTCTTCCTCGGACGCATCAGCGGGAAGGGCATCCAAAGCAATCTTGGAGACCCTCTCCAGGGAAGTGGGGAAAGAATTGTGGTAGTTGTCCAGCACTAATCGAGGAGCGGATTGAAAGAAAATGGAAGGTCAGGTGGATCCGGAGGACGTGGACTTTTGCGCGTACATTCGACGTTGCAACCTCGACAATTTTGCTCGCTGTGAGATGCGCAGAAAGAGCTGATATTGGAGCACTGGGTGAAGAGGCTTGCATAGACTCACCGGTCACCTTGTAACGACGGGTGAGAAGGACGCAGAGCACGACGTGAGAGCCGATGTATCCGGCTCCACCGGGAATGAGCACGCGTTGCTTGACCATCTTGATCGATGAGGCGGAGGGATGAGGTGGGTTCCAAGCAAATGGTGGATGAGGTGGATGGTGGTTCGAAGTGCTAATCGATGCTCCAGCTCTGGTAGCAAGAGCAAAGATGGCCGAGAAGCGGTGGGCAGGTTATCGTATACTGTGATTCGTGATTCTAGCTCATGCGGAAAGCGACGACTGCCGTCAGACTCCCGCTGCTTTGCTGCTGCGTTCGGAACAATTTGAGACAAAATTACGAATCTGAATGCTTAGCTAGCTTGCGCACGCACAGAAAGCCTCGCATTCGTGCTGCTGCTGCTTGCCGCCACTCGTCGCGACTCAAGACTCAAGACTCAAAGATTCGCACTCGGGGCTGCTGCTGCATGCTTCCTCATCGTGATGCATATGCTGCTGCAGCACATGCACATGCGTGATGGGTGCTGCGTGATCGCGCAAAGTCGCGGTAAGGTGGTGCGGCAGGAGGCGCACGCCAGAAGCAACGCGCGCTGCCTCGCCCAGCATATGATGTGCAGGTTGGCGGACGATGCTCATGGACGCATCGCTGATGCTGCTCTGCTGCCCTACTCCCTAATCAGAATGCATTAGGTGCACGCAAATCTTGATGTCTGCTCATTCAGATTCGTGATTTTCGGACGCACGCTGAACTCTGACTGGACAGGCCGGGCTGCAGCAGCGCACGGTCCTGCTGCGCACACCCACGCATGCAGCATCATATAGCCCGTCCAGAGAAGCGTCCGCCTACGCATCACAACAGACTCTTGACCGCACCTCCTCCACTCGTGACTTACACGACTCGTGACTCTTCTGATTCACCTTCTGATGATGATTCGTGATTCAAATTCAAATTCTTGATTCGCATGCTTGAACTTTACTACGAGCACGTGATGCCCGTTGTAGGGCCTAGATTCCAGATTCTCGATCCGAACATTCACGATTGCTGCCTTTAGTCTTGAGAGCATCAGAGGCAGCCTTCGAGCGAGTCGCTCAAAGTCATTCGTCGACGTAGGCGTCAGTATGAATCAAGAAAGAATGGCCCCGACACACCGCTCGAAAGGCTAGGAGAGTCATGACTCTATATTCACATGACTTCGAATGACAAGCTGCGTCAAGGTCTGGGTCTTCGAGCAGGTTCGAACCACGTATCTCTGTAGGTCATGATTGGATCGAGTCGCGTCAGCTACAACCACTTCGACCGCGGTTCGTGGGTGAAGCATCATGCGCGCACTCACTCGGGATTGACGACTACAGTTCTTCCCTTCTTACCATCTCGAGCTGTTTCCCTCTTCTTGTCCCTACTGAGCGCTTTTCTCATATCTGCAAAGACAAGGGTTCGACACGAAAAGTATGTGCCACTTCCGCGTCAGCATGCCCGTCTCTCCTCGACGGCTCTCATTGGTCGACGCTACGCCCGAGTCCAGCGAGACGTGATGGAGAAAAAACGGAGAGCACTCTGCAATACTCACCCCATCCGTTCTCGTCAGTCCCTCCTGCTCCTCCTCCAGAGTAGTATTTGTCTACCGTGCGGTACACTTCATAACCCAGCTTTTCGTACATTGACACGGCGAGGTTGTTGGAAGGTCTGACGAACAAGTCTACAAAGTAAGACTGCAAAAGGGGTGGCGCGTCAACGTGTTTCAATTTCCCCCATTCTCATTCCGATTTTGCTTCGCACCATACTACGTCCCCGTTCCCCAACGCATCCATTCACATTCGCGTTTGAGCTCACGACTCACATTGTACACCTTTTCACTGGCATCCTCCAAAAGATTCATCAGACCCTTGGCCACTCCCAACCGTCTAAATTCGGGCGCGACAGTGATAGCAGTAACGTGACCATGCCTCTCCTTGACCCTTTCCATGCCTGTATCTCTTCCTTCCGCTTTACCGATCACATATCCCATCATCGATGCGTGGCCCCCTTCAAGCGACGCACCGTTCCGAGCCGCAGACTTGATATTGCAAGAGCCGCCACTGCTGCTGCTGTACTGAGTGTAGCATAGCTCGGGCCACTTGGAAATGTAGGTGAGGTAAAAAGATAGAGAATAAGTCTCTGTCCAATGATCTAGGTTAATCTGGTTGAACTTGAATAGGTCTGTTGCCCTAAAAGGCGTCAACAAAGACATGTCTGGACGCCTTGTGGGACAAAGATGTGGGTATGTGCGCTTGTGTTCAGTAGCTGCTGGATGACGGCGAAGAGGGTGGGACACGTGTGTGCGTACGCTGCGATGAGAGCGCCTGAAACAGCACGAGGTGAGCAGAGAGCAAGTTGAATGGCGTGGCGTGGCGTGGCGATGATGATGGTGATATGGGTGATTGCCTTGAAGAATGATCCAGCGGCAGTCGCTAGCACAGATCAATAGAAGATGCTGATCGCCATCTTGGTCGGATCGAGCCTCACGTCATGAGTCTTGAGTCAAAGTGGAGAGGAATGCATGGGGACTGTCACGTGGTGCGTCTGCCGAGCGCTGCAGTCAAGGATCGAGTGCGCACGGACAGAAGGCAGGAGGGCTTTCGCGCGGAGCATGGCGCGGCCGGTGTAACTCCGAAGCTCATCCGGAGCAGTCTCGCGCCTTATTCCATGAACAGGTGCAAGTCAGGGCAGAAGCTCTTTCCTTGCTCACCCTCATCACCTTTCTCCACTCTGCTGCTCCGCCTCAGACACAAGCTCATCTTGCCACACTTGCGAGCATGACCGAGCCCATCAAACTACGCATCGGCTATGTTCCCGAGCATTTCTCTTCTCCCTTACTACAGCTAGGTCGTTCGTCATGGGGACTTGCTCACCTAGAACTCGTCTCACAACCCAGCGGCACAGGTCAAATGCTCTCCTCCCTCTCATCTGATCAGGCCATGCAGCAAGAACAGAAAATAGATGTGGCTGTTGCGCTTACAGAGAGTCTGATTGCTGCACTTGCCAAAGGAAGAGAGGATTTCAAACTTGTGGGGAGTTACGTCAAGAGCAGCTTGAATTGGTGAGTCTGGCGCTCCGGAGCGGTCTGCAGCGAGGAAGTAGAAGGCGCGGAAAGTCGGAGTGAGAGCATTCATCCTGATTGCTGAGTGCTGTGCTCGCTGCATGGAGCGCACCAAAAGTTGAGAGCGAATCATCACTCCGACTCATTGCAGGGCTGTCATTACGGGTACATCGCCACATGCCGAGCGATACCAGAGCATTGAGGACCTCAAGGGAGAGAAGATTGGCATCAGCAGAGTAGGCAGCGGTAGCATGGTCATGGCCAGCGTCATGGCCCTGCTGCAGTAAGTGATGCTGAGCTCTACCACACGACAGCGAATCTAGCCACTAATCAGCACGACCCTTTTCACCCTGCACCGCTCGCAGAGGATGGACAGACAAGAATGGCAAAGCGTCAGAGGTGCACTTTAAAGGTAAGAGTGAAGCTAGAAGAAGGAATTTGCGCTTGTATGCTGTCGAACTACAGGGCAGCTGCTGAATTGTCACGATATCACGCCCAACTTCTGCCCTTGGTCCAGTGCAAGATACGTTCGAAAACTTGCGCAGAGGCGTCAACTTTCCCCCCAAACAAACTTCAGGTCCATCGGCGTCATCGCAGTCAGTCTCTTGTCTTCGATGCGCATGCCAACAGCAAGCGCAGCAGAGCGCAAGAGATCTGAATTTGCTCACACTTGCATCGTCTTCTTCGCCCCCAGCGCGCCTGTCTCCACTGCAAGTGGACAAATCAGTGCCGAAGACTTCGCAGATTCTGCCGAATCGTACGTGTCTAAATACTCCGACGGCTCTTCTCAGCCTTCGCTAGGAGCACACGTCTTCTCGGAAGGATGGAAGTATAGTGCTGCGCCTGTTCCTCTACTTGAACGCTCTTTCGATCTGCTTGCCGATCCAGCTAGACAGAATGAGGAGGCTCGCAGGACAGTGTTGCGCGTGCAGCAGGTCATTGCTAGGAGCTCTACTTGGGGCACACCGGTGCTTTATTTCAGAGCGAGCACAGCGGGTAAGCTCAGCTCTCATTCGGTCGAATTTACGCTCGCTTTTTGACATGTATTGCATCGCTTTGCTGATGTCGCGCGACCACAGAAGGAACATTGTTGACTCTACCGGAAATCGAGAGCTCCTCATTGCTTATTCGAAATACGGGCGAGAAGAGCAATACCACTCTCCCAATCCACACCACTTCCGCACCGACAGGCCTGGACGCAGATGCTCGGAATGCACCTTCAGAGTGGGCGTCGTTGTCGCTAGGCAACCATCCAGTGACGGACGAAACATGGATCATGCTTCATCCTTGTCAAACAGCTCCTTGGATCTCCCTTTTGCGCTCCAACGACGCCTCGTCACAAAGTTCTAGCAGCTCGAGCGGCGTGCAGTACATCGAAGCCTTTATGAGCCTATGCGCTTCGGCCGTGCAGATGAGGTCTGATCAGAGCAGACCTGGTGCTGAGCAGGGCCCATCGCATCGTTCTGAGCATGGCCAATCAGTGGAGAAACCGGAAACGGCTGCTTTCATGTGGGAATGGTTCACCACGAAACCTTTTGTGGACTCTGGAGAGGTGAGTGAAAGCGCCGCTGGGAGTCAGGATGGAGAGAGATGGGTGCACGAAGGCTACTGACAGGCACGCCTCTGCTGATACTGCACACTGCGCACTTGATGCTACAGGTGCGCTTCATCGGAAACGTACCGACTCCCTGGCCCAGCTGGAGCATAGCCGCATCCGTACCCACCGTTCTCTCCAACGCTTCATCGTCTGCCTCCTCCTCCGACTCTTCAAAAAGTCTCACCAAGCTGCACATCCTCAGCGACTTTCTCCATCGTCTTCAAGCTCAAATCGTTCAGTTCACGTCGGACGAAGACGAAGCATTGCGATTCGTGCAGAGCGAAATGGGCTACGAAGCATCGGATGTGAGGCTGTGGTACGAGCGTGTGCGCTGGGTAGGAGATTCGCGTTCTTCGCTCGAAGAACAGCATTCTGTTCATTCGTCCAGCGTCGCTGCAAGCCAAACGCACAAGGGGAATGTGAAGACGAAGCAGACGGGACAAGATACTTCTACCAGCACAGTCTCCAAAGAGACGCTCTTGAGCACCCTACAAACCCTCCTTCGAGCCGGCGCTATCCCGGCGCCCAGCTCAGACGCAGACGATACGAACGACGCAGCCGCGTGGAATGTCAAAAGCTTCGTCCAGGCTTTACCCGGCCAGGGTGTCCAGTCTGGCTTGGTCGATTGAAAAAATTTCAATCATATATGTTCACGATCTTGCATCATCCATCTTCATCGCTTGCCACACCTCCCTGTCATTTTGTTGATCAACTGACGCCCACTTCGTGACTTGCCGCATCTCACTATAAAGGACGAGCCGCGTCCGCTGGCGTGAACGAGAAACATGAGCTGAGGAGACTTGCAAGCCGTTTTTGTAGGGACAGCTCTCGCACCCATTCTTCGGCAGCGAGCACACTCGTGACTTGCCGCTCGCACCATCGACGTTTGGGAAAAAAGGTTACATTTCAAGTTGAACCACGCTCAGACGTGTGGGCGTGTTCGAAGACTAGCTAAAATGATTTTGGCTGCGGCGAACCGCCCAAACAAAACGCCGAAGACTACCATGCTCAAGGTCGTTCCCTCTGCCGACAAGGTGGCCAGACAGCAGCTCGAAGTCCAAGGCTCATCATGTCGTGGCAAATTTAGTAGAGCAACTGCTGCAGTAGTCAGATCTCCTCGTCTTCATCCTTGGTGATCTCAGATGGCTTGAGCATACCAGGCACAGCTGCAGCCTTCTCTCTAGCTTCTGCAGCCTCAGCAGCAGCCTTCTCCGCCTTGTCATCCTGAAAGAGATCCTGATTATCTCCCTCCGAGCCGGCCAGCTCACGCGTCGTGAGCAGAAAGTCGCGCATGAGAGAGCTGTACGAGAAACTACCATGGTAAGCTTGAAAGGCAAAACAGCACCAACATTGCTTTGCAAACTGACCGGAATTGAGAGTCACGACCGTTGAGGTCAGAGTGGTAGGCTTCGTGCATGTTGAGGTCGCGCAGCTCAGCCTTGCGGAAGGTCAGTGCGCGCATGGTGGGATCTTGTGAGACGCTGAGCTTCGACAAGCCTTCGAGGAACGAGTCTACATATTTGGGATCGACGTGCGGAAAAGCAGTCTTGAGCCTGTTGAAAGATTGTAGAACAATGTCAGCATCTGCAGACACCCCACTTTAAGGGTCCCAGTCACTTACAAATTGGAGCAGTACTGCAGCAGGTACGAGTGGTTGTCCGTAACCCCTTCTGCCAATGGCACAGAGACCTTTTCGAACGCAACGGTTGCAAAGATCCGAGCCAGAAGCATGCACTGCAGTCTGAAGCCAGCTTTATGATCTGGCTCTGTCAGAACGAAAAAGACATCTTGCACGACTGGCAAAAGGTATTGCTGGTAGAAGCCTGCACTGACTTCCGCGCTTTCCTGAGCGACATTGGCAAACAGCTCCAGCATGGTGTTGAGTCCCTGCTCGGCAACATCGCGTTGAGCATGCTTGAAAGCCCATACGAGGGCATCGACGAAGAGCTTGAACTTGGATGGGTCCAAAGAGAGCATCGCTGGGAAGCACTGTGCATTGATGGCGCGCAGCAGCTTGAAGAAGCCAACACGATGCTCTGGGTACTCTGCAAAGTCTCGGTTGATCATGCCTAGCGTGGGCTCAAAGACTGCATCGAGTATCGGCGAGATCTTGTCGGTGAGCAGTGCACCGAGGCGAGCGGTGATAGTGGTCATGACGTTGAGCACCTCAGCCTCTCTCGCAGGCGGCACATTGTTGTGATAGTCCCCGAGAATGGCGTCCAGAAGAGAGGGGATCAGATTGACGTTCACCTGCTCCAGGTCTTCGGCGCGCTTGACGTAAGTCTCGACCAGATGCAATATGTCCTTTTTTATCGTGCGCAAGCCGCGCACCAAAGGAGTCTTTGTAGCGATGAGGCCGTCTGATTCCACCTTGGCGCTGATGACTCCGCTCACGCTTCGGTAGAGCGCGAGCATATCGAGATAGATTCTGCCGATTTGTGGTAGGAAGTAGGTGCCGATGGAGAAACAAGCCGAGACATTCGTCTTGAGGACATTCGACAGAATCTTGATGTTTTCAGAGTTGTTGAGGACGTCAACATTGCTGTGTGCTTGGGACATGAGAGAGTCCCAAGCACTGTTTGGCAATTCCATCAGCTTGCTGATCAAGCGTTCCTGAGTCGGCTTGTTCGGTTGTGCAGCAATCATGTATCCGACCGCTTCGTAGAAGGTGTGGACTTGATGCGCTTGAAGATCAACAGTGATGCGGTGCAACGTACGAAGGATCTCGTCGATGAAAGGCTCCTGTTCGTCCTTTTGTTGCATGACGAAGTGTCGCCTACATTTTTGAGCGATCTTGATGAATGTGTCGCACGCCATGTCCTGCACACCCTCGTGGGTCTCGTGCATGAACTCGAAATTCTTGTTGACCACTGTCTTCAGGAATTTCCAGTGAGCTTTAAGGAAGCGTGGATATTGGCCCACTATATACATGATGTTCGAAGCGACGACCGCCTTGTTGTCTTTTCCGCGCTTCATCTCGCAGAGGCCCAGGAGATCCTTGATGACTGTGACCAGGAACCGCTTCTCTGCGTCTTCGCCTGTGGGCGCAGCCAGCGATGCATCAGCAGCGGCACGCCTTCTCGCTCGCTGAGTCGAGATGGCGACTCACTCATTGCACCCGAGATACTGCCGATCGCCCAACACAATGTATTGAGGTTGCCCCAGCTCCATTCGGATCCGTCTACTTGCTTGGACAGCTTTTGTGTCATGATCTCCTCCGTGTCGAGGGTGTCTAGATGCGTCAAGTAGACCAGCACCTCTCTCATGGATTTGTACAACACGATGGTATCGCTCTCTTTCATGAATTCTCGCACGATCTCTCCTTCGTCGTTCTCCACCACCAGGACCTGGAGGCGATTCGCGCATTTTGTCAGCAATGGGAGCTGTCCAGAGGCTGTCATAGCCACCAAACTCACCTCTTCAGGCTTGACCATGCGTTCGATCATGACTAGACGCAAATTGCTGAGAATCTGGCCGTACGTGTGCTTCCTCAAGTCGAGCGAAGCGGCAGCGCCAGAGGACCCGTTGCCCAAGCTCAGCCCAATAAGAGGATTCATTTCTGCCATGGGAAGCGTTTGCATCTCCTCGTAAAGCTGAAGCCAAGTGACGCAACATTTGTCAGTGCAGCGACACGACGCGCTTTGCCCCAGTACACTCACAGACGCGACGAGCTTTGACCAGTACTCGAGACAGATCTTAAAAATCTCTCGTTCCGGCACTTGAGAAACTTTGATCAGGTAAAGGTGCGCATTGAGAAGGACCTCACGATTCTCCGCATTTTCCACAAGGTGCAAGCGCTCATTCAGGAAGTTGCACAAAAACAATGCCAAGTTGAGAATCAGCTCTTGGTCATCGTTTGACGAAGACTCGTACGCTTCGGCGAAGTCTGTTCATCACAGCAGCCAAGTGTCAGCGAGGAGCGCGACTTGAGCAGTGAGATCTTCAGTATTACGACTCACTCGTGCTTGGAGGGATCATGCGATTGACCGAGGTCATGACCATGTTGAACAGGACGACGAACTTCTCATCGTACGAGTTAGTCTTGATCTGAAGGCCAGCGATCTCCGACAAGCACTTCAGTGTCACATTGCGATACTCTGGTACTTCGAGGAACTGTAGTGCAGAAGATGGGCGTCAGTCGCAAATCGCACGCGAATCACAAGTGGCCATGTATACTGCGTCTCCCGCGATTTTGACTAGCCCAGGCAATCCCTGCGTCGATAAGCGCCACTCACCCTGTTGATCAGCTGATCAATCACGTTGGTCTCAAAAATGTAACCCAAGGGAATCCAGTTCAAGAATTTGAGCATAGTTTCCAGAGTGGCTTGGATAAGGCTGGGCCTTTGAGCCTTCTCGAGGACCTCGGTGCACAACTGAAACACCTCTGCAAACTCTCCGCAGATTTGATTCTTGAGATTTTGGGTTTTTGTCGTGGTCATCTGCTCGGGCGAAAAGTCGAAAATCTCCTCCGACAGCAAGCGCAGAATAGCCATGTTGTTCTGGCAGATGGATAGAGAGGTGCGTGACGACGAGACGATGTCGGAAATAAATGTCGGCCATTTGTGGGGCCACTCCTGCTTCAGGATTTGCACAAGCGTCACGTTCAGCTTCTTGAGATAGGTGCGCTGTGCCCTAAGCGAAGCCTCATCGGACGAAACACCAATGATCGTCTCGACGATGAAGTTGCGAATGCCTATGAGACGGAATCAACAGCTGAGTGTCAGCAGCTCGCCCAGCTCGCGTTCGCCAAGGCAGTACTCACCTTGCTGCTGATCCTCGGCCAGAGCCTTCCACTTGGTCAGAATCAGTTTGTCAAGGATTTGCAAAGCGATGTACTGGGAGCAAACGTGCAAAGACCCGAGATCAGCTCAGGGAGTGTGCCAGAATAGGTGAAGCCTTTGCTACGTCCAACCACATCGCTCCTCAAGCCACGTTGATCTCTGAACAAGCGCGTTGAGGGACTCACCTTTGAGTGTTCGCTCGAACTTTGCTGAAGAATGGCGGGAACCCGCTGCCACGCCTCCGGATGCTCCTGGAATTGAGCAAGAACTTGTTGCGCCATACGTTGCTACGGCAGTGAGATGATACCCGACCAAGGATGAGCTTCCTGAGCTCCGTACCGAGCATTGATCGCCGCGAAACGCTAGTGGCGTGGAGGGCACTCACGTCTTCACGGGCGCTGCCAAACATGGCGCCGACGACCCGGTCCAGCAGGCTAACATCAAGATCCTGGCTGAAATCGAGAATGCCCTGCAAACAATACAGTGTTCAGCATGAATGTTGAAAAGGTCAGCACGTGTGCTGACGATAGGAAAGAGCCTCGGGCGGTGCCTCGACACTCACGTCCATGGTGCGTGGGTTGAGGCTCCAGCGGAGCTGTATAACTCGAGGTGTAGCGCCTACCTGGATGACAGACTGTTGGTTAACTCTTGCCCGACTCGGACTTCGATACGCGAAATCCTTGACGGAGCAGATCGTCAAGATGGCCTGCGTGTGAGAGTGATTTGAGGATGAGGGTGTGCGAGAGTTGCATGTGCACGAGTGGAGATGGACAGGTGCTGCTGCTGGTGTGAGCATGCACCTCGATGCGTGCGCGCGACGAGACGCGCCTGATGCTCGCGCTGAAATTGGTGCGGACGCTTTCGTACGAAAGAAGCGCGACAGACCCTATATGCTGTATATGCTGTATACTCATCCGGCTCACCATTCGTGACTGCTGCAACAGGTCGTGCTCACCTTCACAGAGCGATGATTACCCACAATGTCACACGATCCTACACGCCTCAGTCACACGCTTGTATAAGGCAGCTCCTAGGGCGTTGTAGATGCCGCACTGCGCATGTCCTAGGCTGAAATGCTAGTCAGCCAAGAACGACATCTTCGTCCTACGACCGACCATTAGCTTGGCGTTGTGATGGCAACGAATGGGGCGAGGATGGAGCGGCGGCGGCCTGATGCGCCCTTATGCCACAAGTGCTACCTCAGTGGTTCCAGGCGATTTCGTCTCTCATATAAAGTCCGCTTCATCAGGCTGCGGGAGGTGTGAACGCCTTTCTCATCAATCTGATCAGACTTCAAGACCGCAGCGTTGGGTCCAAACCCACAGATTGCCAATCATGAGTTCACACTCAACTCGTCCTCCTCTGCCCAGGTGGCTCACACTCAGAATTTGGAACGCGATGCGAGGGCTCAGCAGGTTGCCAAGCTGACACACTCTCTGATTCACCGTCCACCTTTAGTTCCACGTGAACGGGACAGGCGTCATCCAGCACGCTGCAGTCTGAGTCGTGATTCGTGGTGGTACTGAAACAGCCCGTGAACATGGCCTTTGAGCATCCTCGAAGTGACCACCCACACTGACGGACTAGGGGCTATGATTTCTATCGTCACGCTCCTCATCGCAAAGACGTCTCCGAGAGACACCAGATCCTCAATCACGAACGTTGAATTCCGCTTCCAATAGTCCTGGTGAATACCGCGCACAATCACCAATGATTGACGCTAGAGGCCAACAAAGATAGAGCCGTTGCGTGTATAGCCTCGGCCAGCGCTCCAAGCTGAGCGGCTCATTAATCAGACGCTGAAATATTAGTGCTACCTTGTGGTCATGCGTCGCGGAAGGACCTTACAGACACCAGGTGATGATCGCGAATGGCCAAATGGCAAGCCGTACAGGGTAGAGCAGCAACGGGTCAGACAAGCGTCGGAGTCATGTATTGTCCGTTTAGATTGCTGCGTGACTCATCAGTCAGGCACCCCTCTCAAAGGAGAATGTGCAACAAGCACACTCACGACTGCGGTGCGAACGTACGGAATCAGCGCTTTGTAGCCGATTCATGTCACGGATTTCGTCATCCAGACATGCGAGCCAATTTGAATATTGCCAATAATGGATGGGTGCACCAGAAGCCGTTGCTGCCACAATCCCTGACCGCGCAGCAATCGCGAAGTCTGTGCAGCCCTGCTTCCGTGGTCGGATGCGCGGACCGCGCTCTTTTTGCTTGTATAGATGTTCCCCACTTTGACCAAAGTCATTCTGGCCAATGGGAGCGGGAAGGCATGCGGATACGGCGGGGAGGTCAGGTGCTCTGCTGGAAGTCGGATCAAGATCGATAGGCTTGCCCAGGAGACTGCGGGTCCAGCGAAAGTACCACCCCATAATCCGCAGCGTTTCGTGACTCGTTGCGCTGCCTGCCTTGCATGGGCTCGTGACTCGTGACTCGTTCCACCCGGTGAGATTCCTTGATTTTTGCCCTGAACCCACGCGTCCAACGCGCAAAAGAACCTGTGCTGATGGCTTCCTGCTGCGCGCTTTCCGTGCGCAGGCGCAGCAGTCGCGGTGCACTGAGCAGCGGGACTCAGCACGCATGGCTAGCGCACTGGGCCCATCGAGCACCTTTTACGACGACAGCTTCTTGATTGGTGTCACGAGTCGTACCCCGGTGATCTTTGGTCAAACCGCTTGAGCGCTGCGCGAAGTCAACAATGGATGAGAAGCCTCTTGATTCGGCGAAGCGATAAGGGCCGAGGGAGCTGCGCATGATCGGCTGCATGGCGCGCCGCAAGCGTCTCAAGAGATGACGCGGTTCAGAGACAGGAGACGCAGGAACGACGTTAGTCTGAAGAGGGAGTTGGGTGTCCGCTCCCCCCTTCTCATGCCGCAGCAGCATCGATACTCGTGACTCACACTAAGGTCAAGCCCCTTCCATCTAGATATGCAAGCCATCCCGAGCTGCACACATGAGGCCTTGACGAGCGAGTCACTAGCGAAATGCAAGACAGAGTCATGGGAAAGTGATGCTGGGTTCAGGGCGGAAACCTGATCGCAAACGTGGGTGCTGCGATGGCCTCTATCTCTGCTTTGGTGGTGGTGTCTAGCGCGCGTCAGACGCGACGGTCGTTGTGGTCGCTCAGGTCAGGTCAACCATCGCATGAACGCTACCGCTACGCACGTATGGGACTCAGCACGGAGAGCTCAGCCAGGAGAGGCTGCTTCATTACGCACATCCTTCCCTTCTTTCTTGACATCAAGTATCGCAGCTGTCCCATCCATTCGGAGGAAAGGGCCTCGGCTCGGCATTCCTGCGTTCCTGCATGCTGCTCAGCAATCTTCCGTCGCCTACGGCCTTGAGTCATCAAGGCGCTCGGGACGCCCGAGAGCTGACGTAGATAGAGCCCGCAACGTTTTGTAGCAGGAGCTCTCCAACCCTGGCGCGATTCGCGTAGCACCATTGGGCTCAGGGCACAATTCCACCTTACGCAATGACAGATCAGTCGAGCGAACACTCATGTCGATCGCAGCCTATAAGATGCGTGATCGAAGAGAGCTCCTCGCTCCCAAAACTCACCGCATCTCAACCTTACTGCAGTACACAAATCGATATTTTGCAACGCTTCAGCCCATCCCACCACACATAACTGTCGAAAGTTCAGATTCAGGTGATCCAGCCTTCGCTACTCAGTCCTTTAGCTTCAGCTTAAGCATGATCTTTGCAAGAGCACCTTCAAGCATGACCAACAAGCGCTCCATCACGCCGCCCGGCTCCTCTTCAAGCCCGCCAACGCTCAGAAGAAAAAGGAGAAAAGGAGAAGCACGGAAGAGGAAGGCGATGAGGCAGGCGCATCGACCAGTGGTTCATCCACACGCAGCCAAGGCGGCTCAAGCAAGGGGTGGAACATCTTCCGGAAGACATAGAGAACGAAGTCGCAGTCGTACTTGAAAGAGACTACATTCGCCCTCTCGGGTCATTGGTACCGAGCCACTCGTCGCTGTTCAACCAAGTCAAGCAGAAAAGCTCAGAAATCGCAACTGTCACCATACTCTTGATGCACTGTGTCACGACCGTGACCATCCCGAGTCCGCCAGAGCCATGCCAAGACTGCGTCGCGCTGCTGCCTCCAGGTCCTCCAAGTCTGAAGACCTTCCGCATCGATGGCGACTGAACGGTAACCAGCAAACAGGCTGTCACCACTCACGGGCTGTCACCTCCCAAAAGGACAGCCATCCCAGAATCAATTTCTGGATCGCCTGCCTGGCATGCTGGGCTCCTTTGCTTAGATGGACAAGCGCTTCCTCAAAGCTTGCCTGATACGCTCCCGATATGCGTCTTTCTTTCATCACTCGCTCCTACCACTCCAAGAGCGTCTCCCCCGATCCGCTCTTCATCTCGGCCGCCGTCCTCCCATCCAATTGTCTCCCTCGCTGTGTTCGATCTGCTTTCGCCTTGGACCTCAAACGCTCGTAATGAATTTCTGAATGGATGGGTATCACATGTGTAGCAGGATTTCTTCTTTCAGCACCGTCGCGCTTGAGCGCTGATGAGCGAAAGGTTCCGGCATTGAACTTTTGACTCACTCGTGACTGATGATTCAAGATTTTGATTGTGATTAACGAGCCTGATGAAGCGCGTGCAGCCAACATTTTGCATGCCAAGTCGAGCGGACTCGGACGAGTCGACGAGGCAACGATTTGAATTGAATGTGAATCAAAATTAAGAACAAGAAGTCGCAAAGGATTTGATTTCGAATTTTGTTCGCCCTGAAGATTTGAGCGTCGGCGTGTGGACGATGCCTGTGAAATTCGGCGTGCAGCAGGATGGTCCGAACGCACGGACGCAAGGTTTCACATCAGCAGCATTTGCGCGGTTTTGCGCGCGCACGCGCACGTTCTCACCGATCAGCGAGCATCAAGAACCGTCTTTGGGGGGCACAGCAGACAGCACCGACTTTGACAGCCGCGTCTCCTCTCGCGAGGCTGCTTTTCCGCAGGGCAGCGCACAGTCGACCAGCGGTGAAAGAAGGTTTGCTGCTGAGCTGGACTGAAGCCTCGTGCAAGAGTCGTAATCGAGTGCGGGTGAGCCTTTTGTCCGTCAGAGTCGTGAGTTGCGATTGCTTGAAAGGGCAGCGCAGCGCGCTCGCGCGTTAACGGCTTCTCGCGCGTGCGCCTTAGCGTCAAAGCAAGCCGATGGAGCGGGACGTACGTAGTACGCGCGCGAGACGCATAGATGCACCTTCTGTGATGCTTGTAGGGGACTTGGGGATCGTGTTGGAAGATTCAAACAATCCTTCATCACCTCCCCTCACCTCAGTCAGCCAGCATTCCATCACCAACTTGAGAGCTGAAGTGCGAGCTCTCAGACAAAGCAACTACCCGCAGCGAGGTCAGAGCTCGCACTCATCATGACAGAGGCTTGCAGCAGCTCCTCTTAGGACATCTTCATCTCGCGTTGGGGTCCCATTGTCCATCTCGAGATCGCCGACTTTTCGTAGGCTCACCCTCGAATTGCGGTCTCTGGAAAAAGTGTCTTCTCACAAGAATCTGCTTGCCCTGCGTTTTCTTAGCGCTCTAAAGTCGGACATTCTCAAGTCTACCCCGTTGGACACGTGGGGGCACGAGACTAGGCAAGGCAGGACATTTGGGTACTCGGCTGCACATCGAAACATACAGCGGACACTAGGGCAAGCCTAGCTTCGCAAAATGAAGGTGGGTAATATAGTAGCAGCCGTTGACGCTCCGCGGCGTCACATGTCGTCTTTGCCATCGCCTCGGTGCATGCTCCGCATCTGTGCTGACAGTGGGTCCCTCCTCATCGCACCTCTCCGATGCATAGTTCGGAAAGCAAATCCTTGGACAGCAAATCTCGGGATGGGGCCAATATTACCTGGATTACAAGAGTCTAAAGAAGATCATCAATTCGCTGGAAAAGGGACGCCTCACAGACGCTGCGCTTTTCGCATCCGGCATCCGGCCCGCGTTCCCTTCCAATGGTGAAGTGATACAGGAAGGCCGCGAGGCATCTTCAGCAATACCGCTTCACGCAGAGACCAGTCCCGCTCTCCACGAGACGGCTGCTGCCGATGCATCTGCTCAGACCGCCGCTGCTGAAGCCCAAGAGGCTGCCAAAACGGTGCTCGCGAACGGAGGAGCCGGCGTTTCCACGGCCGCAGACTCAAGAGCAGACGCGAGCGCTCAACTTATCAGCTCCAGCATCAGTAATGGGGGAGCCAAGAGCGACGAGCTGCAGATCCACAAGGCTGCATTCTTCTTCAAGCTGGAGAGAGAGCTGGAAAAGATCAATGCGTTTTACCTGACCAAGGAAGCTGAGCTGAAGGCGAGGTTGAGGTCGCTGGTCGATAAGCGCAAGCTCATTCTGTCCAGGAGAGGTCCAGCGAAGCTCAATAAGGACAGCCCAAGCTTCTATGCGCTGCACGAAGGTTTTCGATATTTCGAAAAAGACTTGAGCAAGCTGCAGGTAAGTGCCTCTACTCGCAAGCGCACTGCGAGAAGCCGTCACCATCGCTGACATCCCATCTGCATTGCAGCAATTCATCGAGATCAATGCCACTGGGTTTCGAAAAATCTTGAAGAAGTGGGACAAGCGCTCTAAGTCGCAGACCAAGGAGCTTTATCTGGCCCGCCAGGTCGAGGTGCAGCGTGAGTCGGCTTTGGCGTGATGGTGACAACGAGCATGCTGCTCACAGATGATCGTGATCCCCCAACAGCTTGTTTCAATAGGGAATTCATTGCTGAGCTCAGCGACATTGCTGCAGCAAATCTTCTCGAGCTAGAAAACATTGCGGAGACAGGTCGGGGTCGAAATGGGGACAAGGCGACGGACGCAGATGCCGCAGATGAGTTGACACCTGAGAAACGTCTCGACTTTGCGGCAGCCAGGAACCAGGAGGTGGACGTGCTATCGGATCTGGAAGAGAATCTGACAATTGCAGTCAAGGCGGGCAGAGCAGCTGCTGCCAGCGAGATGGCAAGACTCGCTTCGCAAAGCGAAGACTCCACAAGCGTCCAAAGGATCGTATGGAGGGCTCTACTGCACGCTAAACCGCAGGCGGTTCAGGCGGCTATGAACGCACAGCTTCCCGACTACCACTTTGTCGATGACATCAACTCAAGAACGTCTCTTCATGAAGCAGCGCTCGCAGGCAAGCTGCAGCTGGTCGACGCGTGTGTCAAGAACGGCATCGACGTGTCAAGTAGGGACATCTATGGAAGAACAGCACTTTCGTACGCTTCGCTCACAGGTCATGCCGACGTGTGCACATACTTGCTCTCCATTCCCGCCGTGGACGCGACCACTGCGGACCTGGACGGATTTTCGCCCCTCGTGCTTGCTGTCATGAGCGGTCAAGTCGAAGTAGTTCGCATCCTGCTCTCTCACGGAGCGAGCGCAGATCCACAAGGCAATTCGGATTTGATACCGCTGGGCTTGGCGGCGCAAGGAGGACATGTTGAGATCACCCGCATGCTTTTAGAGAGGAAGGCCAAGATCGTAGCCAATCCAGAGGGCCTCTATCCTCAGGCTTTGGCTGCCCGTGAGGGACATGCCGAATGCCTGAATCTCCTACTAAATTCCGGTGCTGATCCGGACGCACCGGAGAAGGGCACGCTGTGGACTCCAATCTTCTTTGCGGCGGAAGGTGGCCACGCCGACTGCGCGCGAGTCCTGATCGCTGCTGGTAGCAAAGTCACTGCTGCTGACGAGAAGGCTAGAACGCCTATCTTCTACGCTGCATGGCGGGGTCACATCGACTGCTTGCTGTTGTTGCTGGATGCCGGCCGCAAGGCTGCTGAAACGCTTGCTATCGATGCTGCGCAGTCAGCGTTATCGACAGGCGCCAGGAAACGACCAGATCAATCGCAAGCGCAGCCTTCGCCAAAGCCCAGGAAAAAGAGCAGAGGCGAGGAAGACTTGCCGGATCTGGATCTAGACGGAGAGATCGACGGTATCCCTTCCCTCTCTCTACCGCCTCCTATCATCCCATTCAGGACGTACGGTCACAATTATCTCGACAAAAGGGCGCTGGTCACCGTAGCCTTGACGGACTCTTCGGTAAGGCTCTACAAGCTGCAGGATCCAAATCGGCCCGAGCAATTCGCCACTTCGTCCTTGAAGCTGGTCATGACTTCGCGTCCTGATGCTTCCACCACTACCATTCCTCACACAATCATTCTCCCCCTAGCGGATGAGCGAGAAGTCTTTTCGTTCCAAGTCGAAGCGGTGGAGAAATTCTGCCTGGAATGGGAGCTCATGCCTACCTTCGGATCCAAGGTGATCGGAAAAGCCGTCGCACTTCCCTCGTCCCTCGAAGGTATGACGGATCGGAAGAAGTTCGTCTTGCCATTGCAAGACATGTATCTCAAGGTTGTGGGCGAAGTATCGTTCGAGCTGGACTTTGTCAAGCCGTTTGATGGAGTGCAATTGGAGATTGGTGGTAGGGTTGAGACGTACTGGAAAAGCACTCTGCCAGCATCCGGTGCTGTGACTGCAGTCGCGAGCACGACAACCAGCGGAAACAGGATGACGCCGACGAGTCTTTCGGTGGCAAGTCCAGCGCCTGCTACAATTTCTACCAGTAGCAGCGCAGCCAACGCCCTGGCTGCCGAGTCTTTCGTCACCGCTTCGTCTTTGTCGGGCGAGCATCTCCGAGTGGTGGTGCAAGTGACCAAGGATGGGGTCGCAGTGGTCTATCCCGCCTTCACGCTTCCGATCGAGGGCTTTGACGTGTACGTGGGAAGCGTGACTGCTCAACAATTTTTAGCTCTTGCCACCACGACGGGCCAATTGCTCAGAATCGACGATTTGGAGCGTCGGCAGAGCATGGGTCTCCTAGAATGGAAAGCGGCGCTGCAGAGGTCTATGGTTACTCTTGAGGATCTGCTCGAGATGCTGCCTACCTCCATAGGCATCGACCTCGACGTCTTGTACCCCTCTTCCGCCGACGTCAGGGGCAATCCTGCCCTGCCCAAGATCGAAGTCAACCATTTCGTTGATGCCATCTTGCATGCAGTGTATCGAGCTGGCACCCACCAAGGAGGCACGGGCAAATCAACGACATCGCAGCAGCAAAGCAGAAAGATACTCTTTTCGAGTCGAAGTCCAACGGTCTGCACAGCTCTGAATTGGAAGCAGCCCAACTGTGAGTCATGTCGATAGGATACGGATCACCTACACATCTGATGCTGATCCCTCGCGATGATATTTTTCCTCCCAGATGCTGTATTCTTTGCTTCGTACTGCGGCTTGGCTAGGACAGCCAACGGAGACACCATCTTGGCCCCTTGTGATCGTGGCGAGCCGGATCCAAGAAGGAACAGCGTCTGCGAAGCAGTCAGGTTTGCCAAATCGAACAATCTGCTCGGCATCATGGTCGACGCCGTCATTCTTGTGAGTAGGCGCTCAGAATGGGCTCCTATTGTCATGGCTTGTGGTTGTCACTGCCATGCTATGATGCTTCCAATGTTGACACGCTCTTTTTCACATCTCATGCAACAGAATCATGTGCCAAACTTGATCCACAGCATCAAGGCTGCCGGTCTGCTGCTCATCACCATTGGTCAATTCGAAAGCGGAGTGGCAGACTCGCTGCATGCCAGCGCGGCCAGTGCCCCAATCTCCGCTTCGAGCACCTCTTCCTCCTCCTTTACTTCTGCTGCAAGCAATGCTGGACTTTCCGACGCTCCTTCGCCAGACGCGGTACCCGATGGGGCGGTCAGGGATGGTATCGTCTCTTGCTAGGTGGTGCTTAGCTTGTGCCTACCTCGACGCGCCCATCTTTTTTTCATCTCTGATCTCGAACTCATAGATATCTCTGTAATGCCTGATGATATTCGTGCACAGACCAATGCTCCACTTTGAACACGCTTTCGGAACCTCTCACTCGAGACGCTTCATTGGAAATGCTTGGTACGGCCTGCGCCAAGTAGCATTTAATTCCTTGACGAGTCTCGAGTAGTCTTCGTTTTTGGTTTTTGGGTTCAATTACAGACCTGCTGTGAGAGGAGACGAGGGAGGGAACAGCTCACAGAGCTTCTGTGGGGCGTCGTGAATTGCCAGGGGGTGACTTTGGAAAGCGAGACTGGACGGGCAATGTCGGTGGGCCGGTCGCGAAAGGGCGCGGAATGTACGACTGAAAAGGAGAGTGACAGAGACTGGGAGTACAAGATGGCTTCGAAGCTGATGGACCTGAGAATGAGAATCAAAACATATTTCTCCTGTGACATGGAATCTTTTTGGAAAGTGTGCCGAGAATGCTTGCATCGAGCAGCATTTGATCGTCCATTTGATATGCAGCCGTGCAGGACCTGCCTGCTGGGCGGGACAAACTTCGTGCCAGCATGATCTCCTCAGACGGCCAGCATAGGTCCTGCGTCGGCCAGGCGGGTCAGACCGGAATTGTTTGCAGCACCGTCAAGATGCTCTTGGGGGGCAGCGGCCTTGTTGGGTGTGGCAGCATCCCAGTCCATGTTGGAAGACGTCGAGCTGGCTGGAGAGATGAGTTGGTCAAAGTCTTCATCCCTCTCGCCCTCTGCGTCATCATCGCTCCATTTAGTGATGATGTTGCCAAAGCCATTTTCTTGCATGTGGCGCGAGCGAAGGTCCAAGCTGGATGTGCTGCTAGACAGGCTGTAAGACGGGCTGCTGGCCCCACTGCTGCTGCTATTGCTGCACGTTTCGTTGACGTCGCTTGAGGCCATACTCTCTATGCTGTTGTTGGGCGCATTAAATTGCCAAATCTCGCTGGTAGCCTCGACGTTGAGCGAGTTGTCAGCACCGCGTGTGGGTGGACGCGAAAGCGAGTAGTCGTCGGGATCCATAGCGCTACCATCAAAGTCGGCAAAGCGAGCACTGCTCGATTGGTCCAACTGCGCTGAGTCATGTGCGGTAAAGTCTAGCGGAGCTGCAAACCCTTTCCACGCCTCCGAAGCGAGATGGGAGCGGGAACGCAGCTCGATTACACCGCTCCAGATCGAGCAAATGCCAGCTGGAGGATGGATGCAACCGCCACTAAAATGAGCAGGATGTCCGAAGTCTCTGCGCAACACAGATGCATGCTCACCTAGACACTTCGACCAACGACGAACGGTCTCGCACTTCTGCTCAATGAATGCATCTGGGAAGCGTGGAGTGGTGTTGCTGGACGTACGGGCGTGACTCGATGGGCGAGGTCCACCGTCCACTCCGTGCAGACTTGCGTACACCTCGACAGCCAGCGTGGTGGCGAGATCTTGCAAACCAGCGCACACCGACTCGATGGGCGGATCTGAGATATGAGCGTCGAGAAGACGGAGAAGGTGCTGTAACGCCAGAGTGTGGACAGGCTTGATCAGTACCCGATGCGCCGTCTATCCAAATATCTGGACTCACCTCGTAAAGCAAAGTCTCGGCGGACGAGACTAGCCCGCACAGCGCTTCGTTGCCCCAGATAGCCCAGGTGGTGTCGCGGGATGCACCACGGTACTGCTGGACAGCAAGTTGCTTGAACTGGGGCAGCAAAGAGGTGGTCAGATCTTTCGCCCGCCACAAAACTTGACTACTTCAGAAAACTGAGAACTCACCATGGCAAAGTCCAGTGATTCAAAAGCCTCGAGCTGCTGCTGGTAGCTTCCCTCCAGCTGGGCCCAGGTGGTGCGAGCGAGATCGTCGAGACCGATACTGACAGTGTTGACAGCTCTTGGCCAGTCCGAGATGGCACGAACGCCGCGTCCGTTGATCTTGAGATTGTCCAGCATCTGCTCCACTTCAAGAACGCTGATGCTATTTTGACGGCTATGGGAACTGTCGCTGCTGAGGCTTGCACAGCGACTGAGGCGTGCGCATACATCATAAGCTCGAGCGCATTTTCGTGGATAGTGTGAGCCTTGCGCACTCACTCGAAGGTGCCGTCGAGAGACGACTCTTCGTCGCAGTCTGAATCTTGCGCATGCATACCCGCCTCGCTTAGGGCATACTTGTTCGTCGGGGCCGACGCGCGACGCTCAGCGTCCATCGCATCATACACAACACCGAGCATGTGCTCCTCGTGCGGCGTCAGAGCTTTCAGACCGAGATCTGAGAGGAATGGCGCAGGTTGGTCTGAGCATTAGCACAGCACGAAGCACATGTGTGTCGAGGCTAGCGAGTGAACTCACAATGCCACACGCTGCAGGCGCGCGATCCAAGACGACGGTGTTGCAGTCCTGGAAACGTCGACTTGAGGATTTTGCCAATTACGGAAACGCTGAGAGGCGCAACGATGCCATATTGGGCGCACGCGAGCTGGTACGACCGAGCAATAGCGCTACGCCGGATCGGCGCAGTGGGTGTGGCGGCGCTGGCAACATATGAGGACTCGAGCCTGATTCGGATTCAAGAGGTCGGTGATGAGCAGGACAACGTACCACTCTCACCAGCTTACACATTCCGATACTCACCATGCTCGAGCAAATTTGTGAGATGCCGTCTCGAATTGGGCGCGGCGATGAGGCTGCGAGTGGGCTTCGATGACCTCGCAGGCGAGCTGCATCAGAGTCGCGTCAGGCTTCCAGTGAGATATGCCCGAAAGCGGGGGGTTCGTGGTTGCTTCAGACTGCACCACGTTGGATGCGGAAGTAGGCTGGACATGGGTCGTGTATGCCATGTCAAAAGCGCCAGAGAGGCTGTTCGACCTGGTGACAGTGTCCGAAGGAGCCAGCCTTCGGGGCATCAAGCTGCCATCGTAAAGTGCGCAAGGCTCAGCACTGAAATTCTCGCCAAGCACAGGAGCGGCTGACGCAGTGTAGGCAGCAGGGATGGACACGGCGCGCGGCGTTCTAGCTTCGTCGTAGTAGCCTGGTGCGCTGTGAGAACGGGATCGCGGCGTGGGTACGCTGGACGTGTCGACGCCGAGCCAGCCTCCGGCACGAGCGCCTGTTGCAGCGCGCGGAATGCCCAAATCTTGGTGACTCTGAAATGCTTGAGCGTAGCTAGCAGCCGGTGCAGAGATGGTGGATCCTCGCGGAGGTGCGTTGAAATCTTCGAGGAAAGACGGGGACAAGTCGTCGAGAGACAGATTCGCACCGCTCTGCAACCATTTGTTGGTCGGTGGTTGAGGTTGCGCTTGGACTTCGCGACCGTAGTCTTTGGGCGAAGCGACGATGATGTTGGTACTGGGAATGGTGGGCGCCAGAAAAGAAGCTGGATCGGGAACAAAGGAAAGCATGGAAGGTGGTCGCTTTCTGGTGATACGGCGAGTAGGATCGCCCCGGCCGGACAGCAGCGGCTCTCCACATGAACCTAGACGCGGCGAGCCCAGCTCGGATTGCATCTTGGCGTTGATCGAGGTGGACGATGAGAAAGAGCGGGAAATCAGGATGGACGACACGCGGCAAACGACGTTGTGGCCTTGGCGGATCAGACGAGGAGACGACTGTCGAGCAGTGCAGATGTACCTGACGGCGGTGCCAGCGTGCAGAGAGTGTCGAGAAATTCTGCGATTGGAGCAAGCTGAGAAAGCTGAGAAAGAGTGTGTGTTTGCTGTGGATGATGCGTATATGTAGCTGGATAGCAGAGTGACTTTGATGTTGCAAAATGCCACAGCGTCGGATCACGACGCCGCTCCTTTGTAGAAGGTCTACGAGTCGAGTGAAAGAGTCGAAGCCGTGGAACAACGTTCGGGAAAGATGCTTGGGAGGGGTCTGTGTCGCACCGACTTGCTCGCAGAAGGCGTAAGTCGTATACCGGTACTGACTGTGATACCTGGCAAGGGTGTGGCGGGCGAGGATGAAGAGGTGGGAGTGGCGACCTGCTTTGTGGTGGCGAGCTGAAGAGAAGCGAGCGGTTCGTGGAATCAGGCTGAAATGATCCGGTACGCGCAATTGGCCAGAGGTCAAGTCAGTTTGAGTGGCACAGTATACTATAGAGCGGCCGGCGAGTTGTTGAAGGCGGGGGCACGGCCCTCGACGAGGTACCGCAAACTGCGTGGGACTTCTTGCCGGTCTTTGCGTCATTCCGCAAGAGCCGCTCAATTCACGACTCTTCGAGCTGCTGTGCTGCCGGTTGCTGCTGTTCGTCAGCCTGCCTTCTGATCAATCACGAAGCTTCGAAGCGAGTCAAATAAGTCGGCCTAGGCGCAGCCGCAAGACGAATCAATCCAGAGACTCACGGCTGCATGGCCTACGACTAATCGAATTGTGATTCTGACTCACGATTGAGGGTGAGCCCAGAAGTGCATCCGCGGTTTGTGATTTTGTGATTGACGACCCATGAGCCCCGACATCACAGACCAGATGCCCGCCATCCCCAGTCGTGAACCGTAAAATGTTGTGAATGCTGTGTGGCCAGAAACAACGCCGCCGCAATCACAGCTGGGCAGCACACGAAATCAGAATCACAATTGTGGTAAAGGACGCGTCGAGCATGCAGCAGCCATCGGTAGCAGCGAGCGCAGCGGCTCGGCTGCTTGGCTCACGTACCTCCTGCTGCTTATTGCTGCTGCCTGATGGCCTCGAGCTTGCTTCTACCCCTGATACTCACGACTTGCATGGTTTTGGCGGGCAAAACGCAAGGCTGCAAGGCGCAACGTACAGTTGAGTGGGGCTGAAGATAGAGATTCCTTCGTCGTCCCTTGCGGCGAATCCAAAGTAGTACGCGAGCGAAGTGCCGCACTCACGCGACGGTGATTCATCAAGGGATAAGGTGTGACTTGTCCATGCTGCTCTGCTGCTGTTTTTGAGTCTGCAACTCGTCAATCGCAGGCCCATTCTCAGAGCCCTATAGAGTCACATCAGTCACACCCTGATGATTGAAATGTCTTTGGCTGGCTGATGGCGCGTATTTTGGCTGACTGATGGCGCTCTATAGGCGAAGTGAGGAAGGGATCGCGCACCGAGCCGCCACTCGGGCCGCCTCGACGGAACAGAACGGAACAGAAGACCGGTCCGTCGTCATCGCGGCGTCCTCTTCATTTCGCGACATCTGCCGTTTATCGTGTGTCGAGACGCTCGACACCGTTCGCTAAGACCGTGAGTGGCTACGCAAGTGTTGTAGAAGGCTCACAGCCATCGCATTTCGAACGCGGGAGCGGCGGGGGGGCAGCGCGGTACCGGCCGGAGCTATGCAGGTATACACCGCGTAGGCGAGGTATACGCGGTAAGAAAGTCCGGAAGTGATTGATATAGATTCAGGGGTATTATGACTGTACCCCCAATCGAGCCCACTCGTCCAGAGCCTCTCTATCAGCTCGCTTTCGCACTCGATCAAGCTGCCCCGATCTGGGCAGGAGAAGGACTTCTCGGAGCTTCATTCACATCGCCCACAATAAGATTGTACTCACGAAGCTTGACGACGGCGCGAGGCCAGGCACGGGAGGGGTCGGTATGTGCTCGCTGATGTCTATGACGTTAGCGTTCCATCCGAAGATTCCCGCCGCTCGATTCATGATCGCAAAAGCGGGCTCCGGCATCACCACGGGAAATGGCGAATGTGGCAGAAACTGTCATTTTTTGACCGCTGATGTAAGAATCGCACCACTCACAGCCAAGCCTTGCCATTCTGACTACTACATTTCAAGTATTCTGCCGCAAAATGTCAACGCTTGGCAAGTTGTATCGGCAGGTATAGCGATTCGGATGGAGAAAATTGATTCTTGGCCAAGCTGCCCGAGTTTGACTGCCGAACTGGCCACAAAGTCCATGTAAGCCGGGCCTACAGCTGTGGTACAGCACTCAGGCACCGCACAAGCTTGCAATGCCGTCGCAGTGGAAAGCCGAATTCAGCAACCCGCAGCTTTTTGTTGTGGGTGCTAGCCACGACAGGTGAGGTGAGTTCCAGAGTGAGGCAGCGCCTCATTTTGCCTCGGCGGCAGGAGAACAGCCATCCTCTGCCCAACGAGCAGCCGGACGCCGGGGGTCGAAACCAATCGTGAATGAGAACGAGGTAGCCCATAACGTCCCGCGCAGCTACAGCACCCGCAGTAGCCCGAAAGGGAGTGGCGACTGATACGAGTGTCATCAGTATGATCAGTCACAGTGCGCGCCCAAGAGGGCGCCCGAAACTTTGCACAACGGTCGGCATTCGTTTGGCAATTCAAGGTCAAGATGGTCAAGATGAGTGGAAGACTCACGACTGGAAGACGCCTCTGCGCTTCTTGTATGATTTGGTGCAGGAGCGGAGCAAGGCGAGAAGGCTGCGTGGAGCTTATTGCCCTCGACTGATGATGGACGAGCTTCATTCAAGCCTCAGCCACAATTGTTGCGGCACCGCTCAAGCTGCAGGGCATCACGCAACCGCGGAACCGCTGCGAGCTTTGCGCGCTTGCATGCAGGGGCAAGTCCCGCGTGCGCGCGGGGGGGTTGCGCGCTAAAATCGAACACGGGAGTTCAAAGGCGGGCCGTGCGCGAAATCGTGTGGCTTGAGCTAAAACCTCCGCATAATATAGGCCTCGCTGTCGTTTGCTCCAGCTGCGAACCGGACTCTCCGACAGCTAACAAGGGGGAAGCGACATTTCTTTCATGGCAGCTTGCTCACTCTCTCTGACTCTTCCTCAGTCCAGCAAAGAAATACCATTTTTTTAAGTCGCAAGAGCGGCCTCCAAGAGGTCATCTCAGACTCGCGGAGGGCTCGAGCGGGCACGCTGGCCGTCCAAGATGAATTACAAAAGCATCTCTTTTCACCACAAAGATATCCTTTGCATGACAGCTCGCTCCGCTCGTTGGAACGCCAATTTGAAGGTGACGACAGGTTCACGCTTCGAACACCTCTCTGTCTGCGTTAGGCCCATTCAGCGCCACAATTTTGACTTGGTCTCCTAGGTCGGCATTCATACAGGCAGCTTGCGCCAGAGCTAAAAGGTTTGACCGCTCGAAAGGCGCTGTGCTTCTCAATCATCACTCGAGCGTGCTCTGACTAGGCACTATAGCACGCCACTGACGAGGCGAAACGCGATGTTACGTGGTCAGCATCTATACTGCCCGACCAGCGTGCATCACGATGCCCCTCGTATCTCAACGAACGCACTTGACTCAAGGTTGTTGATGTGTTGCCACTGCGATTTCACTGCTTCCGCCTTGGCGTCGCATCGATTGGCTCCCGTCCGAAAGACGATTGCGGCGATGGCGTCACTCGTGCCGAGCTGGTGATGCACAATCACTCAGATGCCCAAAGGCCCGCTACTGTCCATGCTCAACATGGTTGTGTTACTGCCTCCTGGGACGGTATCGTTGGTCACTGAATCTCAGTGACCCGGCGAGCTTCGATGCGGAAGTCGGACCCCAAGTACGAAACGAGATTGCCGGACTCCGGTGCGACGGAGAGCATCCATCACCAACATGACACCAGTGTCCGAGTTGAAACATATTGATGCACAGTCGGCACCACTACTGAAGCTGACAATCCCATCTCAATTTGTCGCTCAGGCACCACTCGACCCGACAGACACGATGCACAGCCTCGAGCTCCGGCAATCAGAAGAGAGAGGATACAGCATCACAGCATCCAATACCTGTGCATTCCAATTGCAGCGACAAGTCGCTCGTGCCTGCCTTGCTCTACTTGTCCCCAAATTTGGAGCTTCCAGAGATGCCCGATTGCACATTTGCTCTAGTCTCGTTGGCCATGGGGTGGGCATGAGGAGCATGGGCAGGCAAGTCGATATCGTGAGAATGTACCGGAATTTGAACCTCATCGCCGCCTCTGCCAGCAGTGTTGAGCTCCGGGTCGTTGGCTTCAGGGTTGGGCATAGTATGCTCGTGACCCTTTGCGTCGGCTTTGGTGTTAGCGAGACTGAATTCGCTAGGAAGTGTTTTGCCTAGCTCAGCTGCTGTTGTCTCCTGCTCGGGTCTTCTGGACGCTGCAGCGCCAACCCCTCGGCCAGCTTGGGACTGTAGTCGATACAGCGACAAAGAACTATTAGCGCAAATCCCAAGAAACCGCTGAATTCAGATCGTAGACTCACCGGGTTGTCAGAGCGGGTGCCTTCGGACCCTCCGCCCGCGGTTCCAAGACCGCTAATCTTCTCGCCTGGACGAGGGTCGTCGGCAATGCTCAAATGCGTCAGCGCATCCTCTATGCGTTTCACTAGCACGGCATAAGTCTGAACTCACCTTGTGCTAATGAAGACATGGTGGGAACTGACGATAGCTTGGTGGCGACGTCGAGTTGAGTGGCGTTGAGGGGTATGTGGGGATGAGAAATGGATACAGGCTGTCTGACTTTTGAGCTTATCAGAAGATCTTTCGAGCCTTCTTCCAGTCACAGTTGTGTCTGGCGAGCCCTGCGGATTGCTGGACTTTGCCCAGATCAGCTCTGCCAGGTGAGAGGGGCGATCTCAAGCGAGGAGGCCTTCTGACATCAATTGGCTTCCATGCTGCCATATCAAGCCCCGCGATCTCGCTGGTACGGCGCCGTCCAAGTCAAGCGCAATTACGAGTGCGAGGACGCAACAGCGTGTGCTCAGCGAAAACGCCTTCTGATCGAGAATGTGAGGGGCGAGATCGTCATCAGGGTCCACTTCTCCACAAGTGAGGGTCGACTTATGCGCGCTTAGTGGATTTCGACGTTTGGATGTGGGTGGGAGGTCGATCGCTTATTGCTGCACGCGTCAATCGTGGGCGGCGCGTCTGATGACTTTAGCGTCCGGTGCGGCAGGGCATAGCCAAGAGGCACCAGCAGCATCCACGCTTTGATCGAAGACATTTGTGATTCGGTGCTGTGATCAGAAGCTTCTTTGGCGAGAAGCCGACTTGCATTGAGAGAGCAATGATCGGCCGATGCCCTTTCGTCTTGAGACAGCGAGCTGGTGCAGCAGCTGGTCATATAGAAACAACCATGCATGATGCGCCTCTTGTCTCGTGACACTCGCTCACAAATCTTGCACGGGCGGGGAATGAGACCTTGAGTCGAGCAGGACCACACATCCTTTACAGCAAGGTGTTCGTACGATCTCTGTTCGACTCCTTACCACGATTGTCGAAAATCGTGTGATGCTACGCAAAGGAACGCGAGCTCCCTCAAAACCTCGTTCCGCCTCTCCTATCATTAGCGGATATCAACGTTGATGTGCTCTCTGCACAGGACTCCCAACTCACTTTTTTGGTGCCCATCCGGAAGGCCTACGCATTTGTATGGCGCCGTTACCCGCGCTTCAAGCCTCCCGACTCAATCTGGCACGAACTGAGACAGCTTCAAGCAATCGCAGATAGTGAAGCTATCCGGCGTGGGTGACTGTCAGGGTTCCCATCGCCGACCCGTCATCAGTCTGCTCAGCCAGGGAGCAAAATCAGTAGCGAAGCGTGCTTGGCTGGACGCCCTTTCTGACCATGCAAGCGTCTCGCATAGCGAAATCGTTAAAGTTCCTTCTTCCGGTGTCTAGCTGCTCGCGTGATCGTGAAGAGAGCGATGGTCTTGTAGGCCTAGTGAGTGAACAACGTGTGCGGAATGGAGCGGCGGTCAGAATGGATGGATGCACCACCGTTGCATGCTGAGCCAGCTACATGGCCAGCTGCAGGGCCACATGCATAGATTTCAATGATCCTCATGCAGGGACATGTGCAGAGTGCAGCAGCAGGGGGGTTGCGCTTTCAGTCACGTCAGCTGAAGAGAAAGAGTCACGGTCCAATCATGGAATGCCAAAGAGGCAGAAGAAGAGTGGAGCTGAAGATTTTGTTCAGTGTGGAAGGACGCTTACCGCTCGGTTGGTCTGCAGTAGATGCGCCGGGAGTTTGCAGCTCGCCCATTCCTCGGTGCGCGCGGCCGCACTGGGCCATGCTGCATGCTGCTGCTGGATTGGTGTGTTGGGGATCGCTAGGGCTGCTGTTGACTGTGACTCGCGACTGTGTGAGATTGGGCGCTCGCCGTTTCTGAGTGGCTGCTGCCATTGCGTACGTCTGACCTGCATGTATGCTGCTTCGGTGCCTGGAAAATTTGTCCAGAGGTTGAGACTTGAGAGCGTGCCCTCAACGCGACACAATTTTGCCTACAGATAGAGGTGGTGAGTGGTACGCGCCTCGCGAGGCTGCTGGCTGGCGATTGGCTGCTCCGGCGTCGTGTGAAGGGCGGCAACCAGCCTTTGGGCGTCTGGGATGCAATCACAATAATGTGTGCACTCCGAACCTTCATCCCTTTTGACACAGAACATAAAAGCCAACAAGCATCCTACCTAGAGCCTTACCCTCGCCACCACACAATCAGTCTGAAGTCACGCGAGGAGAATGGTCAGCGGACCTGTAGCTGTGCGCAAGATTCGCGGCTTTGCTGCCTGGCTGCCACAGGCATAATAGAATCGCGAACCGAGCGACTCCATGGACGTCTGCAAAGCATCCACTAGTCATTAAGGCCTCGGCATGGAGCCGCTCACTTTCGAAAAACGGCCTTTGGCTGGTGCAAAGTCTCCATCGTCGCCGATCTCGCAGCTGCCAACCACGTCTACAGAGGGCGCCCCTAAGCGGCATTTGGGCGGGGAAGTGCGCAGATCATCGTTCCGCTCTGCCGAAGAGAACGAAGAGAAACATGCGGCTGTCGCGTCCCCTGTCAAGAAGAGTCTACTGTCAGCAGCTCTTCTTGCGGGTCCTCCATCAACGCAGCAGAGGCGGGCAAGTGGGTGCGGGATTCTGAAGCGTGCCGAGCACTTCGGCGACGAGCCACAGAAACAGTCCAGCCCTGCATGCACTGCAGGTACGCAAGATGCGGCCGCTCACTCACGGTAAGCGTTCTTTTGGAGGGGAGCGGGAGCAGGAGCGGGAGCATGAGCATGCGCCATGATGCGCTGACCTTCGATGTGTTGATATCACAGACACCCTTCACGCGCCCACTTTGTGGAACCTATGAAACCGGCGCGTGATGGCATCCGCCAAACTTCGCTGTTGTCGCCTGGTGTACAGGATGGCTTGATGGTCAACAATCAGCGTGTATTGCCTGCACTTCCAGCTCGCTCTGAGGACTCTTCCGGACCTAGTAATGGCTGTAAGCAGGCCGAAGCTTCGACAACAGCAGGAACGCCTCTGCTTGCGATGCAGCCGGCAGTCCAGATCGAAGGTCGACAGCGCTCACTCGTCTTTTGTGATGCTCCATCTGAGGCTAAAGAGCGTGCAGCACCGCGAGCGGCAGCCGTCGCTTCCAGGCGCACCAGCGTAAATAAGCTGATGTCTCCCCCGGCTGCAATCGAAGCTGAAACCAGCAGTGATGATGCTAGGGTACAGGCTTCGGCATTGACAGGTTCCGACACGGGTGACAGCGAAGACTTGGGTAGTAGCGTGGAGGAGGGTCATGCTACTGCTCGTTCACACTATTCTACGGGGCTCACGAGTCAGCCGGCCAGCGGCGCCGAAGCAGAGACCATTGACCGCATACATGCAGTCCAGAAACAGCGGCATCCCTGTGATACTTCGGACAATGAGCTTTTGCCCGCGCATTCGTTGCGCGCTCCCGCTGGCTCTGCGACTGCGGACACCCGTGGCATCCGTTCGGATCACACACAACCTGGACCGCATGGACCGCACAGCACGTCTCCGTCGCTGCGCTTCTGCGGAGCGGTAGCAGCAGCCGCTGCGCGTCAGCGCACCCTGAAGTTTGCTTCTTCTCCTCGCGAAGTGGCTGAGCGTCATCGTCCTCATCGACTTGCGCCTTCCATCCCGGCGGCTAGTAGCAGAGGCGGCCTACTACTCAGCCCGCGATCACGCCCCTCCAAAATTAGCAAAGTCAGAAGCCCCTCCACGGACGAGGACGAAGCACCCTACGTGGACGTCATCCACGCCGCTGCAAATCAGCGCAAGCCTGTCGTCAGGGTGTTGGAGCCTGTTTGTCAGCAACCCACCCGAGGCGAGCGGGAAGCACACACGCGTGGCCGCCCTCGAGTATCGACGACAGAAGAGAAGCTGTCCTCGCTGGCTTCGCTCACAAAGCGCAGGGTATCTCGAGGAAGTCCTGCCCCTTCTGCACTCACCTACCAGGAAAAGGCAAAGGCTCTGAGAGGACCCCACGCGATGGGTGCTGGATCCCCCGCGCCTGGTCGCCGCCAGAGTCATGATGACTCAATAAGCTCGGGTGCGGAGCTGGCAGCGTCTGAGGAAGAGCGAAACTTATCGGCGTCCGAGGAGGAAGAGGCCGAGTATGACGAGGATTCCGACGATCTATATTCCGACGATGATGAAGAAGGCAGACAAGACGACGAGAGGGTCAGTGTACGAGAAGGGTTTGCGGCTGTCACTGATGGTAGAGACGGCCAGCGGCTTGCTCATCGATCATATGACGACGCACAGCTGGAGGACTCTCTCCCTTTGAGCCCCGAATTTGATGTAGAGACCAAATCTCTGCATTCAAACACCGATCGCTCGCACCAGCTCGGCTATACGTCCTCGAACCATTCTGGAGTGAGCAGGCCAGAATCACCGGCCAACGCGATCTCAGCTGCAGACACACCCGCATTACATTTGGCAAGAATACCAAGGTCTTATCCTATCAGCCCGCGGCGCTCGGTCTCCTCGGCAGGCCCGTCGCCGACGATCGCTTCTACATCGTTTGGTCAAGCTGCTATCCAGTCTCTTGAAGAGTTCGCTCCTCTTCAGGCAGTTCAAAACGCTGTTGTGGAGAGGACATCAGGTGTCGAAGAAGAGCACTTGCCACCGCACGCGCCACGCGTCGCTTCACCTCACGTGCTTCACTTTGGTCAGTTGCCTCCGCATCGCTCGCTTCTCAGTGGCGGTCGTGCCTCTTCATCACACAAACTTCCGGTTGGATCTCAACAGCGAAGCTTGAGCACCGGTACCATGACTCGACGTGGAGTGCTTGTGGCTTCTGTATTGTCGCAAAGCCCAGAGCTCGCGCTACGCAGCCTGGACGCGGACGCTGTACTACCTCTGCTGGCGTTCCGACCAGAAGTATCAGCGCTGAGCGTCAATGGAGAGCGCTTGGGTAATGCTTGGCATCGACTTCGCCATTGTCTCGACGCAGAGGGGTCCGTCTCGGATGGAGACCTGCAGCGCAGGTCCAGGATGTCGCCATCCAGCGCCGCTTCTAAATTGTATGCGCTTGCTTCGCGCGCGACAAGCCCTTTTGCGGGACACCGAGACCAGACGAGCTCGAGAATTTCTTCTACTTCCCACTTTGCTGTGTCGCATGATGCAGCACATTCGTCAGCTGCCCTTACAGGCGCGGCCAAGGACGTCGACTTGCCGACACACGCAGCTTTCGCAGCCTCTTCCCCGCCTTCCTGCGATTTCGCGCCGCCAGAGGTCATGTCAGCCCCATGCTCTCCACAAAGACGAGCGACTGCATCGCTGCATCTGGCGCTTGAGACCGCTCCCCAAAGTGCAGCGACACAAGCAGTGGGCAGCGGCGCGACTAGGTCTGTTCGCGCGCTGCAGCGCACCATGACCGACGTGCACCAACCACACCTTCGTCATCGCTCCTTTGGAGAGAAACTGCTCGAGACCATCCGACACGTCAAGGACGCTGCGACAGGTTCTGGCAGTCCCGCGGTGGTGTCGACGTCTCCACTCGGCTTCGCACACCGCCATAACGCGAGTGAGGCAGAATCGACACCGAAAGATGCAGACCACCATCATGTTAGCCACCGGTTAGCTTCACCTCCACCTTTTGCGCTGCCCCCTCCTCTACAAGACGCTCATGCGTTGCGCGACATTCCATCACGATCAAATGCGCTACCATCACCTGCGCACAGGAAGCAGACGCCCGTTCAGATTTCGAAACCTTTGCCTAGCGCTCAGGCTAGAGACGACGCACAGATCGTGGGCAAAAGACACGGCGAGCATCCTAGAAGAGCTGAGCATCGCAAGGCGGAAGCGCGCTCTCGTCGATGCTCCAGCAGCGGCGGTCGTGCGCCTCGCGAAGATGCAGCCGTTGCGATACCTGATAGGCACAAGGTGCCGTCTTCTCCTCCTCCTTTCCCGTCCTCCGCTCACGCCCAAGAGCCTCTTGCGCAAAAGTCAAATGCACGTAATCGCTCGACGGGGACACGTCGGCGAAGAACAGCAGATGCTGAGCTGGAGTTCGGCTGGGGCACATGCAAGCTTGGTCAGGCTGGGGTCTCAGACACAGTGCACGGCGCCTGAGCAAAGTCGACAAAGGCAAAGTTTCGTGAAGGTGCCAAAGCATGCATCTCGTTATTTCAAGTGATTGACACGCTACAAGAGCAGGCTCCTCTGCATCATACCCTACGGGATGAGTCCCTCTTTTAATTGTATTGGTACGGCAACCGCAATAGCACAAATTTGAGTCCAAGTCAACCCTCTATGGCTGCATGCTCTCGATTTGAGACTGCTCTTTGCTCTTGTGTTGACCGCTTCGAGTGGATTGATTGCTGCCTCTGATGCGCGGCGCTTGTCATTGTTCTAAAGACGCTCGATCTACGTCATCTTACAAGTCAGTGCTCGACGATTGTCCTTTGACGGCGACGAGCGCAAAAGGGAGTCTCGGGAGGAATCTTTCTCTGGTCTGGAAAGGAGCGGAACAGGGAGTCTCGCGAAGAATCTCTGTCTTTGTCTGGAAACGAGCTGAAAGGGGCGTTTCGTGTGAGAAATCTTCGTCTTTGTCTACGGGACTTGCCAGGAAAAGGTGCCTGTCAGAGTACGATTGTGTGGAAGAAGTGGGTGGGAGGTGACGGCGAAGTACACGTACGTGGGTTTTGTTACCACACGACCTCCTTGGATTCAATAGCAGAGTGCAGAGCCCGCGTGAAAATGACTCTGATCTTCCAGGCGCGGACGGCTAGAAGAGAGTGCATACTCGATTTGAGCGCACACTACAAGAAGCGCCTCCTCTAGTCTTCGCCGAGGCTTGACAAGGATGAGCTCTCGTAAGGGTCACCTTTGACTTTAGCCCTTTTCGATGCACGCTTTGCCCGGCTCTTGGCGCTGCTTTCCGGTCGAAGTTGGATATTCGTTGAGGACTCATCCGCATCTGCATCGGACTCCGATTGCTCATACTTGCGCTTGGGCAGAGACGCACGGGATCCACGGCGCGCTTTGGGCGATTTGCACTGAGGCGGAAGCTCAAGCGAGCTGTCGGAAGTGGCCTCGCTCTCACTTGAAAGAAGATTGTCAAAATTTGGGTCGTCGTCTTCGTCTGAGAGGTCCCGTGGAAGTACATAGCCCATGCTGTAGCGAGTTTTGGGACAGCGACCTGTGCGGGTGTGTCGCTCCTTGCTACTCAGGATGGAGCTCACCATCTCAGGCAAGTCGCGTAGCTTTGCTTCGACGGCAGCTTGCTCTTCCAGGTCAGCCCATAAATCAGCAAGCTCGGCCAGTATTTGTGTCTTGCTGGGCGATTGCATCTTTTTGGCTGCAACGAGCGCCTTTTTGTAGCGTTTGATACGTTGGACACCTCTTAACAGGACTATCTGGGCTTTGGTCTTGAAGGGTTCTGGTCTCTTGCGGGGGCTGATCCAACGGGGTTCATCAGTGCTTCCATTTGGCGCGCCGATGGAAAGAAGTATTTTTACACGATGGTTCTCCAGCTTGAGCAGCGCGTCTAGATGCCTTATCCACAGTTCCAAGCCTTTGAGCAGCTCTGTGCTCTTTGATCTGGGAATGCGAATGGGCTTGAATCAAAGGCAAGAATGTTTTGTCAGGATCTGTTTGACGACCTCGCCCTGCTGACATATCACACACACTGACTTTATTCTCGAACCAACCAAAGTAGAACTGACTGGTGTCGCTTGTGCTAGAATTGAAGCTGCTTGAAGTAGCTGGGTCAGACGCGACGCTCTGGGCTGATGCCTCGAAAGATGACAGCGGTGACTCCCGATCGGCTAAAGAATCGAAGCCGTCAGACAGCTGCTCGTAATTTTCTTTTGACTCATGAGCAGCGTCTTGCTGGGGAAGAGAGGTCGGCGATGGTTTGATGATGTGCGGTCGCTGAATTCCGGAGGGCTCGGTGCATGCCCGCTTGATGATGATGGTCTGGTACGTGCCGCTGACCTCGATATCGATCTGCGTCTCCTCATTCTGACTGCTGAAGGCAAGAGCGGCAATCTGGTCGCGAATGTCGTTACTGATGTACGCATGGACCTAAGTCACTGAATTTTCTTTGGTCAGCATGCATCTTTCGTCAACTCACGAAATATCGGTCGCCGCTTCTGCGCGGTTGAGAAGCTCGGTGTCAGGAGCGTTAATCGATGCGTGCCAGTCCACCTTGAAGGGGCAGCCTTCGATGATTTGATTGAAGAGTACTGCTGGGACCGCTGCACTCTGCAGCATGACTAATTTAAAGTGCTGAAGTGTTACTGGCAAACCGTTGTCGAGCAGCTTTGTTACTGGTCGTCCCTCAAAGCCATTGCAAACGAGTGAATGCTGCGCGAGGACATCAGCTTCAAGGAGAAACATACGTTGAAAGTCAGAGCGAGATATGTGTTGTCGAACTTTCCAACTTACCTTCCAGACTCGTCGGATCAAAGAAATCGCATATGGCAGCGCCGATGGATTGTATTACCGAAGGCGCCGCTGCGAAGAGAGGCAGATTGGCCTCCACGACACCTTCGCACGTCGCGTAATCCTCACTGCGCCGTGCGAAGTAGTCGCGACGGGCGGCTCTCTCCTGCACGTTCAAGTATTGGATTGGTGACGCGTTCGCAGCGGCACGCAGCTCGGAAAGAGGTGGAGTTCCATATGGCCCGATGTCGATTCTGCGATCTGGAACCGTCGCACACCTTCGCAATGCATAAAGGGCCTGCCAACGTGGATCTTCTACAGATGTCTCAGGATGCTCGAGCCATCCTGCGCAGTCGTCACTCCGAAGGTGCCCTGAGTGACAGTCGATACAGATCTTCGTTGCGCCCCGCACGAGTGTCGCCAGCTTACGAGCTGACTTTACCTCGCGTGCTGAGGACAGGGTCAAGTTTTCTACATCGCCAGCGTAGGCGATTCGCTCAGTGATAAAGACGTCTTCGCCTGCTGAGGACACCTGTAAGCTTTCGACATCGCCGAAGTAAGAGCTTCGCTCAAAAGGGATGACATCTTCGTCTGCTGAAGAGAGACCTTGCACCAGAGGCCAATGATGACCATACAGGTCCGGCTCCCCACTGCTTCTCTTCATCCGAAAGAAAAGATCGTTCTCAAGCGCGAGGTATGAACTTTGTCCCCGTTGATACTGAGTTGCCGTGTGAGTTGGTGTTTCCACCCCGGGCTCCCATCGCATGTTCAGTCTCCATATTTGCGGAGCTACCTGGGCGTCGCTCAGACCTAGCAACGAGGCGTCAGGGTGAACGCTGCTCGAGCGCCGTACAGTCTTCCACGCACCGGCTCCTCGAATGACCATGCTCAATGCACTGTAACAGTCCATTCGACATGCCTCAACGCGGTTCGAGGAATCGCAGAGGTTCCTGAGGTAGATCACCATGAGCACGAGGAGTCTTTGCGGTCGCAGAAGTACCTCGCAGTGACTCACCTGAGCAGAGCTCCCTTCATAGTCGGCCAGTATACAGGGATTAGCAATTCACCGCCGACGCTCTTGAATGATTTAGCGCACCTTGTGGGGTTGGCGAACCAAAAGAGGAAGTACTTCACAGATCAACTTGCGACCATAAGGCTTGCCGAGCTTCGAGTAGGCATACTGAGCTGGCAGTGGGCTGCGTTGAAAGTTGCCGAGCAGTATCAAACGTAATGTGTCTATTCTGACTAGAGTGCTCCAAGCTGGTGGAAGTAAGTTGCGTTTGCTGCTACCAATTCGCGCAACATACCTTCGCGTCTTCCGAGCTTCTCTTGAACCCACGCGAGTGAGCGGTCGTCCTGCTGCGCTTGCCAGAACGTGGTCATAGCTATTTCGTGGGTCCCATCAATCGTCTCAAACTCTAGCTCCAGGTGCCGATACAGGTGGCCTAGAGTCACGTCTTCAGGTCGCGTTGCAAACTTCGCCATCATCTCCCGCAACACTTCGCTTAGGCTGAAGTGCAAGCTGGCCCGATCTTCCAGCATCAACAGAGTTGCGTAAGAAAGCATCTCGCGACCCGACACATCGATGTCCTTCAGAATTGGCGCAGGGTACTCCTTCAACAGTGGTAGACGCAGGCTGCAAATGATGGTCGCTGCACAAGCGCGCGACAGCACCGCACGCCCTTGGCGCTGAAGAGCCTACCGATGAAAGCGCGAGATTAGTGACGCGTCAGTCTTCGAGTGCAAGTCAGAAGATGCGGTCGAGCCACGCACTTCTATCTCCAACACTGGATTAGTCACTGTATCGAAAGGTTCGACGCCACTCAAGACCTTGTTGCAGATCCAGTCGCCCAGACGGGTCATGAGCTTTCGTCATGGCGGTGAGTCATCGTAGACGAAGATGCATCAGATGGTGGCACAGCTCAGGAAGCAGCAGATGTCTTCTTACATGTGGCCTGAACCCGCGCTGCCGTGCTAAGTGCAGCGCAAGGGCAGGGCGTCCTAGAAGTGTGACGTATGCGAGCCAATGTCCCTGAGGCGGAGTTCCGTATTTTCCCATAGTCTTTACCAGCCCAGCCCGAACGGCCATGTTTCCGCAAGCAGGCAGGGGCATAAACTTGGTGGGGCGGTCTGCTGCGTCAACGATGTGAAGCCGAGATTTGAGCGATGCGAAAGCGTGACCCACATTGTAGTCTTCGAAGAGGTCTTTGAGATCGGCCAACGACTTGGCGGATTGGGCGTAGAGAGCGCCTGTTTGCCAAAGACCAAGAAGCGATTCAGCGATAGGCGATGAAGCTCGTCAGAGGCTTCTTTGCGCTCACCACAGAAGATGTCGTTATCGCGTGTCTTTAAGTTGACGTTGCTACCATATAGTCTGTAACCTTCGTTCAAGACCGCATATACTGCCGGAGTGGACAATTTGGTTCCCCAATGCAGGTTCACGCCGCATTGTTCACTTTTCCAATCGTGCTCGATATGACACACCGACCGGTATGCCACCTCCTGTACGAGAGCGCGCGACAGCTTCGCACCTCTGTTGAGGAGCGTTCGCAATAGCCAGGCATCAAAGAGTCGTGGTCGGCAGATGCCTTCGTAAATGACCTCGTACGCTTCGTAGCGACTGAGCAGCCACTGTGCTCGCAGATCCACCAAACGGCTAAGACTATACAGTCTTTGGCAAGTCTTGACCAAGGAGCGTGGGTCTTCCACCTCGCACCAGATCTAGAGGAGGAAGCAACAGATGTGAGTCGAAGGCGGGAACTGCGATCGTGAGGGACGAGTCGACGCACCTGAAATAGGATGTCATCTGGCATTGCTGGTAAGGTGGGCCCAACATCGCCATGTGTAAGATAGAGATCGCCTGGAAGTCCAACTTTACCGATGTCGACTGGTGTCAATCCGTTTACGGAAAGGCCGAATGCCTTCGCAGCCTCCAAGTCCCTTGTCGTCGGCCCCGGACCGGTAGGTGCAGGTGGTTCGGCCATACTTGGAGGTGCTAGGCAGGGCTAGAAGACGCAGTGATAGATTTCTGGAAGGGTTCTGAGTCTGAGCAGGGGCGTTTGCCCAATCTCACCTCTCGCTCTTCTAGGCAAGCGCAGCTTCGCTTTGTCCTTGCTTCGCCGCATACATTCTCCACGAGTCCGAGATTGGTGATGAGCTGTTTGTGGTGCTGTGGTGTCTGAACTCATTAGCGCAAGGCACGCACGGGAATCATGAATCGTAGTCGCATTCAGGAGGTCTGACCTCAGGCGCATCAGCTAGAGTCCTTCCAGCCCCACTTCTGTCGATTGCGGGTCATCGCCCCCCGCGCAGCTCATGTTCTGAGCTGTTGCTTGTGCCTACCAACAGGTACACGACCGCCACATCGTGAGGGTGATCGGAGAAGCCTTGGGCAGCAGCTACCTCACGCTCACAGCACGCCCGCGCGCGTCTATCCATCCACAGCATGTGCCGCGGCGCTGATCGCGTGCGCGCGCGTGCGCGTAAATTGAATCAGTCACCAGTGCAATTCACGCTTTTACGCTATATATAGGTACGACTGTCGTGACTTCTTGATGAGTCTCGACGCGATCACAGCGAAGGCGAATGCGCAGGCTCAACGCTCAGGATTCTTCGATTTGTAAGTCTCATGGTGACAGTGCCCACTTTGGCTCGGTGCAGAAGGGGGGGCTCGATCATGGTCTATGCAGGTTCAACGCTCTGTACATTCAAGATTTGATGCGACTTACACCTTTGAGTGTGAGTCACATGACGATTTAGTGCGAGTCACATGACGATTTTGAATTGCATGGCAAGCTACATCATCTGTGGCGGTGGGTTGAGACAGATGCCTCACGCGCGAGCAACCCATCACTCTCACGCACGCATGCAGTCGTCAGTCTTCGGTCTGTCCCACGCTCCGATCAACTCGGCTGCGCACCGTTCGCACCGAGGTTCTGTCCTGCGTGATTCGCGGACTCTTCAAGTCAGAATTGCCTGCCAACAAAGCCATTCCGCTTCCGCTACCCCTCCGTCTGTAACCTTGCTAGCCGACCAACAGCACGTCGGCCACTGGAAAGTGACTATTGCGGTTCTCGAGCAAACGAAACCATCATGTCTTCAGAGAAGGTTGACACGGCGCCTCTTCTGCCCTCGGCTAATTGGTCGAGCCAGCACGCCGAGACGCAAGAGAACGATGCGCCACTGCACTCCGAGTACTTTCAACGAGCCGCCAAGTCTTCAGCCAAATCGAGGTTGACAGTATTTCTGGCTATCCTTTGCTCAATTCTAGTCCTGACTCAAGGTGGCTTCGCCTCGTGGCTCTCGCACAACGTCTCCATTCCCGACGACCTGCGCTTCCTACGATGGAGGCCTGGCTGCAATCATCACTCTGCTCCATCGTCCGGAGCTTTTGACGCGGACAACTACCGCAAAGCCTTTCGTAACAGGCAGACATCGGCTCTTGAAGCGCTGACTGGACTTCTGCACAACGCCAACGCTGCTCGGCGCGACGGGGCGACTGTTGCGGCTAGCGCTTCGCCACTGGGCCTCGACGTCGATGCAATCAACAGGCATTTTGAACAGATGTACTTGGAACAACCAAAAGCGGAGAGCGCCAAAGAGGCACTCAAGCGATACACCAAGGTAACGCACGTAGCAGGCACGGATGCCGACAAGGAGTCCGCTGTGGGCCTCGTGAGCGAGTGGGGCAGCCTGCTGGGAGCTGAAGTGCCAGACGACCCAACCAAGCTGGTCTTTGATGCTGGTTCTCACGACGCCATCCGATACATGACGTCAACGGGTCGTGAATTTGACCAAACTCAACAAGCAGAGAGTTCGAGCCACGCACCTCACCGTCCTCTAGGTAGCCCGCGGGTCTGGGTGGACACATACAGCTCCTGGCTGAACTACCCAGTCTCTTCCAGCCTGAAGCTGCGCAAGGCGGACTCCCAAGAGGCGTACTGGCAGGCCAAGCTCAAAGAGGACGTTGTCGACGAGCTGCCGGAGCTGAATTGGGATGTGCCTGTGTTTCATGGCTACTCCAAGTCTGGCATCGCCAATGGACCCATCGTGTACGCGGCACTTTGCACCAAGAAAGACTTTGAGGATCTGGCTAGAAAGGGCGTCAAAGTGGAAGGTGCCATCACGCTCTGCAGGTACGGCGGTCCCTTCAGAGGCTTAAAGGTACGCGCCAGCGCCGACAACGGCGCCGTCGGCACGCTCATCTACAGCGACCCTGCCGAGGACAATGGCGTCACCGAAGCGAATGGCCACAAGCCTTACCCTGATGGACCTGCTCGTCAACCTTCGTCTGTGCAGCGTGGCAGCGTGCAGGCTTTGTCCATCGCACCAGGAGACCCATCCACCATCGGGTTCCCTTCTTACCGCAATGCCTCCCGCGAGTCACCCGAGACTGCAGACTCGCTCCCCACCATCCCTTCGCTCCCCATCTCTTTTGAAGATGCGAAAGCGCTGCTGCTGGCGGTCCAAGGCAAGGGTGTCAAGGCAGCCGAAGTAGGCGACAACTGGGTGGGACAGGTGCCGGGTGTCGAAGAATACTGGACTGGCCCCAGCGAGGACATCGCATCGCTCGACAACCAAATGACCGACATTGGACAGGTACACGACATCTGGAACACGTATGCATACATTCCTGGACAAATACAAGATGAAATCGTCATGATTGGCAATCATCGCGATGCCTGGACATACGGTGCGGCCGATCCGAGCAGCGGTACTGCCGCACTCCACGAAGTCGTCAAGGGTCTTGGTGCTCTCAGAGCCAAAGGATGGGCGCCACTTCGCAGCATCATTGTTGCGAGCTGGGATGCCGAGGAGTATGGACTAGTTGGTTCTACCGAAGCTACCGAGGATTATGCTCAGTTCTACCAGCAAAGAGTCGTCGCCTACCTCAACTCCGACGTGGCAGTGTCCGGTCCTGGTCTATTTACAGGCGCTAGTCCTTCACTTTCGGATCTGCTGATCAAGGCTGGTGCCGCAATCACAGACCCCGATGGTGATGGCAAGGAGACGCTCAAAATCGAGCACCCCGGCGCTCTCGGCTCCGGATCCGACTACACTGGCTTTTTGCAGCACCTCGGCATTGCATCTACCGATCTGGGCTTCAGAGGTGGCATAGGTGCAGCAGCTACGAGCGATTTTGCTTCGCCCGAAAAGGCTGTCGACAGGAAAGCCAAGTATGCGGGGCCAGTCTACCACTATCACTCGCGATTCGACTCTTTCCCTTGGATGGAAAAGTTTGGTGATCCCACATTCAAGCACTTTGAGGCTGCAGCCAAGCTTCTGGGCTTGTCGCTTCTAAGGCTGACTTCCGAGCTCGAAATTCCGCTCAACATCACGGCATACGCCAATGAGCTTGATCGCTACTACGACAAAGTCAACGACAAGCTCGAGACTGCGAGATCAGACCGTGCGCTCGACATCGCAGAGACGGAAGAAAAGGATTTGGCCAAAACGTTGCGCGGACTTGAGAAGACGATCAAGTCTGTGCAAGCCAATGCGCGCGGGTTAGATGAGCGCCGAGCTCACCTGAGCAAAGAGATCAAGCACCTCCTCGCCAATCTGCCCGCAGCCCAAGTGGAGCAGTTCCTGAGCACTCCGCTCAGATCCACATCCAACTCTCGTCGTCCAGGGGACGACTTCAGAAAGCTTTTCCACCTCCTCCAAGCGCTCCAAGTGTCGAACAAACGGGCGACGTACTTTGAGCGCGGCTTCATTTCGAGAGAAGGACTCAAAGGTAGACCATGGTACAGACATTTGGTCGTCGCGCCTGGAAGATGGCTAGGATATGGTGCGACCACTTTCCCGGGCATCACTGAGGCCATCACCCTGGACAAGGGTCAAGGTGCTGTCGCCGAGGTCAAGAGGCTGGACCAGCTCCTTGGCGCCATTGCTAAGCGTCTTCAAGTGCGCCGCACCCACCGCAAGGCGCACTAGGATGTGCAGCGACCATCGCTTCCTTTTCACTCCACGAGAACCTCCCCAGCCATGAAGCGAAGTCCACTTCGCACGCTCTGACTTCCAAGGGTCTCTTTCGCATAAGCTCGCATTGTATGTACATTCTGACCCTCGCGGTGACCAGAGTACACATACACCCGCATTAGAATGAAGGAACCGTTTCCATCTAGCAGCTTGCCACTTGAATCGTGCGCGCCGATCGATCACTGCCTTCTGTGATGCCCACGTCAGACAGTGGCGACGATTTCCTGCGCCTGCTCGAGCGCGGCGATCTGGAAAACAGCGAGGCAGACAGTGAGGGTGTGTTTCCACGCTTGCATACCAGGTAGCCGCCTACTTACCATCTTTACGCATTCCTTCCTGCGCGTAACGACATGGTCGCTCTCGCGCATCAGCTCGTTCATTACGTCCTGCTGGTAGAGCTCCTTGAGCAATTCGCGTTGTAGAGAGTCCTTGGCAAATTTCTATCGACAGCGACAGGCAATGCGCATCAGCTTCTCGATTCTAGGACGGATCTAGGCTCATTTTGAACTCACCACCAAGTGGAGCATGGTAGCCTTTGGTACCATGTCAATGATCGTTCGCTTCACAATGCTGCAAACAACAAAGCTTTGTCATCAGCATCGCGAGCTGACCCGAGCATGGCACGAAGCCAACACTCACTTGAAGTAGGACATGATGAGCATTCTGATGACCTCGACTTCCATGGCTTCTCGGTCTGTGAGCTGTCCGCTAGCTGTAAGACTGGGAGGTGGCGCGTCCATCGTAGCGTGCTTAGCTCTTTCCTTTGCCGAAGCCTTTCCGCCGCTGAAGAAGCTTCCAAAAAATCCCTGGTCTTTGATGTCCACATTCAAATCCTTGTCGTTGTTGATGGTATGCTGCGGCTTCTTGGGATCGTTGGCACCCGAAGCCTGTGCAAAGCGCTCAGTCACGATCGACATGGCTTTGTGGCCGCCGATGAAGTCCGGGTGGCCAGTGTTCAGGTAACACGCCTCGGATAGGACAATGTCTGTCACCAGCTTGGTAGTTGGCTGCAAACACCTCTTGAAGAACTGGATCACGACAGTGTTGAACCTTTCTCGGAGTTGCGGGAACCTTCGGAATTGTTGCTGCAAGCATGCAAAAAGAATAGGTAACTTCACCTTTAGCAAAGTCTCTGAATACTGCCTTGCGCGACGCCACTCACGTTCTTGCTCAACAGCTGAGAGAGGATGCGGACAAGTTCATCGTAGACCAAGCTGACGCACTTCAAGGATGGGTCTTCCAGGCGCTTGATCTGCTGCTTGACTATAACCTCGAACGCGGTTGTGCCAACGAACAGTGCCGGGCTAGATCCCGAAGAATTGTAGAGAACAGTCCTGATGTACGAGTCCTTCACAGTGTCGAAAGGATCAATGGCCTTGATGCCGTTGCTAAACAACTCGTGAAATACGAAGCTGATCCTCGCACCTCCCGCCAACTCGTTCACCGACAAATCGTTTGAATTGCCGTCAATGACTGTTCGGAATTCGTTGCAGAATTCGGTAATGATGGTCAGGACAATGTTGCCAGAGTTGGTATCGCCTAAAGCACCACCAAGAGATGAAAGTTCGCTGTTGAATTTTTGCAGCTGCTGCTGAATTTTAGCCTTGATGTCTGGAAGCGTGGTGCGAATGTGATGCATGAGAATCTGAATTCGATGTGTGTGGGCTGACGGAGTCAGTCGCGGTGCGCCGTGCCGAGAATGCTCCAAAGTATACTCACAGTGTTGAGCTTTCGAGCGAGGTAAGGCGTACCACAGTACTGAGCCTTGGACCGATAGCTGGGATGGTTGGAGAAGAAGTCCGACTCTGCAGCCAAAGCAGCGCTGACCAGCTTTTTTTGATCAATGTCCCTCTGCCCTCTGTTCACGACGGGCACGTAGCCCAGGCGCAACGGGATGATGCGGCCTGCTAGGATATCGACGACATCTGTGCCTTGGTCCCTGCACTCGGCAGATGTCGGGCACGGTCGTCAGGATTATACCGAAGCGCCGCGAAGCTTCTAAATAGACTCACATCAGGTCAACCTTTGTCAGCACACCCACAGTCCGCGTCCCTTCCGGATCCACCTCTCTGGCCAGCTTCAGACCATCCGAGTTGGCCAAATCTGTGTTGGCAGCTGTAACAGCGAGAATCACCGCATTTGGCTTCATGATGAATTTGAGGACCATGTCGCGAATCTGGCGCTCAATGTCTCTGGGCTGATCTCCAACCGGCACCTGTGCAAGTCGGAGCATCAGGCGTGCAGGCGTCAGCGGCTGCACGTAGTGAGCACGTGCTGATATAGACATCTGTTACGCTTTTCATCCCTTGCGTTCGCACTGAGACTGTGCTGGGCATCCACGATTCCCAAGGTCACTCATCCAAGCGCACGCACCTTGGTCAAGCCCGGCAAATCGACGAGCGTAAGGGTCAAGACATTGGGACTGTAAATCCTCAAATTGATGGGCTGGGGGGATATGCCTGCATTCTTTCCCGTCTTGAGTTCCGTATCGCGCACAATCTCTTCCCTTATCTTGTTGAAGTCGTAAAATTTCTCCCCGGGCAGATGCAAAAACTCTCCCCATTCGTCTACAGTGTGCCACGTATAAGCGAGCGAGGTGTGACATCAGCACAGCTTCTTCGCACGCATGATCTGACTGACAAAAGGCAGCGCGAGACGATGCTGCTGAAACGGCATGGCCGATACTCACCTTTGCTATCCCCGCCATTCGCACCATTGGCAGCTGGAGCCGCACTAGCGGCGGCACCAGCACCCTTCTCACTGGCCGCCGCTACTCCACCCTGCGCACCACCTGCAGCAGGTCTGTTGATGAGTTGCAACACCAGCGGTCTACGAGTGACGATTCCGGTACCTCGCGGCAGGAAATCCCTGCCCACGAGGTTCTCCAGCACTGATGATTTCCCACTGCGATGGGTCGACAAAATGAGTGAAGCATACGCAGTCAGTGCGAGCGCGATGAGAGCTCTGCGAATGTTTCATTCCCTGGTGATGAAAGCCGAACAGCATAGACCGCCGTGGCCTCAACACCAGAGCTTTGAACCGACCATTGGAGTGTTACCCGCACGGTAGCCAACGCGCAAAGTTCAGACTCACGAGCTCTGACTTCCAAGCACAGTGATCTGAGGCAAATCTATCGGATTTTGTATTCCAACATTATTGAAAGCGTCTTGCAGCTTGTTGACAAGCTTGATGAGTGATTGATCCATCCTCGCTCGATCCACCTCTTGCCTTCGGCTAGCCGCTCTTGTTTTGTACCTGAAGTCCTAGATCCGAGCGTGAATGTAGCTGTTCGCTATGTTCCTGCTAGGACGCACTACTGCTGCTTCAGCGCGACTCTGTCGAGAAGAGTGATCGATGATGCAGGTCAAGTAAGTTCCTTCTCCTACTCTCTAACGAGCCACGTGATGCGCAGTCGTGGATCGTAAAGAAGTAGATGGTTTGCGAACGTGGAACGGGATGTTTGGGATGATGAGCAGGTGAAGAGAAGGTGTCGGGAGGGTGTGTTCGCAGATGTCTGTGGTCAAAGCTTCGAGGTACGGAAGGGACAGATACGCGTGTGCGCACTTGGAATCCACAACTCAAGACCGTGACTAGTGACTGTGACTGCTTTGAATCTCTCTCTCACGACTCAAGCTCGATCGCGACTTGGGATGATGCACTCATCGCACTCACGACTCACGCCTCATCTTGATCGAGCGGGCGGTGCAGCTGAGCATGTATGTATAGGCAGCCATCATGCAGCGCTCAGCCAGCCCGCTCGCGGCACCAGTTACCACGACACAAGACCACCAGCAGCAGCACAGCTGCTGCACGATCCAGGTGCCGCCGCTCTGACTCTGGACTGCACCCACAGCCACGCATGCAAATGTGAATGCGCGCGGACCACCTGGGCGAGGGCCACGTGGCAGTGAGCCTACAGCCACGCGTCTCACGCACACAACACGCTCGAGCTGCTCGGAGCAAATCCGGAACTTTGACCTCTGGACAATTCAGTTGCTTTGTGTGTGTGTGAGCTGTGTTGTGTCATTCACCCTCACATACACACCCACGCCTGCAGCCCGAGCTGGACAGCCGGGGAAGCGAATATTTGCGCATCGATGAAGACAGCGGGGTATAAATCCTCACTTCGCACATTTGGCCAAGGCGCCGCCCGTCTCAAAGCGAAGACTTCCCAGTACTAGCTCCATCTTTTTGGGCGCCTCTCCAAGCCTCTCTCCTTTCCGCTTCTGCATCCTCTCTCAGATCGTTCTCCGTCTCAGCTTTTTGGCTTTCCTCTTTGTGCTCCAAATGAGAATCGACCTCGGGACCTGCAATGCCTCTCCAATCCCCATCGTGCTCATCTCTGAATTGCGAAATGAAATCCAAAAAGAACTTGCGCCATGGACCTCTTCCCGTTTGCATTAGGCGAAGGAGGCGCGCATCAGCCATCGGAGACCCTTGTCTAGATGCGTCCTGGAGAACATTCACTTACGTGGTGGGTGTGAGGTGACCTCCATCGTGGTAGACGACTCTAGAAGTGCTAGCAAACGCGTTCACCAGAGTTCCCGTTCTGTGCTTGTCAGTGATGTAGTCATTTCTGTCTTGCACCGACGCAGAGTCTAGGTGATCAGCGTGCATCCACTCTGAATGTCCCGCAAGAATGACGTACCTTCCAAGGACGTGCAGTACAGGAGTCTGGATGCCGCGTTCGGGGAAGAGACTTGTCAAATTCTTGTCTCGTGCCTTGAAGCCCGACACTGCGATGCAGAATCTCAATCTGCCTTGACTTGGCGGCAGTTTGAAGCCGGGTAACCTGGCAGGATCTTCGAATGCCGATACCATGATGCCTGCCATGGTCGTGCCTGGTCGCAGATACAGAGGCAGATTCAGTTCGATTGAGTGGCGCGCTGAGCGAGGATTGGAAAGCTCACCTTGACTGAATCCTAGCACTCCGTGAAAGGGACCCTCTGCTTCCACGATTCGATTGACAAGGTCGACCGATTTTTCCAGACCCACATACTTTTGCGGTGGTCCAAAATGCTCGTCCTCTTCTGTAATCTTGACACTCTTCATTTCCTCCTCTGTGAGATCCGTACTCTTCCACCAGCTCCTGTGCGTATCTTCGATTGGGGTGCTCTCATCCTCGATCGGCGGTTCTTGACCTTCTTCGAGGAGCATCGGAGGCACCGTGATGGGAGCTTGAACGAAGTGTAGTGTGGCGACAGGAGCCAGCGTCTTTCGAAGCGCTCCTAAACGCTTGGAGAAATTGGCAGCGTTGGATGTGTAGCTGTGAAAAGCCAAGATCTTGATTGGTCCCCCTTGCGATTGGATCGTCAGACCCGACGGGGCCGTCTTGGTCGACATGTTGCGCGCTAGGCTTGGCTTGACGAAGATCGAGAAGTGGTATGTAGTGCTCTGTGCTGCACATACGATAGACATGTGCTTACAACAACACTGGTGACCGTGCACTCAAGAAGCTAGGAGCTGATAGCCAATTTCACTAGACTTGCTCGCTTTCTCAGAACCTTTAGGCGTGTATGCTGAGCTCCCTGTGGGTTGACCGAAGCGACTGTCCAGGCACTTCCTCTTTTAAAGACCTTGACTCTGACACTGATGCGATCTACAGCTCTACTCGTGGATGCGGGAAAGAATATCGTCCATCGAAGTATTTTGTTCGAGAAGCCCACCCAACGCTGCTCCTCTATCTACACGCTCGCTGTCGGCCTTTATTCATGCATAGAGATCAGCGATTTCGAGACTAATCACGATTCTGGCACACGATCACATCACAAATTCGCGCCAACATCGCGTCTATACCAGCTGGCAGTCACGAGTCGTCTATGAGTCCGGCACCGGTATAGTGGTACCGGTACTCACACTTCGACTCTTCATTGACCCTGACTCGATCGAGACTCTTCTGACTCACGACTTACTCGATCGCGCAAGTCTCGAGGTGGAGGGGAGCATCCACTACACCGCGGGGGAGCGGACGCGCGGGCCTTCGACCCTAGCTCGTGCGCACCAGCAACTGCTGATGGTGCATGCTGCAGCAGCAGCCACGATCGCGGCCCGCTCACGAGTCATCTCCGCGGGCGAGTCACACAGTCACTGAGTCAACACATGCAGCAGCAGTTGAGTCTTTGAGTCCATTGGCCGCTGCTATATATAGTGTGACTCGTGACTCACGCCTGGTCAGGCAGACATGACTCGGTGATGAGCTGGCCCAGAGGTCTGTGAACACCACCATTCGTGATTGCACCGACGAGAGCTGCATCCGCCGTAGTTGACCATCCTTGATCCGTACCTTTGCTTCGTAAGACCCAGCATCCATTCAGCATTTCAACATTCGTGACTGTGGACACGTCTGTCTGCGTCGTGAATCGTTGATGTGGAGGTACAGATCGAGGACCGCGTATAAGACCTCCTGATGATCGATGAAGAGATTCTGGATGTCCGAGCCCGCACTCATCCGCCACTTTGTCTGACGTCCCACTGGCAGCATTTACATTCGTGAGCGGCCTGTTTGCAACTTTCGCAATGACCGAAGCTCTGCACTCTCATCGTCGAGATGTTACGGTTTGCCGGACAAACAAGCATGTCGTCTTAGCTGCCCATCCTCCCGCTTCTGGCTATCCCGCACGATGGTCCCTCGGTCCTATGGATTACTACGTGGGATTGGGCATTCCTATACAAGCCGTCTTCGTCTTTGAGCCATCGCCAGACCAGCATGACGATCTCATTCCTCCGGAACGCCTAATCACAGCTATGAGCGCCTTGCTCGACCATCATCCGCACTTTTCAGGCCGTCTGCGAGTGGACGAGCAGGATCACCAGCCATACATCACCGCGCTCGGATCCGGCGCAGAATTGATCGAAGCGCATTGCGATCAAGCCTTGTCTTCATACCAAAATCTGGGGGACTACATCATCACATCGTTCCCTAAAGATCTCTTGTCACCCTACGAGCCCACGCCAGAGTACCTCGCCAAGCATCCCTTTTTTGCCATCCAGCACACCCGATTCGCCTGTGGAGGAGTTTCCCTGGCTGTCCGTGTAGCTCATGCTGTAGTGGATGGAGTGGGCTTCTTCAGCGTAGTCAGAGATTTGAGGGACATTTATAACCAGCTCGGTCGATCAGACGTACCACCACCTCGGCTATCCCATACGCCGAGCCTTGCGGGGTACATGTCAGATTGGGCGTGTCGAGCTTCGCCGGAAGAAGTGCGCGATGCTCGGAAGGTTCAACCTCAGCAGTACCAGCTTGTTCAGGACAGTCTTCCTTCCGGCAGCAACGGCGTGACCTTATCATCAGACAAGACGGACAAAGAAGTCGAGGATGACAAGACCCCCTCTATTGCCGAAGCCGATCCGGTGGTAGGCCGAGTTCTGCGCTTCTCCGCAAAGCAGCAAAGCGAATTGAAAAGCTTGGCCATGGACCCTTGCGCAAACGAGGGAGAGTACATCACGACATTTGATGCACTGTGCGCCTACGTGCTCCAGCAGACTTATCGGGCTCGCACGTCTCCGACACGGCTGCCATCCTGCTCGCCGAATAGGTGCAACTTCCTCACTCCGAGCGATTGGCGCAAAGCGCTCAATCTGCCAGCAAATCATACACCCAACACGTGCTTTGTCAACTTTTGCGATCTGACTCCTGAGCTGGTGCTCGATGGACCAGCGCACGCGATCGCCAGGGCTGTCCATCAAGTGAGCCGAAGTTTGAGCCTTGCCGATGCGAAGAGTCAACTGCGTTGGCTCTGCGCCCAACCGGACAAGTCCAAAGCTCAATTAGCTTTCTCGTACGGCGATGGCAGTCTACTTCTCAGTTCCTGGCTCAAGATGGATTTGTACGACGCCCTCTCCCTCTCGCTCGCTCAAAAGGGACCGGAGGAGCGACGCATCAGACCTACAGTCACCTTCACCCCTTTTACTCAGGTATCGCTGATTGATGGGTTGGGCTATTTCCTCCCTATTCCACCTTCTTCGTCAATGGACGGTGGGGCTAGCTCCGTAGACCTGGCACTAGCACTCAAGGACTCGGTCTGGCGAGAGATGGACCGAGTTCCTAGCAATTTGTACACCATCGTAGGTTAGCCCCGCCTGCTGTCTGCTAGTCCAGGACCCCATATCCACACAAAAGTCGCAAATTCGAATTCCAAGCGCAAATTTGGTGCTGGCGAGCTGAGCTGCTTTGAACGTTGTCTTTGTGTTCAATCACTACCACTTCTAGGATGCATTGACAGCTGAGTCAAGAGTGTGAATACAGACGTTCGATCGTGCAAGGCATCACGATTTGGTTGCAGCGTGGGGAGTGGACTGTGACTTTGGCCGTTGGATATGCGGTGTCGCGTGATGCGCGAGAAAGCTTTCTTGAATCTCGCGCGGGCGTGCGCACGCGTGTATACTCTGACTGTTATATGCGGGAGGAGTGGAAATTGAAACAACCTTGCAACCGCGCCCGCGCGCGAGGCTCCGTTCCGTAGCGGAGCTGCCGAAGCCTGACTACGTCTCTGCTGGACGCGCAGGAAAGGCCACTTTGAGTTTGAGTCTGACTCACGACTTGTGACTCGAGGCTTTCACGATTGCATCCTTTCGAACGATAATCCCATCTCCATTCGTGTGACTTGATTGTGGATTCAAGTGATTGCACTTTGTTTCAGCGCAGACCTTTCGAATTTCCCGTTTCACGTTTCGGACTTAGGCGCTGCGCGCTCAACGTCCCATCAGCACCACTGCCCTCCTCAAAGCTAGAAGCTAGGGCCACCGCTCGCTTTGGCACACAGCCACGAAGGATCTTTCCGCCGTCTTCATCCCCACCATGGTCAGTGCAGGCGCAGCTCTTCAACGCTCTACACTCACAGTTGTCGAAAGCTCATCGCTTCGACCAATCTTGCCCCTGGCCATCTCTTCGCTTTCGACCAAGCTTAGACCTCTGCCTTATCCTCGGTCTTTCAGAAGAAGCTCGTTCGAGAGATCCTCAGCTTGCAAAGACCCAGCCAAAGCGCTGATCAAGGCATCAAAGCTGCGCATTCCAGCAAGCAAGGGCGGGTGAGATTGGACGATGAGACGCAGGACGATTACAGGATCGAGGTTAGAGAAGAGGATGTGTTGGACGTGAGGGTATGGCTTATGGGTCCAGGTGAGTGCGGGCAGCATTGTTGAGCGAATGAGAGGGCATGATTGTGGAATCGACAAGCCTGCAATCTGGTGAAGCTCATCGTGGGTCGGTACGAGATTGTCTGATATGCAGACGAGCCGGCAAAGGAGGTGCAATAAAATTTGGACACGTCCCTTGCTGAGATTCTGCTTCTGCCTCCATAGTCGGCACCCCTTTTGAAGGGGGATTCTTTCAGGTGAGACATCGCTCAGCGTACCGCAGCATAAGCACAGCTTCCAAGCCCGCTTTCCTTTTCTTTTCTCTCAAATGACGATGGTCGACGCTCATTGTGTCGCTCAGATGTCCATCGATTTCAGAAATGGCGCTTACCCGGAGCAAGCTCCGACTTGCAAGCTCCTCACCAAGAGTGAGTCGGTCGCTGTATTTGCACTTGTGCATGCCTGCTGCACACTATGCTGATGTGGCCCTGCTTCATCTGTCGCACAAGTTTTCCATCCGAATGTTTCGACTCGCGGGGATATATGCGTCAACACTTTCAATGCCGGGTGGTCAGATCAGAAGGGCAGCGCTTCCACCTTCAAAGGTGTAGATTTTTGCGCTAGGACAGTGCTGGGTCTACTTGTCAATCCCAATCCTGATAGCGTCTTGGATCAGCCAGAAGCGGGCCGACTGATGCACGACGTGAGTCAAAGCAGCGCGCCCTTCATCTTCGAGTAAGAAAGAAGCGGTTGGCGTCAAGCTTAACGCGTCCTTGCTCTGCGTCGAACAGAGCTACGAAGAATTCATGCGCATGGCGAAGGTTTGGACATCGGCTTATGCGCTCACCCGACCGGCTTGTTGGGGCCCTGCGCCATGCACCGAAGCTGCCCAGACTCGCATGGAGCAAGGAATGCGGAACGACCAGATTGGCACGCAGCCTGGATTTGGCAGTCCCTCCGCCCACTCTTTTGTCGGTCAGCGTGGAGTGCCGGACAGGTCTTCCACAGCAACGCGGCAAGCGCAAGTGGAGCACGTTGCCCCTGAGAGACAATCGCAAAATCTTGGCGATTCTGCGTTGTTCCTAGCAGCTGGTATTTTAGGCCGGTCTGACATTCACGATGCTCCGAGCGGCCTACTGCAGAGACAGGCGCTGCCAGGATCCTCTCGAACGCACGCTCCCAAGCGTGGTCTGCTGAGACTCTGAAAAGATCATACCCATTCGATGGTTTTTGCGAGAAAGGCTGCTGCCGTAGCCTGCTCGGCTTCGTCTGGCGCCGATTTCATGCGCCTTGAGTCTGAATTCCCGCAAAAGGGTCAGCATCTTAGATGATGTCTTTGTGCCTCCCTTCGATGTGCCTTTGATCGTGGGACTGCTTGGCTAGTGCGGCAGAACTACCACTTAGCCTTTCGAAACCTGACTTGATTGATTTCCAAGTACTGCTGAGCTTCGTTCCGACCCGTCCACGGATCGCAGAGGCAGCCCCCTTTCCCTTCGTCGGATCACGCTTGAAGTCGATCCCGCGCCAATACTGGGTACCATCGTCCAGGAACCAGACGGTGCTGTGGACTTGCCCGATCGGCGAAGGATCCGATGCGTGTACACGTGCACGCGGAGCAGCTGATACGATTTGCTGCTTTCGGGTGTCGTCCATTTTGCTCGCAAACTTGTGCCAACCTTGCTCAGCGTACCAACTAGGTTGAGGGTCACGATGCCACTCGTGCGCCCCATTGCTGTACGACGGCTTGACAAAAGGCACCGCTGTGACACCTTTGCCCTTCTCCTCAATCGACGGTGCCTTTTTCAGCGGCAACGACAACGACGACTCTGAAAGACTAGCGCTTCTGCGACTCTTGTGAGCTGTAATGCTGTCTCTGCTATTCTCCGCCGAGCTCAACAAGCTTGGCGCCCTGGATGAGCCAGGCGTAGGAGCGGTGAAGCTCGGGCTCGACTTTTCACCATTTTCCACAATCCTGATGGATGCAGGACTCGCAGAGGTTTTGCTGCTCGACTGACTCGACACCGACTTTTGCAAATCCACAGTGGACGCTTTGTTTGCCGGCAGCGATATGGAATGCGGCAGATCGAACTTTCGACGCTGCCACTGCGGGGGTTTGTAGGTCGATGCGCTGCCGTGCACCAGCTTGTGCAGATGCGCAGCGACTGTAGGACTGGCACCTTCCTCTGTCCCCATCGCTTCCATCATCTTGTTCAATCTGATCACTTCCTCGATTTCGGAAGATCCCAATCCGCGCGCTTCGATGCGCCTTTCAGCACTCGATGCATGTGAAGAAGCGGCTGAAAGCTGGCTCACTGCGACCACAGATCGAGGCTGCAGACTTGATGTCGCATGATTTATAGCAGTCTTTTGGTGGCCATGTTTGGGTTCCAATTTGACTCCACTTAAGGAGCTGCTGAGGATGCGGAACTTATGTGGTGTGTGTGCATCTGAGAATATTCCACTCAATCGGCCGTTGGCTTTGATGACGTCCGCGCTATTACGCCCCGCTTCGCTGATCAACTTTGCCTCGAGTTCGAGCGCGAGGTTCGCAGGGCCCCTGTCGGGATGGTTGGTAGCGAACAGCGAGGGATCCGACTGAGCGGGCCGAGCAGCGTGAGTGGTCATCGCAGTGCTCTCTGTAGTCGTTGGTACCTTGGACCGTAGCACAATGCCTCGCATGCGCCTAGCCCTGACGTGTGCGAGGATGTCCCGGTCTTGAGTGAAAAGCACGGATGCTGGAGGAGCAGCAGAGCCTGCTTCACTTCCCCCCTTTCCCACATCATTCAACAATTTCTCCAAAAGATTTTCGGAGGCCGTTGGCCCGCGTTTGGCGAGCAAATCACGTCTGCCCAGATCCCTCGAGCGTCCATGTTCTCGCAGTCCACGCCTCTTCATGACCTCAAGCACTTTTCCGGGACCCAGTCTTCGCTCAAGCCTCGACAAGTCGCCGGCTTCGAACCTGCCATGTATTCCCAGCAGCTCTGCATCGACGTCCAGGTCCCTGCGTGAGTGTGGGCAATGACTTGACGAGCCGAGTTGCTGATCAATGCAAATAGACGTGACCGAAGCTAGGAATCCCACGAGGCAGAGACAGGAAAAAACGATCCTCCGCACTGCCATCTTCAGAGTCGGGGTGTCCGAGCTCGTTGCAAGAGACTTGGACTCGGAAGGCGCGACGCCGTCCGGCGGAGGTACTGCTCGGAATAAGTTTAAGAGGTTGAGGCATTCGAAAGGGAGCTCGAGAAAAGATGGGGCCGGCCAAAGTTGACTGCAGATTCTGGAGAGAGCTAAGCGACCAGCGCATCAATGCGTCAAGCTGAATGATGGAAGCTCGGAAGGTGGTCGCATGATTTTCCACTAGGAGTTTTGGCCCAATGGCGAGTCCAAGTCTTCTCTAAAGGGGAGCGAAAAGCAGAGAAGCTGGTCATACTTTGACGGAGAAGCTTGTAAGTGGCGAATTCGAGTGGCGTTCAAGTCCGGTGGAAAGACGTAGCGGGTGTCGGCCAGACTTGGCCCGAGGCGCGTCGAGGCGGTGGATGCGATGGCGCAAGAGGCGGGAGGCGGCTGAAATGATGAGGGCGCACTCAAGGGCAAGGATCAACGGCTAGCGCTGTGCGCACTGTCGCTCTCTGATGCTCGTTGAGCCGCTTGGACGCTATCTGGGCCTTGAGCGATAGCTGGAGACAGTGGAGAGCCGACAGTCTGGCGTTGATTGACAAGCGCAAATACGCGCGATCAATGGCGACTTCCGCCAATTATGTCAGCTCGGCGGGGCGCTGCCTCCTCTGGAATATTCGCAAGTGGATGGCGCCGAGGAGCGGCCAGTACAAATCACTGCTACGAGCTACTGTACCGGGGTGTTCTTTGCTGACTGTGTCAAAATCCGCATGACCCTGACGAGCTACATCCTGGTGCGTTGCACTGCGAATCGACGTTGGGAGTGGAGTGGAGAAAGCGAGCAAGGCTTGAATGGATTGTCTTGTACTATGTTCACCCTCAAGGGGCTCGCCGCAAGCTGATGGTAGCTGGCGGCTCGTCAAGGTGTCTGCGCCGGCAGTCATGCGATAAGGTGAGCCTCAGGAGCGTTTTCATCGTAGAACGGCCCCAGACTGCGCTCCCCGCCGGCGCCGAGGGGGGACAGGGAACATTCGTGGTTTGGATGCTACACCAGCAGCTTGTTCGAGCTCTAAATGTCAGACGTTGCCGATCGACGCTCAGCACAAGTCTATAGCGCCAGGCGACACCTCCTCGGAGACACAAAGATGGCTGTGGCGCTTGGAGCTTCGGAAGAGCCACAATGATCGCCGACCCACGTGTGGATCGTCGATCCTGAATGGCTTTCCTTATTCACGAATGAAGCAGCTCCTCGCTGGAGGTCAGCATATTCGTGCCTGGTCGTCGGTCTCTGCTGGTGTGGCTCCGCACACATTCTTTACCGCTCGTCCGGACCCTCGAATCGGAGTCGCGCGTTGCCCGCGTCGTGACGGCGCCTTTTTGTGACAATCTGAAGGATACCGAACAGAGGCTCGCTACTCTTGCTTGCTACAAGGCTATCTTCGCAAAGTCGAGCCTCAGCAGATGCCCGTGATCCATTGCGCTCCGTCAGTGATGAGTGTGCCCGATACCCGGTACAGGATGCCTCGTGTGTAGCCCGCACAGATGCACAAATGCAGAGCTGCGGACCGGCGCGAAGCGGAGATGAGCCGACCGACCTTGGCGCCTCTTGATGCTGTGTGTGCATGGCACCGCAGCTTCCGTCGTTCAAGCCGTGACGCAAGTAATTGGCAAGCATGACAGGCGATTCGAGGCGCGCAGATGAGGCTGGCTGGGCCGCTAGAGAGATAGTCCTGGCCACGCTACAACAGTCAAGAAACGGCGCAATGACTCAACTTGAGTTGCGAGCAAATCGATGCAGGAGTTAGCAGGAGAGGTTCCCCCCCCGGCCTCGATGCGTGCAAGTCGTCATTATGCTCGCACCGCGCATAGGTGTATCTACAGTATCATTGTGATTCAAGATTCTCACCACTCGATCGTGACTCATGACTCACGACTGCTGAGCAGCCCGCCTGCAGTCTGCTTGCCGCAGAGGGTGTGGGCCCCTGCAAAGGGTGACGCTTTGTGTTTATGCGCTGCTCAGAGCATCATGCAGCCATATACGCCTGCATGCATGCACCTAGCACGAGATGGCGCTGGAGAAGTGGCCATGCAGCCGTCGAGCGAGCGAGCGAGCGCTCACGTCGACTCACGACTGCTGCTCTGCCCTTAGACAAGTGACGCGCCTGACCCCTTTCAAGCTCCGTTGGACCAGCAGCTGAGATCGCAAGCGGTCATTCGGCGGACAGGTTTGCGGACCTGAAGGCGCGAAAGAATTGAATGGAGTCAGAGTCATGCGTACCGGTAGCGTACCGCGCCGCGCCGCACCTTACCGCACCGCACAGGACGTGTGCATGCGAAGTAGATCGACCGGGTTGACGGCACCGCAACAGCACAAGACAAGTCGCGAGCGAGCAGCTCGGGGTATGTGACAGAAAGACCGAAAAAGGCCACTTCGATCGAGAGGAGGAAGGAGAGGCAAGCAAGTAGGCGGAGGTGGTTTTGTCTGTCGGCTCATGATCGCGCTTCGCATTTTGATCTCATCCTTCGCTTCCCGCTCTCGATTCCCCATCTTGGTGCTGGTTGTCGCACCCTTCCTCTCCTTTTTATATCCCTTTTCTTCCCCCTTTGCGCAAGTGCAATAGCGCGCCTCACGTGTGCACTCCTACCGGCCTGGATCACGCCAGCGCAACACAAAGGTCGAGCGAAAGGTTGGAGCCGGTGTTGAATCTAGGCCTGGCCAGCAAAAGAGCTTATTGATAGCTAGCCGCCCCACACGAGAAGCTCACAGGCATTGTCTGAGTCATCCGAGCCTACCCGACAAGATGGATACGAGCACTGACGGACCTACGGGAGGAGGAGGCAATGGTGGCAATGGGGGAAACGGAAATGGTGAGTGACGGCTGCTTGACTCGCTGCGGATCTGTTGTGCAGGCCCGCGTCTCGGTCTGCTTTGCGGCTACCTTTCGCTACTACTCGCTTTCAGGAAGCGGTCTGGTTTTTCTTTTGCCAGACTGGCTGCGCCAACGGCACTGAAGGACGAAGGAGGAGGAGAATGGAGGCGATGCTCGTGTCTCTAATCAGCCTGGATTGCATCGCTCGCGCTAGTAGTAGTCACCAGTAGAGTTTGTCTGCACTTATCCGCGCTGTCATCAGCACAGCCCAGCCAGCATCGCACGTGCCGGAGGCTTGCTTGAGCCGTTTTGATCTGGACTACGGGGATCTCTAGTCACCGTGAGGCGTTTCGTAATCGGCACCGGGAGCGATCGAGCTCGAGCGAAGAGGGGCCAAGCATATCACTCTGTCGCACAGACTGCAGTTTAAGAATCGCTTCCCTACCATCCAGCGTAGATCACACACGGTGGTGTCATGCTTCGATCTCGACCGCGCAAGCTATGCGATGTGGCGGGGTCGGGGTAGGACTTCATCGCGATTACAGATGCAAGTTGGCTCGAGGCGATGAGCTGCACGCTATCCTTGACTCATGACTCGCGATGGCTGCATGCTGTTGCTACATCGTTGTGCCAAAGCCTTTGCCGCGTTGCAGGGGCAAAAGCGCGCGGCCATGGATACTTGCATGCAATTTGCTCGCGGTGCATGGCCATCGCAAATGAGGACAGCAAAGGCCGGAAGATTCTCATCAGAATCAGGGCATTTTGCATCATTTGATTGATCGCAAGCCGGGCGCGCGGGCGCTGCTGGCGGCGCTCGATCGTGCACTGGCCGCGCCTTGGGCGCGAACCTATTCTGCTGCTTGCGCGGCGCCTGCGCGAACCGCTGCTGCCGCGTGGTGCTGTCCAGACGGACTGCACCCTGATAGCATCTTGCTGCACCAGCATGAACCGTACCGGTATAGTCACGACTATAGCATAATGCCGTCCGTGATGCGTTGCGCGCCTCACTCTGGTTGGGGAAATGCACCGCATCGGTCAGATCGACTCCGTTGCTTGATCATCCATCGGTCCACCATCAGGTCTCTTCGCAATCTCCTCGACACTTTTGCATATGCGCTCCTTCCACTCCATGCTCGCCTTGCTGCCTCACCTTTGCTAGCATACACGCGAGGTCATCAGGCTCTCCCCATCCTGCTCGCATCCAAAGCGCATCGTTGGCAGGCGATTCTCGATCGAGCACGTCATGGTTCTAGATGTGGTGGATTGGGTAGTTGGCACAGGAAGGACGGCAAGGAGAGCTCGTCGTAGGGAATACCACGCCAGAGTCATACCGAGAGCGATCGAGCATCGCGTGCCTTGCGAGCCTAGAGCGCCAGTGCCCCGACCTACTCCCGGACCCAGCCTCTTGTTGCCCAGGCAGGCTACCGGTAATTCTCAAGCGCCGACCACTGGCTCTGACAATTCTCCGAGTCAAGTCGGTGGGCCAAGCAGTCAGAGTGGAGCAGGCAGGACAGGCACTGGCACTGGCACTAGTGGCGGCAGCACTAATGAGAGTCCAGATGGGAGACCGTCGACTGAGACGCCTGGTAGGCCGGGTCAGGCAACATCTCCAAGCTCGAGTGATACGAGTCGCGGCAGTTCGAGCGATCCGAGCTCCGTACCTAGCAGTAGCAGCAGCCCTTCTGACCCTGGCAGCTCGAACTCCTCTCCTGCTTCCCCTTCTAATCCTGCCGGTACCGCATCGTCCGGCAACGCGCCTTCCTCGTTCGGCGACGGCAACACCTCTCCGACCACTACTGACTCTGGCACCCAACCTCCTGCTAATGGTGTGTATCGCTGCTTTGCTCTTGGCATGATGATGCTTGTCGGACAATGATTCGTTGGATGCTCGCGTTGTGGTTTCCTATCTCCTCCTCTCTCCCCCCCAACTCCCCACTGACACGCTTCGCCACTCTCCTCGAACCTGTTCACTCCTGTGCACGCTTGCCTTGCCGTCCAGGGTCTACCACAACAAATTCCACGACGGATCCCACCACTTCAAACCCCACCACATCTCCGACAACCGACGACCCGCCGACTTCACCACCAGGCACCACAACTTCGCCCACGACCACCAGTAACGATTCGACTACCGTTATCACCTACACTGACCCAACCACCACGAGCCCGACGACGACGTGAGTAGCTGGCGCACATAATGTCCCATGTCTCCAGTACTCATGCTTCCAGCTCTCCTGTCTCGTCTGCAGCTCGCCGACCACTACTACCGTGAGTGATAGAGAGTAGCGGGAGCCAGGGGTTCCGTTGGATACGCGTCTCCGACTGGAGGGTTGGCCTCACGCTGCTCTTTCACGTCCGACTTCCGTTTGATCGTGCGCTCCTTGTATGAAGCCCACAACGACAACTTCCACAACGAGCACTTCGCAAGTGAGATGCTTTGACTTCTCTCCCCTCTGTAGTCGCGCAGCACTGCCCTTGCCTATCATCGCTTGCTATCCCGTGCGACTTCTCGCTGACGTGATATCACTTGCTTTCCTGGCAGCCTACTACCACCTCGACATCGACGTCGACGCGTACCACTACTGCTATAATCACCCCGACTACTACCTTTACGTGAGTCTGCACGCTGACCGGATCCGTGCACGCTGCTCTGCTCAATCAGACGACTCTACCTACCGAGCAGCTCTCCCTCCGGACTGCCTACCACGTCGACTCCGCCCACCACCACGTCGCAGATCGAGTCGACGACCACGCGGGTCATCACTGCGCCTACAACGTCCTCGACCGGTCAAGGTACGCTCAATGGCAATCAAAATGGCGGAAGCACCGGATTCTTTGACAATGCTGGAGCGGTCGGAGGCACATTTGCGGCTGTTGGTATCGTTGCAATCATCATATTGGCAGTGATCTTCTGGCTTTTCTACCGCAGACGCAAAGCAGCCCAGATGGATGCGGACGTCGTGGCTGCCGCTTCTGCCGCTGCTGCCACTCAGCGAACGCCATTCGATGATGATGATCCCGAGATGATTGAAGATCCATCGTATGGACAGAGCCAGCAACACTATGCAGCGCAGTATGCTGCATCTTCCGGCCGAGAGTACGAGCCCAGTCACTTCTCTGCGGGCACCCAACCTGGCTTTGCCGGAATGGGCGCGTACGGAGCTGCTGGTGGAGCAGCGGCTGGAGCGGGCGCGGCTGCGGCTTACCAAGGCTACTACGACCACCAGAACGGATATGCGGATCCTCAGGCCACTTCTCAGGGGCACTACTACGATCCCAACGCTCCGGATGGCTATTACAACCAACAACCGATGAGCCAAGGTCACGAGTACAGCCAAGGTGCTCATACCGATCCCAACGGCCAGCAGTTTCAGATGATGAACCAGCCTCAGGGACAGAGCGGATGGGGGGTTCCCGGACACTCCCCACCTTTGGATGCTGAAGGTATGTCGTTCGGAGGCGCAGCTGCGGCAGGAGCTGCGGGTGCAGCAGCAGCAGGCGGAGGTCATCGTCAAAGCGCGGGAAATCTGGGAACCGGCAATTTGGGTATCCCGGAGCATCTGCTCGGCCCAAACGTCTTTAATGACAACAGTCCCGGAGAAGAGGATCATTTGAATCCTGCGCACAGCGGACCTAATGGAACATCTGCTGCCGCTCTGCAAGACGGAGTAGGCCCCAACCCGTACGGCGCGAGCGGACAAGACGGAAGGCTGGACAACACCGGCTTCCAGAGAGCTCAACAGACTGGCAGCTCCAGCAGCTTGCGGGACGACCAGGATTACTCTAGAAAAGTCTTTGCCGTCACCAATCCTTCTCAGCAGCAGCAGTGATCGCGCTCGCGCCAATCTCGCAAGCTCAATTCAGGTCGACTTGATTTGTCAGCGCTCCTCAGCGCTCCCATGCATCCATATATTCTAGTTTGTGCTGGGGCCCCTGCTTTGGGTCATCCTTGAGTGGTTCTTCAGACGCACACCTGCAAAGCACTTTTGCGCAACTTTCATACGGGCATTATTACTATAAACACTCGCTTGGTCCGCTCTTTTGGATCACGGACTCTTCCCCCCCTCAACGCCTCTTTCTTTTCTCTTCACCGTGTCCATAATCACTTCTGTCGATCCATGAACAGATGATAGCTGTTCTTCCTTGGAGACGCGCTCGCATCGCGATGCACCTGACCAAACACTTGATCGCCGCTTCAAATTCCCCCTCCTTTGTCAAAGCCAGCTCGGGTCTAGTTCCTCGAAGCCATCTTTCACGCACTACATTCTTACTCCTGTTCCAGCAATGAGAAACATTGGGGGTTGGATCGCTTCATTTGTGTCTCCCCTCCGAAAAGTTCCTGCTCTTTCGATCGATTCGTCAGAGTAGCAAATTCAGGATGATCGATCTGATGACAAGCGGCATCCATTTCGTATGGCGGAAGCAGCACATTCTAAGTACAGAGAGGTGAAGCACGAAGCAATAGCAGATTGTAAAGGGCAGAGAGAGGGGAACAGAGATTGCACGGACGGGTAATTCTCCCACCACACTCTTTGTCATCTTGACAGCTGCGCCAAGGCGCTGCGTGCGCAAGACTAGCGCTTCCACCAACTTTTTCGGCGTTTGCTCGCGCTGCTCGGCGTAGACACCAGGCCATGATCACCAATGCGTGGGTTGGGTGAGGAGTGACTTTCGCTCGAGAGAGCTCGGCCGACATCCGAGAGGTCGTACACATCTGCATGGGCACCTTGATCGCTGCCGCCTCGGTGAGCGGAGCTCGAAGCTTTATCGTTGTTGACCCTGTCGACAAATTCGTCGCCCAACGCTTCGCTCAACGTCATTCTAGCTGCGCCACCGCCAGTTGTGGATGAAGTGTGAGTCGATGATTGGGTATCCAAGCCGTCAGTTTGTGAGGTGGTTGGGTCTGGTCCGCCGTCATCTTGCGTGCTATTGTAGCCTCCTGCAACATTGGCAGAGTGTCGTCGATCATTGTTGTACGCGCCGCCACCCAGCGATTGCAGCGGCGTCTCGCGAAAAGTCTGGTACGCTGCGCGCAATTCGTCATCCGATTGGTCGCCTCCAATGGAAGTAGAGACTTGATCGTGGCTGGGAAGCGCAGGTGACGCTCTCCCATTCCTTCGCTCGGCTCTAGAAGTGACTGCAGACACCGTAGCTCGTCGCGATCTGCCGAAGGATGATGCGAGTTTGTTGTTATTGTACTGCTGATCGTTGAATGACTCTGTCTCACGCAGCGTGGCAGTCCTGCTACCGCTGCCAAAGCTGGGTGCTCCTAGGTTGCTTCGCGCAGTGCTAGTGCCGATTGAAATGGAAGATGATGTTCCAGAGTGGACGCTGGCTCCATCTACTTGCAGATCGATAGGCGTTGGGTCGATGCCAGCTGTGTCCACAACGTAGCCCGCCTCGTCCTCGGCATTGCAACAAGCATCAATGAATGCATCCAGCGCTTCGTCGACGCCAGCGTTGCCTAATTCCTCTACGCTTGTCGTCTTTCCTAGACTTGACATTCGGTCGACATCGAAGCGAGACATGTGCAACGTCCGAACCACATACGAGACTAGCGAAGCAAGCGCCAACGGTCTGTCCAGCAGGTAGGTTGGAGTTGGAATAGACTCTCGATGGAGGACCGAGAGTCCTACCGTCCGTGCTTGCGCGGCGCGTTGAAGTGCAAAGTCTTCGTCGTCGCCGAGCGCAGTCAGCTTTTCGGGCGCGGCTTGTGGTGGCAAGGTCTGAGGGTGTGCGAGCACGAACTCGGTAAGCAATGCCGCGGCCACGTCTTCGCGCCCTTACTCACCGACACTGCTGTGATGTAGTCGTCGTATGTTGCGGCTTGGTTCTGAGAAGCCGACGAGTGTGTCAGCCTTCGGGCACACCAGCATGCGTGGCTTTGCAGTACTGACCCGAAGAAAGTCGCTAGCCTGCACCAGCCAAGGCTCCTTGTCCTTGTCAAAAGCAGGTCGTTTGTTCGCCAAGGCGAGAAACATTTTGGCGACGAGCATCAGCGTCTTGTGGCTCTGAGAGTCGGGAGCCGCTGTAGAGATGCGGCGGTCGGCGTCAGCGGACGTACGCGTGAAATTGCGCACGGAGCGGGTCGACTCACTCGCTGTAAGGCCATAAAGATTTGGCGACGTGATAGCGGGACAGATCAATCTCAGAAAGACAAATGCACCCACGCCTTGAAAGCCTGGTCCTGGCGGCTTGACGTTGGCATGTCCAGCGAAACGAGCATTGACAGTTGTGCGAATGTGGAACAGCGCGCGGCGCAGATCCCTATCGAGAGGAGAGATGGTCAATGAAGTGCTTCTGCAGGACTGAATGAACGATGGCAGCAACTCACGGTGGACAAGCATGGCGATTGCCATAGATGCTGTCCCACATTTGTATGGAAAGTCGTTTGAGGCGCTCAACGGTACTCAAGACCGGCGTGGCGGGGGTGTTGATCGATCCTTGGGAGTTGTCGCCGCTCGCGCAGGAGTGGGATGTTGCGCTTCTGGTAAGGGCTGAGCTAGCGAGTGGCGGGCCTGCAGTCTGCATTGTTGCCGACGGGACCGCTTGCAGTGTCGTTGCTTCTCTGTCATCATCAGGGTTGAGCCAGATGCGCTCTGTACAGATACGACGGACCATACGCCCGATAGAAGCATCTAGCCAGTCTGAGCAATATAGTCTCTGAAATTGATCTAGACTTCGGGAGAGCAGCGTGTTTCCTCTGCGAGGCGTGGCACCCGGCGAAAGACAAGATGAACGATCAGTATTTGTACCCAATTCGCAACCGGAGCAACAGCACTGACCTGAACAGCAACTCAGTCTCGAGTCTGCCTCCTTGCGAAGCGCTCTCTGCATCTGCAAGGTCTCCAATACGATCAGCAATCGTTTGGGAGCTGGTCCAAACATCTACAAGATGAGGAATGAGCTGCGAATCGTCCAGCTCTTTTGCGAGAGCTTGAACGAATGGCACACAGCCAGGCCGGTTAAGCGCCTAGCGAAGCCGAAAGAGGCAAAAGCGTAAGGGTGACGTCTCGCAGAAATTGCGAAAAGCGTGCGCAGCCACACGCACCTTTTCTATCTCGGCGTACTGGACCCGCGGTAGGATGATTTCTTCGCGGACGCGGACCTTGAGGTGGACCTCCCCAATCATTTCCCTTCCGTAAGACATGTCAAGGCGCGCATATTTGTCACTGCCATACGCGTCGTCCAGACGCTGGGCCCAAACCGGGAACCAGCCATCAATATCTTCACCTCTTCGCATCGTGTTGATCGGCAGATCGACGGATCCCGTCAGCGAATACTTTAGGCTCTGTCCCGAGCTCGCGTTTGTTGAAGTACTGCTTCCTGCAGCCCGGCTCGGTGGATTGCCAGTTGCAGTCATGACGTCGATCTGCAGCGCATCCAGCACTGGCAAATCTGTCAAGACGAACTTCTCTGCCCAGGTAAAGCCGCCGTTCGGTGCGTGTTTGACCTTCGTGCGCGCGGCCACCAGGCCGCTCAAAAAGAGCAAGCAATAGCACGCCGTGAAAGGAGGCTGAGCTGATGAGTTCGTGTTGCTTGCGCTATGCCTATAGGAGTTTACTTCGGTAGGACTGAGACCAGCACTACCCAAGCCGATGCCTGCCGCCGATCCCATGATTCTGCGCGGAGGTCTCAAAGTTCTCTTTTTGCTCTTGAGATTCTCTGTAGCTGCAGCCGTATTCCAAGTGTCCGCGCCTGGGAAAATGGCAGCTGCACGCGCAGCTCCAGCCAAGCCGCTTATGGGTCCGCTTTGCACGCCATCGACTTCGTCTTCTCCATCATCCTCGTCCTCTTCCCCTCCTGTCACCATACTCTTGTCCGCAGCACCATCGCACCCTTCCTCGTCGCTTTCTACGATCACGCGAGCACTAGGGGCTGGCGATGAGCTGCTACTGTGTCGCGCGACGCCAAAGTGTCCATGGGCAGAGTGGCTGTCGGACGAGCTGGAGCGCGTTGGCTGCATTGACACCGCCGAGTGAGACGTGGTCGGAGCACCTCCTTCGCTTGCCCGTGAGCTCGTAGCACCAGATGTCCTTGACGTCTGCTGGTCGGAAGACATTTTGGCAGCGTCTTGACCGTTGAACTGTCCCCATCGCTGGCCGGCTGAGCTCGATGTGACGTGGGTCAAGCCGTGGCCAGAACTGCTCGCGAGATGGCGCAACATGCGCCCGCCGCCGCCTGGATGCTCTGCTGAAGAAGAATTGGCATATGTAGCGCTCTTGAACCGAGCCTCAAATATGCTCATGTCGATCTGCCTGTGGATTCGATGGGTGCCGTTTACCGTGCCAAGAGGCCCATACACCTCTGGTTGAGCGTACAATCGCAGAACAGCTCTCCATCGAGCCAGCTTCGTCAGTGAGGGAAAGCAGAGGTAGACTGGCTCATCCCGACCTTGCGTGCTCGGTGTGGTTGCGCTGACGAATGTGTTTGGCGTTCTCGGTGATTTGGCGCTAGTCAAACTGAACACGGAGGGACTAGCAAATATGCCCAGCACGTGAGGCCGGGCGAATAGGGAATCGTCGACCTTGCGAACGTCGCTCGCTCGCAAAGATGGGGCGTGTATAGAGTGGAGCAGAGCGCGATCCTAGTGTGCAGCGCACGCCTCTGGGTGAGCACGAACGAGGACATGACAGTGCTGCGTTTGTGCACTCACCTCGCCATAGATGCTCAACACCCCGTCCTCTCGAAAAATAGCTGTGCCTCTCCTCCACCCCGACCCGCGATTGCTTGCCACCGAGCTGCCTGCATTTCCCAGCGAACCCACGCCGCCTGGCAGCATTGGAGGATTGAGGCTGGACGTGCTCCCGCCGAGCATGGCCGAATCAACGCCGGAGGGCATTGTGAGCCTCGAACGACTTGACTTTTCTGTGGTGGGGATCGCATTAGACGAGCCGCTCCGCACTGACGCGTACCACTTCGCTCGAGACTCACCCTTGAGCCAGCCCGGCTTACTTTTGACAAAGCTGAGGGGATTCCGAGAGCTGCTGACACCCTCCACGTTGGCAGAAGCATGGCTCACTGCTCTGGCTGAAGTGATCAGAGACTCGGCTTCTAATTGCGCGGTGGGGATGCTGCCCAGGTTGGCCCCGACATGAGAAGACCCGGCATTCGCCCATGCTGCGGCACTATGCTGAGTCGATGTTCCCGCAGGCGAGCCTGTCCTCCCCTCGCTTCCTTCAATGAATCCGCTCGAAGTTCCATGATTGAGATTCTTGCTGTCGCGTTTGGTCAGCTTTCTTCTGACCTGGGGCACATCTCGAATCAAAAGAGGCGCTTTGCTCAGCTGAACCAGCTTCTCTCCCGTGCTTGAGGACGACTGAGAGGGGGCGGAGACCCAGACCAGTAAAGAGAGTGAAGCCTCGGCAGGATCAGTAGGACCAAAGTTGGAGGGACCGCGCTTTGCAGAGCGAGTCCTTGGAGAGGAGTTTCCGCTCATCAGTTCAGCCAGGTGGTCGTTCCAAGCACTGCAGCGTCAAGCTCGGAGCTTCGAGGGGGAAATGTAGCTGGACTGAACGCAGGTAGACTTCGACGTCTTGCTGGTGGAGATCGCTGAAGTGGAAGCGCTGGAGCTATGTCAATCCGATACCTGAATGTGTGAAAAAAGCAGCGCTATTTTTACGAACCAAAAGGGCACGGGCCAGCCGATCACCTAATTTGAGCGGCCGAATTGGACTCTTGGCGGCCGTCGCAAGTCTTGAGTGACCTTCAAGCCGGCCAATTGGGAGTGTGTGTGGGTGTTGTGCTTGAAGAGGGAGTTTGGATTCTTCTGGCTATTGTCATATCAAAGCGCCAACTGAAAGCTGAAAATGGAAGCAATTTGGAAGTCGGCGTGCTGACCACCTTAATGTGAATTGTGCTGTTCACAGTTCAGGCTTGTACATCCTCTTCACTCAAACGTCTTCGGCGATGGACCCACGGGCGCAGCAGGGGCAACTTGCAAGCTGAGGCTGAGTAGAGTGCAAATAAGCAAGAAAGAGTCGTGTGTCGCAAGTCAGGTGTTGGTGCGATAGCTCAGACACAGTGAGGAAGAACGAGGTTATCGCGGTGACGGCGGGCCGTAGCGAGAGCAATTTGAATGATACAGACTAGACTGAAACTCGTGCCGCTTGTCGTAGGTGCGTTCTGGTCAGACGCTGCTGCAAGACAGCTATATATGTAGGTAGGACGATTGTGGACTCGCCTTCGTCACTCGTGACTGGTTGCATGGGATCGCGGGTGCCTCGACACCTTGACCGGCGGTCGCACGCAGCAGGTCACGTAACGCGCAAAAGCCGCGAGTACCGCCCGCGCACAAGGTTGCTCACTCGATCGATCGTGACTCAAACCCAGTCACTCGGCTACCAAAATCCGCGCTAAGTATGCAGAGGCAGGCACATTTGCTGCATGCTGCTGCTGGGCGCGCGGTGCGCGTCATGTTCCTATACACAATAGCATCTGCCGCAAAGCGTTGTTTGACCCGCCGCTGTCGCGCTAAAGTCAGTCAACGCGTGCTCTGCGGGCGATCGAGGCATCCGAGGTGTGGAAGTCACGCATGTAGTCGAGAATGACGTTCAAACAGTCGCCCTTATTGAGCGCCCACAACTTCCAATAGACCTGGCGCAAGTCGTTCGATTGCGCAGTCATCTTGCTACCAAACCACCTCTTCAAAGAACTCGAGCGGAAGGCGGGTGCCTCGAGCCGAGGGAACTCGTGCAATGACCGCTCGCAAACCACACAAACGGAATGCCGACAGGCACAGACATGCCTGAACAATCGCGCATGAAATTCCGTAAGCGATTACCGCGACGGACTCGCGCTCCTCCTGTCAGAGCGACGCCTGTCTCTTTGATCCGCAGGATCGTCATGAGCCCCGTTTTGATCATCACCTTCCACCGGCAAAGTCCTAGGCCCGTTCCTCCAGTCCCCTCCGCTCTTTCCCTTTTTCCAGTCCGGTACCGTGTCATCATTCGCCGCAATCTCATCTTTCCAGCCCATCTTTTTGCCCGTGCTCTCTTCTTTTGCTCGTCGGAAGGCGAGCTCTGCCGATAGCTCGTGATGCAACTCCCTTACTAAAGCGGGCGAAGCGTATCTCAAATGCATGAAGTTGCCTGAGATGCCAAGAGCGAAGTTTTCTGTAAGCATAAGCTTCTCGGAGCTTTGTGCGCGGAGTGGCCAAAAAGCATGCCACTCACAAAAACCGCCTCTGTTGCACTCGTTTGTCTCATTCTGCCGACAGCACGCTTCCCTAAAGTCGGTCACGGGTGAGAGTTCGGAAAACAGCGGTCGTCCTGATGAAAACGGGGATATGTAACATCAGCCAAAAGCTCCGTAGTCTTGCGCAAACATCAGCATTGTTTGTCTCTGTCCTGACACCATGGCATGCTATCTTGGAGCGCTTTCATGATTCTATGGTTCACCAGCGACCCTGTCCCACGTCGAGGCGACACTTACCAGCGTACCATCTCTCGTTCAGAGCATCCACCGCTCTTCCAGCCTCTTCTTCAAATTCGTATCGCGCATACACGTTCCCGATCAAGTGCTCCCCAACATTATCGCATACATGCATCTCGATGAGCGTCCCGTACCTAGCCAATTCGCAAAAGAAGTCTTCAAAAAAGTCGTCAAAGTCGCGTTGAAGCTCTTCGTCGCTCAAGGTGCAGTTTGCGTCCGCATGTCGAGGATTTTGATACACGTTAGAGATGAGTATAGTCTGACTGAAAGGTGGCCGGGTGTGCTTCCTCGAGCATCTATCTCCATGGCGGCAGGCACCAATCTGCGCAGGGCAAGAGACGAAGGGGGCAGGATGGTCAGCTGAGCCTCGCGAAGGTGACGCACTGCCAAGGCGGATATCTTACTTTGTAGTAGAATGAGCAGTTGACCTTGTCTTGCTCGGTACCATAAATGCTAGCCAAATAAGATGCCATCTTGAATCAGCTCCGTACTGCCGAGTAGCACAGCCGAGAGGTAGAGGGGCCAAATAAAATTTGCGTGCTTGATCGAGTATGAGCAGAGGTGTAGCGGTGCGCTATTCCATCCACTCGTGACTGGCGTGCGACAGCTTGCGATGGCGTTGAGGGTGGTGATGGTGGCAATGCGGCGCGGCATCGCGAGCGGCGTCGAAAGGAAGTCGACCGCGCCCCCGAGCGTTGTCATTTAAAATTCGGTGTCGTACGCGCGCGCGCGTGGGGGGAATCGAGAAAGTCAAGGAGTGGGGCGCGTATCGCAACGCTTGCTTAGCAGCAGCGTGGAGATGTGAGTCTGATCGTGCGCGTCTTGATTCTTCCTCCACGTGCAGCATGCGCCCGGCGCTCTGTCCATCGTGGATTCCTCATACTCAAACTGACCAGCAGTCAAGAGTCACAGTCGTGAGTACCGAGAAGCACGTTGGCACCGCGGTCAGCAAGCTCTTTCTTCACAGTCGCGGTGCATGGGCAGCTTGAAATGGAAACGGTTGCTTGGCACTTAGCATACGCGATGTAGACATAGAGAGAGGGCCCGGCGCATCATCTCTACACTACGATGATGGCGAAAGAGTCACACTGCACTGTGGTTCGCGATTCGCTCAATCCAATCGTGAATGAAGCGCGTGGCCTTGCACCGCCGCAACTTTAGCCCAGATACCTACCTCGCGCGTCATCGGTCGTGATTATGTTGATTCAAGAGTCGCGTGGTGAGCCGTGATTCACATTTGATTCTTGATATGGAGTCCATCATGGTCATGTATACCGGTGCTTTGCTTTGCGTGCCGTGCCTATACCTACACAGTCTTGAGTCAGAGTCGTGGGTATAGCCCAGCTACCTTTAGCCGAGGCCGATCAGCGTGCATGCATCGCGATCGAGAGTCGTGAGTATGGTCGTCATGATCGAGTGCGCGGGCTCTGCTGCAAGCACAGTCACGAGTCGCGAGTCACTCAGTGCATGCCTTAGCTATAGGATCAGGATCAGCAGGATCAGCAGCACCGCGCGAGCGCACGCCATGCACTTGTGACTCTGTAAGCTGTGCTGCTGCATGCTGCGTGTGCATGGACATGCGATGAAGCTAGGCCTGCTTCTCGCGCAAGGGCGACCGGCCGTCCGCGTCGCGTTTGAGGTGTGCTGAGTGTTGAGTGTGCGCGTGTACCTGCTGCTGCTGCATGCCTATGCTGTATGTACATTGTATATCCAGATCAAATTGTGCGCGCGGCACTACTCGTGGCTACTGACTGTACTCGTGACTGCTGCTTGCCGATACCGGTACCGTAGATGAACTCAGACTCTGTTGCCGTGCAGCTTGCTCATCTCTGCATGTTCACCCAATCACAAATTCTCGTGCCGGGCCACTGCATCCGCAACCCCCATCCTGCCCCCGCTCCCCGTCCTCCCATTTCCACTGTCGATCGTGACATCCAACCGGTTCGACGAATCCAGCTTCTGTCACAAGGCTTGCACACAATCAGCCAAGCCAGACACCTCCTTCGCAGGCCCACGCCTTTAGGATCATCGCACGAAGTGCCATCTACTTTGCAGCATCCTAATTCCACTTGTCACAATCCTGGAGGACGATATATCGACAAACCTGCAGCTGCTCAGTGACAGTGCTTCAGCAGCATTTTGAACTAGCTTCTTCACCTCGCACGGCACGATCAACGCGCACCGGTCGCCATAAAGCGATTCATCGACGGATTTCGCCCCCGCTTGCTGGGAAGACATTCGCCTCCACCGACTCGCCGGCGTTGGTCCGTATTCTATCTAGGCGCTGCACACGCCAAGTCTACCGTAATTGAACATGGCTTCTTCAGAGACTGAAGCTGGACCATCGTCCTTGGCGCAGCGTGCGGCTGATCTCAGCTTGTCCGACGAACCTCATGCAAGCAGTGCTCAGTCAACGGGTAGACACACCAACGGATCTGCCTCAGCTTCGCCTCCACCAGCACTATCCCAACCTCAGCAGCCCGAATCTGTTAGACGTCCCACGGGTGGTCCTCCTTCACGGAGCGGTGGCCCCCCGGGCAGCGGTGGAGGTGGTCCGCCACCTCGACAGAACGCTGGCTTGGGAAGTCTAGCAAATGTCAATTCACGCGCAAAGGCCATGGCTGGTGGCCCGCTGCCGCCAAGCCTGATGGCGAAGCTCCAAGCAGTAAGTTGCGAATCACCGCTTGACTTGACTTCTCGGTGAAATGCCCTTCTCACAAATTCGCTCTTGTCCCTCATGCGCCGGTCTCGCACCTAGAACGCAAGCCGATCAGCTGCAGGACCGGGAGGATCGCCATCACCAGATCCTCAGAGCCTCTTGTCGAGAGGTGCAGGCGCACCCGGTGGACCCGGGCTGGGCTCTCTGCGGGCAGCCCCTAGTGGTCCGCCTCGAGCACCGCCTCCTCCCAGCGGCCCCACCGGTGGAGGTCCAGCCTTGGGAGGGATGGCGGCGAGAAGAGCCAGACCAGGCTTCAAGCTGAGCGACATGGGATTCACAGCGGAAGGACCTCCTGGTGGCGCTGGCAGCCCAGGCACGTCTCAGCCAGGGGCCCTCGTTGGTCGAGCACCGGGACAAAAGCTTGCTCCACCTGGTAAGCTTGCCAACGCAACCGGCCCCATGAGTTCAGCTTTCGCGAATTTTTCGAACGTTGTGTGAGCGATCTTGATGCTGATCAGGCTCACTATTCAAGAGCGCGAGCTGATTGCCTGCCTCTGCCTTTGGTTGCAAACTGCCCAGCGACCCATCTGGACGCTTGAACTTTGACGGAAAAGCGATTTTGCACAAGTCTGGCGTCGAATTTCGGAACGGCACCAAATTTCAGATCAACATGGAAGACTTGGAATTGCTCGACGAGCTTGGCAAAGGCAATTACGGCACTGTGCGCAAGGTCCGCCATACGCGCACAAAAGTAGAGATGGCAATGAAGGTGAGTTGCATGGTTGTCATGGACGCAAAGCAGCGCTAAATGCGGTATCTGCCCTTATCTGGCGCATACACAGGAGATTCGCCTCGAGCTTGACGAATCAAAGCTAAATGCCATCATCATGGAGCTGGACATCCTTCATAGAGCTACTGCGCCTGAAATTGTCGAGTTCTACGGAGCATTCTTTGTGGAGAGCTGCGTCTACTATTGCATGGAGTACATGGATGCGAAGAGCCTTGAAAGCTTGTACCATGGACCTTGCTCGGTACCCGAAGACGTGTTGGCGAGGATCGTAGCGTGGACAGTGCGAGGTCTCAGATTCCTCAAAGATGAGCTGCAAATCATGCACAGAGGTGAGCGATGCGAGTTGGTCGCCATGTTAGCCTGATAGCTCACTGTGTAAATCTCAAATCACAGACGTGAAACCAACAAACATCTTGCTGAATCGCAAAGGGGAGGTCAAATTATGCGATTTTGGTGTCTCTGGTCAGCTGGAAAAGAGCCTCGCAAAGACGAACATTGGCTGCCAGAGCTACATGGCTGTGAGTGTATGTCTTCATCGTCCTGCCCCTCTCGAACGCTGACGCCTCTCTCTCATGCTTCATGACCAGCCCGAGCGTATCAAGGGCGAGTCGCAAAACATGCTTGGCACCTACACGGTCGCGTCTGACGTGTGGTCGCTAGGCTTGACCATCGTCGAAACGACTCTGGGCACATATCCATATCCGCCCGAGACCTACTCGAACGTCTTTGCGCAGCTCCAAGCGATCGTGCATGGTGACCCGCCCCAGCTACCTCCGACGTACAGCAGCCTCGCTCGGGACTTTGTTGCGAGGTGCCTGGAAAAAGTGCCTGACCGGCGAGCCACTTATGCGCAGATGCTCGAACATCCTTGGCTCGTGGAAGACTCTAACAAGGGCAGGGACGGTGTCGACATGGAGGGATGGGTAAATAAAGCTTTGGACGCCAAGATCGCGAGGAAAGCTGAATCTGCTGCCGCATTGACCTCAAACGCCGGCGGGCAATCAGCGTAGCCAAGGTCGATGCCGCATTCTCTGACTCTGACTTTTCCACGTAGCATGTATTCTCCTTCACGTCTGTTTGCACATCCCATACACGCAATGCACATCTCTGTCCTGCCCTGCTTGGATTGAGCTCTCCCGAGAGCTGAGCGTGCGTGACCTTTGCGACCGGCCGTCTCCGAATGCATGCTGCGCCAGAGCGGAGAGCTGTGCGCAGAACGTGCACTTATCAATTGTATGCTCGTGACTGTTGTCGCGCGCGGGGTAACGCGCATTGCCATGATTTGATCCGAGGGACAGCGCTGGGGAGAAGTTTATGTCAGTCAAAGGCCTCGCGCCTGGAATCGTGTCTTTCGTGCCAGGGTCATAGAGGGCTTCCTTTGTAGCTCAAGCCCTTCCTTTCGAAGCCACGCCTCAAATGTCAAAGTGAAATCTTGTCTCCGAATCCCCCAAGCTTCTGTTGTCCAGATATGCCACTCGCAATTTCTCCGACTAAGTCTCCGTCGTTGTCGATCCGACTCCCAGCCACATGATGGCGCATGCATAGAAATGAGCCAGGCAGCGAATTCGTCGACCATCAGCTAATTTCGTCGGTCCGTCTGATGCTGGTGGTCGCGGAGTGATAGATCACGGAAAGCAGGTGCGTGTTATGGCCAAGGAAAACACGTTGACTTCATATACGTTCCAGTGTGCGGGCCTCTGGTATTCCTCGTTCGTCCAGTGGTTAGGATACTGCTCTTTCATTTCTGGCATGGACGCTTGCGGCATGTGCCGTAGTTCTCCATGGGAGACAGCAGCGGCCCGGGTTCGATCCCCGGACGGGGAACTTTTGACCGCGGCATCTCGCACATCAAAACCAGTCGGGCATCGACGTCACTTTTAATATCATCATCTACCACGTCAACATGAATCGGGAATGCGCATAGACGCTATGTGCTCCCTGCTTGCTTGTATGCTGTCTCGTAGGTTGGACTTCTCCGACGCTCGCTCGAGCGTGCGGGTGTGCCGCTCCGAGTGCCCGTTTGCGTGCTAGCTGGACACTGGCACGTGATGCGCTAGCAAAACAGACTAGATCGCTATAGCACCCTAGAATGTCCATTCTTGGACATGTCTCGATCGTGACTCGAGAATGCTGTTTGTGTGTAACTCGATGTCTCTTCTTGCACTTGCTACTATGTGGCACTGCGTGCGTGCTCTCTTGCATCCCTTCCTCTCTTTCTCGCTCGCACATTCTCCGTGCTTGCTCTTGCCCAATCTTTCACTGAACATGCGCTCACCACTCATGTTCCTGACAACTTTGAGTCGCCCGAAGCTCTGCCCCGCACTCCAGAGACTTGACCTGATCATTCAATTATACGCCTAATCACTGGTCCACATAGCCAAGAGCACGTGACTTGAGGTCGCGCTCCACGTACGAGCCGCTCTTAGGTTTTCCGCGTCCATATTCGAATTCGCGACTAGCAATTGAATGTGTCCAGTAATCTTCTGAAGAAGAAGTGATCAAACAGAATGCGGCTTCACCACTGGCCATTGACTGCACGAAGCTCTCCCTGGTCCTCTCTGCTACCAAAACGATGGTAAAAAGATTTTGCGTGGATTTGCTACGATGATCGGGCAAAAAGGAATGAACTCTGAGCGAATCGAACGCTCAACCTTCTGGAGCCTTCGGGCAAAAGTCCGCAAACACTGGAATCAGATGCGCTACCATTGCGCCAAGAGTTCTCGGCGTAGCTTTGCACAACTTGTACAATATGAATCGCTCAGACGATATCCGTCTCGCTTTGCAACGAACGCATTCTGCCGATTTCTGAATTCACCTCTTGCTGCCCTTCCTTGTGCTTGCACAAGATGCACCTCAGAGTTCACTCAAGACTCTCGACTTGCGTACAAATGCGAGGATCGAAGCGCAAAAGTGGCGCACAGGAAACTCACGCCCAAGCGCTGGCTGCGACCGACGCCCCCCCACCTTTCTTTCGACGGGCACATTCAGAACAGGATTTGCTCGCCTCTACACGTGGGAGGGAAGAGGTTCTTGAGCGTGTCTGGCTGAGCCACACTCGATGACTGTCCCAGAGGCGCAGAGGGACGCGGTCAAAGCGATTCACCAAGGCGGACACGCTACCTCACGCTGTTGACCTTGTGCAGCTCTAGCAAGGTTCGCACCCATGAGCCTTCAATACTAGCGATCACCAGGAATAGAAGGAATAGCGGGGCTATAGGACTGTTTGCAGAGCCCACGAGAGCCGTCACGCACGATCGGATGATCATGCGAGGTGCTCCGTCCGCATGGATAGCGAGTCCGCGGCGGCTCGCGTCGTGCAAAGACAAGACAGGGTGTGGCTTACGAGTCCAGTCCTTGCCGCCGCGTTTAGAGTGGAAGCTTGCAAGTGACAAATTTGCATTCCGAAAAGGCTCACTGGCTCTCATCTTCAGGCCTTGGTATCTTGCTGCATCCTTAGCATTCATCTCTGCGAGTCAACAAGAAAATTCGCGCAACGTCGACAAGAGGACCTGCAAAGCGCGCAACCGGTGACGATTTGATACATTGCCTGGTCAGGGAAGCGTAGAGGAGTACAGGATGCAAAGCAAATGAATGGTGGTGAGTGTGTACAGCCGCAAGCGTGAGATATCAGCGCTGTCTGCCGGGCCAGACGAGCGCGTGCAGACCTCTTTGTTTCCTCCAAAAGTTTGTGTACATGAGGATATTCGTATCGAGGATGATGTGCCACTTTTCCAAGAACCAGGGACTGACTTCCCAGCCAAACTCTGCAGTCGTGTCAGTTCCGATGACGATGAATGCTGGTTCGGCCTCGCCAGTGTTGCCAGAGATGCACATGTCGAAGCAACTGGGGGAGGCAAGGTACACGCGCTGAGCGGGCATTCGTGGCAAAGTGACACTTCACGCCCGCCTACTCACAGCTCGTCCTCGTCAATCAGCTTGGCAGCCGACAGCGCCAAAATGCGATCGCGAACACTTGGCCAGGGCAAGACGTCCAGCCACGGATGGTCTACGAATGAGAAAGGATTTCAGCCAAAGCCGTTGCTCCACTGCCACGCAATCTGCCCAACTTACGCTCCACGGCCATTTGCAATTTTGTCGGCAGCATGTTCTGCGGCATCTCTTGCCATTTGCGCTCCAGCACTTCATCCGTTCGCAAATCGAGGGGTTGTGTCGACTGACCGACCGTGGTCACCTGCAAGCCGTTGACCGGACACACGCTGATGCTGTTATGATGGACTTGCGGCCTGCAGCGCGCCAAATAGCACTCGCCGAGCGCCGACACGCCCTCGTAGTCCGCGAGCTATCAATGGAGAGAGCCACTTCAGTCGAGGGTCGCATTGGCTCGACGCGCTGAACAACTCACATCTTCGTGTGTGAAGCCCATGACTCGGGCATTGCAGAACATGGCTTGCACCGTATGGCGCTGTTCCATGTCTACCGGCTTGCCCAACCCAAGCGAGCGACTGCTGAACATGCAGAACCTGTCGAAATCGCACTTGCTCATCATCTTGAGCTGTTCTCCCGCCGCCAGCACCATGGCAGCCTGATACGCTTTCCGTTGCGGGTCGCGCGGTTCACGAGACATTAATTCGGACGCATCCTTGAATAGGTTTTCTGTGCTGCCCTTGAGCACCTTGGCAACATCGATGATGTTGATGGGTGCGCCCTCAGAAGGTGGTGAAGAGGAGGATCCCGACGATGGCGAGCCGCTTGACGAGCCAGATGGCGAAGACTGCGCATGCCCGCTAGACGAGTGGAATGACGCGCTCGATGCGCTGCTGCCGAGGTGGGACGCAGCGTCGCTTCCACTAAATGAGACGTTGCCACCATCTGCATGTCTCGTGCTTCGAAAGTACGGCGCCGCCTCTCTTGCGGCTGCTTCGGCATTCGTAGCGCAGAGCTGAGCAATGGTGTTTGGCAGGGCCGCCTCGAGCAAATCTTCCAATGCGCGCGCAGCGACCGATGTTCCGCCGGGTGTGCGCTGCTCTCCTCCTAGCGCGTCGGTCCATTGCTCGCTTGTCACTATGTCGGAAGGCAGATGATTGGTGGGAAAGCTTTGCGAGACGCCATTCTGCAACCATTGTGTGAAAGGGCTGGGTGCATCGGTCGGCTGCTGAGGAGCGGAGGACACGCTGCTAGGCAAGTGCGTTGGCTGCTGCAATTGGCTCGCAAAGAACCCCGCGCTGGCTGCGAGCTCAGCCGAGACGCTCGTGCCGAGTGCGGTAGTGATGCCATGCTGATCGACACTGCTCGCGCTCTGAAAGGTGGTGCTGTAAGGTGTCGGGTTCGAGCTGGAAGAGGCTGACATATCCTCGGAGGCGGAGGGTGTGCGGTGAGCAGATGTGGACGTCGCTGCGATAAGCTCTTGCGATGACGATGAGGCAGCAACAGCCCGTTTGGCCTATGCAGAGCGAGCAGCGTATAGTGAGAGGAGCTCGACGGGTATGCACATGCGCACAGACCAACTCACCTCTCTAGCTCTCTCTCTGAATCTGCGTTGAGCGAGCTTGTTCTGTTCCCTCCTCTGCGCGAGCACCTCTGCAGCTGACTGCTCTGGAGTCACATCAGAAGCTCCGGCAGGCCCACCGACGACACTTCCTGTTCGTGCAGCAGGCATTTCTGATGGATCTGGGTTGAAAGCTGAAATGGCAGGAGGCTTTCGGGTCGCGCGCAGGCAGAAGTCGTGAGCGTTGAAGTTGAAGTGTGGTAGCAGGACGAATCCTGAGCGATGCTGCAAAGCGAGATAGGGCAGCGCGCGCAATTTGCGCTTCGATCACTATACTTACGGCCGAAAGCAGACGCGCGAGGCGAAGCGTCGGCACTTGTGACCCGCGTGTGTCGGCGGTGGGGTGCCGCGAGGATGGAAGGAAGTGAATGGGGGTGCAAGCGAGGGAAGTGGTGTGTCAAGAGGTGTCGCTTTATCAAGGTGAGAGAGTGCGACAGCGATGAAAAGATGAGGAACTAGCGCGTTGCGTGGATGAGCGCAGGAGAGGGGGAGAGAGAGAGAGAGAGAGAGAGGCGGTGCTCTGGAAAGTTCCGAGAGCATGCTTGCAGCCCCGTCGCGGTCAGCAGCGCGCAGCCAGGCGGCGGTGCATGCTGGTGGTCGCGCGCGCAGCAGGTCGCAACGCGGAGATGCGCGCATGAAGATGCTGACGGTGCATATCGGCTAGAGGCGTGGCCTCGTCGTCCTTACAGGCAATAAGACACCCACCACACACACTCGCTGACCGCCCAGCACTCGTGACTCTGACTGCAGCAGCGGCTCAGATCGAGAGCCCCAGCAACGCCTGGAGTCACAGTAAGGAGCATTGAGTATAAGGACGGGGCTCATTCTCAGCGACTCACGACCTGCGATGCCGCTGCTCTATAAACAGAGTCGAAGTTCTTGGCGGGCGCGTTGAGCATTCATGCGGAAAGCTGGCAAGCGCTGCGAATCTAGGCTACGCTGTCTACAGCTACAGTCGTGAGTGTGAGTCGTGAGTCACTACTTGATGAGTCGTGCGTCGCTGCTGCTGCATGCGGGCAAGACAACTCTTGACTCCTATAGGCGGAGCTCGCCTGGCCCGGGCCCTTGAATTTTTCTATTCATCCGAAGGGCGAGATGCAAGATCGCTCGCACATTCACGATTTCACAGGACTCGTGATTTGGGTGACTTTGCTTTCAATGAATGGTTCGACTCAGACTGCTGAACTCAAGAATCAAGAATCAAGGAAGTCAGTCACGAGTGGAGAGCAGCGGTGCGCGCGTACGTGAGGTCTGCTGCAGCCCAAAAGTTTCTCTTTCTCCTTGCATGCCAGTCGTGAATTCATCAGCAGTTTGAGTGGGAAAGGTGCTGGGCATCTCCAACAAAGCTTAGCATTCACACTCAAAAGATGTTTTTGTGAGTGCCGTGTCAAGCTTGCCTCCTAGATCAGCATGTAGAGCACAGCGGCACTCGTGACTGTTGGCCGATGAGAGCGATGCCGCGGCGTCTCGGTATGATGCTTCGAGCGCGAGCGTGGGAGGAGGGGCAAAAAGTGATCATCATCGACGCAAAACTCACGACTCACACTGGTGCCGAGCAGTCCGAGCCCCAGCATTGCTAGGCGTCAGCAAGCGTGAGTGAGAGCACACAAGCACTCACTCGCAATCGCGACAGCGACGGTGCTGTACCACCCGTTCATTCCACCAAGGCCACTCGTGACTCGTGACTCCCACAGCCCTCTCGCCTCGTGTGTAGATGCTGTTTGTGAGTGCATGAGTGTTTGTTCCCACGCTGAGCGCGGATTCGTGATGATTGCATACATGTATATATTCATGATTTGGCGCGCTGCGCTTTCAACCCGGCTCTGTGACGCGTGCTGTGCTCGAGCCATGCTGCTGCTGCACATTTGCACAACACTCACCACACCACTCGTGACTATTACGACCCTCTCCCCTCATCTCACACCACGACTTCCAGGTTGCTATTTTTGCTGTGGCCTATGTCCGCGAGATCGTCAGCGTGCATCACCAGCCCTACTAGGACTCACCCTCTCGACACGCGCCATCGTCAGTAACGCGAGTAGCGCTTGCAGCGGGGTGTGCCCATCACCATCCCCACTCGCATTCAGATAGGTGACATTTACGACTGCAACTCGCTCTTGAAGCAGCGAGCACGTCCTTGACGAATCGTTGATCCATCTCGCAAACGCTACGCAGACGACATGGCTCCTCCTTCCTATGGCGGAAGCGCCTCGGGGTCGTCTAGCCGCGTTTCATCGTCCATGCCCTCTCGACACCATCGGGTGCAACCAGCGCCGCGCATTCCCCCTCCGCCGCTCATCCCTCCGACGATCACAGACGCTCTATCGCAGCTACCACCGCCTTCTCTCTGGCCGGGCCTGGCGCTGCAGTACCTTGTCATCGATCCTCTCCTTGCCTTGCTGGACAACATTACCGCTCTCATCTTGTCTCCCAAGACGCATCGTTTGGTTCTGCGTCTTAGCGTGCTGGGAGGAATTTGGACGACTGCAGTAGCGCTCGCCATAGCTGGGTATGTTGGCTTCTACAGAGCCTGGGTACCGCATATAGGTCACTCTTACGACGTATGGCTGCAATATGGCAAGGAGGCGATTCCTTCAGCCGACATTGACTTGGCGAGAATCATGAGGGGCCAGTCGTTCGCTCGCGACCAAGAGTACGATGTTAGCGTCGATCTCGCCGTGCCTCTCAGTGCTGCAAACTTGGATCTTGGTGAGTAGAATTCTGAGCTCGCTGGCTGGCGTGAGCACTGATCATGACCCCCCTTTTCTAGGCAATTTCATGGTCTCCATTGATCTCTTTTCGGCGGACGATGCGCAGGCCTATTCCATCGCTCGTCCTGTGAGCTCCGATCCGCGGCGCGCCAAAGAATGAATCCTTTGCCTGACCTCGTTTCTCTTTTACTCAGGCACTTATCACCTACAATCCAGCGCCCATGCGGGTTCTCCAAAACGTGGCTCATTCTCTCACACGGCAGAGTTCACTCTCTTTGCCGCTTTCCACGAATCCCACTGCACTCTTTACCGTGCCTCTGCTGCGACGAGCTATCCTCTCTCCCGCTTCATCTTCGCATCCCTTCACCCCATCTCCTGCTCAAGTAGTCAAGGCCAAGGTAAAGATAGGAAGAGAAGACGCAGACAAGTATTGGAGGTATGGTGGAGGTCACGGCGTGGGTGGGCTGAGGACGGATATCGGTCCCGGAAGAGTCCTTGGCGTGACGGAAGGCTTCAGAAGCAGAGGGGAGCTTCAGACATCCGCTGTCAGCTTGCGAATCGACGCGCACTTGACAGGCCTGAGGTGAGCATATCGGTCTGCCAACGACGATCGCGCTGTTCTGACTGAAGGAAGTGCTCCCGCCTCTTTCAGATGGTTCATGTATCATCGACCCGTCCTTTCCTTCGTCCTTTTCACGTCGCTTTTTCTCGCTTTTGAGCTCGTCTCGGCACTCACGCTATGGGCGCTTGCAGCGCTGTACACTTCTAACCTGGTCGCGATGCCGAATCTAGCGGTGGAGGAGAACTACGTGGACCACCAGCGTCGCAGGAGACGTCGAGGAGGCAATAGCAGCAGCGCGGAGGATACTGCAAACGGCAACGGCGCCACCACGGCAGGCACGACCGACGGACTGACTCCGGGAGGCGTGTACGACGAGTCGACAAGTCCGCTCGACGACGACGCGGGCAGCGGCGGAGAGACAGAGACGGAAGCTCGGAACCGCGCCAGAAATTTGTTGCAAGCGCGCGAGCAGCGCAGCCGAGCGAGTCTAAGAGCGCTGGACGAGCGCGAAGCTGCAGAGTCGAGGAGGGCGGAAGCGATGAGGGATTTTGCGGAGGGGAGACGAATGACTGGCGTGCCTTCATTGACGCACGAAGAGGAGAGGCTGCAAGCGGAGCGTGAACAGCAGGCTTTGCTCACCGAGAGGGAATTGGAGCTCGAGATGGGAAGCCGACGTGTGCTTGGCAGGCTGGACGAAGAGACTGAAGAGGAGACGGATGTGGGTGGCAGCGAAGGGTATGGACAGGGACGCGAGGGAGAGCAGGATGAGCAGTCTGGTTCGGGTAATGCTTGGGAAGAAATCGACGCGGAAGAGGAGAGCGAAGAGATGAATGCTGAGCAGCAAAGGCGAGAGGGGCTGAGAAGGCGCGCCGCAAAGAGCTCCGAAGAGCAAGGAAGGGAGAGCACAGTTTCTGGAGTGAGTAGCGCAGCAGGCACGATGCGCGCAAACAGCTGACAGGTGTAACTCACGCCCACTTGCGTAGTCTGCCACCTCGAGAGCATCCTCTGTCACTTCATTCGGCCCGAGCATGGCATCGTCTTCAAGAGGAACCTCGCTCGCCCCATCGACGGCGGGGGCAGGTCCTTCTGGTGCGCGTGCCTCTGCTACACCAACGCCAAGGGGATCCTCGCAGCCTATCAAGGAGGAGCCCGAGGATGATGTTAGCACGAGCGGCAGTGGGACTGGGAGTGGAACCAGCCCCGGCGAAGGGACTGACGCAGACGCAGCGTCGCGATGATACAGACCTGGAGCATTTCATCAAGCGGGCACAGCTCGCGTTCACCGCGCATTTCACCGATCACAATGAGCACGTCGCACTGGCGAAGCTCGCCGGATTTCGCTTCCAAATTTACTTGCTATGCTAGCCTCACGCATGACCTCGATCTTCACCTCTGCATCACGATGGGCGTGATTGCGACTCTGGAGCATGTCCCATCACAAGCGTTGCTTTTGCGACGACCACAGCACCGCTCAATCTCAAATGGGAGTGATGCGATGACCATGGCACTGCTCAATCTTGACTGGGCGCGTCGAATTTCGTGGGGAGGCGATGACGCTGCACAGTCGTCCTTTTGTGGCGCGCGGTCTCTTTTTGCTTGAGGCTGCTCTGGTCGAAGTGCCATCCGAAGGAAAAGGTATCTCCACCGCGCTAGATGCGTTGCGAGGACGGAGCGGCGTTGTCACATGAACTCCAAGCAGGCCCGAGGTAGGCTGCAAATCGTCGTTGGATGATCACACTTGACTGCAATACCAGCTCGTTCAGACATGCTAAAGCATCATCAGAAATCTTGCACTGGATGCCACTCGCGTGAAGCGCAACCACGAGTGGATCTGAAGCTGAGCGCGGACTGGGTCATCCCGATCAGATCATATGCCCAAGTATCGGTGTTCGACCGTCGCAAATCGTCGCCCACGTTTTGCACACCTGTCCGCACTTGACCATATTTGAGGAGACGCTGCATCTCAGCATGACGCTCACACCGCGGCTCTTGGTGCAGATGTGGCGCTTGCAGGAGGGACGTGCAAAGATTGCGATCAGCATTAACTAAGCTGTCAGCGCTGGCGGAGAAAGAGCAGAATGATGTACAGCAACACGAAATTCGAGCTCGACACGGAGCAATGCCGTAGTCACCACTTTTGGATGGCATCTGCAAGGCAATCGAGCATACGGCAAATAAGCGGTGCAAAAATTCGACAGGCTTGATCTGACTGCTCACCCAAGTCATCGGCATTGATCCAATCTGAGCCTAGACTCAGCAAGAGCCCATTGACTCTGTCCCTCACGAAGCTAGGCCACACCGCTGCGAGTGCGGTGCGTAGGTGCATGGGCGTCAGCTCTAGCATCCGCACCATGACAGATATCAGGCGCGTAAAACCCACGCGTATCCCAGACCCTCGTCGCGATGCCTCTCGAGTGAGCATCGTCGATCGCCTTTGTCAGGTTTGAGACGACATCCGCGCTGGGATCCATTAGACCCTTGTAGCCGGGAGCGAGCGAGCCAAGGCTTGTACTGGCAATTCCGCACTGTAAAGGCCAGCCAGGGCGTAGAGGATTGAGCTCGATTCGAACAAAGGCGCGCCTTGCGCTCACGATGCCACTCACTAGCGTGCTGTTGTAGGCATACGCTTGACCCTCAATTTGAAAATCTTCGCTCAGCTTGCCGAGCGGACAGTCGACAAAAATGTTTCGACTTTGCAGCGCAGCGAGCGCATCTGTCGGGGTGTTTCCTGTGCCAATGACAACGATGGGCCCCTTTGTGATCTTGCCATCCTTGTACGTCGTCAGGTAGCCTTTCTGCTCCAGCGGACGCAGCGCTTCGATGGTGGCTTCGAGGGTCCTCCGACCTTCCGTCTTAAGGTCCACAAGTAGCTGTATAGGAGCAGCATTTCCGACACCAGCAGTATAGAAGCCATTCCAAGGCAGTGTAGTGTTGGTTCGCAGTTGATCCTGCAGAGGCTTGAAGAACGCAGCTTCAGACTTGCTGGAAAGCAAAGCGTTGGCATCGTTGGCCTGGTCGATTGCTTTTCTGAGCGGCGCCAAGGTGAGGCTCTCGAAAGTCCTTTCGGGTGAGAGCGAGTAGGGATCGTGCCCTACGTAAAGCTCTCCATTCATCAGCCAGACGTCCGACTCGATCGATCTCACGCCGTGCGCTAGCGCATCCAACACAGGCGTATCTCTCCAATAATCGTTATGCGAATGGACGCCAATGGGTTGAATATCGCGACTCCAGTCAGCTGGGTGCTGGAGGATGGAGGCATCTCTGCCTCCAAAGAACGAAGTGGTGTCCGACTCGATTGGCTTGGTTGGATTCAACTTGAGCGCCGTCACTGCTGAAGCGGCAGCAATCAAGCCAATCAGCGTGGAGGTTGCTCTGTTTACCATGGCGCAAAAGAGACGAAGGGAAGTAACACGATGAGCGGCTACGCAATTTGACCTATCGCGCTGGATCGTCGAGGCGGTGCGGTAGCGAAATGCGATGAGATCGGTGCGAGAGCGGATCAGTAGCGCTGCACAGAGACAAGCCCCAGCTAACAATAGCAAACAGGCCTTGCGTGTTCTTCGACGATTTCGAGTCGTTCTGGGCGTGGGGGATGGGCCTCTGTGCCAGTTTGTCGTCAGATGGGAGTCGGATTTGCGCGATCCTGAGGCTGACTTTTCATTCCTTGCGCCTTCTTCGCGGCTCGATAAATGGACGCGCTGCTGATGATTGCTTGCGGAGCTGCCCACGCTCATGTCGATCTTGTGGAGGAACGTGCTTGTCGGGGAGAGCAAGAAAAGGTCTGCTGCACGGCTGCAAGTTACTGTGCAGTATTGCGGCACGTATGGGAGAGAGCGATGTGTGGCCTGTGCAGACTGACTTGTGCAAATGGTGGGGGGGTGGGGATGTATGCGCCTGGGAACGTGCTTCGACTTGCTAGAAGGCTTCCTCGCCAAGAACACATGCCTGCCGCTGATCACGCTGATCACGAGACCCGCTGAGACCCTGCAGCTTTCGAGGCGTCGGCCCAACCTCCACGCAAAAAAGCTTCGGCACTGACTGCTCTGGCTACAGCTGCCGCGCAAAGTCATCGCGAAAGCGGTGTGATGCGGTGAGAGAAATTGTCGAGGTCTTTGCGGATGGCGTGAGCATCTCTTGATCAGTCGGACGATTTTCATGATCGCGTTGTAGTGTATGCTCGAAGAACTCATGGGTAGACCGAGAGCCACTCGAAGGCGCTCATTCTTTATTCGTGATTCAGTTATTGAGTGCTTGTCGCCGCGCCCCGCGCTTCTGATGAGTATCGTGAGCCTTCGCCACCTCAAAAGCTTCTGCACGTGATTTGGCGTGCCGCGGCCCGACTCCAGCCTGCTTCCAATTTCGCTCGCGCGCACCAACGCGGGAGAATTGAATTTCCCCGCGTTGTCCCCTCTTCTTGAGCTACGCAGGCCGTGGCCGCTAGCTATCCCTTCTTCCGTCAGATCAGCCTACCTTCTTGAGGCCGACTTGGCAACTCGGCGTCAGCGCTCAGACAGTTGAATACATGCTCACTTGATGGGTGCGTACTCACTTGGATGTGAATGCTTGTGTCAGCAAGCTTCGGTCAAACGGTTTTGTGGGCAGGAAACTTTCTTGAGTCGCCCAGAGTTGCCATATGTGCTTGCAAGCACGAGTGCTGACTCAGATTGTGCCTGCCCCCACTCTTCGACAGAAGAATCAAGAGTCGCAGTACGACGTAAGGTATATGTAGTGCGAGTGGCTGAATGTAGTGCGAGTGGCTGAATCACCAAGTCATCGAACCCCCTCTGCCTGCGACAGTGAAGAGTGGTAATCATCATGTGAATGAGATGGATGTCCTTACTAGCCGTCGTTCGTCCACATGCAGGCAGAAGTGCGTGGCCGAATCACTCAAAAGAACTGCGCGGGCAGGATCCTTGGAGTGACAGACAGCATCCAATTTGAAGCTTGGATGAGGTCATGATGATTGCGAGTATGCCGGGGTCAATTCGTGATTTTGATTCATTAGCTGGTCGTGAGTAGTGATGATTCACATTCATCAGATTGTAGCAATGGTAAAGCTGAAAACAGATATAGGGCGAGCCTTTCAGTGGTGATCAGTGGATTCAAATTCTAGGTCAGTGCATGATGCCATATCAGTTCAAGAAGTGTGAGTGCTCCATGGAAGCAAGCGTGCCGTGGATGGCCCGAAAGTCACGAGTGAGTCAGGCCGCGGCCAACTGAGCGAGCTGCCGAAAGTGCGCCGCGCGGGCGTCACATTCGTGATTATTGCTCAGGTACGCGCAGCCACGCGTATAGGGCGACGGTCATGGTGGCAGACGGCAGACGCCACACCCGGCACCCAGCACCCAGCAGGCAGGCGGGGATGTGTCGCATTTGTGTTGCCTGTTCCTAGCTGCTGCTGATGTGCACATGACGTGCCTGGCCGCGATCCTGGCCCACACCCGCGAAGAGATGTGCAGCGGCAGCGGCGCTCTGTCCCCTCTCTCGACAAACGCAGAACAAGCACCATTCTTGTGAATCTTTCTCATTGGCCTCCCTTCTCCCTCACATACATCAGCGTAGCCTTTCTACGGAATCCTCCGGCCCTGCTGCTTGTCTCTTTTGGACTTATAGCAGAGGCGAGCTAGGTGTTCGCGTCCCAGAGAAAAGGAACCGCTTGTCCTGCCCCCTCTCTTCCGAGTGATTCCACACTGCCACCAGCACAGCGATTCGGGTCCGCGAGCACGGACAGCTGCAACTGCGCAAGCATTTCCGACGATGCGACAAGGGTGCGCTCGACTGTAGAGATGCACAGGCAGCACCACTCCCATCCCCTCCTATGGCCTGAACGGAGCTACTGATGCAAGAGGCGTTACCCGGCTCTCGTTGCAGAACCGCACCATCTACACCTCTACGCCTACTTTGGCACTCCCGGACGGACTTCCTCGAGCGGGAGGACTTTGCTGTGATCCAACCAGCATTCAGCATCGCGTAACCGCAAGCAGACCCACAATGCCTCCAACCTCAGTCCACATCGAACGTGAGTCTTGGCAGCTTAGCCGCTGACCTCCTTGCAGCCCAATTGATTGACAGCTATTTCAATCCTTCAGTCTTCGAACCCGTCATCTTTCTGCGAGGACAGTCTGCCGTTGGAGAGGGTGCGCACTGCAAGCGGAGACCTCAATTTTGTCACTAGACTGACTTGACACACGTTCCCCCCATGCGCTTACTCTTCAGATGCTCGGGGAAGACGACGTGCAGTGGACTTCGATGCCCCACCCTCTCAGCTGCGGGGTCTCTTGACACTTCACCTCGCCAAGTCAAGTCGCATCAAGGACATTTCTGTTGAGCTGAGAGGAGTCGGGCGCACGGACTGGCCAGAGGGTAAGCTGCGCAGAGTAGCGCATCTATTAGCTGAGACACTGACTTGGCACCATTTTAACATCCTAGGCATCGGACATAACAGGCTGGAGCTCGGCGAAGAATCTTGCTTGATCAAGCAAGGCGTCTCTTTGTTCGATGCACGCCTCGACCCTACACCCCGGAGACGAGCTAATAGCATTGGCCCTGGCATCGCGTGCGATTCTTCCGAGGGCTGGTCTCTGGGCGCGTACCACGACCCAGACCGAGCGTCTTCCAGTAATCCAACGACACCTCGAGCGCGGGGAGAGGGTAGCAACAAGAATCACAACTCGAATGGCGCGTCTAGCGAGAGCGGACTCGCCAAGGTGGCTCAAGTCGCAGCGAGAGCCGGCACTTCCTTGCTACCGCCCACAGTTGTCAAGGAGCTGCAGCTTACAGCCAAGCCGAAGAAAGCAAACGCACCCAGTCCACAGCGTCCTCACTTTGGAAGGAGCGGCAGTGCAGGAGGGGTGAACCTGCAACGCACCCAAGCTGCACCATCCCCCAGGCCGGGCAGCGCCAATGGTCGCTCTCTCGACCCTTCTCCTGGTCCCTCACAACCCTCGACGCATCGCTCTCTCGACCCTCCGCCCTCGTATGAGCAACACATTTCCAGTGCTCCCGCAACGCAGTCGCCCCTAGCTGTTCGCGCCGCCGACGCCTTGGACACGACACAAACTAGGTGCGACCGAGAGGGCGCTGCAGATACTGGCGCAGCGTCAAGGTCAGGACAGCGCTCTATACTGCATCCTGCCGGGAGACAGGAACGTGCAGAGCGTTCATCAAGTCATGTAGGCCCTGGAGTCCGATTTGGACCGGCTCAAGAAGCGCGCCCTCCCGCAGATTCGCAGAGCGCGATGGGAGCTCCTTCTGGCTACCTTGCGTCCTCGCCGCTAGGCTCAGTCGGTGCTGCAAATACGGCAACGAATTCCACCAATTCCACGCCCTCCCGTCCAACATCTCCTTCAACAAGAGTAGCCTCGAGCTCTTCGACACTGTCGTCGGCTCCAAACAGCCGTCGTGCAAGTGTGGATGGAATGCACGCCGCTTCCAAAGCGAGCAGCCCCGGCGCTCCCGCTCGGAGCCGCAAAAGTGGCATCAAGGGACTTTTGGGTGGCCTTTTGAAGGAAGCTGACAAAGACAAGGAGCGTGGCCTGTCCGAAGTTAGAGATCCTGGGCATGATTGGAATGAGGCGCCTAGCGAGTGGAAGGAGTTCAAAAAAGGCACGTATACGTACGCCATCTCGCTACCTCTCCCGGCCGCTTTACCTCCTACCCTTCATGCCGACTTTGGCTCAAATGTCTACACGCTGAGAGGTCACGTCACGCGCGCGGGCCCGTTGACGCCCAACCTCAGCGACGAACGCGAGGTGGTTTTGGTGCACGCTCCGGACGAGAACGCAAACGAGGAAAACGAGAGCATCGTCGTGGAGCGCACTTGGGAAGACACGCTTGGATATGCTGCAGTAGTGTCCGGTCGAAGCTTTCCAGTAGGAGCCAAGATTCCAGTCTGGTTCCGATTGGTAGCGCTCGACAAGGTCCGCATACATCGAATCGTCGCGACGCTAGAAGAAAGGGTGAGTCTGCATCTCGAATGCTTGACAGGGGGGTCCGAGGCTCATTCATGCACCGAACCTTCTCCTTCCCGTTTCCCTCCTACAGACTGATTACTACGCCAAGGGAAGGCGTGTGGCTCGGCACGAAGTGCCCCGAAGATGGACCATGCTCAAGCTCACCCCTCCTGAAGGCCATGCGGCTCTGCTTCCGGTGATATCTGACGACTCAGATGCTCTGGACTCGCATCCGCTTACCCCTTACGCTGAAGCGGCGACGCACACATGGCCAGAAGCGGATAGAGAGATGCGAGCCAGTAGCTCTCTCAATCTGCTAGACCCACAGGGACCCTGGGAGCTTGCGGCTGAGCTTCAAACGCCTACCTGCCCGCCCGCACGAATCAACATGAGCACCAATCACAAGAAGAGCAACATTGCTGTGCACCACACCGTCAAGCTCTCCATACGAGTTGAGAAGCTCAAGAATTCCACTGCGCTGTCGAAGGGCAAGCCTCAATTGTTCGATATCAACATCGAGTGCCCGATCGCGCTGACCCATAGCCACACTGCACATGCATGGCTCAGCTTACCCGACTATTGGAGCCTGCCTCCTGGTGACACTTCGTTGCTGAGAGGACTCCCTATCGCTCCTACAGGCTCTGAAACGTCTACACCGTTGCTCGCGTCATCAGCGCCACGAGACACATATGGTGTGGGTGACGGCTACGCCGATGAGGCATGCCCGGGGCAACGCGAGCTCAACGGCACACCGAGTCAAGACACCAAGCTCATGTCAGCTGAAGCCAGAGACCAGTTGAGGCACGCTCGCGAGAGACTGAACAGCAATGCGCGAGATGTAGACCTCGCAAGCTCTTCTGCCCGAAGTCCTTCCCATCAGTCGGGCCTTCAGTGGCTTGCGTTAAGCAGCGAAGCGCCTGTGCTTGCTCGGCCGCTCTCCCCTCCCTTCGGCTCCCCAGCTGCAGCTGAGTCGGGACTCGACGGCCTCTCATCACAAGCGTCCGACCGCTTGATTCATCAATCGCTGCGTTCATCGCACCGCATCGCTTCTGGTCCTGGCGTGTTCCCGGATGAGCCGCCTGCGTATCCCGCTTCTTCCTGATCGTCACATTTGCCTTGCCGCCCTCGTCTTTCTCATGTCATATCTATTATACCTGTTCGCCACAACGCCAATAGCATGCACAATCCCGGTCACACGGCGTGGTGTCGACGCGCTGTGGACCACACTGGCGAGAGCAGGCGAGCATCTGTCTCGGCAGCTTTCGAATCGGACATTTGCAACAGCCCATCCGTTCCGGTCTTCAGCTGCTTCCACCGCGCACGCTCATGATCCCTCTCCGCGTCGGCAGCTTCGGAGGTCTTGCCGGTGAAACATGTGCCAAGGAAGCTTTCACAGATCACTCACGACTTGTGCTGGATACTTCATGGGCGGCTCAGCGGGGGAGGGGAAAGGGGGAAGCCTTCCGTATCTTGACTGTGGTCCGTGCTCCCCCGGTCAGACTCGAGCTAGAAGATGGTCACGAGCACAGCCTCATGAACCACATCTTGGATTGACAGGAGACGACTGATGACAGGATGCGTGGACTGAAAAGTGGAGGGCTGCGCACGGGCGCACGCGCAAGAAATCGTGTTTTGTCTGCACAGGCTTGTGCTGCGAATGGGGAAAAGAGCCTTGCTGTCGATGTTTGGACGCATCACTTTGAATCGAATGAACCCGCATGTCATGCGTTTGCCACAATTCTAGACCCGCGACGAGTTCTTCCGAGCGCTTGGGGATCGTAGAACGGGATGCAAGGTGGTAGATCTCGAGGGTCGCTCCGTCGATGCATGCACATCAAGTCACGAGTCGAGTATGACATTATGGCAGTCAAGAGTGAGTGTAATCGTGATTGATTGAGAGAGTTTCACCCTGATTCTCGAGACTCACGCAGCATCAGGAAGGATCGCGAGTGCGAAGCCGCTTGGCCGTTGCTGTGACCATGAATACTGCGCGTTGCGCGAGTCACAAGTTCCCATATATAGCGACTAGGCTGTTGCGACTGAAGCACATTCACCATTCCGAGAATTATTTGCGATTGGTCGCTAATCAACCTGCTTTCAAATCAAAGGAGCCATGATGCGTACCCGCGGCGAGCGCGAATCGCCGCGCACACGCTCGATCACGACTCTCTCGGCACACTTCATATCGCTGCCTCAAGCGGAATAAGGCGGGTCACATTCGGAGTCACAAGAATCAGAAGAATCACGAACCAAAATCAAATGCGCAGGCTTGCCCCATCACCACTCACGACTCCAACTCAATCACACGGGCGAGCGCAGCAGCGCAACGCGCAGCAGCAAGCACCGAAGGCATGCATGCGCTCAAATCTTTGTTTAGCGTCGTCTTGTGCGGAGGTCTAGACCTCCAGCTGGTGCTCCTGCGGTGCTCCTGGTGCAGCGATGGAGGGCTGCAGGCCTGACGCCGCGAAATGAATCATGACGTATACCTCTGCCTCATCTAGCAGATGCATGCCTTCCTCGATTCAATTCGCAGCAAGTGCATCAGCTCGGTCTCACCCTGCGCGCGCTTCGAATCGTGACCCCAGTACGGGGCACGCACTCAGACTACTAAACTGTACCGCACAGTCATGCAGATGCGCGATCGTCGAATGCATGCATCTGACTATAGTCTGAGGAGTGTGACCAGCCGCTGGCCCTTCGCTCCGAGTCCTTTCGAAGTTGCGGGTGGCCATGCAGAGAAGGTCCCTACGGAGCCTCCGTTGCAGAGCGGCGCATTGACCCGAGCTCCTCTTCTGCCGCACATCATGCAGCAGCATCCGCCACGAGGGAGCCTCGCAGCGATGAGAGTGGGTGGAGCCGCGCGCACAGTCAAGAGTCTGACTCAAACGCCGCTTTTCGTGCAACGCGCTGCAAAGCTACATAAATCCGGGGGGGCTGCCGTCAGCCGTCTCCGCTATCACTCCCCTGACCCAAAGACCACCATACTTCACCCACTGACAGCCGCATCCCGCGCAACTGTCAACTGCATCTTGCCCATCCTGTCCCACACTCATCCAAGAGACACGGCTTTAGACCACCCTATCTCGCTGGTTCCACCTATGAACATGTCGTCCGCAGAAGCTCCTCCCGCTATCGGCGCCAACGACCCAGTCGTCGGCGCTGGCGCTCCCGCTACGGGCGACCTGAAGGTCGACCCCGCTGCTGCTGCGCCTGCTCCCACTGCTGGTGAGACTTCTGCTGCTCCCAGCTCTGGATTCGCGTCGCCTCCTCCTGGAACCACGACGACCACCACGATCACTACCACCACTTCGCACGCCCCTGACGCCAGCGGCCTGTCGGCCACCAGCCCAAGCAGTCCAGCTGTGGGCTCCGCTCCAGGCTCTGGCTTTGCTGCTGCTGCTCCTAACGGTGTTGCTCCCGCTGCGAACGGTGTTGCTGCTCCCAACGGAGCTGCTCCCGCGCCCATCGCGACCGCAGCTGACCCCGCCGCACCTGGCTCGAACCTGGTCGCGAGCCCCGTTGCTACTTCTCCCGCTGCCGCAAACGGAGCTGCAGCTCCCAACGGAACGACGAAGGCTGCTGACGTGGCTGCTCCTGCTGCAGCTGCCGCTGGCGGCTCTGCCGCTGCTGCCTCTGTGCCCTCTCATTCTGCTGGCCCTCTGAGCGCCAAGGAGGTCAAGAAGTACGACAAGCTGCTCAAGAATGAGGCCAAGCACGAGGAGAACGAAATTGCTTCTGCTATCAAGGCTGCTCACACCGACGAGAAGGCCATGCAAAAGGCCCGCAAGGCTGAGCAACAGAGTGTCAAGGTGAGTAGATGCGTGCTATTCCAGTGATTTTAACCCCATCCATCACTGACGCGCTGTGCATCCCTCCGCAGCGCCACCAAGCGGCTGTCAAGGAGGAGCACAATGCATCCAAGGCATTCAACAAGGCCAAGGAAGCCCACGACAAGGCTGCTGCTGCCCTCGCCAAGGCTGTCGAGGAGCTCGATGTGAGTGTGCAATGACCCTGTGCGTGCCTCCTCCGCATGCAGGCTTGGCTAATATGTGCAAGGGCTCCTTATCCAATCAGATCAAGAAGCGTCACACCGAGGCCACCACCACGTCTTACGAGTCGACCAAGAAGAAGATTGACGAGCTGCGCGACACCAAAGTCGCCCACGACAAAGACCGCGCTCGTCGCCAAGCTTCTCTTCACGGCACTCCTGCCTCCTAGGCGAGCAAAGATGAACGCACAAGATGTCCTCTTAAATCTTTTTCAGATCCCCCAGCACGTCCAAATTTGACTCAGACGACAGGTCGTGCTTGTTTACGGCCCACGCTCAGCGCGTGCTGCTAGTCTACTTTCCCGATCCTGTCTTACATACCCTCTGAGTAGCTCCTCGCAACGATGTTGTCATTCTTGCTCCATTCCTACGTGCAGCCTGACTAACGATGTTTGGTCTTTGGTCTGCCACCGTCCTGAAGCCATGTAAATATCCACCCCTTCTCGTAAGCGAAATTATAATGCGCACATCCACCCCCAAGGTTTTCGATTTTGCGAGCATCGAAGAGCTCAGATTGGATAGTAGCGATGTTGCGCGCGCTTGACCGCCTGAAGCGCACAATTTGAGTGGCAGCTTGATTCTCGCAGCGAGTCGAGCTTTGACTTTGATGCTTCTCCGTGTCTGTCGCTCGAAACGACGGGTTGCTTTATCCGCGCACTTTTTTTTGCCTTCTACCCGCGGTACAGGCATCGTGGTAACGTGGACCGTCGATAGCTATGCTCGTGGGACTCATCGCATCCACTACTGACTTTCACACTCGTGACTCGTGACTCATCAATTGCCTGATTCATGACTCGGTAGCGTTCTACCATGACGAAGGTACCCTGACCTCTTTGTGTGTGTCTGCCGCATCGGTTTGCGCGACTTGCTGCGAAGAGGGTGCAACTCAGACTATACAGATAATTGCTGGCTGACTGGCGTGAGCTCAGCAATTGCCCGCCGCAAAGGCAAGAAGAAGAGAGTCAAGAGTCCTATAGGTATCCGTGCGCTCCCACGGGGCCGCCGAGCAGCGCATGCAGTTGCTGAATATCGGTGCGCTTCAGTCAGATACAAAAGAGTATATATGTGCTGCGTACAATTGCTGCTGTCGCGGCGGCTGGTATTACTTGCTCTTTTAAAGTATTTTACTTTTGACTCACTATTCGATTCTCGATTCAAGATTGCTGCATGCGGGAGCGTTGGAGGCCTCATTGCAGCTAGCATCCATCGCTGCTGCTGTGGGCCAAGCCAATTAAGCGGTAATTCTTGCTGCACCAGAGCAGCACGCGCGCATGAAACACAATCAGCAGGATGCGCTCGAGTCGTTAATGCGCGCGGGCGACTTGACTCTCCGAATAGCATCATCAGCGCGGCCGGTCTGAGAGTGAATTACCTATATGATGCAGCGCGGCGGCTATAGCAGCAGCTCGCAGTCTGGAGTCGTACGCGTATCGGTGCATGAATGAATGGCTGTCAAGCGCCCGCCCACAGCCGCCTTCCAGCTGCGATTGATGATGCTGCTCATGGCACTTGACCGCATCATTACGGGCATCACTTACACTCGTGACTTCTCTCTTCTCTGGTTAATCGACACACGCATCGCTGCGGTCATGAGCGAATGCGTGCCTCGTCTCCACATCTTACCCGCAAGCTAAAGACCGCCTATCACGCTGCTGTTCGCTGGGTGTGCGCTTGCTGCGGCTGCCGCACACATCGGCTTGCTCAGGCTGCCAAGTACGACATTCGAGGGCTGATAATTGGCAACGCCTCTGCTTCCGACTCTCGGAGAGGAGAGGCTGTACGACACTCACATAGCGACCTTCCAGTCTACCCTTCTTGGTTGAAGGCAACGCCCTTGGCAACATGTCGACAGGCTACAGCAGCTCCAGGGGAGACTACTACGACTCCGGCTCAGGCTCACGGCGACTTGCAGAGACCTCTGCCCAACCTTCCTTTAGTGGGTCTTCGTCGTCACTGCCTGCAGCCTTGGGACTCGGTGCCCCATCTCCGCAGCCGCAGCAGAGCTCGTATGCCAATTCCACCGGACACTGGACACGATATGGTGCCGAGGCAGAGCCCAACGAGCGAGGGTCCGCTCACGACCGCCTGGGATCCTCTAGCGGCTACAGCACACGCGGGGCCATGACAGATGTCGATTCGAGCAGTGCGAGCAACACGCACTCGACATTCACAACATTAGGGTCGAGTGATGGTTACGCTGGCGCTCTCGAAGGGAATACGGATCGCAGAGCTACATCGAGCAGCGGGATCGCAGGCAGCGCAGCGACTGGCCCGTCTGCTCCTCCGCGTACATTCTTGGTACCCGTGGGTGCTACTGGTGCTCGACAAAAGCTCAACATCATGAGCGCCTCGAGGCGCCCCCGCACCTCCGGAGCGGCTGAAAGGCAACACCCCAGCTCCAATACGAAGATTGATGTGTCTCCAACAGCATCTGCACTTCCTCGAACGGCTTCGGGGCCCTTGATGGATGCTGCACAGCTAGGTGAGTGTAGTCTCGAGATGCGTGCCGCAAGCTTCAGCGAACACCAACGTCACACTCTTCACTTCTGACCCAGATGATTTGCGGCGGGTAGCACATCATCCGTACCGCACAGCGTCGCTTGCCTCCAACGATGCGAGCAATGGCTCTTCCTTCGCGGCTGGCAGGGCGGGGGCTAGCAATGCTTCGCTTCGTGAGCGTCATTCCGCTGATCGTCGCCCTTCGGTAGCATCATCTACGGGGTTGAGCGCTACGCACTCGCAGGAGAGCAGCGCAGAAACGCCTAGTCCTCGTTGGGACGCGCCCTCGCACTCGATGTACAACCAAGCGTCAGAAGCATCTAGCAATTCTTCCTTCACAGATTATGGCGTCAGACCGCGATCAAGAAGCGGTAGCATGAAAGACGGTCTCTCTTCATTCCTGCGCACTGGACGCACGCCGACTCCAACGCAGGAGCGCAGCGACACCCTGTTCGCTGCGCGCGGACGAAACGGATCCGTCTCATCTGTTGTAAGCGACCAATTCTTGATGGGCAAGGGACCTGAATCGACGATGATGATCGGGGGCCAATCAATGCCAGGCGAAAAGAACCGCGCGCTGGGCCAGTCGTCATCCGCAACCAGCTTGCAGCAGCGCGGCTCAAAGGCCGGGCACACTCAAGCGTCTCGAGGATCTGAATCCAAGGCTGCCTACTTGTTGGGTCTAGGAAGTCCTGCGCCAGAACCGGTGACATCTCCAAACTTGGGCGAGAGCGGCATGTCCAAATTCGGCAAAGGGACTGTTAGGGGTCTCAAGAACATGTTCGGGTCCAAGCCCAAAGATCGCGCACCAAGCACTGCTGAATTGAGCCCATCTTTGCAAATGAATCCGCCTTCGCGGTATGAAGCCTCTACGGAAGCGCGCATGGGTCTCGGCTTTACGCCGCCACGACAGACGGCAAATCCGTCGTTTCGACAGTACGATCAGGAGAGCCAAGCGATGCAGTACAGCGGTTGGGCCGTGCAAGGAAGAACGCAGACAGACGTCTCACCTACTCGAGATGCGAGGCCTCCGCGAGAGAACAATTCAACACAGGGAAACGGTAATGGCCATCGAGAACGCAGGCCTAGTGAGCCTCAGTCCCTCGCCTCGGAAGGTGATCAATCGTCAGCTTCCACAGACGCTTTCGACGCGCAAGAGCGCTCCAACGATGACGTGCAGCATCCTACCTATGAGCATGCTCCCACTCTTGAGCTTTCGCTGCCCGTTGGCGGCGGCCTCTTCGGCGACTCGCTCGGAGCTACCGGCGACTCGTCTTCTTCTTCTCCTGCAACAAGTCGGCGGAATGCCTCGTCCAATGGTGGTCGAAGCGGCAGTAGCGGCCTCATCGGCTCGCCTCTTACAGCTTCGCTGCCCGGAGCTACCAACGGTGTGGAAGCTGTCCCCAGCAGTGTCGGCGCTGCACGGTCGGCCAGCGGTAGAAATCGACAAAACGACGATGGAGACGCTACGTTCGATACTTCACGTGATTCCATTCGCTCTGACCGCTGGAGTGGGGTCCCACCAGGCTTGGCACCCGGCGCAAAGCTTAAAGCGGATTCTGCAGATTCAAGTGCCGATCACAAGTCCTTGCCACCAACGCCAATGACCTCCGCACCCTCGACACCACCTGCGCGCCCCATGGATGCTGACAGAGCTGCAAGCTTTGCTAGCAGATCTGCCGAGACGTCTCGTGCTTACCGCATGGACGCCAATCGGGGTCTGTCGACTGTCGATGACAACCCCACGGAAATGTCGTTCGATACTATTAGCGTCAATAACAGGCGATTGTCGGAGGCCCCTAGCGCAGCTCCTTCATCAAAACGCGGTAGCGTCGACCAGACCTTTTCCGCTCGCTCGTCCTCGGTATTGTCCTCGAGCAGCCCGACTCCCACATCTTCCCGAGGACCTTTACTGCCGCCCGGACCAGTCTCCTCCAACTTCCAGTCCCCTCTGCTCGCATCTCTAGCCAGCGTGGCAGTCAGGAGCAGCACACCGACGGGCTCTGCATCTGCTTCGCCAGCAAAGAATCCCTTGAATACCACTCCCCCATCCACCATGTCTCCGTCCAGAAGCGAAAGAGAGGTTTCCGTTACATCGTTGGCCATCGCACCGAACGATGAGAGCAGTGGAATCGAAGCCACTGCTCGCTCTCCGCGGCCGAACATACCCGCCAGGTCGCGCGATCGGCCTTCGACTCTGCAACCAGACCCCGCCACACTTTCGCGTTTGGAAGGAACGTCGAAACCTGTTGCGTTGGAGAGCCAAGACAGCCAGACGGAAACGTCATCCGAACAGCCAAAGAAGCCGTCTGTGGATGCTGCGACATTCGTGCCTGCTGGTGCGCTGACTCATACCAGGCACGGCGTGCCCGTCAAGTCGTCAGCCGGTGCTGCAGCGGCTGCTGCGGCCAGAGCGGAGCTGGATGCCAAGAGGGCGCGTGCGGCTCAGCGCAATTCAAGCGCGATGGACGACGTGACTCCCCGCGGGTCGATCGATAGATCTCGCATGGCTAGGACGTCACCGATCTTGACCAGACCTGCACAGCTGCCGATGACTTCTCCGATTCAGAGTCGCTTCTCTTTAGCCAGCAGTGCGACTAGTCCGAGCGTGCCGGACTCTACGGACAGCGATGGCCAAGTCATTTCCTTCAACAGCAGAGATTTTGACATTGAAGGAGATGACGGATCACTTGAAGACAGTTCCTCTATGCTACCGACGAGCGCCTGGACCGAAGTCGACACCGCGCTGCAGCGCTTCAAGGAAGGCACGTCGCCTAGCGGAGCTGCGGTCGATAAGGGCGGCCTCTTGCGCAGCGTCCTGTTGCCTTTCCTGGCACTCGAAGCTGAGACACCAAATGTCGAGGTAAGCGGCGATGGGCCGTTTCGCTCCGCCAAAGCGCGTCGCTCTTTGTTCTTTGAGTGGATCAGGTACCTCCTGCTCGAGCTGCAGCACGTGCAGACTTCCACCGACCGCGGCGCGATCTTGGAAAGCATCGCTTGCATTATTGAAAGCCGCAACTTTTCGGTCGGTATGCTTGCCGACGACAAGGAAGACGATAGCCGCTTCTCTTCGGTCTTTGGACACATCTTGTCCTACGCTATCGGAGAGCTGAACAAGAAGGGTGTATACCAAAATACGCTCATTTTCTCTGGTCGCTTGCTGGGTAAGCCGTGCCGAATCTACGTGTCCGAAGTGACTTTGGCTGATTTCATAATGACTCTTCCTTCGCAGCTGTCGCATTCTTTCGGGTGACGGGAGTTGCCAGTAAGCTTTTGCGGGCCTTGCCAGTCAATCGCTTTGCTTTGGAACGAGTAGCAGCAGAGGCAAATTGGGACCAAAATCAACCACTCGAATGGGAGCAGTACCAGTCTCGCTTTCCAGAGTCTCTACAGGCATTCTGTTACCAGGATGCCAGGTCCTACCTTCGAGTCCTCGACGCGCAGACGGCCATGACTGATGGCGACACGGCCGAGAATGAGGATGACCGCTACCTGGTCAGACAGCCAGAGGTTGAGGTGGAAATGTCTGGCAATTGGCTTCGAAGATGGCAGTCCGATGATTCGGAATTGTTCTTCAGCTTCTGCAGGAGCTATCATCGTCAATTGGCTGGCTTGATGTCGCTTCAGAAAGCCTTTAACAAGACAGGCTCGCGACTCTTCTTTGGTGGACCTGGATACGCCCATCTTGCAACTTGCGTCCACCAAAAGTGTCTGTCTTTGGTGCACCGGGACATTCTGTCCGTCACTACACTGTCATCCCAGAAGAACTTGTGAGTGAAATGCCAGATGCGTTCTTTGCATTGTGCACCAGACGCTCACGCGCGCCATCTCGCCAGCAACCCGGGAGAGACCGCCAACGTGCTCTCAGGGTCCACGGCCGGCAAGCCGCGCCATCTCGAGGCTGCCAACAGGAGATGCACAGCCATCGTGGTAGACATTGTGCGGGCACCTAGCATCAACAATCAGGTGTTCGGACCTATGTTGGGCGTGCACGTCAAGTGTTTGGTCAAGCGCACTTCTCTGTACGACGTGCAGAGCGTCTTCTGCTTGCTGGACTGGCTGGACGGTGTGCTAAGTCACATTGACTCAGCAGAGCTGCACACAGAGAGCCTCGTTGATGTCTCCTTTGTGATCGAGATGATACAGATGCTTCTGCGTGACGCTGATCATGCTTTAGCGCTGATGCGTACCATTGCAGTGAGTCAGCGGCCACTGGTAGACACACAATTTTGGTCATACTTAAGCAGGCCCCGTTGTTGCGCAGTTCTCCTACTCGAATTTCGCCGTGCTCTCCAGCACAATGAAGAATCGAACACGTTTTTGCGAAGAGATACTGCTCGATCGACGCATCTTCGAGAAGCTCTTCCTCTCCTGGTCTTTCACGATTCGCGCTTACTTTTTGCACCTGTTGGTCTGTGAGTATGGCTGTTTGGCCTTTCACTGTTCGTTGAAGCGTCGCTAACGTGCATGTGCATCACTCGCTGTCAGTCCGCTTGGCTCGCATCAACGACTTTTCTCATCCGAAAGATGATCCACACGGCAAGGCAGCGGTCAGTATAGCCAGACTTTTCAACCAGCGCCTGGACGAGATACGTCGGCGTCACGACGAGCTCTCGCCTGCAGTTTCTACGGACGCATCCTCTGATGCTGATGAGCGCAGCGCAGAGGATCAGGAAGATGACGCCATTGCCAGTAGCCTGCAAAAGTCACGCAATAGACCAGCTTCCTTCGTGAGCACGATCCGACACACGCCCTCCATCCGCGGCGTCGAGGCTTCCAACACTGCTAAAGCAGAAAGAATACTGGGCATCGGCATGCCGGACCCAATCTTGGCGCCCAAGGGCGAGCCGAAGGCCCAGTCGCGTGCAGCCAAATGGCTTCGAGCACTCGGAGGCAAGAGCAGCGTCCGTACATCAAAGAACAAGGGTGGCTTCGCAACATCTCCCTTGCCTGCTGTGCTTGAGAGCCCGACGATCACGAACGAGCCTCGCAATCGCACGCCTAGATTCGACGAGCTCGACTTTCTGGGTGAAGAGGACGAGGACGATGAAGATGATGCGAGCTCAACCGGCAGTGGTGCGATCGACAAGAACGTCCTTGGCAATAAAAGTGTCGGCCTTGATGATGACCTCGCATTGACATCTGCCGTCAACAACAAGTCTGGCTCCGAATTCAGCTTCCAAGCGCGACCCATGCAAGACTCGACGGACCGCACTCAACCTGCGTCGAGCGGCGGCAATATTGCGCCTGACATGTCATTCGATCTACAATCACCGACCTCGCCTCATCCCCCGCCAGGAGCAAGTCTACTGAACGGCCGGGCTTCGCCAAGGCATGGTACCAGCTCTCCGCGAGTAAGCCGTGCCTTCTCAAGGCGCTCGTCCATCTTACCCGGGCCGGCATTGGATTTGGTAGCGCAAGACGATCAGCCGCCTGTGCCGCCTATTCCAGAGCATTTGCGACAAGGCTATGCCAAGTCATTACACATCTATGCCATTCAGAGTCTGCGCGAGTACGAGCAGACTGTTCAGGTGAGCTTCGAGTTCCGCAGCTACTAGTCGTTCGCCCGGCATTGACGTTGCGGCTACACGCTCTGTGCAGGAGCATGACGAGTTCTTTGCTGCTCAAGCGGACGCGGCGAATCCTCAAGTCCCTCGATTGCCCATCAGCTGTGAGTCGAATCGCTGCTTCTAATTGCACAGATTTCCGCTGATCACAGGGCAACGTTTTCTTTCGATGTGCAGGGCCTGCGATGTGGTCTTCGGAGTAATCACACCTTGGCCGTGCGATCTGGCAATCTTCAATTTGCACTTCGCACGCATCCTTATCTGCTGCTATTGCTTGCAAGAGTAGCATGGTCGCTCTGCCTTGCTTTTCTTCATGCGATGCAATCTCAATACTCCTCTCAGTGCTTGTAATACCTAAATAGTTGTTTCAGTGTGGACCCGAAGGCTATATAGTGTCTGCAACGCGTGCGGGCTCTTGCTGGCTGACAGTGCTGGAGGTATTGCTCACGAAATGTCAAGCTGTCAATCACCCACCAGGATGGTTGGGATCTGATACAGTTCGGCTGGGCTCATGGGTGCTCTCGGTCCTAGCCATACCAAAGACCACGGCAGCGCGGCGGGGCATCACCAATGGTGATCCTTGTTCGCTGGCTGACAGCACTGGATCTTTGCAGACAATTAGCCGCTTCTACAGCGCTGAAGTCGTCACTCTGCCGCGCTAGAATGGGCCTTCTCTTGCATCGCACAGACACAGGAATCGAAGCTTGAGTTGCGGCGCCTCTGAGCCTCCCCAATCACGGATATGACGCAACGTACTCGGCTTTCTTGACAGGTGTTGTTGCTGCTGCTGACCTGAAGTGTGCATCTGCGGGCTTGGCATGCGACGCCAGCTGCGAGTGAGCCATGTTTATGATTGCCATCGGCGCGATCTTCACGATTCAGGTACGTGCATTATGCACCGCTGCGACGTTTGTCATTGATGGGGCGCCACATGCACTGGCGACTCGAATGGCGAATCACTCGTCCGACTTGCAAGACTCGATCGATATCATCCAGGCCTCCAGCAGGCCCTCAGATGTGCTAGGCTCTGCTGACCGTCCAAGCAGCTCGCACAGAAGAAAGCAGAGAAAGCTGTGCAAGCTTCCTTAAGCAAGCAAGCCAAACTTGAAGCGTCTTGTCGTGTTGGCATGATATTGATACCCTGCATAGGCCAGGTGGACATCTATCTACACCTAGTGACGCTTGCCACACCGCTTGCATTTCTGCTCATCCCCAAAGTAGCTGGCTTGCGAGTCGTGAGTGATGTTCGATGGCGCCGACGCAAGCGGTGCGAAGCAATCTGTGAATCTTTATCCAAGAATCACGAATCACGAATGTGATTTTATTTGCTCTGCCCTGCGACGCCAGCTGGCGTCTATCATCTCGATCGTGACTCATGACTTCTTTTCCGGCGTAGGAAGCGAAGCCAACCAAATGGGGAAAGCGCAACATCAGGCATCATCCGCTGCATAAATAGAAGTTCGCGCTGCGTCCGTCGTTGCTGATGTTGGTATTGGACGCGCCGCGTCGCGAGTCTTGAGTGGCTGCTGCGCCGCTCTGATCAGAATCGAGTGCTGAGTGAAGGTGTCGGTCGCAGTGCCAGACTGCGAACACTTTGTAGATAGAAGCCATGCCCACCACATTTGGCTTGACTCACACTATTTCTCCGCTTCATACATAGGTACCGGTACACGCACTACTCTATTCGTGATTCAATGATTGAATGACTCTCAGTGACGGTGTAGAACGCGGCTGCCAACGCGCGCGCTCACATTCTTGATTAAATTACCGATACCGGTATATATATATAGAGGGGATGTACTACTTGCTCGGCGACCATCAACAGCATGCATATACAATCACTCCGCTCGCGAGTGTCTCGGCCTTCTTTCGTTGCTCTGTTGCGCACTGGTGCGTTCAGCAGCAGCATGTGCTGCAATCGTGAATGAAGAGTCGAAGCACGACAGAAATTTCAAGCAGCTGGCCGCGTATGTAAGCGAAGCGAGGATGGGCGAGCGAACCTCGGAAAGCCATGCGCATGCATAAGCTAGGCGTGCCCCTGGCTTGCTGCTAATTAGAATCAAAAATGACACATGCGCGTCGCATGCTGCTGCTGCCTCAAACCCCATGACCTTTCACTCGTCGACTACAACCCTGCATGGGGATTTAAATGCGCGTTCGGATGGCCCTTTGGCGCTGAGTCACGGTCTTCAGTGTAGTCCTGCTGAGATGCCCGCATGCAGCAGTTATTGCGTCAACTTGCGCCCATTGTCACAGCGGCTGCATGAGATCGAGTTACTCCGCACTTGGAACTCGTGGAGTCGTGACCCTGCGCCCGCACTTTTCCGACTCTTCCGACTTTAGGTTGAGCAATTATGCTCATGGGTGCCTTCCATTTGATTAATCGCTGACGTGACTCTTATTCAAGGCCAAGACGGGCAAATTTAAGCTTGGGCCTCTGACACAAATAGTATTTCGGCGTTCAGAGAGAGCGCAAAGGTCGCGTGCGTAAGTTGATTCCACGATTGAAGCCTATACTCATTCCTTTTAGCTTTGTTTTCCCTGATTCAGAGGGACGCATCGCCGTCGCTCTGCCGGACAAGTCACGCGAGCAAGCAGCGACGACCAGCATCTCAGGATGACCTCGACAGCAGAGTCACTGTCCTACCCATCCTGACATCCCATCGAGGACCATTCCCTGCGCCTTCTTTCTGGCTTGGGCCTCTCGCCCCTCGGTATCATTACTGCAAGCGGAGGCTCGCGGTCCGACTGCGTTCTTCCGCCGCTGGCTCTCAGCCCTCGCGGCGTCTTGCACCGTCTCATTCGACAAACCTCCCAGCTCTACTGTGTGCTTCCGCCGCCGCAGCAAACAAGCAATTATCTCGTTGTTGGAGCGAGTCGGCTACCTTAGGCGTTCGTGCACCCCTGTGAGCTGAATGCGCGAGCATCTTGCTTCCACTTAGTCCCCAGCGCGGAGCTGTGATTGCGCAGAGTGCCTTACCAATCCAACCAGAGCTTCGCACTGTTCGTGCAACATAAGCGAATGGCGTCGATTGCCGTTGCACAACACATCGACGTAGGAGAGCGCGACCATTATGGCAGCGAAGATTGCTCTTTCGCCAGCTCTTGCCAGTCTGGGGCTGCCAGAAGCTTTCGTCGATGACGACTTGGAGGATCATGCTGCCCGACACTCCTTCAGATCTACCGAGCCGGAGGAAGCAGCTACTTCGTCCTCGCGAGGAGAAACCTCCTACGTCTCGCTTGTAGCTACAGCTCCCTCACCCACACCAAGCTCGCAATCCTCTACGACAGATGAAGCAGATGTGCTTTCTCATACCGCTACGAAGCTCGAAGATGCTTTTGTGGGGCCCGCGCTTCAAGCCCACCCCGCATTTCACGCTCCACGACAGGCGGCAGGACGATCGCACAAGCGCAAACAGCTCGATTCGCAGAGAGATGCTGCGCCTCGAGCACAACAGGTCCCAGCGACAACGTGGCTTGCCGATCTCAATGCTCGGAGCGATTCGCAGCACAGCAGTAGCACGCAGCATTCCTCCTCAACACGCACAGACGGTATCGGAGCAGCCAGAGCAAGTAGCAATGCGAGCAGCTCAAGCTTGAGGAAGAGTGTCAGCATAGGTCGCCCCTCCAGGCGGGGCAGCGGTCACGGCCCAAGCTCCAGCGGGTCGAGCAGTCGTGATCTCGGATCCTCGGGCAATAGACGCACCGCCCGTCGCCAACTGCAGGGAGAGCAAACGGAAACGGATAGCCTAGCAAGAAGTGGCAGCCAAGCAAGCACAATCCCGACAAGCCCAGAGCTGGAGCTCTCCAATGTGTCCGCTTCGAGCCAGGTCACACCTGCTGTCGACAAGCTGCTCGAGATTCATCGGTCCGTGCACGACATCCCATCTACTCAGGGTTTGCTTCCTCCAAGCACGTGAGTATCCGTGGAGTTTGATAGTGCCCTACAGTCCTGGCAGGCCGTCTAGCTGACTTCGCGTTCGTCAATGCTGTGCCTTTTTACCCCAGCGGCGCTCTTGTCGATGGACGTGCCGAGGTCGACACAGCTGGTGTCTTGTCAAGCAGATCGCCTCAAAGATCCCACATACCCTTGCTAGTACCCGCAGATTTCGCTACTCAGCGGTCCGAAGCGCACGCAGGTAATGCTCGGGCTCAACCCGCCTCTGTCCAGCGACAACGACCGTTTGCGGCCCAAGCTGGATCTACTCCCAAGGTCGCTCATCGCGTGGCAGGCAGGCCTTCACGAGTAAAAACGGAGGTTTCGCTTGCACATCGCAACAAACCCTTGCCACCACCTGGCACGCCTTCTCCAACCTCGCCATTGCTGCCAGAATACCTCGTCTCAATGTACTCAGAGGAGGCTGTGGCTGCTTCTCGCTTGGCGAACACCGCGTCCCGCCGCTCACCGTCGCCGCGTCAAGAAACAGCCTTGACAGCGACTGCCACTCGAATAGGCGCGGAACAGAATGCTCCAATCGTCCCATCACTGACCCCTAGTCCACATTCGCCAGCGGAAAATAACCTAAAGGTGCCGGAAGAGACCTCTTCGAGACCTGGCCTTCGTTCCGCGCTACAGCGCTCAAGTCGGTATCTCTTCAACACTGTCAAGTCGAGCAGCGCTTCGACGTCCGCCTCGGGCGTCTTTCCCGCCTCTTCAAGTTTCACCAGTCTATCCCCTGCTCACTCCAACACCAGCCGGCCTTCGGTTCAGACCATTGCAGATGGCGAGCCATCGCTCACGCCGTCGCCCAACTCTTCTCAATCGGAATTTCCGACGAGAGCGCACTCACGCCTCTCCGATCGTTTCTCTGGTGCGATGCGGAGAGGGCGAGACGCGGCGGCAAATGCTATGCCTGCTAGATCCCATTCTCCTTTTGGCCTACGGATATCCAGCGGCGATTCGACCTCCAAACGGGTTCCGTCGGGCGCATCTAGTCGGCATGGTACAGGTCAGAAGACGCTACCGCAAAGAACTTTGTCCTCTCGAGACACTTCAGAGCGAGCTGTCCCGCCAGCCAAACTGCACACTACTGCAGCCACTCATGATGTTTCGGCTCCTGGCCACGCCCGATCGCGCTTATCACAGAGGTTGAGTCTGAACGACGCTGCCTGGTCGCGAGGCAGTGCACGTCGAGAGGAGAGTCCCGCTAGCAGCATCCGCGCCAGGGTTGGGGTCGAGCCTATGACGCCGAGCCGACCAGCGCTGACCCGAAGCAAGTCGCGGAGCATGAGCGAAATACAGAAGGTATATCTGACGGAGGAAGCTCAAGCAGAGCTAGGTGTCGATTCTGTGGCTTTGCAGGCGACTGAGCAGCAACATCTTGCGCCGGGCGCGAAGCATCTCCCAGTCAGGCGCGATACCACACTGCGTGCGTCCATCATCGACAGAAGCCCACTCTTGAGTCCCAAGTCTGGCGAAGCGATGCTTATCAGCGATGCGCTGACTGCAGCCCGCGCACCAACGATCAAAGAGGACGATGGAGTCAGTATGCTGTCAGAGGCGCCGTCGACAAGCAGTCGTCCCCCATCCCGGTGGTCTCAAGCGCTACGCAAAAGAGCTAGCACGAGTGCGAGTAGCGACACGGTGGGAAGCCCTCATTCGAGGGCCAAGAGCATCGGCGGCACTACAGATTTTGAGGTCCCAATCTCTCCCCTTGAAGGAGCCCTTTCTCGTCTGACGGGCTCGATGCGATCCAAGCGCGCAACAGCGATTGAAGAGCCCGGCGCCAGAGGGCCAGTTTCATCGATCGTCAAGCGAGGCTCGCAAAATACTTCTAGAGCCGAAGGTGGCACATCGGCCGAACAACAATCTGACAATAGGCGCTCCCAAACTCATCGAAGAATCGTTTCGCTCGGGGCTTCCGATGTAGCTCGCCTGCGCAACACCTCGGACTCACCTCGTGGTGCGGTTCCCATGATATCAGGCAAAGCAGCTGCACTTCGCTTGCGCGGTCATGCAGAGCCTGCGTCCTTCACCGCTAGTGTCCATGAGGGTCTGAGCGCGTCGGAGGCGATGGCAGTATCGGCGCTAGACACGGGGGCGAATCAAGAGACCATGCACCACGCTCAGAGCGTCCCCAATTCTCTGGCATCAACTCTCAGAATGCCCAAAATAGACTCGCATCGCTCGTCGACGGACACTTTGAAGGCGCATGCACTTGAGGATACATCGCCATCGCTCCGCCCGGCCCACAGCCGCAAAGCTTCAGCTGGCCTGTCGAAGCTTGCCGCGGCAGCGTTGCGACGACCGCGTGCATCGTCCGTAGAGAAACGCGAGCTGCCTGCCAGGGCAGGCACGTCCATGGGATTTAATAGTGACGCCTTTGACAAAAGACTGGATCAGGCAAGTGCCTTGCCCACGCGGCTGTCGACGAAATCGACTGCAGGGCCGGTCTCTGGCTCGCATGTGCACTCGCGAGAGAGCAGTGTCGCCGGGTCAAGCGAGGCTAGTTTCCGCAGCGCCCGCTCCAAAGAAACGCCTTCTCAGTCTCCAGAGCGGCGCACGTCTCCCTCGAGCGCCAAGACATTTGCACGTCTGCGCACGTCGTCCACGCTTACCAAGCCAACCATTGCATCGGCCGCTCGGGCGCGCAAGGTAGCAGAAGAAGATTTGCACGTCCCTGGTCGCAACGCAGCTGGACCTCGACACGTGAGCGGACCGGCCGCTCCTCCAAATCTTGGTGCCTCTTCAAGCCGTGCGAATGTCCGCCCTGCGCGCGGTGGAACGCTATACGGCGACCCTTCCGGACTCGCACCGGGCGGCTCAATCTCCAAGACGGCGCAGACAAAGGCTGGCGCCCCGTCTTATCCCCCCTCGACAAGCCGCACAAGACGCAAGTCGACGGATGCCTCCGAGCGTCTCCATATGCTTTCAAAGCAGGTCATTTCTGACGGAAAGGATGCGTCCTCCCTCTCTGCGCTTGCCGTCTCGGACACCGAGGACGAACCTTTGCACCCACCCCGCACGTCATCGCGAACTAACAGCTCATACTTTGCCAACAGAAAGGCCGTCCACGATCCGCTACCAAAGCCTAGCGACTATGGCCGCAGTGGCGGGCCAAAACTCCGCAAAGCAGCTAGTCGACCATCGTTGTCCATCGACACTGATGTAGAGACGCTAGTGAGTCCAGCGCGCCCAGCTTCGTCCATGGACATCAGGTCCAAAACTCGCACGCAAGAGCAGGCAAGTCCTGTTCGCAGGGTCGGAACCGCTGCTAGGCGCAAATCGTCTGGTGCAACGCTGAGCATTGCGGACGACAGGGAATTTTTGAAGGCTTTAGAGGATGTTCGAAAGCGCAATCAACAACGCATAGCCGCCAAATTGCTTGTCGAGACCCCACACCCCGTGCAGTTGCACGCTGCTTCTGCTGTGCACCTGCCACTGAGGTCCGAATCGAAGGCGGCCGAGCCTTCAAGCGCTGCTTCGAGGCAATTGATGCGCGCTCGACGACCTCGATCGGCGAGCGTGGGCGATCAAGCAACGGGCGCACCGGCCAGATCTGACTGGCAGCGCAGCTCGCCTGAGATGACGGCCACGCGCGAATCAGACTCGGACTCGGACGCAAACGCGGTGCCGACCCCTCTGGAGCGCGGGGTGGGCATGGCCAGTGGTCGCCTGCGAGACGGCGCCTTCGTCAATGATGATGACTGGAAGCGCGAAGTTTCGAGCCTTTTTGTCATCCGCGAGATGGTTCAGACAGAACGCAGCTACACTCGCAACCTAGAGAGTCTGATGCAGGTGAGTCTGTGAGATCGACTTCGCCGACACGACGCAAGGCTGACACGTGCCCTCTTGGTCCAGGCCATTCGCCGTGTGTCTGCTGCAGCCTCGCTCGCTGCATCGACACCTGTTGGAGGACATCGTCGACGGTCCTCTGTCGGCTTTGGGCTCTCGGGAGGTCCGGCTGGGATCTCACCTTCTGGCAAGGCCTCGGCGACACAGTCAGCGTCTCACCTCTTGCTGATGCGCACCTTGCTGCCGCAGCTCATCATAGTCAGCCGGACGCTCGCGACGCGAATCGACGAGAATCCCACAGCAGCTGGCGTTGGCGAAGCGTTCCGGATTGTCGCTCCACAACTCGAGGCCAGCTTCCTGTCATGGTCATCTTCTGTGGGCGAGATCATGGATGCGTTGCGCCTGACAGAGGGAGCGAAGGGCAGAAAAGGCGACAAGATAGGTCTGGTCAGCCTTGTACCCATTCCTGGCCAGTCCACGGCGGACCACGCCGCAGATGGTCCGGCTTCTGCAACAAATACGCACTCAACACATGCAGCTCTGCATCACAGCTCGACCAGTATCGAGGCTCTAGCTCTTACTCGACCTTCCTCGCCTGTATCGAATGGAACGCAAGGATTGACCGCTTCTCCCACTTCCATCGAGTCTCCCGCGTCGTCGGCCAAGGCTAGCTCATCACCCCTTGCTCGTAGACGGAGCACTGTGAGCGCTGGCTCCGACTGGTCGTCGCTCCGCCGCGCTTCAGAATCGGTGGCTGCTCCATCACCCACTCGACCGTCTGCATGGAGTCTCAACCCCGCAACCTCATTTGGGCGACGCGCATTGGGCGGTTCTAAATCGACATTGCCCAACAAAGGACCTAGCACAGCTGCTAAGTTCGCAGGAATCAGCAACGCACCTTCAGCGTCGACTGCGAAGTCGTTGGCGCCTGCAGACATCGTTATCCAGCCGACTCAGCGATTGCCTCGCTATGCCCTGTTGTTGCGCGCATTACAGCAGAACACACCACCTCAGAGCTTGTCTCACGCACGCATCGAGCGCGCTCTCCACACAGTCAACCGCATTTCGACACTCTGCGACACGGCTGCACGGACCATAGCTCAGCCAGACCCAACCCCAGGCAAGACGGCTGCTGTCGCATCCTTGCGAAATGCTGCAGCATCGACCAAGGCTTGAAACTCGACACCTCCTCCTCATCGCTGATTCCATCCAACGTCCCCCCCGTCGCAAATGCTTCTGTGCTGCTTCATACCCTGCATTCTCGCCACGAGATGGCGGCCCCTTCCATGTTCGCCTCATCAATGTAACATACTCCCATTCGCACAGCGCGAGTCCGAAAGCATGCATTGCGCTTACCAGATCATGGGAACCCCTGTGCAAACTATCGCCCACAGGACCCGAGCACTCCTAGAATGTGGCAGAAAGCGTGGTGTGCCTCAATAGAGGGCGCTGCAATCGCCATGCACCGCTCAGCTAGGACGACTCGAGGGCTCATCTGATCTTGACAGCAAAGCGGGCAATTGTCGACCGCTGGGCAAGTAGGCTCTTGGCGTGGCTTGAGCCCGACTGGGCTGAGATGGACCAGACGTCTTGGCCCTTCGTCGTTTTCGCGGCGTGCGCGGCCGCGGAATCAGGTCCTCGATCAGAACAGCGGTCCAACGTTAGTTGACGGAGGGGACAGCTCCTGATGAATGCATTGACTTGCAATCCGAGGACCGAGGGCACCTCGGGCCTCACAGTCAACGAATAGCTGCGCAGCCGCCGCCGCCGCCGCCGCCGCCGCTTCTATTGGGTCAGCTGTGCAAGGGGCAACTTTGCTCTGGAACGTGACGGCCCCAAGAGAGGTGCGAGGCAGCGAGCTCCTCTTCATTAATTCACAAAGTGACATGCCGGATGTGGACGCGCCCTGCGACCGAACAGCTTATTAGAGCGGTTGAGCAGACAAGCCTTTCCAACCTCCTGGTGACGGTGGCGGATGTTTGGACCTCGTGCGGAAGATGAGCAAAGTGAATGTCTCATCATTCACCGCCTTTTGACTCAGCGTGCGACTGCTAGGATCGCGAGCGTTCCTTGATTGGGTGCATCGCCGCCGTCCAGACTCGGCTGGACCGCTGATTACCGCGATCTGCGCAGACACACCAGCATTGCTTCTGCCTTTAACTCAGCCATTACTTCCACAGTGCTTGTTTCGTTGCGCAGATCGGACCGAGAGATTGCCTAGACTCGAGTGGAGACCCCCTTGAGAGAGAACAATGGGACGGCCCGGGCACGTCCAAGACAAGGCCAAGCCAACGAGCGTCCGCGGGCCCTCGGGGTCGCAACGCCGCGCACCAGCAAAAAAATTGGTGGCTCTTGCGATGAGACTTGGCTTCGCAAGTAATTAACAATTTGCTGTCCTGAGAACGAACGAAGATGCTATTTAGGGCATTCCACGGAGGCCCGTGATAGCGTGGCGCTGGTCTCACGGGAGCCGAAGCCGAGCGTTCAGCGTTTGACCAAGCTGAGTCAGAAGGATGCTGACGCTGAGCAGAACACATTAAAAGGCGACAGGACGAGAGGGTTGCTCGCCTCTCTCATCCATCATCACCTTCCCCCTACTCCTCGACCGATCCCTTCAAACCATCTCCTCCGCCCTTCTTGTCAAGATGCTCGCCACCAAGACTCTGCTCATGCCATTTGCGGCCCTCGCTCTGGCTTCGACCGTCATCGGCCTCCCTCAACCTCAGACCAATGAGAAATCGAGCGCGGTCTTCCACCCGGTGGACCCCAACCAAGACCCAAACGTTCAACAGGGGCCAGACCTGCAGATCTACATCACCAGCGCCGATGCTTACTGCTTATTCCTGCCCGAGACGGAGAATACGACCATTGCGCAGAGTATTCACCGCAACAAGGCCATCTCTGCATGCCGCAAGGTGAGTAGCCGCGTGATGGTAAGACCTGGACACGTCATCATGCGCAACAGACTCACTCTATCTGCTCGTCGATATCGTAAATAGCCATGGGCCCCGGAAGAACAGGTCCAGCTGGACGATGGTTTCTTCACGACCAATCAGTCGCATCCCTTCGTCGACAACACCGCTGGCGTCGACCGTGGACGTCAGATCCATCTGTGGGGTTGCATCAATCCTTACTCGATGCCCAACAACATCGTCCCTACCGACAGCCGTGGTGGTGTTTACCACGGTCGTATCCACGGCAACGATCAGGTCCCCGCAAGAGGCGTCTGCCTTGGTTGTGAGTAGTGCCATACCTTCAAACGGCCCAGTGACGGTAAATAGATTTGGGTAAATAGACTTGGGGACTTACTCATTGTTCTTTTTTCTTCTAGACGACCACTTCACCCAGTGGATTATCCCTGCCGCGGGTGTCATCTCTTACAAGTGTTGCCAGGACCCCATCGAGTAGGTTGATTGAGCAGCTTCAGCATCAGAGAAAGCGAGCGATACTGACATGCTTTTTCTTCCCCTCAATGTAGCTGTCCTCGCTGGGGTGATTAAAGAAGATCAGATGCAGCTCTCCCGCGATTCCTGCTGACGCATTTGCCCCGTCTCTTGGCCACAGATGTCGGAGGTGACATTGGCAAGACCATTCCCGATAGCGGATTCATTCCGGCCGACTGCAAGAAACTCATTCCAGGTGAGATCCACAGATCAATCCTTCCCTGTCGCACGAGATCAAAGTCAGCTGAACCTATCCGCTAGCCCCTCGCCCCAACTGAAGGCGGTAACGCCGGCTCCCGACAGAGCGCGAGCGCAAGTTCGAAGAGCGCGTCCGTTGGTGGTGCACTGGCCGCCTTTGACGAAGACGGCAAGCCGATTGCCGTGACCAGCTCGAAATCCAAGAACGAGAACGAAGCAAATGCTTGGGCGGATGACGGGCACCACTGAGATTCTCATCGGCTCTCCTGCAACCTTGATTCGACAGCTCGTCTGCTCCCTGCCCATCGTCGCGAATCTGTCCTGTCGCTCATGCACCTCGATCTGACGCCACTTGAACGGGTCTTCGAAGCCTATTCACCACCTCCACCTTCCTGAGACACAATTGTCCGCTCCAATACACCTAATAGTATATGTCATCACCCCCGAAATAGCCTTGAAATTGTCTGTGTGGCCCCTGTGATCGATTGCGCTAGGTTGAAGTGTGAGAAGTCTATGGTACAGAGAGTGATGGCGAAAAGCTGAGAGGGAGAATTGGCGACCTTGTCGACATTGTAGAGTGCGATGTTACGCTCAGCCTTGGAGAGACTTGCCGTTGAGATGTCGCTGGGCAATAGAGAGGTGATACTGCAAATCTACCCCTCACTCGCCGTCTTGACGCGGAGGTGGTCCAACGGGATGCAACATTTTCTATTGCGCGGCAAGCAGAAAGAGCGCATACATTAGTGGCGTTCCGAGCGCATACATGGACACACCAAGCCGATCGCCAATCTCGCTGGACATGACTTACCTGACAGATCTCGTGCTTGATCCTAGCTCTGCACTCTCCCTCCGCAATAGCATTGAAGCTCAACAAGTTTGGATGACCGACGATGCTAGCGAGCGTATCGCGATGCTGGTGCGACAACCACTCGTGCTTCGTCACATCCGGATGAATCGTGCCTGTATAGCGAGCATGAAGCGCTTCGAGCTGCGTGTTCGCAGTGTAGTGCAGCTCGGACTGCAAGGCGGCGTCGGATGCAGCAGAAGAGAAGAGGGGATGACGAATGTTTGGTAGGGCTTCTTATTAGGCGTCGCAAAGCTTGCACCCAGACGGACTCACCATGCTGAAGCCAGGGAGAGCGATACTGCAAAGTCTTGAGCGGCTTATACCTTGCTTGCTTGAGGTGATGATAGTAAGAGGAGACAAGCCCAACAACTCGTGCTGCTCCGGCTTTATCATTTTGATTCATGCTTCATGATTTTACGACTCGTGACGAGCACGAGGCGCGTTGTCACGTGAACGCTGCAGGAAGAAAGTCAAGAAGCGCCAAAACAAGTGTGACTTAAAGTTCCAGAGGAATGCAACCCGAAAAGCGAAATGCTCTCACACTCGACTTCCAAGACTCGATCCTTGATCGCGCATACACGCCTCAGACCTTCACTCGGCGGGTTCCCTTCTGCCCGAGAACGCGACCAGAGACCGCTGCGGTGACAGAATGGTATGCCCTACGAGCAGCACGTCAATAGCGCACACCAACTCGTCCCAAGCAGTGAGCTCCTGCAAGCGGAGGTCGCGCCTGATTCAAGCGGGAGATCTGGTCATCGTTCACTTGGTGAGTCACACCAGTGCTTTGGTGCACCTGGCATCCGTGCATTCTCCATTCTCCCGCTCACTCTATTGTGCTGCTACCCCTTTCATCATTCGCCCTGCATAGTCTCGAGACAAGACGCCCGTGCCGCTCTGTGTGACACCTGGAAGAGAGCTGAACAATGCTTGGGGTAGATTTCCTCACTCAGACATGGTCGGCAGACCTTTTGGTAGTCGCGTGAGTACCGCATATCGGTACGACATCGTCAAAGCGTGCGCATGGCATGATCAAAGCTCAAACGGTGTCGACGCCCTCCTTCGCAGGTGTACTCCACCAGCAACCGCAAGGGGCACGTATTCCTGCTAGCCCCAACTCCAGAGCTCTGGACCACTGCTCTACCTCATCGGACTCAAATCCTCTATGCTCCAGATATGTCCTTCATCACTTCTCGATTAGCCCTCATGCCTGGCTCTCGTATCGTGGAAGCAGGAACGGGTAGCGGATCCTTTACCCATTTCTTAGCAAGAACAGTCAGTAGAAGGGCTCAGTGGGGAGCTAGAGGTGCATGGGGAGCACAGGGATCAGAAGGGACAGAGGTGCGCGGACAGAGTAGCGGGGGGCTGAGAGAGGAAGGCGAAGGCGCGGGAAGCACAGCGGTCAGCAAGGATCCAGACGCGTGCGTGCCCGATGGCTTCGGCAGGGTCTGGAGCTTCGAGTTCAACGCCGTCAGAGCTGAGAAAGCCAGGTAAGTGTGTGGAGTCATTCACTACTCGTTCAGGACACTAGCACCTTCGGCTTCTCTTGGCGTACATCCTGATGCTCTGGCCCCGCTACTTGCAGACACGAATTCGACGCGCACGGACTGTCGCCGGGCACCGTACAACTGCAGCACCGGAATGTGTGCAAGGATGGTTTTGGATTGACGGGTGTCGCGGATGCCATCTTTTTAGATTTACCAGCGCCGTGGGAAGCTCTGGAATCTGCAGCTCAAACCTTGCGTTTGGATAGACTTGGTCGAATATGCACCTTCAGCCCTTGCATTGAGCAAGTTCTGAAGACGGCAGAAGGGCTGAGAGCTGGCGGATGGACAGATATTGAGACGTTCGAAACGTCTGTGAGGATCCACGATAGCTTGTCTACTCCTCTTGTCGCGCCCATGTTGGATGTGTCGCAGGCTGTGGAGAGGATCAATCGTCAACTGCGCGTCAAGGGCGAAAGGAGGCTTAATCAGATCGCAAAAGCTAAGGATAGGCGGGCGAAGAGATTGAGGGAGGCCGAGGAAGATGAGCAGTCTAACAACGCTGCTACTGCGACAGAGAGAGACGCCTCGCCAGGTGGAAACTCGATAGAGCATGGAAACAAGTCATCAAATAAAAAGACGAAGGTCGATGCTTATGGGGCCAGCAATCGTAATGGACAGGACCCATCCTATGCGGTAGCATCCGACATGCTAGCAACTCGCAGCGCACAGGAGACGCAGCACGACGCGACAAAGGGACATGATGGAGCCGAATCGGAAGAGAGTGATGCAACCAAGATGACCAGTGTTCCCATGCGAGTCACAGTCGCTAGCAATCGACCGGGTAGGCAGTACCCTGCACGGGATCTTGAAGCCTCGAACGTGTATGGACGTGTGCAGCCCGAAGTGAGTCGAATGATGGAGCTGCTACGTATAGAGAGATGTCCAAGCTCACCTTCTGCAAGCTGAACCACGCTTCTCGACGCAATTCTTTCTGCTCAGGTAAAGTTCACTTCTTATTTGACCTTTGCAACGCGAAGACCACAGCTCTTGACCTTCGACAAAGGTGCAATCAAGGGCGCTGACTCGGCTGCGTTGCCTGCGGAACGCGAAGTGACGCATGGGATGCCCGACGAGAAGTGCGAGGTCGCAAAGGCTGCAACAGACGCACTGTAGAAGTCGTGCAGCCAGCGCAATGAATTCTTGATTTGAACGCCATCAGTAGACGGCGTAGGGCCTTGCGCCTCTGCGAAGCTCATGCATCGCTCCAGCTCATGCATACTTCAAGATGTAACGATACAATTAGCTTGACAATGTCACTCTATCCATGTGACTCGATTGGAGGCGGCCACATTTGCGGGGCAGAGGGGAAAGGGACGCAGGTATTTACATTCGATTCGAAGGCAGGAAGTATGGATACATCGAAAGGCTTCCCGTGGCTGCCAAATTTTGCATTGGCTCATTCTTTCCGCTCCACATCTGGCGCGCTGCGCATCGACGCCTGAGGTGGGCAGGACTGGGGCGGCGGATATGGTTGGTTTGAGTAGTGTGGCGCTGAAGGCAGAATGGGCGGGGAACGAGAGGGCTGTTGGGCGTACGAAGGGCCAGCTGGATAAGGTTGCTGAGGGTATTGGTGAGAGTGCACATGATACTGCGCGGCGGGCTGAGGATTTGGTACGAATCCTTGAGCGCCCATGGCTGGCGGAGGTGAAGCATGTGGCTGATAGCCGAGCGGGCTGACGATGATAGCCAGGGCTCTCCCGCCATCGTGAACACCTTTGGCTTTGAGAGCTCTTCGATGCTGACGCTTGGCATTCCTCATCTCTTTCTTTTGCCGCTTGTGCTCTCTGCGCATCTCTTTCCTCTCCTTCTTGCCGTACTTCAAACCATCGTGTGTGTATTTGGGAACTTTCTCCTCGTCGGACGATGAGGACGAGCTGCTGCTGCTACTGCTGCTGCTGCTGCCGCGACGAGGACGACCACTCGTCGTCGTGCCACTCAGAAGTGGTGCGCTAGAGTGGACAGGAACTTGAGCCTGAGCGAGGCTTGTGAGCCTCTCTTGTCCCTGAGCAACGTAGACATCCAACCCGCGAGGTGCAAAGAAACTTTCTGCCCATTCTTCGATGGCCCCGAGTACCACTGGCTCCTTTTTGCGCTTCATGGACCTTTGAATTGCTCTGGAGACGAAGAATGCTGCAGCTCTAGCAGTGGACAGGTGGAAGAGCGCAAGGAAGTGATGATGAGCGCCGCATGCGGGAATAGGGCCAGATGTGCATTTCGCAACTTACCCCAGGTGCGCAGTCGTTGGCAAGACGAGGTCAGTGAGAATTCTTTGACCTCCAGAGAGCCTGCCAGCCACCTCGATGTCTTCGAGAAATCTGGCCCAATCAGCAATGCTGACATTGTGATCCACCATGACTGGGCCGGGGTAGGCGTTCGCAAAACCTTCTCCGACCAGAGCCTTTCCTCTGAGCTGAGCTTTGGCCTTGGCCTTGCTGTGTATTCTGAAAGGCTGAAATGGAGAGTACGTCACTGCTCGAGCTGGAGTCGGATCCGCTGGCGAAGGAGTCCAGGCTGGGCCTCCTGCTGGAGGTGGCGCCCTCTCAAAGCAAGGAGCAGGCGGTTCGAAAGGATTGCCGGGAGAGCGAGAAAAGCGAGCTTGAATGCGAGTCATCATGTCCAGTTCGGGGATGCTTCTTGCTCTCGCGTCCTGTGCGCTGGGCGACCAGTCGTGTGAAGCGGCAAAAGGACTACCAAAAAGCTTTTCGGGACTCATGGAGCTCGAAGACTTGCCAAAAGCTTGTGCTGGCATGGCACGTCCCACTGGCCCGCTGCCAGAGGTGGTCGGAGCGTACGGTACGGCAGAGCGACTGGAAGAGGCCGATGGCCCGACGTCGAGGTTGCGCATCCTCTGCTCCACCATATCATCGTCCCAAGATCTCTCGCTCGCCGACGCTTTCTTGTCTTGCGTTCCGGTTTTCTCGAAACTGGTTGGTGCGCCTCGAGGAGCCACTTGATCGTAAGAAGGAGGCAAGCTGAGCGTCTCGGATGAGTTGCCGGCGTGCGCCATTTGCGGTCGCCGCCAGGCTGGGTTGCCGGTGGGATTGGGAGCTTGCGTCATCATGCTGACTGGATGGTCAAAATTTGTTTGCGCGAGGTTGCTGCGAATGACGCGCCGGGCGAGTCGTTCGAGATGTGCAAGAGGTGCAAAGGGGGTGTGCAGGACATTTGTCTGAAAGCTTGAGAAATGCCCCAGTCTTATAGGAGAACAGCGAATGATCACGAGTTGTGAATGAAGAAGGCGACGTCACAGCAACGAGAGCACACAGAGGCCCACGACTGCACGCGACGCTACCACTCACGACTCTCTTGGAGCGAGAGGTCTACACGACCACAAGGGAGGCCAAATGCTCGGCTCCCAAAGACGAGTCCGTGTTCGGCAGCCGCAAATACACCCGTAGAGACGCGATCTCGATGCGTTTCCGGCGGATCGGAGGGCAAAAGGGGAACGCTCCAAAGGAGCTAAACTAAAAGCCAGCAGCTTGGCCGTACGGGTACTGCAACGTTACTCACGACCCATGACGGTGCAAGGTGCCTGATGGCTGCTTTATGGGGCAATCGTGAGTCAGAGTGCCTCTCTGATGCATGCTATCTTTGGCATGGCGGCGGCACGGGCCTCTGCAAAAGCGTCGCGGGGTCACCCGATGCACGGCATGTCCGCGAGTTCAATCATCAGGCATACCGCCGGCAATCACGAAATGCTGGCATTGCGCGCGAAGACAAGCTCGCCGTCTGCTTGCTTGTTCCTGCTGTTTGATTGCTGAGCTGATACACCGATCGATTCTGCAACTCACGACTGTTGCACGAGGCCAACCCAGACATGCAGCAGTTTGGTCGAGTATATGAACGCCAACTCGCATACAAGTCGCCGACGGTCCAGATATCCCCGCTTCATCAGCGATCGAGTGTGCTGCTGGATATATATGAGTGCATATGGGGAATACGGCGCGGTGCCGAGTAGCGTGCAGCAAGCCGAGAAGCCTTCCGTGCGAGGGTCCGACTCCGTCGGCTTTGCATGCTTGATTTTGATTTCTCAATTCGCATCACCCTTAGCAGCGACAGTGTAGTTACTGTACAAGTACTCTTTGGATGAAACACCCGCGTAACTCATCTCTTGACTCGCGACCACCGTGCGAGCGATGTTAACAAAGTCTTACAAGACAATTATACAAATACAAACACAATATAATCCTCGTGGATTATGATTCTGGTTGTATATGCGCGTCCCGTCACGAGTGTGGGACAGCTAGGCTATCGCAGCCATAGCTTACGTTCTGCTGGGCGCCTTCAGACACCTATATATAGCGAAGCATCACCAGCAGCGCTATCAATCATCCCATCGCGGCCGTATACCGTATACGTGAAATGCTGCGCGCAATCACAGCCTCTCTGCGTGAGAATCGTGCGTGCGCAGCCGGTGATGCTTTCATTCGAGAGTTCGAGTTGCCTATCTTTTATAGCTATACCGCTCACTCGTTCGCATATGGCTGTGCACTAAAACGTCGACTTGCTCGGCCAGTCAAGAGTGGAGTGGTTGCTGAATTGCTTGCTTTCATGCGATACATGTGCTCGGTGCCGAAGAGTCACGCAGTTGAAATACCCACCGCACTACATCTCCACACGTCTGGTCGGCACTCACTTAGCTCCTGAGCGGCAGGAGTGCATCTCGGCCCAGTACGAGCCATGACGTCGCGGCTGTGGTTGTGATAGCAATCTTGAATGTGTACCCAACCGATTCAGGGTCGCAAACCTTCGCTATAGCAAGCAAACATCACCACATTCCACGCGTGCCTCCACTTCGGTGCTACTATAGTGGTGAAAAGGTGAGCATTTGGCAATACGACGCGAAAAGCCGAACACCAGTGTCTGAAAGTTATAAGAGGTTTCAAAAGGAGCGTACGTTATTTGCGCGGGGCTGGGTGAAGCAGGGATAGGGAGTGTTGGAGTCGCGGGCTGACAGAGAGGGTTGGAAGTCGCGAGGCGTAGCAAGCTGGCTGGTGAGCGGGAAAATCGGAAAGCGGTGCAGGATATCTTGCAAACGTCAAGAAACCATGGGAATCTCGATGTGGTCTGCCTTGCATGCTTCGAATCGGGGCTGAGCACTAGTAATCGGCAGGTTGGGGGGAAGGAACCGATCTGAGGGACGGCGAATCGACCGTCTTTATGCAGTGACAAAGCGAGAGCGGGGTTCCGGGAAGGTGGAGGCATGGCTATGGGCAGACTTGGGACCCATGAAGAGACGGGAGCACTCATAGGGTTGCTTCCATCTCAGCGTCCGCCCATCAACCAAACAAGTGTCCGAACTTCCGCAGTTCACTTAGGCGACCGCTGTCTTGGGCAATGGCTCATCGCTCAACACAGCCTCTGTACCGCCGGGAACCTTGGCCTCGTCAAGGATCGTGTCTTCACCGGGCACCTCGGGAGTTGCAAATCGAGTAGAAGGATTCTCGACTGAAGGGCGCGCAGCAACGGGTACTTCGGCGGCTGGTGCTGCCTCCCCGTTGGCTTGACTGGTGGGCGGTGCAGCTTGCACCTTTGAATTAGGCACCGCACCATCCGAGGGCCCCACGTTGTGAGGGCTCGCAACATTTTCAGGCCCTGCGAAGCTGCTTTCTCGATTCGGGACAGGCTTCCTTCCAGGCACCGCACCGGAGCGAGATCCGACTGATCCATTGTCGTTTGGCTGCTTGCTGTAATCCGAAGGAAGCGGTTGATTTCCAGCATCTGGAGATGTCGTGGTACGAATGGTGGTCGTAGTAGTGGTGCCAATAGCGGTGTTCTGATGCTGTTGCGCCAAAGCTCGTGCGACTGCGTCGTCGTGACTACTGACCCCACCTTCATCGGCTTGAGTCTGAGCGCCATTTCCGCTCCCACTCTTCCCATGTGCGCCGGCAGGAACTGGCTTGGACGCAGTAGAGGCGCTTCTCGAAGCAACCGCAGCGGCTGCCCCTGCCGAAGCAGCGACGGGCGCGTTGTGGGAAGTGCTAGAGCTCTTCCGCCAGCTCGGACCTCTGCCCATCTTGCTCTTGATTGAAGGAGTCTTCCCTGTTCCGACAGCTTGCTGCTGCTGTTGTTGTTGTTGGGCTTGCACAGCAGCAGCACCCTGCGCGCTCGTGCTCGGCTCATCGAAGAGGCTATTGCCAAGCACCGAGCCCGAAGTACCGAGCAGAGCTTGCTTGCGCTTGTGAGAAGCGTCGAGCTCTGCCAAGCTTAGAAGATGACCATTGCCCGCTCCAGGAGCCTCGCGAGGTGCATCAAAGTTGATTTTGGAGAGATCTGAAGGTGCAGCTCGCTCCGACTTTTTCTCTTCGTCCTCTGTCACGAAAGTTGGGACCCATTGACGCCGGCTATACAGATGCGCGGAAGTGAAAGCGTCAGCAGGCTTCTCGAACGCAGCATATCTGCACTTGAATTCTGGAGCAGCGCACACTTGCGCTGTCTACACGCGCTGCAAGGGGCTCTGTGCACCAATTCTACACAGCTTGCCCATCCTTCAGCTACTCCGAGTAGTCGGCTTCGTGCAATCTGCGTCCCTCCGAAACAAATTTTCGCTGCCTTGTACTCACGCCTTCAGGAAAGACTGCAAATCTTCCGAAGTACCGGCTTGCGCATTGGACGTAGCAGTCGCCAGACGAGCTTGAGGTCCGGCGAGACGCACAGAATCCCACTGCACGCCTTTTCCGGCGAACAATTCGCTCGGTTTTGGAGCAGGAGCAGCGGTGCCGTCCTTTGCGGTCTCGGACGTGGGACTTCCCACAGCTGGCGCAGTCGAGGAAGCAGGAATGGTGGGAAGACCAGAAGATACGACTGCACCTTTACCATTTAGCTGGCTGACAGAGCTACGCTTGGTCAGGTGTCCATTGCCAGCCCGTCCAGTCCCATTCGCCTGCTTGGCAGAGGTCACTGAGCCGCGCGATGGGCTAGTAGGACCAAAGTCGCTCCCTGCAGCAGGGGCAGTGCCGGTCGATGAAAGAGAGCCGCGACGGCCCTTCTTATTGCGTAGGCTAGCAAAGAGAGGCATTTTTGCTGGCGACGGAGACGAGCCTCACTTTGCGATTCTTGTAGCTGGCGGTAGACTTAGATGTGGTGACACAGCTGCGTGTCTGACCGGTGTCGGAGGAGCAGAGCGAAGAGCTTGAGTAGCAGCAAGTCGAGTAACGTGGGGAATGTATGCGTCAATTCCTTGTCACGTACAGCCTCTGACTGGAGCGGTCGAGCGAGAACGCGAGATTGGACGGGTGTGAGGTAAGAATCAAGCCGTGGGTCGCGGCTTTGTTGGCTGATCGAGTTGAGTGCCCGCGAAGCGCGAGTATGTACTGCATACGGAGCGGCATTCGTGATTGCCTACCGCGTACATAGAAGTGTATCTTATTCGTGATTCCTGACCATGCAGCCTTCCCGGCCTTTCGGAGAGGCGGCGGGCGTGCGTACGTCTGTCTCTCCTTGGCTATACTTGGGCTGGCTGCCGCTCCAGCTAATCTTTGACTCTTGGTGCGCACGGCTGCTCACGACTATATAAGTGCTGTCACTGCATGCATGCTGTAGTGCGAGGAGGACAATTAAGTGATGAGCGCATTGCGTGTGCGTGCGCGTGCGCCTGCCAGCACGCAGCAGCAACAAAGGCGTGAGAGAGGTCAAGGTCGTGGCGCGCCTCATCCCAACCTGACTGACCAAGTGCCCGGCCACGTTGGTATGGTTGCGTGGCTCTGCAGCTCTGCACGGGCTCTCGGCCAGCACTCTTTGACTGGCAAGTCAAAGAAGGCGCATGCTAGCTGCTAGTGTCTGCTGCCGGTGCTAGCCAGCAGCAGCGATCATCCAACCCGCTTCCTGCTATACTGCACGCGCCCCGCGTATACGGTGCGGCCATACGCTTAAAATTGTGAGCCACAGTGGGGCGCAAGGGCTCTGGTCCTCGAGCTCTGCATATCAGCATCCAGCTGTCCGGTGCCGCGCTGCCTTCGGTGGATGCATGGAGGTGCGCGGTGTCACGCAGCCACACACATGCAGCCAGCCAGCCAGCCAGCCCTGCCATCCATCCATCGATCCAGCGGCGAGAGCGATGCACGTTTTTGCGCACGTCCAGCAATAACCCCAGCCTTTAATCACGGGCTTGTGCCGGGGTAGTCGATTCACGTCACGAGGGGAAGAGAACAGCAGCAGTCAAGAAGCGGGAACGAGTATACGTGGTGTGCAAGCAGCAGCCGTCCCCGGTCATCCGTGACTTGGAGCTGTTGGGCCGTAACGCCAAGCTTCTAAAAGCCTGACCAAGCCGACGTGTGGAGATCATGATTCACGATTGTGGTCGACAACACGCCGGATGGCTCCGCGCAGAGGAGGCGCTTATGATGACGATCAGGTACCACGCATTCACTCTACACGGGCTCATTTCGGATACACAGCAGCAATAATCTTTGGCAATCATGTCGTTCACACGCTGGATTTCGAAAACGAGTTCGGATGTCCTGCTGTGACTATTCACTTACTCTTCCAGGCAAGGCGTGTCTCAGACGTCAAGATCGCACGACTTGATTGCCAGCCATGTTCTACCAAGTACCTATGCAGTCGGCTTCCTCAGCGCGCTCCCGGTCTTGCAAGCGGCCAAGCTACGGCCCTGGCAAAGCCGTATCGTATGATGGAGTTTTCGAGTCCTGAGTGTGCTGGCGGGAGACGGCCTGTGCACTGTCCGAAATTGCGGCGCTTGGCTGATCGCGGAGAAACAGATCGGCTTCGGCCTTGGCAGGTGACACGTGACGCGTAAAGAGCCTGCACCACCCGCGCTCACGGCTGCAGCACCTCGCCGACGAAGCATCAAATGCTAAACTTTCTGACTCCTTTCCTTGCTTCAATCGGGATCGAAACCCATGCGGTCACCGGAAATCGTCTGGAAGAGCGTGTCAGATGACCAAGCTGTCCGTTGCGCTCTGAAGCCTGGACAAACGCGCGGGAACGAGTCACGCGCGCGTGCAAGTACCATGCACGGGAGAGCGCGGCGCGTGGCGGCAGGCAGCGAGCGCACGCACGCACGCACGCACGCGCCTTCACTCCACTCGTGTCGCGGGTGCAAGCGACTACTTTGCCTGCGAGGCTCCTCGTCTTGGTCAGCGCTTACATTCGTCGACCGTTCTCACACCACCTAAACCCTCGCTGAAGGCCGCGTCACCCTTTCCGCCCAAATCGGAGCCTGTTGAGGACCATCTTGGTCAGCAAGCATTCTAGCACGTGCCTTCTTTGCTCTTCCCATTGACCCCGCGCAACGCCTCGGCACCGACAAAGCCCTTTCCCGAAGAAAGGCCAAGACGCGTGTTCGACCTCGACCTGGCTTCCTAGCCAGACGAGGACAACGCGCTCCAAAGCGGATCGCAGCCTTTTGTAAGGGGCTGCGATTCGCTACCTCTGTGCATGGCTCCAACATTGCTGGACTGCTGGGCGTGCCGAGACCTACAGGTGAGTCGAGGAGGACCCGTAACGCCACTTAAATACGCTCGCTGACACTTCCCTCGCCGTCGGCTACGAGCGCAGCGCTTTCGCGCTGTGCTCAAAGGCACACAATTGCCCAGCGGAAAAGGCGACGGACCTTCTCCATCGCCGCGCTCTCCTGCGCATCGATCCTTCAGCACCAGCGTAGGGACAGCAGCTGGAGTGCCATGTCCACCCTCGGAGGTCAATCGCAGAGACCATCTGGGAAGGACAGTCCTTCATTTCATAGCTTCCTGCACCGAGCCATGGGGCCAGGATTGGCTGGTTGCAGTGCTTGCGCATCCTGGACTGAACGTCAATGCTGCCGATGGTGAAAATGGTGAGCTGCCGGGGGTCTCGAGCGCAGGCCTTTCCAACGGCCTTGCTGATCTGGTCTTCCTCGATCTGCACTCATTTTCAAGGCTGGACGCCCCTGCATCGCGCCCTGTATCACGGAAACATACTTACTGCACAGCTTTTACTCAGGCGTGGTGCCGGTTCGGGAGCTGCAGACGGCCGTTTGAAGGACTATGAGGGCCTAACGCCCTTCGATTTGTACAACTCCACAGTGACCGGCTCGGCTCCGTCCCCAGGGGAAGCGGGAGGAAAAGCTGTTGGTCCGGCCGCAAGAATACCTCCTGGAGAGCTGTATGCGTGGGGTGCCAATCGCAACTACTCTCTTGGTCATGGCGATGGATCGGACAGAGCATTGCCTGAGCGAGTCAGGGTGCTGCGCCCGGAAGACGCAGAGCGCGCAGCGGTGGAGCCAGGTCATTATTTCAATCGCATCGGTATCAAGGACATCGTCATGAATAAGTACACAACTTACGTGCTGACAGACGAGACCAGCTCCAATGTGCGGTGTGCGGGCGTAGGAGGAAACGGCAGATTGGGACGCTCGTCCTCCACCCAGACCAAGCTAGAAACCCTCAAAGATTTTCACGAGCGCGCAGTCGCCATCTCGGTTGGTGACGATCACACCTGCATCGTCACTGAAACGGGACATTTGTACACCTTCGGTCACAACAAATTTCAACAGCTGGGCTTCGTCATTGAGCATGGACAAGGAACAGTCGGATCCACTCAGGTCCCTCGCAGCGTGAGCGGAACTAGTGTCGCCACCTTTGGCGGGATAACATCCGGCCCACCAATCCCTGCATCGAGTCTTGATGTGCAAATAAGCCCCAGAAGAGTTGTCGGAACGCTCAAGAAGGAGGAGGTGCTGGGAGTAGCTGCGGGTAAGCTTCACACGGCTGCATTCACAGCCGACGCTCTCTACACGTGGGGCACCAACACGGGCCAGCTGGGGTACGACCGCAACGCATCGGCAGTGCAAGTCACCCCGAGGAAGGTGACAGCCATCACAGCAGCCCAGAAAATTCGGAATCTTGCAGTCTCAAGCTTCGCTACCGCCTGTCTACTGCATTCCGGAGACGTCCTCATCTTGCACAATGACAGCCACTTCGTGCTTCGCTTCCCGCAACCGGGCTTCAGCAGCGACATGTCCGTCTTCAGACCTCGACAAGCCCGTCCCAAGCCTCTCATCAAGAGGCTCGTCTCGGGACCCAACAACCAATTTGCTGCGATCTCTGACATGGGCGACGTCTTCACATTTAGCTTTGGTCATCCTTCCGAGTACGGCAGCGGCTCCATTACCTCTGGTAATGTCGCCTCAGCCAAGCAGTTGGGCGTGAAGCCACAGCTCATTTGGTCAGTCCGCAAGAACAAGAAGATCGGAGCAGCCGAGGACGTGTCGCTTGGCCAAGGCTCAGACTTGATCTTGACCACCGAGTCCGGCCACGTATTTGTTCGATCTCGTCCGTCGGATGTGCAAGGTAGTGGCAGCGGCAGCGCAAAGGGCAAGGCTGGTTGGCGGCCCATACCCTTCCTGCAGCGTGTCATCAAAGTTGCAATGAACGAGAGTGGAGGCTACGCTGCGATCAAGGCAGAGGTGCAGTTGAGAGAGATAAAGCCTCGGGGTCGATCGCTTCCTGACGATCTTCTCGACTTGCTTCTCCATCTCAAGGCGCCCAGTCAGCATGGCCAAGGCTACGATGCGATGCGCGACATAACTGCGGAAGTCACGCAATTCGGTCTGTTGAGCGGCGAAGACGAAGGAGGTGTTTCTGACGAGGAGTATGATTCCGACAGTGATGTCACTGGCACTGCTACGGAGAATGCGGTCAAGACAGCTAAGCTGATTGGCGAGGCCGTGCGTCGTTGGAACATCGACGGCGAGAGCAACCCTCGACTTGGAGCCTTCAGTCTTGCGACTCCGCCTTTCGGTGTCGATCTATTCGTGATTGCCGGGAAACAGTACATACCCGCACATCGAGCGATGGTCGCCTCTCGTGTTCCGCTCCTCTCCGCCGCCTTTGAGCGCCGATGCAGCAACGAGCACACCAATCTTCCACGTGCGGTGAGGGTCAGGACACCTAGCATCGGTGTCGCAACGCTGGAGCTCCCTGACTGTTCGTTCCCGACGGCACTTTTCTTGCTGCAATATCTATACTCGGACGAGCTCCCGGCTGTATGGACCACGAGCATTGGCATGCAGATAGACAAACACTACTCCGCCGCCGGCATCGATCGAGCACGCGTCCGATCCGAGCTGCAAGGCTTGGCAGACCTGCTTCAGCTGCCGGCTTTGAAACCGGTCATCGTCTCGCCAGTCCCGCGCCTGCCTACACCAACGCTTCGGCGCGACTGTGCAGCCTTATTCCGCAACGGAGTGGACGTCGAACCAAGTCAGTCAGCATTTCACGATGTTGAGCTTCAAGTCAAGGACAGGGTCGTTCCCGCTCATTCGGTGCTGTTAAGGCGGTCGCCGTTCTTTGCAGCGTTGTTTCAGCCGGACTGGACGTGTGCGCGATGGCGCGACGGCAAGATCGTGGTGGACATGTCCCACATGCGCTGGGACGTGTTCCGCATACTGATCGAGCACATCTACACCGACCGAACCACGGAACTCTTCGCTGGCACGGATCAGGACCTCAAGCTGGACAGCTGGATCGATTTTATTACGGAGGTGCTTGGCGCAGCGAATGAGATGTTGCTCGACAGGCTAAAGCTGGTTTGCTGCGCTTTGCTCCGTCGTCTCGTCCTTCCAAACAACGTTGCCTCCCTTCTAAGCAGCGCTGAATTTTATCACGCGATTCCACTCAAGGATGCCTTGATGGACTACATGGCAAGGACGATGGAGACCCTCTTGGAGCGCGCCATGCTGGAGGAGTTGGAGCCACGGCTAGTGCGCGATCTTACCGTGTTTGTTCGCCAACGCCAAGACGACCGCATGCACCGATCTCAGGCGAGCGACTACGTCACCGCCCTAGTAGTAAAGCATCAGGAGTACTTTGACTCTTTGGACCTTCCTCCGCCTTCGCTTCACCTTCTCAGTCAGCGCATTGGCAAGCGCGCACCCAGGTCACCAACGCATCGACCCGTCTCGGTGCACGAGGACGTCACTCCTTCCCGCGCGTCGACCAAGCCGCGCGGCTCTCGTTCGCCTGCAGTCAGTCCAGAGCTGAAGCCGGTCGTCTCCTCTCTCACCCCTGCGTCTTCATCGAACGCGAACGACAGCGGCTTCATGTTCTCAATGGATGACGATGATGGCTCAATGGCCCAAGACCTTCAACAGGCCAGTCCAAGCCTGGCTGCGGTTGCCACGCGCGCTCTGAAGACGACTCCTTCAGACTTTTCCCTCGGATCTTCGCGTGGTTCTCCGAGCCTCGGAGCCTGGAAAGCGCCCACCGTCCAAGCAGAAAAGGGCAAAATGGCAAGTCAAGCTGACGAAGAAGCAAGCACGTTCACGAAGCAGACAGGAATCAACCTCAGGAACATCATGGCTGCCGAGCAAGCACGACGACCCTCAGGGACTGCATCCATTCTGAACAGCGCCTCCACCTCTGCACTACCATCAGGAAGCTCGACGCCGGTGCGAACGTCGAGCAGCAGCAATGTCGCGGGCATCGAGAGCGGTGTGTCGGGCTTGACCATATCTGGGAAACTTTCGCAGCGCGATCGACGCAAACAGTCCATTCAACAACAGCAGCCTGCCGCGGCCTCTTCGCCCACGCCGGCTCCCGCTACGCCAAATCGGCCCGCAGGCAATCCATGGGCTAATAGCACAGCGAGCATCTCTACGAGCAGCGACAGATGGTCTAGTGGTACACCAGGCTCTGCTTCGCCGTGGCGGACGCCGGCCAGCGATCAAGTCGTCACTCCGCTCTCTCTTGGTCCTTCATCACAAGGCGAAGGAGGTCTTGGCGCCCCCGGACGGCCGCCCTTTGTGCCACGAGCATCCTCGGGGCTGCAACAGTCCCTCTCGCAGACTTCTAGCTCCTCTCTCGGTCCCACATTCACGCCCCAGAAGGGCGTTGCAAAGGCGGCACAGCGCCGTGGAGCTGGCGGGTGAGCGACTAACAATTGCACTGATGCTCGGGCAGAACATTGGCGCTTACTGACTCTGATCCTCCCCATCATCGCAGAGATAGTCCTTGGGGCGGCTCGCATGCCAACGCAGGAGATCTGTTTGCAACGTCACCGCCAGCTAGCAGTTCATCGCTGGCGCTGGATTCCAGGACTCCTCCATCCACGTCGGGTCCGCAGTCCTTCGCTGCAATCCAGGAAGAGGAGCGCTCAAGAGCAGAACAAGCCGTGGCTGCTACTGAGACCATGAAGCGTACGACTTTCGCCGAATTGATCGAACAGGATCGCCTTGACAACGAAAAGCGCAGCAAGGAAGACCGCGACAGGGAGGCCTTTGAAGCCTGGTTCGAATCCGAGTCCCGAAAGGTGCAATCTCAAATGCCGAATCCCAACGAAGGCGGTAAACGCTCCAACAAGCCCAGCGGTAATCGAGGGCGGGGACGCGGCAAAGGCGGCAGCTCTAGGAATGATGCGCAAAAGCCCGCCAAGGCCGAAGGCGGCGCCTCGCACAAGGAAGCGGGCTCAAGTGCCGGGACGACCCACAAGCCCAAAGGTCGCCGAGGTGGAGCTAAAGCGCAGGGAGAGACCTTGAGAGCTGCTCAAGCCACCGATCAAGCCACCGATGCCCCTTCCGTGCCCGTTGCCGAAGCGAATGACTGAAGTGCCATATTTCTTTTCGCTGTTGCTCCTGCATGTCATGTGCAGCTTCCCTCTTGCATCGCTGCCATTGATGCAAAGACCATTCCCAAGATCTCGATTGTGAAGGCCCAAGCCAGAGGCTACGAATGCCCCGCCTTTACCTTTCTGTACCATATACAAGACTGTAAATTTCTAGGATTGCAATAGACGTTCAAACCCAGGCAAGCTCATCTTGATGCGCTCAACAAAGGGCGGATCTGTGCTCATGCATTGCCAAAGAAGGCAGGTGTGAAGTGATTACTCTTCCTCTTCCTCGTCCTCTTTGATGAAGTCGCTCTCGATGGGTGCCTGAGCGCAAATCGTTATGTAAGACGGTGTGAGCTCGTTGCGATGTACCGAGAGTTCAGTGATACGCGTTGCGCGCTACGCACCCTCTTTCGACCCTCTCCCAGCGCCTTGACTAGACCACCATCGGGATAGACTCTAGGAATAGCAGGTTTCTCGGGATATGTGAGGTACACCAACCCTGCGAATGCTCCCATGCATGCTGCAGCGATGCTGAATTGGAAAAGAGCGGACGGACCACTGATCTTGTGAACGTCGGGTGCCCAAACGGACAGCGTGTCGTCGGACTCGTGCAGCTGTGAGGGTCAGGCGAAACAGGAAAAATGTCAGTGCGACAGCTCAATCGTCATGGCGCTCAACGCCCATCTTCCAAGCGCATGGTTGGAAGCTTGTGGAGGTAGGGGCCGATGAACGATGACGACCAGAACATTGGCAGTGTGCACTATCTTGAGGCATGTAATCGCTCAGAGACGACAAGAAGTGCCACACAAAACGACCGGCCTCGTTGCCTGCCGGTGCAACCCCAACATCCGAGATAAGTGCAACCTAGCCCCACCACCACCGTTCGTCGCTTGTAGGCGCATGACTTACAGTCTCTCCAAAGTTACGCTTCTCTTGCTGATCCCACCACTTGGGATTCCACCTCCTCCACTGCCTGCTGACGGGCTCGAAATCCGGGTAATCGCCCAACTGAGGATCCTTTTGAGCTGAAGGCTCCACCTTGCGCACGGGTGTGGTGCAGAAGCTTCGGTAGGTCTGGATAAGCGCAAGCGCGGAGCGCTTGGAGCTCGAAGAAACGCGAAGCAGAGACATCCTCGCGAGCTGCTGACCGGTGCTGTCGATCGGTGCGGTGGAGCTTGTAAGGCAGATGAATTGGGTCACCCATCACCAATGCCGCGAGTGTGACTGGCATGCACTCACGACTCACGACTGGTCTACAGCTAGTCTTGAGTCACCATCAGTCGCCATCGCCGTGCACCGTGCCCTGGCATGCATGTGGTCGAGGCTGGTGCCACGTGGGTATTGGCCATTTGTACAACGCGCGCGAGCATCGCGGTCGGGTCGTGTACACTGCATGATAGCGCCATATGTGGCGGCTTGCTGCTGCATGGGATGCTCAGGCATGCCCGTCGCTGGCGGAGAAATGCATGCAGCATGATGAACGATGTATATAGCTGGACATGCTACAACAGCTCCTTGCGCGCAGTGCCTGCTGGACGCGAAGCGTTGACCGAAGCGGTGCCTCGCTGGGAGCAGGCGAGCGGGCAGATGGCGTCGATGGCGCGGGAGAGTCTTGAAGCTTGCGTGCGTGCATGTGTGTCTGAGTGCAAGAGTGGATCTGAGCGCAACGCGCGATGGCGCGCCGCGAGGAGTGGCCTTCCTCGTGGGACAGAGTGACGGCTGCGACCAAATCTGTGCGTCGCGAGGAACGAGCGCAGTGACGTCCATCGCATGCAGGCGGCGGCTCGGCTTGGGAGATACACCATCGAGACGCAACGTCAGTTTTCGACATCCACCTCTTCGAGCAACACGGTCGCTGCATTCACGCTGTGCTCAGACTTCTTATCCACCACCGTGCTTCTCACCTTCTCGCAACTCAACAGCAGACTCACTCCTGGAATACAGGTGCAGTTCCGAACGCTGGGCCGACTTGCTGGAAACAACAGCAGCAACATCCACTTTCACCTTCTTGGACCCTTCAACCCGCCAGCGAGCCCTGGCGCGTATCGATCCATCATCGACTTTGTTACGCGCTCCGCTCTCGCTCAGCCAGTCATCAAGCTCAACTTTCTACGAGCTTCGACGAGCATCCTACAGGCTCAAGCTATAGACCAGCCACACCGCACGGAGTCGAAATCCAGGATCGACCAAGATGGTGGAGATTACAGAGCAGGATGCTTGGATCTCTCATCTGAGCGACTGCAAGCAATTGTCAGAGAACGACATCAAGCGCCTTTGCGAAAAGGTGAGTGGCGCTCGGGCGAGTTGTGGAAGAACTATAGGCGCTTCAAGGTAGGCTGCCCTGGACATGCGCGCGGACTTAGTCCTGGACGAGCACTTGCAGGGGAGCATGATAGCCCGGCTGCTGAGAGGCACGATACCCTGCTGAGAGGCGCGACACCCTGCCTATATGCGGCTTTGACTTGCTTTCAATGCTGGTCGCCGGCTCGAGGAAGGAAAGGGGCAGCAAAGAGCGCGCGAACAACGGCCTCGAGTCTTGGTCGCCTGGCTAGACTTCTAAGCTCTTGCAGGCTTTTGTCTATTGCCCGATCACTCGTGCATTCGAGTTATGGCTTGTGCCTTGGCATCCCGCACATGGCAAGACCAGCTTTCAAGGATGCACCATTCCAGACTGCCACCGCCTTTTGCCAACATACTGACGTGCTGACGTGTACAACTCGCTCGGCTCGCACTGCAGGCGCGAGAGATTCTGCTGGACGAGTCCAACGTCCAGCCCGTGCGCTGCCCGGTCACCGTGTGTGGAGACATCCATGGTCAATTTGTGAGCGCACAGAGAGGAAAAGCGTAGGCAGATGACTGCTTCTGACGAGGTGGCGTGCTCCTCGGCCGTACGCAGCATGACTTGTCGGAGCTCTTCCGAATCGGAGGCAATTCGCCAGACACCAACTACCTCTTCATGGGAGACTATGTCGACAGAGGATACTATTCCGTGGAGACTGTCACTTTGCTCGTGGCGCTGAAGGTCAGGTATCGCGATCGCGTGACTATTTTGAGAGGAAATCACGAGAGTAGGCAGATCACACAGGTCTATGGTTTCTATGACGAGTGCTTGCGCAAGTACGGCAACGCGAATGTCTGGAAATACTTCACCGATCTCTTCGATTATCTGCCCTTGACTGCTCTCATCGATGACCAGGTGAGTGCAAGCCGACAGACCGGCGCATGCCTACGCGAGCAGGTAGCTGACAGCTAAGCGCGGGCCCTCTTGTGCAGATCTTCTGCTTGCACGGCGGGCTTTCCCCTTCCATCGACACTCTGGACCACATCAGGTCCATTGACCGCATCCAAGAAGTCCCGCATGAGGGTCCAATGTGCGACTTGCTGTGGTCCGACCCCGATGATCGATGCGGTTGGGGTATTAGTCCCAGAGGTGCCGGCTACACCTTTGGCCAAGATATCAGCGAAGCTTTCAACCACAACAACGGCCTCACGCTCGTTGCGCGTGCCCACCAGGTGAGTGCGACTGTGCGGTGATCGCGTGGCGAAGCTTGAAAAGCTGACGATCCACGCCGCTTGATAATCCACGTGCAGCTTGTGATGGACGGCTTCAACTGGTCACAAGAGAGGAATGTGGTCACCATCTTTTCGGCTCCCAACTACTGCTACAGATGCGGCAATCAAGCCGCAATCATGGAAATCGACGAGAATCTCAAGTACACTTTGTGAGTGTGGACGAGTTGCGGGCTCATGACGCTTCGTCTGTGCAGCTGCTGACTAGCCTGCCCTGTCCACCTTCAGCTTGCAATTCGACCCTGCACCGCGCGCCGGAGAGCCCTTGGTCTCACGAAGAGTGCCAGATGTGAGTTTGTTTCTGTTGCAAATTTCTCGAGCGTATGCCCACATGCTGATCGCGCCACTATCGTCGACCTGTGCAGTACTTCCTGTGATACCTTGAACCATGATGACGGAGCGAGAAGAAGTGCGAGGACGAGCGATGAAAGTATGCAAGAGAGGTGTCTTCGTACCGCAGATTGGACATTTGATCTACGAACAAACACACACTACATGGTGCATTTTCATGATTTGAGCCACTTAAGAGGGGGCCACTGCGGTTGCCTTTGTGTCTGTCTACGCGTGGGAAGGGTGAACAACTTTCGACCTGGCTCCAGACTACACATCCAAAGAGACGCTTGGCGCCCACCGTATGGGGCGTGGCGAAATGCTCTTCACCTGCTGATCAACAAACATATTGCGAAAGCGTGCGTTTTGATCCTTCGTAGTCAGTCTGCAGTCTTGTGGCTGCGGGTCTGTCATCTACCGAGGGGCAGCTTGGGCGCCCCCATTCTGGGGAGGCGAGGATGATAAGTCCATGCAGCTCCGAAGTCAGACACGCAAAAGTGAGCAATCACAGACTCACTCACTCTCACAGCACTTTCGGTCGACAGCCGTTGCGCTGGCCGCTCAATACCAGCTCGCAGGTCTCGATCAAGGCCATCAGCCGCCAGCAGCATATGTGGCTCTCAAGGGTTTCGATTATGACACATGTGCGCGGAGGTATGTGATCCTTCCCTACTATGCTCTCACGACGCTTTGATTCGATATACAGGCAGTCATGAGTTCTGGATCGGCGCGGTCTAGGACAGCGCGCAAGGGCGCGCGGTGCTCCTGCGCGCGGGCGTGGCGTGTGTATTGATGCTGGACAAAGTTTCACAGGGATTCGTGATTCATTGGAACAGCCAGCCGCGGCATTTTACCCTTCAACTTCTACACCAACTAATTGCATGGAACACTGCCTCGTCGTGGACTTTATTGTCCGGCAGAGCATATGTGGCCCCAATCCAGCAGCTAGGCTTTCCAACATGGATTCGATACGGGGCGAAGCGCTAGCCACGCGCGGCGCGTGGAACAGATTCCCTCGCTCTACTTTTGGAACGGGGTATGACTTTTTGGCAGTGCTTCATGCACCAACCATGTCGACGTGATGGGCAGCCTCAGTCTCGAATTGATGACAATTCGGCGCTGACGAACGCTACACTGGCTCTGCTGAAGCCTTCTCCCTCGAGCCTGGACCGTGGCAAGGCTGCCGTTCATGCAAGCATTTGCCGCGTTTCCACTCTTTGCGCTGAACCCCCACAACTCCATCAGCCTCTGCCCCTTGCCAAACGCCGCAACCTTTCTCGTCGCCGCACGTTCAATTGCAAGCTCGCTAACGAGTGCCCTGCCAGACCTGTTAGTACTTGCCTGCGCGTAATCTCTCCTTTCTTTCTGTCTCCGACCCGGCATTCGAGGACCTAGAGGCCACTTCTTTTGATGAGCTTTTGCGGGGCAGCAGCAGCCCTCGGGCTCTCTTGCGGATCATTTGGCGGTGGTGCAGCCTATGCACCGTACGGCTACCCACAAGCTCCCTCTCCTCCCCAATACCTGCCTATTCCCCTCCCAGCACCAGCACCCGCACCAGCTCCTCCAGCTCAACCGATCTGGAGCATCTTGCCATTCCCTTTCCCCACTCAAGTCCCGGCTATGGCCAACAACGCCTTGGCTATGGACTGCTTCACTTTTTTGCTCTTTGCCCTCGCTCTCATCTACTTTTTGAGACCTGATCTCTGGCCAAAAGTGAGCAGTTCGTTGGCATAGCCATCCCTCTGCCTTCAGCGCTGCAGTCTGTTCAACGATGCGACACTCGTTCTGGAAGGTGGAGAGATAGAGAGGAGAGAGAGCTGATGTTCGAGCCGCTGCACTTTCATGCTCAATATTCCATCCAGGTACCGGCGCCGGCTGCAGCACCTGCGCCTGCCCCTGCGAAAGCACCAGCCAACGAGGAAGCGAAGTGTGGAGGAGACAATAAGCAGAAAGTAGGCGGTGGTGGCAATAACGACAACAAGAAGCAAGAGAACAAGGCAGAGGACGAAAAGAAGAAGAAGGAGGCGGAGGAGAAAAAGTCAAAAGAGGATGCTGAGAAGCAAAAGAAGCTCATCGTGGATATCATTGCGGCGGAGGACAAGAAGAAAGCAGACGCGGCTGCCAAAAAAGTGGCTGAGGAGGAGAAGAGGAAGAAGGAGGAAGAGGACAACAAGAAATTGATCGTCGATACGATTGCGGAGGAGAAGAAGAAGGCGGATGAAAAGGCGGCAGAGGAGAAGAAGAAAAAGGACGAGGAGAGCGCCAAGAAGAAGAAGGAGGAGGAGGCGAAAAAGCCCTCTGCTGACCCTCCAAAGAAAGGTGACGAGCCCAGTCGAAGAAGCCGGTGCTTCAAGTATCTGATTTAGTGCTGACTCCCTAGCTCGTTGCCGATGGACTCATTGATAGCATGTGATTGCAAATTCTTTGCTGGTCAAGTGAGTATTCAAGCTGCTGTCAACGGTGGCCAGCTGGCGCAGCTCATCGAAGCCAGCATCCGTGACCTCCTCTTGATGCTTCCGTAGCGAGTATGGATGTAAGTCTAAGCTCGACACCAAGCAGAATGACGGCGGGATTCAAATGCTAATGACGTCCGCCGCCCACGCATCCCTGCAAGATCACAAAACGGTGGACGATGGTGGGGGACCATCATTTGCCGAAAGAACGGAATGTGGTACGGCTCCAAGATTGTCAATGGTGGGCAGAATAAGTGGGGCGGTGAGTTGGGCCTACTGTGCCATCAATTCGGGAAGGAGCTGCATTTTGCACCTTTCGTTGACCGTCCTTGTGTCGTGCGCACCCAGGCCCCAAGCTGCTGACTGCCCCCTTTGCGGCAAAAGAGGAAGAGTGCGTACACGCCGCTGGTGCAACAGTGCTCTCTTCCATATTGACAGATCGCGCTTGGGCGAACTTGCAGGCTGATTCCACGGCTGGAGTATTTTGGGCCCAAGTAAGTCTGCTGGAAAGTGTAGAATTTGGGCGCGAAAGGCTTTCCGTAGACTGACTGTCGTCTTACGTTCCAGGCGGGAGCCAGTTATGAGCAACTTTTCGGGTGTGTGCTGCTAGAGTGCGAGTCTCGAGACGTGGACGAGCCTTCGATTTCCAGACTGGGGCAGAAGCACGGGATCCAGAGACTTTCTGCACAACGCGGTACACTGCCGCCTTCCGACTTGCATTGCGCCTTCAATCCATATCTTCGACACTAGCATCCAAGTCTCTTTCCATTTCCATTCCTGTAGCGTTCGTTCCAATGTCATCTTCGCCTGGATTTATAGCTGCGCCATCAGCTGCTGGTGTTGCAGCAGCAGCAGCAGCAGCAGCACCAGCTCGGGCTCGGGCTCGCATTGCAGCTAATCTTCCGGCATCGGCTGCCGTCCTTGCTTGCGTATTCGCTTGTGTGATCTGAGCTTGTCGAGCTGCGGCCGCGGCAGCTGCGGCTGCATGTCCTGTATGACCAACAGGCGGACCTCCGCTCGGCCCTCCTTCAGCATCCGAGCCATCGCTCGATGGCGTGCGTCCTCTGTCGGTGGCCTGCGATGTTGCGAAGTTGGAGTCAGATTGGAACGATGCGCAGACCTTGCAAGGTCAACTTGGCTCTGCGCGGCTCGCGCACTCACCGAGAGATCTTCCTCCTGCCTCGTGCGCATCCGACCGATCTGCACTATATAGTCGTCTCCAAAATTGGCTACACGATCTTGCTGCGAGATTCAGGTGAGGAGAGGAAAAACAATGCGTGAGCTGACAGACGACCACTGCATGCGAGGGAAAGCAAGCTGCGGGGGACTGCAGGAGTGCGGGAACCCACCAAGTGTTGCAGCTCGGCCTCCTCGTCGCTCAAATCATCAGCATCGGCGGTACTTCCGACGGGCGGCAGTCCGTCCAGCGCCCTGCGCATTCTGAACTTCTCGGCTTGTATTCCCCTGCTGGGCAAGTGATCGCCTCTGGCGTGCCTGAACACAGCCAGCCTCTCCATCTGCTTGGCAGCCGAGGCGGAGAGCGATGTGGAGCCCGCTGTGCGGTTCGAACGTCTCCAGTCCGACAATTGAGCTTCAGCGTTCGATCGACCTGGTCCGGTCGAGGAGGGGGGAACTTCGAAAGTGCTGGGATGAAGCGTATGGGCCAGTAGCCGGGTAGGCGTCGAATCGCCCAGTGGGATGGATGCGGTCATCTCGAAAGATGCGCGCAGGGATGAATTGCGTGTCGCAGTGCCAGACGCTCGACCTCGTTCGGTTTATGCACGGGACCGGGGCCGAGGCTATGCTGCGCGGCTGTGCTGGATGGCCACTGAGCGCTTTCACCAGGCGCGCGATGAAGAAGGGAGATCGGCTCTGATGGATGAAGCGTAGGACTGGCTATTGAATGCGAAGTGCTCGTCCAGTTGTGACCTCGCCTCGCAGTTGGATGAGCGGACTTGTAGACTCTTTGCTCGTGCTCGATCGAGCAAGGCTGTGCATGTGATGCATGATGTTTGCGTTTGGGTGTAACTTTTCGTGACCACGTGACTTGATGTGTGGCACGTTGCTAACTTAGCCTGCCGCGCGGCGCTTCCCACCAAAAAGCACCGCAACGCATGATCAGCATCAGCCGCGCGCGTCGCGTATCCTGCCGCGGCGCTTTGTCACAGCATCATTTCATTCGTGATTTGACACACATCAGCGTATTTTATTTGCTATGCTTGCTGCTGCCTAGGACGAATAGCAAGGTGGGGAAGACGGCATGCAACTCTGACTGAGCAGCAGTCAAGAGTGACCATCCCGCCAACTTGTAGCCTGCTGGCTGTGATCGTCGCGCGGAGTCTGCCTGATCAGATTCACGATTTATATAGGCTGTTAACAGGCTATATATGCATGCATGGGTGCTGCTGCGCACAAGCTGTAGCAATCGTGATACTTGCCACTTTCCAACGATTTCTGTAGGCCAACTGCGGCATAGCTCAGTCAGAGTCAAAGTCTTGAGTCATGTTGGCTCGCCTTTGAAGTCACGAATCAAACATTCATCAGGGTTAGGGATTGGATCAACGCGAGCATCGGATCAAATTTAAAGACAGTGTGAGTGGTGAGTCACGAGCTCGCGAGCCTAAGTCCACATTCGTGATTCTTGATTCACGATTGCATGAGTGCAAAGGTCGTTGCGTGCGTGGATGGCATTTGCGTAGGTAGGCGAAGCCTCAATCACTGAATCGTGAATCAAGAATCTTGAATCGCGGACTTGGCTGCTCAAATCTCATCTCAGCCGTCAGGCGCTGGTAGAGAGCTTCAACAGCATTACCGCCCAACGGCTCGCGGCTCGCGACTCGTACTCACGACTGTCAGCTACCCGCGCACGCCTCCACAACCTTGTGGCCACATCATCAACTATCGATCCTCAATCAGCAATCATCACCTGCACACTCACCAATACGCTTTCGCGCTGCCAGAGGACACTCACTCGCCACGTGCGCTGCCCATTGTAGCCCTTACGACGAATAAAGGCCTATGCAGAGTGGCACACCACGCGAGCTGTTCACACCGGTCTGCTCAGTCTTCAGAGGCTCGAAGCCGAGAGCCAACAATCTCGTGCTCGCCTAGGGACATCAGCCCTTGTAGAACTCGCTATCAGCTCGCTGGTAGTCAGCTGATCCATCCATCCGCAGCTATGCGCGCTGAGCAGCACACGCTTCGCTTTGCCATTTCACGCTCCCCCTCTGAGCAGAGATCGGAAGCCTGAAAGCGCATACAGCATGCCTCTCAAAGACGGAATGTCGCCAAGCCCCGCTCACGATGCGGAAGCTGATAAGCAAGAGTGTGAGTGCAGCGATGGGGCTTGGTGTTTGGTATAGCTGCTTAGTCCACTCATTCGACGGAAAGCGGCGAGTGCATTCGCAGCCTCCACGCAGCTGGATGCCGTTTCGACCGCTTCGGGTGCTGCACCACCTTCACATCCCTCTTTGAGACCACCCCTGGCTCGAGACCATGGATCGGGTTCAATTACCCACGGCGACTCGTACCGCTCATTCGTAGATGATCGACAATCGATGATCGAGCTCATACAGCAGCAGACGCACTTGCATTCCTTGGTGCATCAGCGAGAGCTGTTGAAGCGTGCAGCTAAGCGTCGAAACCTCACTTCGCTGGAACAGCATACTCTGACAGATATCAGCAGGACCTTGCATCATATGCACGACGTTCAAACAGCCCTGGATCAGACTGCTTCTGGCAGCGCGCCGCGAGGACTCGGGTTTCATGTCGACGCCTCGGGCAGCCGCGAGGTGAGGCCTAGCCAAATTCCACTTGACGCGAATCAGCTTAGAGTGGTCCAAGCTATGCTCGGAGGCCTGGGGCTTCAGCAAGTGCTTCCATCCTCGGAGCCACCTGGGCAGTCCACACCAAAGCAGTTCGGTGAGTGTGGCGCGAGGAAGAAGGTGTTTGCGCCAGCTAAGCCGCTCGAAAGTCCGATAGGCTGATAACGGTGCCTCACGATAGACGACGCACTTGATAGCAACGCATCAGACACTTCGAACGAGCAGATCAGATCCAAGGCACCTTCGGAGGCTCAGCGAAGGCTGAAAAAGGCAAAAAAGGCCAAGTATAAAGCACGAAAGAAGGAGCGCAAGAAAGCATCGAAGGACCGCCCGGATCCGGTCGTCGACCGAATCGTCACGTCATCCCCTCTACACGATGACGAGCGTCCACAAACAGCAATAAAAGAGGACGAAGAGCTCTCCTCGACAATTGCGTCCGAGAGCTGCATACCACAAAGAGCGCACCCGCAACTGGTGGATACTTTACCCGATGTCGACAAGAATCCTGCCCAAGTTTCGTCTCCTGCAGTGCATTTCTACAGCCCCAAGAGCGGTCTTCGAGGAGCTTGGAGCGCCCCAGCGTCACCTGCGCTTTCCGCCGCAGACTCGTTTGTCGCGTCAGACGCCGATATTTGCGAAGTCCTGATGCATGCAAACTCTCCAAGCCTGAGTAAGAGAGGCATTTCAGAATCTCTTGCTCGTCGTGGACTCGCGCTCTCGAATTCGACGAGAACTCAAGCATTGCGCACCGATATACTCGCCCGTCATAAACGCGAGGCCTCAGCTTTTGCAGGCCTCGAACCAACCACTATACTGAGCATCTCGTCTTCCGTAAGTAGCCCGCAGGTGCTGCAGTGGTCTGTTGAAGAGATAACGGCTCAGCCTTACGCATCGGTGGCAATTTCTCTACGTGCCCAGGCGAAGCTTGCACTCAAAGCGACTCAAGCACCGAGCAGCAGCGACAGTAGCGAGTCGCGCGCCACCCTTCATCATCAAACTTCCAGCATCTACGACAAGCCCTTCGGCCAATCGTATTCTGGGGCCCAAAAATCTATCAACGCAGCCGGCCATGACGCTCAAGATCACAGAAGCCTCACAGGCGGTCAAGGCTCCCGAATGCAACACTTTGACAGCCCGGAAGTAAGCGAAGACAGTGAGTCACGCTGCGTGCAGCTGAACACGGTAATTGTAGAAGATCGTAAGAAGCCAAACGGCCCTTCGGCCTCCCGCACGCTAGCTCGCGGTGGTAAGCGACAAGGTCCAACGCCATTCGCGGTCGACGAAGGTTCAGAATCGGACAGCTCAGAGTATGCAGCGAGCCTGCCACTGCCAGATTTGATCTACGGCGACGCAGCTCTGCCCGCCATGCCAACGATGGAAGAATGGCCGGAGAGCCTTCGCGAGCAGGGCTACGAGCCCATCTATCAGCCCTACATGCACATAGCAGATCAGATGGACGTGAGACGTTGCGCTGAAGCAAGCCGAGACGGCGCGGCGCAAGTATTCAAGGCAGGTTCGAACATGGTCACTTGCTACTGCCGCGCCCTCGCCGCTTCGCTCCTCTTTGTGGTCAAGAACGACGTCGGAGACATGCAGCTCGTCGGCTGCAAGAAGAGCGGCAACGGGGGTGGAAGTGGTGACCACGATGACAGTGCCTCCCTGGGCGGACAATACTCGGACTCTGAGCTCTCAGAAAGTAGTTCTCTGTCCGACCAGGATCCTTTGGAGTCTCGGACGGGGATACCACGCGCAGATAGCGAGTACACCCTAGCGCGCACAACACCTGGCAATAGCCCAACAGCTGTCCGTTCCAAAGGCGCAAAGCACGTCCTTGAACAATACCTTCAGAAGAGACGCCGGGACAGTTCCCAAAGCGTCAGCTCTCAGCAAGATTTCCCTCCGAAAGGTACGAGCGGAGCAGCAACCATCGTCAGCGCTGAAACAACAGCAGCGATGATGAGAACTAGCAGCGGAATGGCCAGTCTTGATTTGAGCGGCACGGCAGGACGTCGTTTGCAGCCTGCGGCGGGTGAGGGCCTTTCCAAGCATGCTCCCCTTGCAAGGGCGCATCGAGCTGCAAGAGTGTTTGCTGGCCAACGTCGCCTAATCATTCGAAGCAATCGCCCGTCCCGAGGCCCGACAAGTCATGCTGCCCACAGCACGGCTCAAGTACAGCACCGCGTGGCGGAAGTCGCCCCGTTGCGGCTGCACTCCGGACCCGAGCATGGGGGCTTGTGAGTGACAATGAGTGGTTTGTGGTCCGACGAATGCTGAAATCCCTCTCCCTGCCAGACCCCGACCCAAAGTAGCTCGTAATCTGCTTTCTAGACAGACGAGGCCGCGACTTGTAGGCCCGCTTGCTGAGGACGATCGTCTTCGACTTCTCTTTCGAGCCTCGTCCCAGTCTTCCGGAGAAGGAATTCTTGTACAGACTGAGAATACAACAAGCTCTTGACCCTCTTACGCAGCGATGAGGCGCCCTTGAGGAGCTTTCGTCATCTTGGGAAACCTTCTGCTTCGACAACTTCTTCTATCGCCCCACCAATGTCTGTAGCAACAATCCAAGAATATCGACTCTACGTGACTTTTGTGTTCCAAGCGTTCACACCCTCGTCTCCGAGCCAAAGACACGGTCGCACTTCTCACATACCTATCAATGTACCACAAGATCATATCCCCGCCATGTCGTAGAGCTACACCACAAGAGAACCTGCAGCCAAGTCGCCTTCGGCAAATGGGCTAGCTCAACTAGCAGTTGCTGAGGTGCAGTTGGGGGCAGCCGAACCTTGCGCAGAGAGTGAGTCAGACTGCGACTGCTCGAGCAATTGCATAGAGTCGCCGCTGCGAGAGTTCGCACAATACAGACACGCATTGCGATTCACTTCGAATGCGAACGCCCTGACTGTTTGACTTTTGACTGAGGTTGGTAGTCTTGAGTGTGTTCTTGTGTATTTAGAAATCGCCTGCTTGCTCTCGTATGGTGGCTTCTAACTCTTGACTGCTGACGCCGCGTTACGTCACGTGTTGCGGCCCCAACACGAAGAACCAGGCACAGCACGCGCGCGTGATGGGCTCGAAAGTCAAAAGTGTCCACGCAAAGGTAGGTAGGACGTCAAGCTATCACCGTACAACCACTAAACAAATTATTATGTCTCGACACGGCTACACATACGATTCCGGACTCGGTACTGATACGGATCACATTGCCCCACCTGTGTCAGGTTAGGATCCTTTCAGTTTTGGCCACGATCGCCGAGCACTTCGTCACGCCTGCACCTCTTCCTTCGCTTCACCACCACAAGGCGCCTCAAGAATGTTCACCACACCAAGCCGACAGACGTTGGGTGGAGGCTCGAGGAGAAGTCAGAGCTCTATCCCAGGATCGCGAGGTGCGACACCAATGAGCTTCAGAGAATCGCCAGCTGCGAGTCTGGCAGGCAGTCGACCTCGAAAGGATGTGAATCGCTCTTCCCCTACTTCCCGCTCAGCAACTTACAGGGACAGGAGATCTCACCTTCAGCCTTACATTGTTGATCCGGAGTCCTCTGGAAATGTGAAGGGCTTCGTGGGGACGTCAGGAGACGCGATGGCCGTCGATGATGCGGAAGGGTCTGTTGTGGGAGGCAGACGCGCGACACTGTTGGACGAAGGCACAATACTCGCGCGAGACGACGTGTATGTCGTCTCGGCTTCGCACAAGCTACCCATCGAGGTAATGCAAGCGCTAGAATCTGCTGGTGAGCGATGGGCCAGGTGATGAAGCGAAAGTTGGCAGGCTGATCGGTTGGGAGATGAGAGAGCGCCGCCTGACGTATTTCTTATGACGCTGCGCAGAACACTCTCGTGATGCAATCACATCAGCCATGGACGCACGGATTGGCTATGCCTACGTAGCATTCAAGGATCGCTGTTACGCATGGTGCTTCTCTGGCAGCACGCGGGTCGCGCCAGCCTGCTACGTCTTTCCTGCACCCCCGCCCTCCACTCAGGCAGCGCCGAACACTTTCCCACCCTTTTGCGCGTTTGTGGAACGATCGTCGGGTCAAGAGCCCGGACTGCTGCTCGTCTCGCGAGAAGGAAAGGTGCGCTTGTGGAACAGCATCGCATCTTCGCGCGCTTTGAGCGAAGACGCGCACGAACTCGACGTGGCGCTCGGCGCAGGCGAAAGTGTCACCTCGCTACAGCGCTGCCAGACATCGGCCTTCGTCGTGGCCACGAGCCAGTCCCGGCTGCTTCGTCTGGACGTTCCTCACCGAGGCGGTAGATTGCAAGCAGAGGTCTCCTCCTTCTCCCAACCGCGCGGCTTTTTTGGGCGCTTCTTTGGCGCTGCTGCTACCTTTACCCTTGGGGGAGACGAAAGCTTCAGTGTGACTGCAGCTCCCTCTCCCGATGCCGCCGACGCGTGGACGCTGTATGCAATCAGTAAGCGAGGGGTTCAGAAATGGGGTCTTGGCGAACGGTCAGGTGGCGAGACGATGATCGCCGAGCAGGATCTCCGCCAGCCTATCGCATCGGTCTTGTTTGGACTGCCAGAAAAGGATGATGGATCTGGAGCTGATACAGCAGGTCTGGAGCTCTTAAGCGGAGCAATCACTACGAATGGTGCGCTCCTCATCCTCTTCGAACACAGCCCCACCTCTGCTGGTATCATTTCCTTTGGCGTAGCTGTTGCGACTTATGAAAAAGTGGCGAGCTCGTTCGTCATTTCTCGCGCCGTGCAGCTGCACTACACTCACGCAAGGTCTGCGGGACCATCGGATGCGCCACGTCTCATCGCGCCGTACGGAGGACCGGTCCTATTCATTCAATTCGAGGACGTAGTCGTGCTCAGACTGCTCGAAGATGACTTTGAGGAGGTAGTCAGCCTCAAACACCCTCTGCAGAATCGCTTCATGGGCTATGGAGCCGAAAGCATCGACGTGGAACGGGAGACGGACGTTGTTGGCGTGCCCTTCTTCACATCGTCCAGTGGCACGCTCTTGGTTGATGTCTGGGTCGGCGCAGCAGCTGCATTGGCGAAGAAACTTTGCACTCCTAGGGAACACACTGCTGTGCGAACGGAACGCCTCATGGTCAAGCTCGAGCAAGCTGTCTTCTTCGGCAACAATATTGCAAGTCCGATATCGTACGATCTGCCACTCGACTTTGAAGGCGACCTTTCCCTTGCCGCCGAGCAGCTCAGCACCAGCATCGTGACCTCAGAGACGCAAGCACTGCCCGATGTAGTGGAATTGCGGCTGCATCTGCAATACCGCGCTGCACGTCTGCACGATTTGATTACGTTCATTGCGAGCAACAATTGCCTCCAAAAGCTTTCCCATAGCAGCCGTCGCCGCCTCTCTTCCGACGCTGAGCTTCTCGCTGCAGCTCTCGAGGTCTGGCAATACCACGGCGCGCAACTCTCTGGCGCTCGCGGGACATTCGGCACCCTCAGTCCGCTTTCGGTCGCCATCACGAAGATCATGACGGAAAGCGGCCAAGCTACGCGGGACGACGTGGTCAGAGCATTCTTCCGACATCACTTGCCGCAAATACCTCGGGTTCTGGATGAGCTGCTACATCAGACTAGCGCCCTCTCGTCTAGTCCGCTGGACCAGAGGTCCGTCTTGATACTCGAAAGTGCTCGGGTCGTGAATATCATCTTCAACGCAGCTAGAGTGTTCCGCAGAGACTCTGGCAAGGTGTACGCCTTTCAAGCGACACAGACGGCATTCGAGGCTTGGTCCATCACTGCGAGTGACCTAGACGTGCTGGAAGGACTATTCCACACGACTTTACGACTTGTCAACGAGCGGACCAGAGAGCTCGGTACAGCGGTCGACGCCAATGTGCAGGAAGGCTTCAATACCGAGGGCAGTGCGCCTCTGTCGCCGGCGCGTTTGCAGAAGGAGCTCAAGCTTCAGCTATGCGAACTGGCTTCGAATGCTCTTGCGACTTTCGAGGAGAGACTTGCGTATCTGAATGCTTCTGCACAGACGGGAGACCAGCCTGCTCATCAGCGCGACTACGCCCTGTTGGAAGCGCGTTACAGAACGGCCAGACCGCAAATGATTCTGCCGCTGCTGGCCGTGGGCCACTCTGGTCGAGCATTCACACTTGCGGAACAGCATGCAGACTTCAGGACGTTGACTTTGCTCAGTCACCAACTAGAGGCGAGTCAGGAGGCGGCACGACAACGAGCGGAAAAGTATTTGGATCGATACGGCCAAGCTTTCGCATTTCAATTGTTCCAATGGTACATTGAGCAAGGCAGGCTGCGGACTTTGCTCGATGTCCCAGACAAGTACAGCCCATTGCTGTTGGACTTTTTCGAACGGTCCGACAATCCCCGGTTAGCGTGGTTACACGACATTCTCCTGGAGCGGCATTCGACCGCATCTCGGACTCTTGTGCAGATCGCCGACTCGGAAGGCAAGGCAGCGCAGAAGAAGCTCATGCTAAGCCTGGGCAAGCTGGCGCATTGTGCAGATCTCACAGAGGCTCAAATCATGGCCGAAGATGAGCAGGACCAAATCGAGCTCATCGACGATCAGCTCGATATGGTCAACGCGCATCAGCTTCTCCGCGACTTTTATGAAAGCGTGATTCCTGGTTGCAGTCGCGATGTGGAGAATGGCTGTGCAGCGGTGAGCGAGGCTGTCGCGTACAATCTGGAGTCTTTACCAGCTTTGCATGCTGTGAGTAATGTGGCGTGCCTATGTCGAGTCCATCGGTCCGCTCACCGATTGCGTTTGAATAATTTAGTGGTATGCCTCGGCCGTTCGAAGTATTCTGCGTGGAGATGTGGTATCCGCAGAGGACTTGATCGACTTGCTCACCTTGCCACTTGCTGCCGACGATCGCATCCATGACTATACCACCGCACTTGAAGTTTACCTGCGAGAAAAAGTGAGAATCATGTCTCACGTGTTCAAATCAATTCTTAGCTTTTTACTGATGCAGCTTGCCCCTATTCTCCAGGGCACTTCGGAGGCTCGTCTCGATGCCAGTCTCGCGTCCGTGTGGCTCAGGATCCTCTTGCGGGACGAGTGAGTACGATGTCAAAGACTGAGAAGCAGAGTCGACCGACTGAGTCTGACCTTATCTGCTACAGCTGGCCGTCCATCACGGACACGTCAGGCAAGACTGATGCTGAATTGAGTGACCAGCTCAGGCACACGGCACTATACGCAGCACTCAAGTGGGCTGCCGATCATTCTGGTAAGTACTTGTGCACCCCGCGTTGCCTTACCTCAGCGCTGATCGAATTATGCGTTTCGTGCGTTCATAGACAGCGCAAAGCAATTGGTGCTGGAACCTCCGGAGATCATGGCAGGGCAGCCAACGGCTGACCTGCTGAGCGGCCGATTGCGGGGAGTTCCAGCTCAGCAGGTACAGCTCATTCTGGCTGAACAAGAATCTCAGCTGGAAGGACTTAGGGAGCTCTTTGAAGGTCCCACGCAGCTCAGCAAATGGTACGAGGAAGTCAGTAGGATAGTCAACGACGATGTCGAGACGACCCTTACTCATGCTGAGCAGAGCGGCGACTATAGCGCAGAAGGGAGCGAGGACATGCACGGCTGAGTCAGCAGCCGGCTGTCGGTTTCGTCTAGAGTGCTACATCCCAGCACATCAGTCGCAGACGCGAGCGGTGCAATGCATTGCATTTGCGAGAGCAGTCTGAATTTGAGCGGACTTGTGAAGCACGTCCAGCACGACTCGTCGAATGGTGCCCCATCTATCGAGGCCCAGGAATCCTACTCATCCCGATCGGCCCCTCATCGATTTCCCTGCCTTGCGCTGCGCCCGCTTCTTTTCCAGTTCCTTCCTTTTCGCCTGTTCCTTTTCCGATAATTTGCTGAACTTTTCAGCATCCGCTTTGCGCTTGGCCTCCTCTCTCGCTTCCTTCTCCTGAGAACGGTGCAGGCCATCGCGTATATGTCCGTCAGCCCTGAATTCGTAAAGCATAAACCTCGAACGTACTCACAGCTTCTCTCTGCTCTTTGAGAGATTCATCCAGCAATTCCTTGTCCAGCTCCGCCCGTGTTTTTCTCAGCTTGGTCAGGGTGAGGGCACTCAACCTTGCCGCACCTAGCTCCATGGCATCCAGCAGATTGCAAGCTGCTTCTACGAGCGCTAGACTAGCGCGAGCTTCGGTGATGTTATGTGGGGCTCGGAGCGTGAGAACGAGGCTTCGTGTGCGTTTTTCTACGGGGACAGGACTGCGATTTGGGAGGTCCTGGTCAGCTGACAATCAACGCACACGCATCAGCTGCGTACGCCGTGCAACTCACCCATTCCAGGGTCGCTCGTGAGGCAAATCGGTAAGAATGAGGCTTTCCAGAAGATCCTTTGCAGGCCCATTGATGGCAATCTGCAGACCGACTTTATCCCGATGCGCATCTCCTTTAGCACCTTGCTCGCCGAGCAGAGAGTCGCTAAGATCGCTAGTCTCGCTGAGCACGACGAAGCGCTCGTCCAACTTCCTCGCAGATGTTTCCGCATCGCCAGCCAGCTTGGTGAAGGTCAAGTCGAATCTTCCTGCCCTGGATCGTCTCAAGGCGGTTTTCGAAATGATGGCGAAGACGCCGGAAACGTTGTCTGGAGATTGGTAGGGCAGTGCAAAGTGGAGCGAGAGGGTGTCTCTGGCCGATGAGGAGACTGTGGCTGCAACAATGTCCCCTACGAAGTGGTAGAGAAGAGCGAGAGGGTCGTGGTAGGGCACGAGCTCAAAGTACGCGTGCAGGCTGTATGCAAGAACAGTCGAATGCGATGCATGAGTGACGGCTGACCCGGGCTTCGATCGCCTCGACCACTTACCTGTTGACGCCTCTGCGTCCGGTAGCGAACAAGAGCGCATCGCCAGCTCCGTTCCACACCAGGTGCTCCTCCCCACCGCTCGCTCCGATTTCTGTACCCTTTCCTACCACTGCGAACTCATCAGCTAGCATGGGCACAGCCACATTAGCCCATGTCTTGGCCACCGCTTGATTCCGAGCTTTGCCCAGCAGGTGCAAGAAGATGTACAGCGCAACGAGGAGCAAGAGGGAAGCCTCCACCTTGTAGTCGATGGGTCGGACGGTGTACTTCTGAGACCAGACTGGGAAAGTGTAGTTGCTTGTGTACCACGTCTTTGCCTGTAGGACGTCGGCGACGCTGCCGCTACCACTACTAACACTGCCTCCCAGTCCAAAAGGCAGCTCGACGGCTGAGAAAGGTGGGGGCGCAATGGAATCAGACATCTCGAACCTGCTTGGCGTTCCTATGTACACTGCTCCGACTCACCGGCCGCACCAGTGACGAGCAGCGCGACGGCGCACACGACCCGAGCAGCTTGGCGCATCATCCCGATCTCAAGGCACACGGATCGGAGAGAGTGATCTGCGCAGAGTCGAGGTCCGCGGAAAGAAGACTGTCGCGTATTGAATGATGAGTTGATGACCTCGGGCGTTTGAGAAGATTCTTGATGTACAGTCAGCGTATCGAGGCAGGCTTGTGCGTGCCTGAGCGGGAAGCCGAACAAGCTAATGAGGGTAAAAGGTGGCGCGAGCGCACCCATGCCTCGAGAGATCCCGCTGGACACGTGGCTGCCAAGCAGGGAAGAGGCCATCGCGATCCCCCGATCGCTTCCCCAACACCCGCATACAGCATACACTCTGACTGCAGATTCACCGCCATGGCACCTTGGCAGCAGCCAATTATTCACGCCTGCAGCGTGCGCTGCGTGGGGCGCGAGAATCGCAACGCGACGCGCGGTAAATCCGCGGAGTAGCGTCCTCTGCATGGCTATAGCGTGGCGCGCAGCATTTCATGCTGCTCGCTGCTGCTGAACAGGGGTCAAGTCATCAATCGCCGTCACCAGCAGCAGTTAAGCGCGCGGTGAACCAAGCTGAAGACGTATAGGCGCGGCGTGCGGACCCTGGGTCACTCGAGCACTGCCAAACAGCCTGCAGGCGAAGCTGCGATATGACCTTGACTGACGACGGCGGTGGTCACTCCCTTTGAAGTCCGATTGCACCGCGCACATCACATTTGGCTCTTCATTTGCAGCTCGCCGCCTCATCTTTGCTTTCATCACACACCCCGTTCTGACGACTATTACGACTTACGATTCACCTGGTCAAGCAGCAGGCATACGCGCACCTGCTAGGGGCGAGCATTCTCACGACATCAACGTTGCGGCCTACTTGACCACCGCCTCCCTCAAGGACCCCATCTTGACCCTTCACGACTTTTCTTAACGACTCCCTTCAAGACATTTGACGACACATATACGAGCATACGGATCCAAAAGAATCTCCTCGTTGCCGCCTGATCAGTAGCATGCACACCTCACGACCTAGCTCGTCTGCCAGGCACAGCGTAGGCTCCAACGCTGGTAACGGCTTCGTGTATGGCGGAGCAGGCTCGCACGTAGCCTCGAGCCCAGGTCCAGCTTCACCTACCTCTCCCGCTCCCACTGGAGCCTTTTCAGCGCACGATGCACGGACGATGACTGATTCGCCCACCGTCGTCATGTCCAACATTGGCTCCATACTGGGTCGACGTCACTCGGCCGCAGCAGGCGCAGACAGGGACAGTCCGTCGCGTATGAGTGTGGGTGATGACCTGCCTCACATGCCAGCTGCGCCCCCTTCGAGGCAGACCACGCTATCACCCCCCATCAACTATTCTCAACCGAAGTGGGCTCCTCCCGCTACCATGTCCGCTGCAATAAGTAGCGCACAGGTGGGCTGGGCAGGTGAAGATTACGACTCTGAATACCACAGCGAAAAGGCGGATGCCATGCTTGCGGGATCGCCTCGCGAGACCGCATACACGCAAGCGGATTCCAAGCTGCGGAGACTTAGAGGTCAGAGCGTGTTGCTCGAGAGGGAAGCGGCTCGAGTGCGGGACAAGGGCGTACAGAAGCTTCGAATGAGGTGGAGAGTATTGGCAGGCACCACGGTGCTGCTACTGCTCACACTCAGCGCCTATGTACTCGCCAGGTACATTCTCGCTTTCCTCAACCTCTCACCTGCCACCTTTCTTCTGTCCGACGCTGCCGACGGAACCTCCAACTCTCCGGATCCTCAACTCAGAATGATGGCGCTCATTGCAGTCATTGTCTCGGCCATGAGTACCGCAGGAGTGCTGGCGAGCGGCGTATACCTGCGCTTCTCCAGAAAGACATCCTGCGGAACGTACTTCATTTGGATCACCGCAATTGTCAGCACGACGATGAGCGTTGCCTTGTGCGTCGTCAATTTGGCACTCATACTTCTCTGGCATCAGCGCTACACATCCGGAGCAGGTGCAGGATCGCCGCTAGCAGCAACGCGCGATGTGGGACAACGCTGTGCGGGCAATTGGGACATGGACATTCTGTGGTCCGCAGCTGAAAGCTCGCCCATCGCCAAAGTGGACAAGGACAACACCAACTGTTCCAAAGACCCCGCCCACACTTTGAGAATGTTCCTCATAGCAGCCGGCGTAAGGTTGGGGTTGTTTGTGCTTTTCAGCGCCTTCTGGATGGCAGCTCTGGGCCGCTACAACACCACGCTCAAGTGCAGGAATGCTGCTGACGGTGATCTTCCTTTGCCTGAGCAAGAGAGCGCAGAAATGCATCGACTTTTGCAGCTCGAGCACGCTGACGATCAGAAGACTCTCGACTCGGTCCCTGGCGCATGGAAGGGCAGCGTTCGGGCTGGCAATACTGCGCGAGGAGGTGGCTTCAAATCAGCCAAGTTTGGCTACGATGAAGAGACGCTACGAGGAGCCGCGCCATCGCCTGCTGACTTCCAAGAGGTTCGCAAGGCTCCAATCATCCAGACTTATGGGGACGGTGGCCTCGTCGGCGAAGCGGACGATGATGGGCTGGAACCTGGAGAGGAGATCTTTGCCGAAAAGGACGTCGTAGGCGGACCTTCTCACCGGGGCGCCGGGCACGTCGTATTTCCGGAGCCTGAGACGCTCGCTCCACCTAAATTGCAACGCTTTGCATGGCAGCGGGAAAGGTCACGCTCAGGGTACGAGCCTGCTGGTGCTGTGGAAGTCTATGGCAACATGGCACCTCGTCGCGAAGATGACGACCCCAGCGCTTTCGGTCATGGCCATGGGAAAGAGTCTAGTGCCGGTGGCTGGGGAGCAGGCATGCTCGGCCGAGTTTGGGACTCGTTCTGGGCCACGCCTGCCGTCCAAGATGCGAGCGAACATCCACACGACCTCACTCGCACACCTGCACAGACCTACCGAGACTCCTTCGTGACTCAGTACGAACGTCATGCTGATGTCCCGCACTCCGCGCAAATCGAGCGATTCGACCAACGCAAGGAAGACACCATGACGCCGGCAGATCACTTGTCGACAGATCACGAGCGAGGACCTTCCAAGCTGGGCATCAGCGGATGGTTCCGCCGAGACGCGAGTCAAGCGAGTGGCGGAGTAGGAGAGGGTGCTCAAGACGTGGGAAGTTTCCCTTCAAGCCGCGAGCAGTCTCTTGCGCCAACGAAGCATGCTCGCACCCCTTCGCAAGAACGACGTGCGTCACAGGCTCGTCATGCTGCGGCGGCGCGTTTGGCAGTCTCGGATTCCTCGCGCGATGGCGCAACAGCGCTCAGTCCACGCTCCAGATCTCGCTCTGAGCTGCGCGCTCGCGAGGAACAAGCGAGTTGGAATCAACAGCGCCGCAAAACCAGCCCATCTCCGTCACGAGGTGCCCACGATGCGTCTGGGCCCACTTCGTCAAGGCGTTCGAGCTCATCTCTAGGCGACGAGCTGCCGCACATGCCCAGCCTCATGCATTTGCCTGCCCAGCCGACTTCTCGCGCATCGCAGCAGCCCAACCTCACCGCCCACCAGCCTTCTTCCACCCCTTCTTCCGAGCGATCGTCGGAAGAATTCGCGGGCTACAAGTCCAACGACCCCGCTTTCATGCAGAGACGCGGATATGGAAGCGGAGTGGACGGATACTCGAGCGCTGAAGATGATTATGGATCCGATCAAGGCCATGGCTACGGCTCTGGGCACCCTTATGGTCTCGGTGCTGGCGAAGAGGATGATGCGGACTTTTGGGATCCGAACGCTCGGCTTGAAAATACTGGTCGACCTGCTCCTGTACAAGAGACGCCGGTGTACGTTCGGACGTTGGGCAAGCTCGTGCGAAAGCTCAGCGCCATCGCTAGCGTTGGCAGCGAGGAGAAGAGCGTGCTGGAGCGTAGCGGCAGCAATGCTTCCGCCTTTGATCCTTACACGGCCTCGGGATCGAGCGCGAGGAGAGCTAGGAGCAGGAGTCACCACTCCAGAGGACCATCTGCACCTTACGACATAGTCGAAGAGGGAGAGGCGGAGGACGCCTCGCACGCTCGACCTGACAGACTCTTGCCAGGAGGTTGGAGAGGGGCTCGCTGAATGGCGTGAGGCGGCGGCTGTGTGCCGCCAGCCCGCTGCTTGTTGGCACGCATGATTTCGATCGCTTTCCTCTCTTCGGACCTTCTTCTTCTCAATCAGAACGCTTTGGGATCGCTTCATTTTGAATCGGACACTCTTGCATCTTCATTACAATTGCCTCTCGCCTCTCACCAAAGTAGCCAATAGTTTCGAATTAGTTGAATGCGATGCATTTCGTCTCGCTGCATAACTCGAAAGCACGCCGCACTTGACATGACAGACACCAAGTGTGCAGGCGGATCGGTGTTTGTGCAGCTATGCATCTCAGGACAATGACGAAGTGATGCGCTTTTCGTCACCTGGTAGCTTGACTCGCCACATGACACCCGGCTTCTGCCTGCGTTCTGTGCCATTGTTCCACTGGGCCTGTTTCGGCAGCTGATTCGAGTTGGCGTACAGGTAGCCGTCGTCCGCTTTCGAGTGTCGTGGGGGCATACAAGTCAGCTTACGATACAAAGCGACGCGACTGACTCGAGACATCGCTCTACTCGCCTGTGACGCAGCTGTCCAACCAGAAGAAGCGAGGATCGCGAGCAAAAGGTTCGATGCGGCTCGTCTCGTAGTTCCACCTGAAAATGGCGGACTGCTCAGGCGCGAGCAGGTAGATTGCACCGTCGCTTTCGCAAAAGCCATTTGTCTGGCTCCCCTTTTGGCCCAGATTTTGGACCGCGTACGAAGCTTCGAGCTCGGCTTGATGTCCGTCTGCACCGTCTGGACCGTTGTCCCGCAGCAGGACGCTGGTAGGCACTCTGTACAGGTACTGGGAGACAAGAGGGCTGTAATAGAGCCATTGACCGTCCGGCGAAAGAGCGATGCCGTCGAATCCTTCCTTGTTGCTGAGCTCTTGTTGACCTCGTATATCGATGTAGGTGGGCACGCCGGCGTACGAGGCCCGATTGTTGTACGTGTGCAGCATGGAAGGATGCTGCTCCAGTCTTCGCCACGAATGACCCGTGCCCAGGTCGACAACGATGACTGCATTTCGACCTTCGTTCGAAGAGTCTACGACATATGCGACGCCTTGCCCCGACTCCGTCATGTTGACTCGTAGATCGAACCGCACGTCGTTCATGGATGAATCTGGAAAGTGGACGTCTCCAGGAAAGGTGATCGTCTGCTCCACTTTCCCCGTCGGAGCGTCGAATCGGATCAGTTTAGGCCCGCCCACGACGGCATAGGCACTTGTGGATTTCTGACCAGCGGTCATCACCGTTGGTCGGCCAGTATCGAGCGCCCAGAGTCTCCCTTTCGGATCTGTGTAGAGAGCTTGCACGTTGATCAGCTTGTCTGTGGTTTGCGTAGCCATGGTGTAGCCCGTCAAGTTGGAGATCGTCTGATTGATCAGCGATTCTGGACTGTTGATGCTTGCGTCCGGCCACGCTTGTTCGGCGGTCAGGTTGACGATCTTTCCGATGGTGTATGCGTAGTCGCCGCGTGTGTAGCAGGCAAACAAACTGCTGTTTTCTGCCCCTTCTTGCGCATAGACGGCTAGTCCGATAGGCCACTGGTCGTTGTAGAGATGCACAATCTCAGCCAAAGGACCGTATCTCCCATCGTCGAAGTAGAGTGCAGGCACCGAAAAGTCGCCCTCAGCAGTGCCTCCGGTGATGCCATCTGGAGCTACCGAGGAGCTTGGCGACGGGAAAGACTGGCCAGAGGTCTGAGTGGCGTTTACTGGCGCTGAAGATGTCCGACTGGAGGTCTGTGCAGCTGCCAGAGCCAAGCAGCTGGCCAGGAAGTAGAGGCGTGTCAGCAGCATCTTCAACCTTTGAAAGTCGGCGTCCGTTGGAACAGCACGGAATGGTCAAGGGAGTGAATAAGCAGTTGGCGGTTCGAAGGAGTGAGACTACGTCGTCTGAAGGACATGATGTCTTTGCATCAGAAGTGGAAAGGGGATCTGCCGGGCTGCAGGGGGACCCAGGTACATGTTGATATTGTATAAGCAGAGGCACGAGTCTCAGTGGCATGGATGCGTGGCTGCATGGCTGCCTTGGATGGTCAAGGGTCACGAATTGTGGAGGGATCGAACCGATTTAGGAGAGTCGACCGCGGGCAAACCGCAGATCTGACGCTAATCGATTGATCTCCTCCGCCGGTTCGGCAGAGCTGCCGATTTGGTGTCACGTGAAAGTTTACTCCATCTACCACGCAGAATCAAAATGCAGTCGAGTCGAAAGTCAGAAGAGTCTTGGGGTGAAGACCAATCGTGAATGTGGGTTCAGTCACGAGTGTTGAACGCATGTAAGCAAGCCTTCTCGAGCTCTGGGGTGCGGTCACTCACAGACATCGTTGGCGAAGGGATCGTGATTGCTCGCGATGCAGGCGCCTGTCGCCGCGCTCTTGCGCCCGAATGCCACAAGCCGACGAACATGTTCTTGGGCCGCGCGCGTCTGAGGAGTCAGGATTCATCGGCGGTGTGACGACTGACGACGGACTTGACGACGGACCAAGATGAAGCACGGGTCTTGTCCGCCATTCAAGCTTGTTCTCTTTAGGGTGCGCGCGGTGGTTCAGAGATGCGCACATGTATGTATCGATATCGCTTGTCGACGTGGAATCACAATGCCGTCCAGCAGGCGCTGCCGCATAATACACTTACTCACACTCGTGACTCTCGACTCGCGACTCACCACTCACCACTCACGACGTTAAACGTTCCGATCCCGATCGAGCGCCGAGGAGACCCAAGCGCCCGCAATCATTCAGACACCGCGTTAGTAATCTTCTCGATTAAGTTCTTCGCTCGATCGCTTCTTCGCAGACTTGGGCGCCCGGTCGATGGCTTTGGCGGACTTGCAAGAGGGCAATTAAGCGTGCATGATGCCGAGACGACGGGAGTGCGCGACGTGGAATGTGCCTGCGCGAGCGCCTCTTTGTGTGCAGTAGTAGTAGTAGTAAGAGCTACCGTAACGGGATCCGGCTGGCCGAGCACATGAACCGTGAATCACATGAATGGTACTGGTACACAAACACACTCGATCGTGATTGCGGCCGCCGTCGGACGAATGCTTCCGCACGAAGAGCGCGGTAGCGGTCATTTACAAGTTGTGAGTGTGAGTTGCTTGCTGCACGAGTCCACGGCCCACGTCACTCACACTGACGAGCTGCAGTCATGAGAAGTGTCTTCGTCTTGACCTGCATTCACAGATGCATGCAGATGGATGGGCCACACACATCTTGGCGGCTCCTGCGGTTTCCGATCGTGACAGCGCCCAAGCCACCGACAACATGTACCATCGAACACCAGCCATCCAGCCATTCGTGATTGAGGAGTGAGTCGTGAGTCGTGGGTGATGAGTGGCGAGTCAAATCCGCGCGGCCCTCAGCGATTTGTTCGACCATACATGCATACATGCTGTCCTTCTTCATCCTCATCACACGTGAATCGGTCAAGAAGTGACGTGCGGCCAAGCCAAAGCTCACTGCCACGCTCTCTCTTCTAGCCCGACCGTGCAAAGTTGCTCGGCGCACCCCAGTCTCGTGTGGTTGTGCGCGCAGCATGTTGCTGCAGTGTGAGTTCCACGTCTCCCACGCCGCCGATGACTGCCCAGCGCAATATAATCGCGTCAACGTGTCGGTCAAGCGTGCATGATGAGTTCGAGTCATACAACATGCAATGCTGCTCACCTCTTCTGACTGCTATGCAGACCATGATGACTCGATCGTGCGCACGCACGCGCGCGTGCATGCGTGCAGCGGGCTGCTGCTGCTGCATGGCTATACGGCGCGAGCCGCCCGCGCGGATGCCGCCATGCAGTCGATGAGATGCGTTACCCGCGCCTGCCCTCGCACCCTCCCCCCACGTACGCCCGGCCTACTTTGCCCAACAACCTGAAGACGCTCGCTCAGCGAGCACGTGCACCTGCTTGAAGCTCCTTACTCGACTCATCAAAAAGTGGATCATCCTCGTCTTGCAAAGGTTTGGAGACTGACTGGAAATCAATCTGAGCTGCTGTCATTCATTCCTCTTGAGTTGTCCAGTCTAGCGGTCGTCCTCCATCCAGCTCTTTCCCACCAAGAAGGCACGCGGGGCGGGGTTTAGGCATGGCATGAATGGAAAGCGACGCTAATAAGCCCAAGACCACCAAGGTGCTGTGCTGCATGCAAGCTAGTCGTTCCCGAACTCTGAATCGTGCAATCAGAATGTCGTTCGACCGGTGACCTGCTCCTGCGAGGGGCTTCCTCCCAGCAGGGGGGTCCCGTTCGGATCTGATCCGGTGCTGCTCGAACGGATGAGTGCCGAAAGTTCACCCGGCTGCTCTCGTTAACGTGCTGCTGCTGTCGTGAGTGCATGGCCACCGCGCCCGCCGTTCCTGAGACGAGCAGAAGCGGACATATGCGGCGGGCGCGGCGGCCGTGTTGGATATCACTCATGCATGTATGCTCCTGCTGCTGCTCACGCGCCCGTAGAAAATGGCGTTCTGCGCGCTCACTTGGCTTTCGGACGTGACACTGGTGTCCCGCCTGGGCATCCACGCGTGCACACCGTTGGTGTATGTTACAGCTACGCTGGTCAAGTGAGAGCAGGCACATGGCCACTGTGGGAGAGCCCACAAGCATCATCTAGCCGGGCTCAGAAAGGGTGCTCCGCGCCTGTCATGCGAGCATCCATCGGTCAGTCAAAAGAGGCGCAAATTTGCGAAGCTATGACTCCCCCCCCCCCCCCAATTCATCACCCACCTGCCTCACACTCCACCAATCCCCTTTCGCGCACGCGCACGCGCATCAAGCCTTGCCCAGCCTTTTGCCGCAGTCCATCGACTCAGCACCGCTCTTACCTCAGCTTACCGCAACGCTCACAGCACCAACAGTCTCACTGCACCTAACCGCAAGTCAGCACCCTTAGCCGTCGCTGGCTTGTCCGTCTCCAAACCCAACCACCGTCGACCCAAGCAGTCGGCGAGATTCCCCTAGGGGCCCTATACAGCGAACTTCACACAGACCCACCACCATGGTCTTCTCCGCTTAACCAGCCCGCTTACCCAGCGGATCACAACAACAACCCACCAGATCATCCTTACGTGAGTAGCCCTCGTCTGACACGAGTCTTTCCGCGCCGTGAAGCTCACTCGTGCATGCTGTTACTCGTTCTCAGCCGAGCTCACCCGTCAACTTTACCAAGTTGACTTCTCACGCTTCAAGCAACCCCCACCATTCAGCCACCTTGACGTCCTACCCAGGCCGTCCTCAACCTTCGCCATCATGGCCGCAATCGATCAATGCCCCGCTCAATTCCTCGAGCAATACCCACCTCAACAAGCACAGCTCCAACGCCTCACCGCTTGTAGTGGCTCCCTCCCCATCACCGACACCTAGCACCCTCGACATCATTCAACAGTTGTTGAACAATCATCAAAATCGCGATTTTAGCAAGTCCTCAGCCAGCCTAGTTGGTCATCAGCAAGGTTCTACGTCTGGCCAGACCTCGCAGCTCCCGCCGCACGCGTCGCATCAGCACCAGCAACAAGCAAACTTGCAGCCTCTTCCGTCGTATCTCAATCGACCGTACGCGAGGTCTCAAACCAACTCGTTCAAGCTACCGCAACACAGACAGCGTTCCCTGCAGGTGCCCCAACAGACGTCGCACCAACCTCGTTCGGCCCCACCGACTTCCGACTCTGCCCGTTTCCCTCAGAACGTCCAGAACCTCGACCAAGCCCAGTATCAACGACTTTTACTCCAAGCCTTCGCTTCCGTGCCGTCCAATTCTGCATCTCAGTCTCACGTTTCAGCTTCGTCTCCGTACTTCTTGGCTCCTCTTCCGCCCCACCTCGCTCGCGCCATCCACACCATGACCACTTCTACACCTGCTCAAGTGACTTCGAGCCCGGCCATCGCTGATATTTCCAACCCTGCAACTAAGTCTATCGAAGGTGAGTGGCAGGCCCCGCTGAGAGATTTCCACCGTCGGTCCACTCGACTCAGCCTGACACTCGTTCACTTGCAACGGTGCACCACAGACGAAAGCTTCAGCTTGGGACCCATGTCAGCCGATGATCCCGCGTGGCTTGGCCACGGTCTTGGCCGCCCCGAGGACGACTTTTTCAGCTCTCCAGAGTGGACCGACCCTTCGCCAGCCTTGACTTCCTCATTGTCGTTCGATGCCCACTCTTCCTACGACCCCAGCCCGCTTTTGGCCGACAACTACGAGGGGGAGCTGCCAGAATTAGCTGGCTTTCCCCTGTTCGGGCCTGCACCTCCCGACGCGTCTTCGTCCACGGACGGTAGTGCTCAGGTTAGCCCGGTTCAAGCCCTTCAGCGGGAGTTTGCAGCCCACATGAGTGCAGACGCAGACTTTACTCTCTTTCCAGAAAGTGAGGCCTCGGCAGCCTCTCCCGGCCGACGTTCGCAGATGGCCTTCAGCCGCGAGGTGGAAGACCCTGCCTTGAAGCTCTTGCGTGCCTTGAGCTCCAGCGCATTGCCGACGGTTTCGCCTGAAGCATCTGCTGCTGCTGCGCCAACTGCTTGTGCGTCTCCGCAGGAGATCTCGCTGGATCGCAGCAGATCGACGCCGACGCCAGAAGTGAGCTTCAATCAGTTGGCTAGCAGCTCCAGCACGAGCGGTCGCGAAGGGTCTGCTTTGGAGAGACGTGGTGTCAAGCGTCGTTCTCAGGCCGAGCTCTTGCCGATGGATGCACCTATCCAGTCGCGCAAGTACTCGGCTCCTTCTGCCACCTCGCGCAGGGATGCCTTTCTGGAGGAAGAGGCTGCGATCGCAGCAGAAACGGATGCGGTCAAGGCTAAGCGTATGTCCAATACACTCAGTGCTCGTCGTAGCCGTTTGAGAAAGCAGAAGGAGCAGCAAGCGTTCACGGACAGGATCACAGAGCTCGAGGAAGAAGTAGCGATGTGGAAGCGAAGATGCTTAGCAGCCGAAGCAGGCCGGCTTTCGGATGCAGACGCAGAGGGCAGCGATGATGCTTGAGTGGCCATTCGCTCCTAGACAACCAAATGACCCATGTTGCCATCCCCCAAAAATTGACGCGCCGGGCGTGTCGCTTCTATTCAGTGTTCCCCGTCCCTTCTTGAGAGATGAGCTACGAACCGTGTACCTTTAGTAGTTCAGTTCGCGCTTTTTTTGAATCCAAGTGTTCATTCTTCTGCGTCGAATATGAACGAGCGATTCGCGACCTTTGCGTATGGGAATGAATGGTCATGATTTGATTCTGCGAGGCTGTTGATCCGTGCTCGTACAGCCATCGCGGAGTGAGTGCAGATGGCGTTGTAGCGGGGCCGCCAGCTCAACCAAAAGGCGGGGCGCCTGCACGCGCCGTGCTGCACGATGATGAGCAGCATGCCAATCACCGCGCGCTGGTGGACGCCGCCCAACGCATCCCCGCATTTCGTGATGCGCGACAAATCGAAGTGCGAGCCGAAGGACTTGGCTCACCAACTTTAGCCCTTTCACGTACCACCACCACAATCTTGGTTGACGATCACAGCCCTTGCACGTCGTGCTCAACAGACCGCGCCTACACACAAGCAGCATTCCGCGCAGACCTTTCAGAGATGCCGTCCACAATCCCATTGCCGCCGATCCTGATCGATATTCCCAGGTCACCAGTCTTTGCTGTTGGACTGCCCCTGGCTGCTAGCTTTGCCACGGGATTGTTGACTCGTCATTCCAAGTATGGACCTCGTAGCTTTGTGAGTGAGCTAGCGTCGCTAAGCTTGGCATATGGCGCGTGTTGCGCGACATGCGCGTGCTTTGTGGATGTTACTGATCGCTTGGTACGCTTGTGGGCCCCTACAGTGGTACCAATCCCTCAAGAAGCCAACGCTCGACCCTCCTGCCTGGTCCTTTGGAGGTGAGTCGATGACGCAAAGACTTGCTGTTCTCGCCGCCGCCATCCCGTCTCGCTCCTCCTGTTGATGCCCGCCTTTGATGCGCTTCCAATAGTCGTCTGGCCTGCGCTGTATGCGTCCATGGGATGGGCATCCTTCCTCTCGGTCAAAGCTTTGGACCGTACCCCGCCTGGACTGGGTCGTGACAAGGCTCTGCTGAGCCTCAAGCTGTACTATCTTCAATTGGCTCTCGTGAGTAGTCTTGAAATTTCAGAATGGAAGGGTCGTGATAGAGCATGCCCTGCTGATCCCTCGTTCTTTGGCCACTTTGCTGCTGCAGAACCAGTGAGTGCACTCAAACTCGAGCAAAAGCAAGGGCAGGCTCTCGCTGCTCTCAGAATCCTCAATCGCTGATCATGTGTCATGCGCTGCAGGGCATGGACTCCTCTTTGCTTCGGTGGAGGTGAGCAGTGATGCAGCAGCCTGCGACCTCTTTTACAGGCTCGACCATCGCTTGCAAACGCGACCTCGCTGACATGCTGTTCGGCTTGTCCCGTTAGGATACCTCGGAGCCGCATTCACCGATCTCGTGGCGCTGACGGGAACGGTAGGCTACTGGTTCTACCTCTTGCAGACCGAGGTGTCCAAGGAAGCATCTTGGTTCATCGCGCCTTATCTTGCTTGGACCACCTACGCCTCCTATCTCAACGGCTCTCTATGGTGGTGAGCTTCCCGACTGGGCCCGAGACCTGTAGACGCTCAACCATTGCTCATCATGCTTACTGATGGTTGATCTGGCAGGAACAACTCTGGCAAGCACCTCTGGGCCAATCTCAAGAAGAAGGCTGACTAAGCCCGATTGTGGGAGCATGGGCAACCAGCGCAAGGCATGCGCGCTCGCAGTCATGAATAGCGATGTATTGTGCTAGAAGCGGGGCGCGCCATGTGGAGCCGCGCTGGAATGTCCACGTTCCAAGAGGGATGAATAGCTACCGAGACGCGCCCACTCTTTGGGACTTGAAAAGCCGTCACCTGCACCTGACAATGATCTCTAAGCACCAGCAAGACGCTTCTCGTTGAGCTCCCTTTGCTTGGCGAGCACCTCGACCTTTTCCTCTTGGGTAGCATCGTAAGACACCTGCAATTGACTGTTTCGCAGAAAAGTGGGGGTAGCGGGAGACGTGTGAGACTCGTGGCAAACACTTGATGCCGACTGGCACCATGCGCGGACTCACTTGAACGGATTGTCGGGATGCTTCTTGAACTCGTCGTGCAGCTCGTTCTCGTACTGATTCTTGCGCAAGCCAGGACGCTGACGTGGAGCAGCAGGGCGAGAGGCACGTGCACGCATGGCATGTCAGCTCTTTCCGGGTTCTGGAGCTGAGCAGCACCCGCCTTGTCTCGATCCGCCCTCACCTCTTGTCTGATCCTTGGCATTTCGCGCTCCTTGTACGCCTCGAAAGCGGCCTGTGTGTGTCCGCGCGAGGAGGTAGATGATGCTCAGGACGTTGCTCGCGACTGGGAACACTTGACTCTTGCGAGCAGGTACAGCTGTCATCCGCATTAGACGCACCTTGAATCGCCTTTCGGGGTGCCGCTCGATCGCGCCTGCTTTAGCGCCCACTGCAGCCTTATCCGTCCTCTCCGTAGCGAGGGACATGCTGTCGAGCGACGAAGCGATACAATCAGCATGCATACATTCGGATCGTCTCCAGCATACGCGTCACCCACGCTTCGAGAGCATCGTCAATGTTTGAGGCGCTGAAGCTGGAGATGGCCTCATCTAAGCCAGTGCCGGGAGGAGGTTGAGAAGGCTTCTTTGGCTGATCCTTCTTCGCACCACCTCCCGCCTTCTTGACGGGCTTGCTGGGCAAGCTGGCCTCTTCTTCAGCTAACAATTTCTCCCTCTCTGCCTTTTTGCGCGCCGCTTCGGCCGCCTTTTCAGCTTTGGATTCGGAAGCGCCCTTGCCTTTTGCTCCTTTTTCCCACGTCGCTGCTTCGGCCGCTTCGGCCGCTGCTGCCTTGTCCGATTCCTTGCTAGCTGCTGCTTCGGCCTTCTTGGCCGCACCGCCTTTCAGCTTGCCTCCGCCTCCTCCTGAAGAGATTGCAACGGTGATGGCATGTCGCTGGTCATTGATGCGTCCATGGAATCGCAATGGCAGGACCCCGAACCGCACCACTCACCTTTGGGTGGCATGATGCGCGAGATTTGAGCGTGAGATGGACCCTGAGCGTGCGTTGCTGGGCTGATCGATGGCTTGCGCGAGATGTGTGGCTGAGAGGTCGGCGGTGATGCGAATGCTCGATTGTGATTCTTGATTCTTGACTGAGATGGAGCACAATCAAATCAACGAAGCTTCGGACGAAGCGTCGAGCCTCGAGCTTTGCTGGGGGTGGCGCGGTAATCAGATTTCCAACGAATCCCGCACGTGATGGTCTCTTTAGCAACGCGGTCGATCGCCCGCGCGCCGTCTCGAGTCTCGAGTATCCATGCGACGTGCGTGCATGCATGTCATGCACCGCCTGCGTGATGATTGAGCGCAAAGAAAGCGAGCGCGTCCGTCGCAAAGGGCGGCTGGCGTGTGTTGTTTGCACCTCTCAACTTCCACAACCCTCAATCACCCGGTCAATCACGATCCATCATCAACAAGGCTGTCGGCGCGAACTTTCCTGGCAATAGACTTTCTCGGAACGATTTCAGCTTGATAGGCGCAGAGGCTGTCCACGGGGTCAGCCTATCGAGGCCTGCCGCAGAGCACTGTGTAGGGAAGCAACGCTACACATATAGGCACTGCACTTCGTCACTGGCTCTGCGGCCCTAGTTCCCTCTTCACCCCCTCTCTAGCCCAGTCCTTGGTCCTGCCAAAACAATGATGCCTGTTGCGGGCGGTAGCGCCACAAGCGCAGCGGTCAACGGCCCTACTAAGCAGTATGGAATCACCCCGCCAGTCTCCTCTGCTGGACCGACACCAAAAGAGGTCGAGATGACGAGGCTGTTGATCGAGGAAATGCATAAGCAGGGATGTTACGAGAGCAAAGAGGAAGGCAAGCTCAGGCAAGTGCTTCAGGATACGGGTGTTTGGTGATGCTCTGCTACATCGCTGACGACAGGCACGCACCTCCAACTGTGCGATCCGTCGCCAGGGAAGTCGTTCTTGGCAAGATTTCAGGCATGGTGAAGGACTTCGTGTACCGTGCAAGCATTGCTCGGGGTTTTAGCGAGAGCGCCGCTCAGGCTGCTGGTGGCAAGGTGTTCGCTTTCGGCTCTTATCGGTGCGTAAAGGAAAGAACATTGCGGGTTGCGATCCTCCGCAAACACTCGGCAAGGTCCCTTACTCCGCCGCCTTGTCCCATGCCAATATCAGTCTCGGTGTGCACGGCCCAGGAGCAGATGTGGACACTCTTTGCGTCGTGCCAAAGCACGTACAAAGAGAAGATTTCTTTGGCGTCTTTGAGCAAATGCTGCGAGCTAGAGAAGAGGTGACGGAGGTGTCGCCTGTGCCCGAAGCCTTTGTCCCTATCATCGGCTGCAAGTTTTCCGGCATCTCCATCGACTTTTTGTTTGGTCGCCTTGCGCTTCCCAAGATTGAGGACAGCTTGTCTTTGCAGGACGATAATCTTCTCAGAAATCTAGACGAGCGCGATGTCCGCAGTTTGGGTGGTGAGTTCACTTACACCCCACAAGCGTCTCTTTCGCTTTGCGAGCTCACGACTGCCGTACCCAATGTTGGATGCTGCAGGCTCACGAGTCACGGATGAAATCCTGCGGCTCGTTCCCAATGTCCAAGTGTTCCGCGATGCGTTGCGCTGCATCAAGTTGTGGGCACAACGTAAGTCTTCAGCTAGTCTGATATCGTCTCAAGGCTCGAATAGGTCTGAATACCGCCCGCCAAACACCGCAGGTCGAGCCATCTATTCCAACGTCATGGGCTTTCCGGGTGGTGTAGCATGGGCAATGCTCGTCGCGCGCGTATGTCAGCTCTACCCCAATGCCGCCGCAAGCCTCATTGTCAGTCGCTTCTACATGCTCATGGCTCAGTGGAAGTGGCCGCAGCCCGTGGTCCTCAAAGACATTGAGGATGGGCCTTTGCAAGTGCGCGTGTGGAATCCCAAAGTGCGTGCAAGTGCCCGAGAGAAAGTGACGCGGCAGTCGAGCTCACATCCGTGCCTCTGCCTCGGAAGCTATATCCGTCAGACCGACTGCATCGCATGCCTATCATCACCCCTGCTTATCCCTCCATGTGCGCGACCCACAACATCAGCATTTCCACTCAGAAAATCATCACAGCCGAGTTCAAGCGCGGGGCGGAAGTGGCGCAGCGGATCATGGAGCAGCAGAGTACGTGGACCGAGCTTTTTGCGCATCACGACTACTTTTCGCAGTACCGGAATTATCTGCAAGTGATCGCCTCTAGCGGCTCAGCTGATCTGCAACTCAAGTGGGCAGGTACCGTGGAAAGCAGGATCAGAGGCTTGGTGATGAAGCTTGAGCAGGTCACGATGCTTCAGCTTGCACATCCTTTCGTCAAGGGCTTCAACCAAGTATCGCAGTGTCTCAACGATGACGAGGTGCGACTTGTTGCCACTGGAGATATTCCGAAAGAGGTTGCGGAGCGAACGAAAAAAGAAGAGCTTCCTGCCGGAGGTGACAGGGAGGCTCTGCAGAAGAAGGACGAGGAGGCCAAGAAGGCGGAAGCTGAAGGTCAGGGCAGGACAATTTGGACCACAACATTCTACATCGGTCTTCAGGTCAACAAAGGTGTGTCTCCCTGCGTTACATTGCTCCTCGCATTTTGACTCATCTGGCCGATCTCGACTTGTCACAGCACCGCCCACCGGTGGGGTCAAGCAAAGACTAGATATTTCATGGCCCACAACGGAATTCACATCGAAAGTCAAACAGTGGGAGCAGTACGACGAGTCTTGTATGGGGATCAGTGTTCGGCATATCAAGAGGTGCGTGGGCCCTCGCTGCACCTCTCACACAGATTTGGTAGTTGCTGATCGCTGTCATGTCGTTCTCTCCAAGCTCCGAGTTGCCCGCATCGGTCTTTGGCGCACAGGGAAAACCTGTAGCCAAAGCGTCCAAGAGCAAAGGGAACAAGGTGCGTCTTGAAAAGCTCAGCGCGACTTTTGCCCGGCCAGCTGCACTCACTTGTCGTTCTTCTCTTCTCGGCGCGCCCTGACTCGTGCGTTGCACTCAACGTTGACTTTTTGTCGGTCGTCACAGAACAAGACTCGCGCGAGGGAAGGCTCTGCCGAGGCGCCAAACGCAGACGCCCCAACCAAGAAGCGACGGTCGGTCAAGGGCAGAAGTCCATGATGGCAACACGTACGTGTTGTTACCGCGCATCCAGCTGAGCATCACATTTGGTCCCTGCTTTCCCACAGTGCGACCGAGGAAGGTTCCTTGAACAGTTCCATAGATGCACAGCAGACCTCTGCGACCGACGTTCCCGCTGCAGAACTTCAAGCCCTCAACAAGGCTCTAAACGCTGGCGCTTGAGCTGCGACGCTCTTGTGAGGACGTCGCGCTGCTTCCGACGTCAAGAAGAAACGGCGTTCGCCCTCGCAATCGTATTGACAAGCGGTGAGCGACGAGTCTCGTGTCCGTGAGCATTGGATCGTTGCCTCGTTTCGGTCTCGCTCCTTCATCCTCGCCAGTCGCGCGCGTTTGTTTGGTCATGGGGGAAGCGGGCAATGCCGCCTTGGGCGACGACGCCCTCAGCCCGACCCTCATCCGCGGTCCATTTATTTTCTCGTGCGCCCTGGCCAGGTTCTCTGTTCCACATCCGCAAGTGTAGCCCCTTTCATCCTTTGTCGCCATCTCCAAATGCAAATGTCATCCATTCTCCTGTGATCCTGGCCTGTGTGGCACTTTCCACGTTCGCAGACGCAGCCCCCAGCGCCCACAAGCGCCCAGCTTGTGACGGGAATGCTTCAACAGATCCGCGCAAGCCGCTCACGAGTGGAGCAACCACATGGAACCTCGGGTGCTTGTTTGAGCTCCCGTCGCAAGCAAGCCGCGCGGGAGTCCCGACTGTAGCGTCGCTTTGCGCTCCAGCCGCCAGAAGCGTGTTCTCACGGCAGCAGCACTTCTTGATGGCCCGCCTTGCGTCTCCGCACCGGTCCTGTCGCGGCTGCACTTCTCACTCACAATTCTCCACACTTCTGACTCAGATTAGGGCGAACGGCAGAACACCGGCGGGATCCAGCATGGTGACGTTTGGTCACGCGATCGCCTTGTGTTGCGCGGCTATACCTTTTTACACAGGTGTGGCTGACCCGTCCGTCGGTCAGCACGCACAGAAAAGAGGGGTGCACGCAACGCACCCCGCGTTCATCGGATCCAACGCCTCTCCCTACAAGGGAAGCCCGGCGGGCAAAGCGTGGATGATGCATGCATGTGCTGTCGCTTGATTGAGCGCGCATGGACCTCGCATGAGAGCGCAACGCGAGCATCGATCGATTCGGAAGGGGGCGAAGACACGCAACTGGTCTGCCGCTTTGAGCTCCTTGCTTCTGAGCTTTGTTTCTCTTCTTGCAGATCGCCGTGCCGCATCTCAGATGCCCTCCATTTCACGCGCACCAAGTCACGAGTCAGCTCTTCAGTCGCCTCCTGGCGGGAAGGGCAACCATGGGGTTCGTGGTAACCGAAACAAAAGGCGGGTCTGCGTGCTGTACTTGGCACACGAGACGATGCTCCTGTGCTCGTTAGCTTTTGCTGTCTGTCTCTTGGTCCCTCAACCAGCAAGGCAGAGTTGTGATCGCAGTGTCACTCGCTCGATCGGACCTCCCCGAGGCAAGCCTTTGTGTACATACAGTACTGTACCCTAGCTGTAGCTGCTGCACGCTCCTTGCCTAGCTGCTGCGTGGCTGCCGACGCGAACGCTCAAAGCGGGGTCTCGTGAGAGTGGCTTGCAAGTCGCCGAGCGTGATGACGCGTTGGGTCAACAACGGAAAGATGCCTCCGCTCCAGATTCGGTGCTGTGAGCCGACCAATTTGATCGGCTCGTGGATCTGGGCTGTAGCGGCCCTCACGACGGCTTGCCCATTTCATTCAACTTCAGTCCGGGAATGTGCAGAGAAGTCTCGCTGCCGTGCAACAGAGCGTGCACAGCCCGCCGCTCAGCACAGCATGCCTGCCCATGCTGTGCGCTGAGGATCACCCTTCCCTCAGCACAGTGTAAGACGTGCTTCAAACGAGGATGCGTGTACGCAAAGCATTATATGTGTACAGTGTGAGTATGATCGCGCTGCAAGCTTTGGACCGCGGCGTCCAGAATTCGAGGTGCCTGAGACCACGCAAGGTAGCTGCGCATCTCGTCATCAGGCTAAGAATGGTTGCACACGACAGGGAACCGCAGCTTCATCAGCCCACGATGAGACCGCCCACACTCGATTTGATCCCGTCCCCCTGACCGCGGGGTTGCTCGCATGCTTATTATATACACACACACGCAACGTCGATGTCTAGGTTTCGCTCGGTACCGCAAACGGAAGTGAGGTGCGTCGCGCAAGCATGCTGCATGCTGGAGCATCGCAGCAGTGTACTACACCACGCAGAGCAAACGACGCGAGATTCACATGCAAGAAGTGCTTGCTTTTGGGAGCGTGCTTTGAGACTGCTGCGTGTGATATGTGTCGATTCCATTCAAGGTTTCATTTCATCTCAATTTGACGCCCTGACCCAGTGTGGACTCCTCTGCGCCCTGTTCGAAAACTCACCATGCATGATGTGAAGCGTGAAGTTGGGATCGAGGATCAGGGCGAGGCGGTCATGGGCACCGATTTCGGCACAGTCAGCTAGGAGAGCTCCACACATGCAGCACAATCGGTGCATTGACTACAAGTGCATGGAGCCAGCAGCAGGGTGATTGAAGGCTGCCCTATGAAGGGTTTCAGTTTCGTTCCAGAACCGCGTGATGTGATTCAAATTTCGAATGTCTATACATATACAGGCGCTCATGCTGGATGTCTCGCCGTGCTGAAAAGTGCTGCTGCACGGCTGCTGCATGCATGCATGTATGCAGATTCAGTTTTGGTGTCCACAGCGCGCTGACGGGCTCATATATGGCCCCCCGCATGACTGCATGCAAGCTGATGCGTGTGTGCGTGCACCCTAAGAGACAGGAGCATCACACATCTGCAGGACGCGCAGCCGGCGCACACCAGCAGCAGCACCGCGCCAGGCAAGCATTGCGAATCATCAATAAGGCGCAAGCATCACACGCAGATATTTGAACTCGGGCCGGCGTGTAGCGAGGCGCGCCATTGACTCTTCACGATTGTCGAAATTGTGATTGCGAACCGTGATTTGAATTCGCGATTCATCGCAGCCGAACGAGCCAGACAGGCACCCCCACTTGGCACTGCGCGGAGGCAAAAGTACATGCAGAGAAGCGCACAGTCTGAGTGTGAGTATCGCTGCTGGTGAGAATAGTCACGGGTTGTGAGTGCACACGCTGCTTGCCGCTGATCTTCATTCACGTTGGCATTCACCCCTGATCCATTGAACGCCTCGTTAGCATCAAACCATCACCCCACTGTTCACCGTTTGCGCCGCATCACCCCTCCAGATCTCGAGCAGGACATTCTCGCCATTACCATTCACTGATCGCTCTCGTCTCCTCTTCGATCGCGCTTCACTGTCGTACGTTGGGAGCACGCACTCTGTCGAGTCGTTCAAGGCAGTGCGTTCAGCGCATCCGTGCTGCGCTTCGCTATACTCCACTGCAGTCGGAGCGCTGCGCCTCTCGAGACAATTCAGCAGACGTTCCAACGCCTTCGCTGGTAGCTTTGCACCTTGCTCTCAAGATGAGCTCTTCCCCTCCACCAGCTCGAGGCCGAGCCCCACTCAGTCCTCAGGTCGCTGCTGCTCATAGCCATGCACACGCTCAGGCAGTCGCACTCGCCTCTGCTGCCCACGCCGCTGCTCATGCCCAGCAATTGTCGACCTCGCCAAGATCTGCTCATGGGGATGGCGCAGACGGAGATGACGATAATGAGGGCGAGGAGGTGTTCAGCAACCCTGACACAGCTGAGCTCGAAGCGCTGTCGGATGGCACGGGCGCCACGTCGCCTGGGCCAAACAGTCCCGGACCTAGTAGCCCGCTTCAGCGACCTGCATTGCCTCACGGCACTGGACCTCATGGCACGCTCAAGGAGCTGCCAGTGCTCAGCACGTCTGGAGTGCCTGTACCATTCGGGGTTGGATCAGCGGTCGCACAGCCATCGCTCGAGACCTCTCGGACTACGCGAGCTCCGACAAACAATCGCCAACCCATTCGGGCACCGCTCCTCCGCGGCAACAGCACTGGTAATGTGATCGGAGCTCCGGCCTCACCAGTGTCTGCCATCTCCACCTCTTCGAGTGCGGCTGGTCTCAGCCTAGGAACTTTACCATCTGCTCATGGTCTACCCGCTGATCCTCGCGAGGCGACCACCTTGTCTACGCTTTTCACGCATCCACCCGCGCAATCGCCAGCCGAAGAGATCAGCCAGCCAGTGTTTGCGTTGCGTAGCATGCCCACGACCCGACCCACCTCTCCGTCGAAAAGTCCAGCTCGACTTGGCATGGGCTCTGCAACGCTTCAAGGCTCAGACCCTCAGCGCATCGCTTCTGGTAGACATGCTCATGCCCAAGAAGAAAGCATCTTTGAGAGAGATATCGAACACCGCGATGCAAACCACTCCTTTACCAAGGCAGAGGCCATCGAGGTGGCTATCCCTCCTGTGCTCGATGACGCTGTGGAAGCCATTCGCGAAGGTGATGTGAGTATCATCGAAGATGCTCGAAAAGCGCGGCTCTTGGCTCACAATCTCATTCCCGTTACGACGTAGAGTATCGAAATCGTGGCGCCGCAGTCCGCACCCGCACCTACTGCGCTTTCAACACAGGCTCTCTCAGCGCATACTCAGTCACCTCTTGGGGGTGCCTCCGCCGGAAACGACGTTGGACCTCCTGGAACTTTGGCCGCACAGCTCGCGGAGCGATTTGGTCTGGACGGCATGAGCCATCCGGCAAGTAGTGCTGGTGCACCCAGTGCCAACGCATCTCCAGTAATTTCTCGTCGCCATAGAAGACCGCTCTCGGATGCCAGTAGCTCTTCAAGTGCTGGCCCCTTCAGCAATGCGGCAAGTGCTGGAATGCAGCAAGTTTTGGAGAGCGGCACAACCTCTCCGCTACCCCCCCTGGGCTCCACTCTGTTTGGCACGTCGCAGGTCCGCTCGACTTCCAGAGGTAATGCATTGCCGTCTCCTCCCGCTGCAGCATCCAGCCTGTCTGTGGCCGGCGCCGGTGGAGCTTCGCCTCTTCCCGGCGTGTCCATGCCCGACCCGTTCCGCACCTCTTCGCCAGCCTCGACGCTTGCCCCGCTTCCAAATCTGCCGGCGCCGTCCGCCAGCGAAGTGCTTCCAACCAGCAGTCTCAGCATGGATGGCGCGGTGATTGCCAGCTCAGACGTTGCGACTGCAGATGGAAGCCTTGGAGCGTTCGCCAATGCTCTCGGCAAGTCTACATCCGCCTCGCCCTACGTACGAGGCGTCAGCGCTTCGCCGCGCTTTGGTTCGCCTGCCATGGAGCGCAGCAAGTCGATCAGCGGTGCTCCTGGAATGCCTGGCGCTTTGCCAGACGTCAGCACACCACCAGTGCCATCATCGACTACCAAGCGCCTGAGTTTCTTTTCGTATTCTGATATTCTTAACCATACCCCCGGGCAATTGCTCGATTTCAATGGAGCCGTCAAAGCGTCCGCCGAGACGGATGCTGATGCGCACGCAATCGGACTGGGCCTTGGAAGCGGTCAAGGACTCGATTTGCACTCGCCTCGCATCGGTGCCAGCGGCTCGGCGACGCCCGCTCACCCTCGTCTCAGCTCCGACTTTAGCGTCTTGTCCAGACGCACTGACGCGATGAATCTGTCGGCCGACATTTCTCGCAAGCAGTGAGGGCTGGACTCACAGTCGCTAAAGTCACAGTCACCGTCTGTACATAGCACTCGCCGTCACGACTTTCTCGACTTTTCTACAAAATTAGCGAATCCTTTGGCAAGGTAGACTTTCGCCCGTCAGCGCGTCCGTTGATTCCTCTAGTCTCGAAGACCTGCCATAGAAGCGCGCGCTGCGTGTGGTTCGACCATGGCATCTCCGCACGTGCGCCTTTTTCCCCATCATCCGCCTATCGTCTTTCAAGCAGCGACTTGGTCCTTGTCCACTGCGATCCGACGCGCTGATGCCCTCAAGCCTCTCCCTTTCCGCCAAGTAATGCCGCCGCTACGGACACTGTATCGCACCTTATCACAACTCACGATTCCTAAGCTCCAAGCGCCTCGAAATTTGGGGACTTGAAACGGTGATCCTTGTGAGGACATGCCGTTCTAGACTCCGAGTTGAGTGGCCGAGATGTCACCAAGTGTCAGTCAAGAAAATTCCAAGGAAATGAAATGCGTCATTGATCATATGTGCTAGGTGGACTGGCACGTCGTGGGTGCCAATAGTCCGAACAGCGGGCGCGTCGATGCGCAACCGAGTCTGACTTTAGTGGGCAAGGAGAGCAGAACATGAATGGGTCTTGCGTGGGGGGGGGGGGAAGTCATCAGCTGTTTAAAACCGCCTAATTTTGTCTCTGGGGCTTCCCGGCTCGACAGAGGCTTGAGAAAGCGGTAGGTACGTGCTTAAGGGCGCACCGGCGATGCTGGGCTATCGAGCTGCAGGCGCGTCAATCCGTTGGCAATTGTCGGCACAACACATCGCTCAGCACTCCGGGATGGAAGCGGGCATGCGCGACGCATTTCCTCATCACTACAGGAAGGCCTCCAAAGCATCGCGTCACGCAATCCGAGCCACGGAATATGGCGTGGCATGCTGTCCACTCATCAACTATGCTTGGCGAATGGATCGTTACAGACCAGCATCGGTTCAGTCGCAGCAATTCTTCCTTCTCACAATGTGTCGACGACATATCGACAATTTAGAATTGTATGTCCTCACTCACAACCTACCAACATTCCAGAAGCAGGCATGTTGACGTCGCTGTACCGGCCTACGAAGTAAGTCGGAATAGAGGCAGTTACTTGGTGGCTTTTACCTGCTGGTTACGCAGGGGCCCTGGACAGGTTTCGACCCCAGCAAGATGCAAAACAAAGCAAAAAACCTACGGCATCTAGGATTCTCGCGTGGTCCCCCACCGCAATACTGACTAGACCCTACAGGGTTTCCGCTTCTGGGATCAGACGGGACCAGGCACTTTTCCTGTGGTGTGGCCGTAGATACCAAGGAAAAGATGTGAGATGTATATGATGTGCATGTGCGTTCAAGATGTACCTTCACAGGTTTAGGCACACAATTGTGAGTCTTGTGCAGCTTGCTTGCGCCAAGACTGGGCGCACAAGTTTGCCTGCAGACCCTACGGTCCTCACACCCACCATCCTGTGCAGCTTGCATTGCTCCCCGCACCAAGCAGACGTCCCGTGCGGCTCGCTTCGCTCGCTGCACTTGACTTAGGAGATCGAACGGGATCCTGTACGGTGCCCGTGGTATGGCCGTAGATATTTAAGCCTCAAGGTCACAAGTATATATACTCGCTTTGTGCCATGTTACCAGTCGCACATCTTGTGGCAATGCAAACGTGAGGTGCAGAGCTTCTTTGAGGTCACCCGTGCCAGTGTGTTGGCTGCCTCTTAACAGGCTTTGTTCTTGCCAGTGCTGAAATGTGATGAGTGTAAGCGCTGCCGCGGTCTCTGCATGGCTACCCTTACTGGGCATTAGAGGATGGGGTGCCTCTACACAGGTGGAGTCACTGCGCTCCAAAGCACAAAGCAGCAGGGCATCAGCTGGGTTTGATGGGCATCATATTACTTGACCATCATGGCCGTTGCATGCTTGACCGTTGATCAGGCTATTGATCAAAACCAGAGGTGGCCTCCCTAAGATGAGGGAAAGGTTCGAATAACATGCAAAGGGGAAGGAGGCCAGAAAAGCCTTCAATGTGCCTCACAGAATGCCCAAGAGAACTTTGTTAGTTGTACAGCAGAGTGCTGAGGAGACAGCATGTTGATCACAATGACTCTGGTGCTTTGACATTGTGTGTGAGTCCTTGGGCTGCAGTCAGAGATGTCTGAGAGACACTCCTGTGCATGGAATGCACAATGGAGTGGTGTGGGAGGCAGTGTAGAATGGGAGAGAGGCACTGTAAATGTCTGAGACATTGGAGGGGCACATATCTTGTGCCAAGGTCTATCTGCGGGTCATTCTGTGGCAGCTGTGAGGCATCAGCAATGTCTGTGAGATATTTTTAAATGTCTGCAATTCACTGATTATAGAAGTACAACCCTCTAAAAAGCCAGCAAGCCTCGCTATCCAAGCAGAAACAAGCCAAACCTGCCCATCACCTTCATCAAATGCTCTGCAAACGTCTCAAATGATCTGACATCAAGAGATCCAAGTTCTGGTCAGGCACCGACGTTCAGCCTTTGGTAAACACGCTATAGACAATCTGGATGCAGTATCTTCTGGGACAGCATATGTACACCTTGGGGATGGGGCCGAAGGCAAGGACATTGTGCTCCTCTGTGGGTGTCATGACTCTCGATGAACACAGGCTGCCCCCTTTTTGCACATTGTGGAGCGCTCAAATCTAAGGACACTGTCAAGAGCATGCTCAAACATGTCACAAATGCCAGCAATACCATGCCATAGGACTCCATGCAGCCTTTAGCACACCTCATCAGAGACGGCGTGTAACGACGTGTCCTCCGAGTGAAGATGTACGCTGGCGCAAGTAAGGTCCTTGTGCAATTGAGCAGAGGGCTAGCTGTTGTTAGGCAGCAGAACTCAACAGCGGTAGGCTGTGGGGAATGAAGGAGGTGAGTGGGAGACAGCTGGGTGATCAGGCCAGTGTTGGGCGGCGGTCAGATGTGGAGGTCAGTCGAGGAAGTGGGCAGGAAGATTGGGTGAGGGAAAGTTGTATTGCAAAGTGGGAGAGGCCTTGGGGGGCCTCTATATATACCTTACAGGTCTGTCTGAGAGACAGAGTGTGCTGTGTAACAGAATGTGTGAGAAGTAGAGTGAAATGTCTCTGAGGCAGAGTGAAATGTCTCTGAGATGGAGAAGAATGTCTGAGAGACATTCTTATGCGCAAGGTGCATATGAATGTCTGAGAGACATTCTGACTGCATGAACTATGTGTGAGAGACATTCTTGAATGTGTGAGAGACATTGTAGAATGTCTGAGAGGCAGAGTGGAATGTCTGAGAGACAAAGTGGTGCTCGGCGCGCAGTGGGGGATGCGCATGAGTCAGAGTGTGGCGCGCGCGGAGCATAAGGCATGGATTTAGGTACAGGACAGCGTCGCTTCTTTACACGGCGCCTCTGAGTTTGATTTGGTAGTAAGCTCCAAAGAAGAATTGTCATCACCTGTGGGAACCATGGGTACGTGTTAGTGGCTACTCACAACTCCTCGTTGGCGTGGCTGAATTTGCGCTCACTGCTTCATCAAGAGTGATGACAATGTGGCTGCAGGGCCTGGAGGTTCTCTTTTAGAACAGCATTGGGGGTCTTAGTATTGGCGCCATGAGAAATTGCAAGGACTGTTGAGGGAGGTGGTGCAAAGGCTATGAACCTCTTTGCCAAGCTAGAGCTTCACAATCTGAAGGGCAGGACTTTGGACAAGAAGCCTCTACAAAGGACAAGTTTTGTCCTTGATGCACAAGATCTCCTGAATTGCCCACTTGTCAACTTGTCTGTTCTGGTCAACTTCAAAGCATCTTTCTCCCATCCTGTGGCACCAAGCAAATCCTTCCCCCTAGCACTAAACACCTCACCCTAGGGTATCACAAGCTTCATATTGCCAAAGATGCTCTCCTCAAAAAGCGTTGCATCAGCTGACAGGAATAGACAGTATCTCAATCTCTGAGGTTGCCCAACTGAGCGCATTCATTTGCAGCAATTGTGCCTCTGAGCTTGTTTTGCACAGATTCCAGAGCCAAGCCAGTCATGACCACTATCAACTTTGCCAACAATGCCCAGTTGCTAGCTCAGCAAGAAAAGGAGCTGCAAGGGCAGTGGCTGGTCAAGCAGCTAGTTCCGAGAACCAAAGCTACGCATGCAAGGGCCCTACAATCCTTGAAGGAGTACCTCAAAGCGGTTTCCATCAAGGATGTGGAGCAGTACCTCCATCCACGCTCTACGACCGGCGGGAAAGCTACGCCAGTCTCTCTTGCTACCTTCAAATCACTTGCCCACTGATACGCGTCCCGTGCAATCGGGATTCTGGGCCTCAACGGCGCTCCGGACGCTGCTTTGGTGTCAATTTCAACGGTGCGAGTCAGCACTGTCACCTCCTTGGTTGCGTTGCTGCACTCCGCCTTGGAACGTTTGACAGGTACAACCAGTCTGTCGACTGCGGAGGTTGGCCAGCTCAGCACCTATATCCGCACGGATCTCGCCGAGGAGCTCCACCTCCGAACAGACTCAAGAACCAAACCGGTCGCAACCACCATCGACTTGCGTGCGGTTCTTCTGGCTGCTTACAACTGCGCGTGCGGATGGCCAATGGTTTGCCACCGGTACGCCTTTACTGGTGTGCTGAAGGTCATGACGTACTCGGCGTCGAGGCCTGGCAAGCTGCTGCTTTCGCAGCACAACGACAAAGGCATGAGGTGGCGCAACGTCAATCTCATCCAGAGAGTTGTGGAGCAAGATGGCACAAAAGTTGTCAAACTCCTTGCCAAGCTGGAATTTTGCAATTTGAAGGGCAAGACCTTGGACAAGAGCCTTTACAAAGGCCAGGTCTTTGTCCTGGACACACAAGACCTCTTGATGTGTCCAATTGTCAACTTGCTTGTCCTGGCCCATCTTCAGGGCGTCCTTCTCCCCTCCTGCGGTGTCGAGCAGATCCTTGCCCCCCGCACCAATCACCTCGTCCTTGGCGATCACAAGGTCCCCTTTGCCAAAGACGCTCTTGCCCTAAAGGTGTTCCGGGTGCCTGAGTGGCGTTGCGACGCGGACGGAACGAAGCCAGCCGGTCACTTCTGCGACTTCTCCTACGGCTCCCTCGCGAATTGTCTCGCGTCAGTTGGTCAATTGGCTGGGATTGTCGACCACTTGACAACCTACGCCTTTTGTTGCCTAGCTGCCAATGCCCTCAACATGCCAGACGTCACGGTGGAAGATTGCAACTCTGTCATGGGCCACGCTGCTGCCGGTGTTGCCTACAGGTGCTATCTGTCCATGACGTCCTGTCTGGACATACAAGGTCTGGTTGTGTACGGTCAAGAGCGCAGAGAGGCCCTGCAGCTGCCACTTGTCAGTACGCACCGCTTGCCCTGTGCAGTGTTCGCGGCCGGCAGGCGCGCCGTGCTCGAATCCGAAGAGGTCCAAAAGCTCCGGGCAGACATCGAGAAGGCTCAACAGACCGCCAGAAACGAGCTTGGCGAAATGAGCTTCAGGCAAGCGCAGCGAGCCGGGCTGCCGCAGTGGAAAGAGATCAAGGCTGCCCACAGTGCTTTGAATTCCACCGTGCACAAGCGTCTTAAGCAGATGTGGCACAAGGAGATCCAGGCTTTGATCAAGAAGCAGGATCTTGCAGCGCTCAGTGGCGAAGCACTAGAAAATCTGGACGCGACATTTGCCCTGACGGCGGATGCGCAGCTGCTGGAAAGGGTGGATGGCGTGGATGTCTTGTCTTCTTTGGGTGACATGCCCCTCGACGATCCGCTGCTCATTGCGGGGAGAGACGGCGGTGCGGCCGACGACGAGAATGACGAAATCGACGTCGACCTTTACTGCGACAACGACAACGGTGACGGTGACGACAACGACAACAACAACAACGACGGTGACGAGCTCTCTACTCCTCCGCCGCCATGCTTGCCTCGCACGCGCTACGCCGCCACGCTTAAGGGCTTCGACAACCTGGTGTCGGTGTTGAAGGCCGCCAACGGCGTTCCCTCCGACAAGCTGGCCAACGCCGTTCTCTCAATGACGATGCCTTGTATGCTCGAGGGCGAGGTCGTTGATGAGGCGCCGCCGCCAGCGCAGCCACCTGCGCTTGTCAAGATGCAGACTTTGCAGGTTTGCCCCTTTTCTTTGCTGTCCTTCAGCCACAAGAAGATCTGCAAAAAATTTTCCAGGCGAGACGTAGCCTCTCTTGCGTGGCACCTGGCCAAGAGTCATGGCACCGCGCCCAAAAGCGGCCAATGCCGCATCTGCAAAGCACCGGTCACCTTGACAACAGACCTGACTGCTCATCTTGAGTCAGCGCATGACCTCCTGCTTGCTTCTCCAGGCTTGGTCCAGGCTCACAAGGAAAAGGCACCCAAACTGGTCCAGATGCTCCCTGACTGGACCCACTCGTGCGAGCTTTGCAAAGAGCGATTCATTGGTGCAGCAGCGTGGGCAAACCATTGGACACAGCACAAGGCTGAATTCCTGGCCGGTGTGCCCATTCCGCTACCAGGTGCATCAAGTCATGTGCCAAAAGCCGGCATGTGCCCCTTTTGCGTTGCCGGCCGACCAGCCTCTGAGCTAAAGACCTTTGCAAAAATTCCCAACCTCGTTGAGCACTGCCAGACCGTCCACATGGCCAAGTACATGGACTCTGGGGAGAAGGCTGGCGGTGAAGGGTGTAGTGGGCAGAACGCTGCACAGCCCCAGCAGAAGAAGCAGCGCTGCCCCTTCCCTACCTGTCGCAAGCAGGTAGGGAGCTACCTCGACCTCGTCAACCACGTGATCGACTTGCACAATGGCCCTCTTGTCGGAGCAAAAGACAAGTTGGCGTTGCGATGGGACGGCAGGGTTGAGATGCTAAAGTTTGTATTAAGTGCAAGGAAGCGCCCAACAAAGGCCAAAGAGGGCTTGACTCCGAAGCAAGCCAAGAAGGTCGCTTTGACTGAGGGGAAGACGACTGCGCTTGCAGACAAGACCAACAAAGCTGGTCCATCACGCTGCTAAGGGAAGGTATTTGCCCTTCCTCACCAGCCGTTCCCCTCCTCCCCTATCGCGTCCCGCTTATGCAGCGGTTGTGGCAGCTTCGAACGTGGCAATCCATGCGGATATGTAAAGAGCAATACACTGGCGCAGCAACCTGAACAGACCATCTGGACCAACACATGGCCAAGTTTCTGACCAGTAGGCTCGTTTTGGTGCCAGCACTTCATAAAATCCTGCTGTGTATACTCCCTTTGCATCTCCAGGGTATCGTGTAGCAGCGCATCCTTTGTATGAAGATGTATGCTGCTGCCACAAGTAAGCGCGCATTACTGTTGGGTAGCAGACCGGTGGCTGTGAGGTCCTAAGACGATGCTGTTGTGGCCTGTGAAGAAAGGCAATTCAGAATTATGTGGTTGACAGCTGCCTAGGACACTGCGCTGCAGCACCGAACTACTCCGCTCAATCTGGTCTCCAGAACTAAAAGACTGCACGCTAAGTGCGTTGACAAGTTCAAAGAGTTCTTGAGTGATGACTTGGCAACTGCCAATGCAGAGCTACACTTCGAGAAACGCGACTCCGACCCTCCTGCCCCACCCATCGTCCTCAGCCGCTTCAAGACGTATGCTCACTGGTACGCAAGCCGAGCTGTTGGCGTTCCCGGTCCTCTTGGTACAGCGCAAGGCTCAGCACCGGACGCACTCCCACCTGTTGCTGTCAGCACCGTCTCGCACCACCTCTGTGCCACGGTTGCTGCACTTAGGCGTCTGACTCGCATCATCAGCCTCGATGCGGCCCAAGTGACTCAGCTCACGCTGCACATCACCACCAACCTCACCAATGAGCTTCACCTGTCCACTGCCACCTGCAGCAAACCTGTGGCAACTTCTGCAGACCTGCGCGCTGTGCTCTTTGCAGCATACAGCTGAGCGTACAACTGGTCATTGCTTGTACAGCAATATGCCTTCACAGGCATGCTCAAGCTCTTCACGTACCCTGCGTCTTGACCTGGCAAGTTGCTCACAAGTCAGCACAAGTGCAAGGGCTTGCGCTGGAGGGACATTGAGCTTGTGCGACAGATCTCTACCAATTTGAGCAGGAACAAGCAGCTTGACCTAGTGGCCAATGTCAAATCCCACCACCTCAAAGGCAAGAGGATGAACAATGGCAAACACAAGGGCAACATCTTTGTGTGGAACACCAGAGAACCGCTCATGTGCCCGGTCCTCAACCTCTTGGCGCTGGCCTCTCTGCAGGATGCCTTTGCGCCTGGTGTCAAGCTCGCCTCTGTTCTGCCAGCAAGCCTCGACTCGCTTGAAGTTGGTCAGCGCAGCATTCTTTGGTGCCCTCGAAAGAGGGACGAAAAGGTCTTTCCCATGGAAGAATGGCGCACTTCGAGTCGGATGACCAAAGAGAATTCTGGTTCTGGATCCAGTACTGCTCATCAAGTTGACCACCTCTGCGACATGACCTTGGGAAGCTTTGCCTACCACCTTGCTGCCTCAGGATGCCAGTGTGGGATTGTTGAGCACCTCATCCCATATGCCTTTTGTTGTCTGGCTGCCAATGCGCTCAACTGCCCTGACATCACCTTGGAGGACAGGCAAAGCATTATGGGCCACAATGCATGCAGCGCTGCCTTCTGGGCATACCACGCAATGACAGCATGGGTGGATGTGCAAGGCCTTGTTGCAAATGGTAGCAAGAATTGCGCTTGCATTGAGCTCCCATTGCTCAAGGATTACCATCTTCCCAGTGCCGTCTTGGTCCGCGGTTGGCAATTGATGTTGGACTCTGCAGAAGTCAAGCAGTCAAGGAAGGCTCTTGATGCAGCTAGCCTGCCCATCTGGACGATTCAATCCGTCAGGGCACCATGCTTGGCTACAAGCTTGCAGCGGCGGTCAAGGTGGCGCAGAATGAGCTATACCACTTGATCAATGCGCGCCTCATGCACCAGTGGCGGCAAGAGGTTGCAGAAGAGATTGAGAAGCAGAACTTTGCTGCATTTTTGGTCAACATCCTCGAGAGCCCCAGCGCAGAGGCCTTCAGCAACACTGCTGATGCGCGCCTCCTTGCTTCTCCCTTGGCTGATGGAGTCAAGGTATTGACGTCGCTTGGTGAGCGCTCATTGGCTGACCCCTTTGCACTGCAGTAGAGCGTCAAGGAAGAGTCCGAGATCCAGTTGGACCTTGCCTTGGACATTGCATCCGTGGTCACACAAGGCCCGTAGGCGCAGACGCGCTTCGCTTCTACTCATGCTACTCATGCCTGGATGCTCACCTCCCCCAAAGGCGACAGCAATGTGAAGGAGCCTCACGAAGTCCTGGAATCGCTCAAAGCGATGCTTCCAGATGACATGCTGCACTGCGTGCCAACGGCCGGCCAAGCAACAACACCTGTCCATCCCAGTGCAGTACCAGCACTCAAAGCCATAGAAGCGCTCACCTCATGCCCACTCACGTACCGCAAAGCGAGCAAGTGGATGACCTGCTCAGAGGTCTCTTGTAACGACGCGTCTTCCGAGTGAAGACGTACGCCGGCGCAAGTAAGGTCCTTGTGCAATTGAGCAGAGGGCTAGCTGTTGTTAGGCGGCGGAACTCAATGGCAGCAGGCTGTGGAGAAGGAGGAAATGAATGGAAGACAGCTGGGTGATCAGGCCAGTGTTGAGGTCAGGTGAGGAGGTCAGTCGAGGAAGGAAGATTGGGTGAGGAAAGGATGTATTGCAAAGTGGGAGAGGCCTTGGGGGGGCCTCTATATATACCTTACAGGTCTGTCTGAGAGACAGAGTGTGTTCTGTAACAGAATGTGTGAGAAGCAGAGTGAAATGTCTGAGAGACAGAGTGAAAGGTGAAGAAGAATGTCTGAGAGACATTCGTCTGTCTGAGAGACAGAGTGTGTTCTGTAACAGAATGTGTGAGAAGCAGAGTGAAATGTCTGAGAGACAGAGTGAAATGTGAAGAAGAATGTCTGAGAGACATTCTTATGCATGACGCGCATATGAATGTCTGAGAGACATTCTGACTGCATAAAGTATGTGTGAGAGACATTCTTGGATGTGTGAGAGAATGTCTGAGAGGCAGAGTGAAAGGAGGATGAGGCAGAGTCACTGCATTGGCACAGCGTCTCTGAGTCAGAGTCAAAGCTTGGCGCGTGTGAGTCATTGTGGCTGCATGAACAGTGAGGGAGAGTCATTGCTATGCATAAGGTGTGTGTGAGGCGCAGCAAAAGTATGAGGGAGAGACAGAAGGGTCTCTGTCTGAGAGTAAGAGTGATGCTTGGCGCGCAGTAGTGGATGTTTGGGAGTCATTTGAGTGCTTGGCGCGCAGTGGCAAATGTCTAAGAGGCATTTGAAGACGTGCGCACATAAGGCACTGATCTGGAGGCAGAGCGGGGTCACTTCTTTACAAGTGCCAATTCAGCTGAGCTGAATAGCGCTGGAAAATTTCCTGCTAGAAGCGGCTCATTGGCACAGCATTCTGGAGGGAATCTCAGGCTGCACAGACAAGCTATTCGGCCACCAAATGATGCCTTGCGTTTTGCATTGCAGTAGTTGGCAGTGCCAGAACCTCAAGATCTAGGACTAGTGCAGGGATGATTGTCCAGGCAATTCCTCATCTACAAAGTAGACTGAACACTGCACGGCGCTCAGCTTTTTACGTAGATGGCAAAGAGCGCAGATATCAAACTACAATTCTCACCTCTCTCACTTCTTTTGATGGCACCAAGGAAAGCAAGTTTGGGAAAGGGAACCGGAGTGCAGCAAGCAGTGTTCCTTGGTCTTGCACACAAGACGTTGGTCTTTCCAATATTGCATCTTGCAGGACGCCAATAAGGGACCGCAATCCAAGCCTGATCAGGTGTCGTGGCACGGAGTCCCCCACCGCCCATCCCCTCACAAAGGTGATACAACGAACGCTTCTGCGACCACTTCTTCTTTCCAACGTCTTTGGCAGGCTAAGATTCCTCATCTAGAGTCTGTCAAATTTACACAAGAGAAAAAGAAAGTATGCAAAAAGGGAGGCATGGTAGTCCTTGTATCTTTGTCAACTTCTTGGGGTACAGGCGAAGCTTGTACGTCATGAGACCTCCTGGTCTTGCGAAATTCCGGCTGCACAGCCCCGAGATATCGACGACACACGTCCTACTTTCCCTCCACATGAGCCCAAATAGCGACGCTGCAGTCATGAACCAGGCTCAAAGCTTTCGCTCTCTGAGTATACACGGGCGAGCTCTTTGACGATCCTCGAAATTCGAAGGTGGAGGACCGTTCGGCGTTTCATCCGCACACCGTGGAACTTTTACGGTCGCAAGCACTTCTCGAGATTTTGTGTGATTTTGCGTCTTCGATGAGCAGATTCGAGATGCCCTGCTCGGAAGCACGAAAATTTCGCGTTCGCCGTTGCTTCACTATCGCTGTCTTGTATTCCCACCCTATGTTGTTGACATTTAAACCCAGCAGGATATGTCTAAGGTGAGTGGGATCATCATACAACGTCAACAATCTTCGGCGAGAAAGTGCTATGTCTTCGTCTAGCGAAATCGCTTGTATATCGATTGGCGTATGAGCATCGCGGTTGGGTGGGCGATTACTGTCGCTTCCTCTCCGAGGCCGCGTGGGTGAGCGCATTCCAAATGCACTTGTAGCCGCAGACCGCCTCGACGCGCGCATCAGGTTGCGTTTCGAGCACGAATGGCATTGTGCTCTTCAAGAGCAGAGAGGAATGCGGACACAAGCGTGCTCGCCGACTCCATGATTTGACGCTGGTAGCAGTGCGCGCTGGTGAGCCTCATCACCTAGACGTTCGGCAAATGAGAATATCTGCGCGACTGCTCAAGATGCTCACGACGTGGCTCGATGCATCTTCAATAGCTCGTTTCCGAATCGCTGCTCCACTCGTTGCCCATGTCTTCGTCTTGCAGCAACAGAGCAGCGAGGTCAGGAGCGATATCTGCGCGAAGCAAAGGCTGTGCTCCCATCTCGGACACGTCCTGCGACCGCTGGCCCTCGACGGTCCATTCCTCCACGCAAGTCTTTGCACCCCACGCAGCGTCCACTTCCTCGCAGGCTCTCGCCAGCTGTGCCCCGATGGTCGCAAAGGAAGAGTCTCGCTCGACGCCTGGCGGCAATCTTGTCGATCTACCAAAGTGCCAGTGGACTCCTGCTTCCGCCCTTGCGAACAACCACGAAGCAATGAGGCTGGTGTTCATGTCTTCGTGCTGCTTGGGCATGTCGACAGTGACCAGCGTTATCGTGAGGGCTCGCGCATCATCGACAAGATGAGCGGGTCGAAAGAGGTGCCTGAGCATGGGTTCCACGCGTGATCGGTGTCCGACGTAGCGCTCCAAGTTGTGGCTGATGACCAGCAGCCGGCGCAATGACGCGGAAGCCATCAGAGGTTGGAGGAAATCTGGCATTCGTGCGCGGTAGCCTGGGCCAGGCGGGATGCTGAGACACAGCTGTTCGAGTTTGGGCAAGAGTGCGATGTTGTGAAGCGCTTCTTGCGAGAGGTGCAGCCGAGGTCCGTGAAGCTGCAGGTGCGTCAATGCAGGCCAATGAGATGCTTGCTTGTGATCGCTCGTCGTGGACCGCGGGCAGAATAGAGTTCCCAGAGGATCTCTTCCAAAGGTGCTGCCTTCGCACACCAGCTCCTGAAGTCGCGCGCGGACCGAATCGAAACGCGAGTCATCTTTGTGGGTTTTGTTCGCGGGGCAGAGGAGACGCGGAGGAAAGGCGATGGCCAAGCTCTCCAGCTGCAGCAGCATTGGCAAAGCGACCAAGAGTGCGAAAGCGCTGTCCCGTGATAATGCGGATGCCACATCACCAGCATCGTAGAGGTGCGTCCTGGCTCTGGCACGCAATCCTCGTACCAGCAGCCTTTTCGTGCTGATTCGAGCCTGTTGCTTGGTGTGTGGATGACGAGAGATGCATCGCGCAAAGGCTCTGACTTGATTAGCCCCTCCTAGCACCGGACAGTGCAGAAGCGCTCTCACGACGAGGGTCAGCGCCGCTCGCTCCACCAGCGATAGACTCCAGAGATTGGCAGTGACGTTGGCGTGCCTGCTGCGTTGAAGCGCGTCGATGTATAGCCCATAGATGTGCGATCTGAGCTCGGTTGGCAAGATTGCGGGCGTCACCCGTCTCTCAGGTGCGTTACGCGTCGGCAAGGGCGGAAGTTCGCTTGAGCCACCAATGACCTGAGAGTCGATCATCAGCAATGCGTCGGCTCCACGCACACGAAGCCGAAGCGGGCGCCACTCACCTCATAGCACGTCGTCGTCGTCGTCGTCTTGACAATGCGACGTGGAGCGTGGAGGGTCTGCTGGCCCTGTCGATTAGAGATGTGAGCGCTAGGTGGAGTGTGGCTGAACCACATCACGTCCGCGCGTGTGCCTGTGCCCGAGGCTACACTGCCATGGCGAGGTCGTGAGTGGAAGTGGAGAGAGCTTGCAGGAAACAAAAGTGGGTGGACGCGCGTTGGTTGCGCGCGCGCACACGTTCAACATTCACGCGACTTGCGCGCGCGCGCGCGCACACGCAAATGCACACCTCGAGCAGCACCACTACAGCAGTAACGATGTCATTGTCCAGACGATAGCAGCGCGAGACGGGTGAAGGGATACAGTATGGACAGGAATGGCGTTGCGTCGCGCCACACGCAATGACGTCAAGTCAGGGGCGGGCGCAGGAGAGAGAGAGAGAGAGCAGCCGGGAATTAAGGACTGGTGCAGTCCGGAATGGTGAGGCCATCCAACAGCTTCTTGTTCTTGTCGAACAGTCCCCAGTAAGCCTCTACGCCGCCGTACAGAGCGTCCTTCCAAGGCTCAGCAAGACCCTCGAACCACATGTATCCATCAAATGTGGCGTCCGAATTGGTCAGGTTGGTGTTGGCCTGACAGACGTACGTGTCGAGCAGGATCTGAACGTTGGGCACGCCAGCCACAGCCACCCCACCGGCTCCTTCCGTCATGAACCTCGTCTCATTCGCACCGCTGGGCCAGCCAACTTCGGCAACGTACAGTTTGGGATTGTTGGGCGCTTGCTTGGCAGTTGCGGGCTCGTTATTGGCCGTGTAGTCCCACACCCAGCCTCCGGATTGTTCGACGGGCACACCTCCGAACCATGGGTGGTTGTTGGCTTGGATAAAGTCGGAGCCTGCAGCAAGCGTCTCTGTGATCTTGCTGCCCGCATCACCGGTGCCGACGGGTACAGTCTTGGACAGATTCATGCCCGCTAGCGCCGTCCGCATGTCGGCCATGTGCTGGATCAGAGAAGCTTCGGATCCGCCATTCAGCAGGTACTCGTTGCCGACCGCGACGCCTTCGATGTGATCCACGCCCCACTTTCGGATGGCGTCTTGCACATTCTTGACTTGTCGCTGATAAGTGCTGCCATCCGGGTCATCGGCAGGCTGAGGCAGCCAAGCGGTCAGCCAGACCGTCATGTCGACCTTGGTGACGTTGATGGCGTGCAGCACGTATTCCGCAATGTTGCAGTCGCTGCCATATAATCTCAAGCGTTTGGTCAGCTGAGAAAAGATTTGAATGTCTTCGATGACCGAGTCGAGCGTGTCGCCGCACGCGGGATATTGAGAGTCGAGCGGCTGAGGGGGATGAGCACGTTAGCATGCGTGGACTAGTGCTGCACCTCGTGAACTCACGGTGTAGCACATGCCCCAAAACGACTGGTGGAATCGCGGATCCTTGGTAAACTTGCTGGGGTCGTTTTTGTCGCCATTGACGACACCGGCGAGACCGCCGTTGCCGCCCGACTTTGAGTTGTTGCGGCTGACGACGACACCGGCAATGACGGCAATGACGGCAATGAGGAGGATCACTCCTCCGCCAATCCACCACCACTTGCGATTGCTCTTGGCAGCAGCGCTGGACTTTTCGCCGTAAGCGTAGCCGCCGCCGCCGGCCCCAGCTCCAGCGCCATAGTCTCCTTGCCTGTTCATCCAGCGGTCTCGCTGACTAGAGTGTGAGCGCGGCAGAGCCGACTCGTCGTAATCGCCCGCGTCCGCATTGGTCCACAAAGCTTGAGAGCTTGCATTGTCGAGTCTTCCAAACGACGGCGTGCCGGGCGCACCGCCAGCGGCAAAGGCCGCGCTCGCTCCTCCCGCAGGCATATTGTTGTGGTCGAAGCTGCTTCTTCTGCTCTGATTGCCGAGCGCGCTGCGAGGGTTGTCGAGGTCGAAGGAGCCCGTTTGACGAGAGGCGACAGAAGCGTATGGATCCTGGTACGAGTGTCGAGGTGACTGGGATGGAGGGTAGACGGAGTGTCCGAGCGCACTGGAGAATCTGTGAGGAGGTGGTAGTCCTGCAAGTCGAGTGTGGTAGAATGAGTGTGTGTGCGCGCGTGTGCGCGTGCGTGCGTGCGTGCGTGCGAGCGAGTGTGATGGTGATGGAGGAGGAGACAAACGTAGAGCAAAGCGCGGTCAGCACAGCATGCCCTACGAGTATACGGTCAGGAGAAGCGTGCACAAGTGGGACCGCACGGCGTACAACACGGAGCGGGTGTAACAGCGATTGGGGAGGGCAGGGGGGGGGGGGGGGGGGGGGGGGGGGGTAGCACGGCACGGCAC